TTCTACTCGGCTGACAACTTTTTGAGAATCCTCTGTCAGACACACCCTGTTAGTTTTGCACTGACAGGGGGTGTTTTAGTGCTTAGAAAAACCGGTTCAATGAATTGCAATCTTTGACATTCATCAACTTCTCTCATTCTCATCCTAACCCTCTACTCCCAAGACTCGCTCTATTGTTATACTCTCTCCTCCTCATTGTTCACGTGAAATCCCAACCAGGGTTACTTTGTAGGATCGTCATCGACATCGCTTTAAAATAAACAAGGTCATTGAATCAGGTTTTCTAAATGACTGAATCTGTTGCATGCCCTTCATCTACCGCGGTCATCAGTACTTGGTGTCGCGTCTTTTGTTCTAAATCACCATCTCCAGGCGGCTGGGCATGCTTTAGTACAGTTTGTGAAGGTACTCCGGAGGAATCTCCTTCCAGATCGCCTCTACACGTTCCCACAGCCTGTCCTGGTCCTCAGCCGCCTCTGGCTAGCCAATCGCGGGACTGACGAACACGCCTCTGGAGAACGTCGAGATAGGCATCCGAATCCATATTACCCTCGATCCAGCAAAGGTCTCCAACGCCAGAATATCCAATGCAACCCCAGACCATTACTTTCCCTCCACCACCTTGTTGTTTTGACGAAATACAGGGTTAGTTTTTATTTGACGAAAAATTCTCTGTTTATTAGTGTCCTCAATAAACGGGTCAACAACCACCTTCTTTCTCGTCTTCATTTTCCCCCTACATTTTGACTGTTTCGGCCGAACTTAGTGAGGCAGGTGTTGTTGTTGTTGGTGTTTGTGGTAGTAGTACTTCTTGTCGAAGGACCCAATGCGGCTGAAGATGCACTCATCAGAGAACATCACGTTCTTCCAGTCCTCGACCTTCCAGTGATGGTGTTCTTCTGCGAGTCTAAGCCTTTTTGTGATCTGTTCCCGTGTGAGATTCGGCTTGTCTGGTGCTGAGTTGACCCTGATTCCTTCCTGGAGTAGATTCTTCTGTATAGTGGTAAGGTAGACATGCTCTCCCTTGGTTGATTCAGTAAATCGTTGTCCATCCTTTAGCGATGTTAAGTCGCCTTAAATGAAATGGCGCGCGAGATTCGTCCTCGTCTTCGTTAAGATCTTCCTAGGTCTGCCAGGATGGGGCTCAGGGATGTTTCCTTTTCCTCGTTCCTGATCCTGATCGCTGATGAGACAGAGATCCGAAGGTTGCATGCAACTGCCCTGGTCGATTTTCCCTGTCCAAGCTGTTCTACGGCAATCTCTTTAATGGATCGCGTAAGAGGCTTCATGTTGATTATTTGCTGAGCTGGGACTCGTTCGAAAGGGTAAAGAAGAAGGAGCTGAAGGTGAGTGAAGGGTGAATTAGAGTGATCACAAAATAAAAGAGCGACAATAAAGAGTGAATGGATCTATGATGGCGAATTAGAAAAATTGATTCAATAGACGTCACGATCTAGAAAGATCAAAGCAACGGAGTTTAGACCGTGTGGGATCAAGTCGCTGTTCTCCACATATGCTCAAAATTCGTACTTTAGAATGCGCGTTCAATTTATTGCATTCTTGATACTTGTCAGGTCTTGGGTATTCGGCCCAATAATTCTTGATGAAGAGTTGGTGCTTGGTTCGTTCAATCCCGCACAACAAAATTAAGACATGCGTTCAACTCGTCGGCAGCTCTACCCCGCCATATGCTTGCCTACCTTAGGCAGACAATGTCACCGTTTACAATAAAATTGCATGATTAAGTAAAGTCAATGAGCGGTGGCTCTTGTTGTTATGGGGTGAAAACGTCTTTTTCTCCCTTCTTCCTCCAAAGCTTTAACCACATTTTTGAACACCAATCCTTCCCTATCTCCATTTACTATAGCGCTCCCTCACGATGTCTGAAGTCCCTGTTGTTTGTGATTTCCTTGAAGGAACAGTTGGTGGTGACATTAATGTCATGTTCAAGTTCCCCTTTACATGTTTCTGTGGAATAGACTTCTCCTCAAAACCCAAACTGAAGCGCCATATTTTAGGCGCCATGAACCGACACATATCATGTAAAGGCGAGCGTGACCTGAGAAGGAGGCTCATGGAAGAGAAGAGTATTAATGAACCGCTATTCGAAGCATACTTTTTGCCGCCGACAGGGGTACAGCATTAGAAAAATTCATTTTGCTTGGAACTGATATTATACTTCGAACCAAACCTTTTTTTTTTTACTTACACACAGCATGAGTTTCAGATGCTCAAGGCTCAGGTCCATCGAATGATTGAGTTGCAAGAACAAGCACACAAGTTCATCAAACTGCAAGAATTAAGGAAGGCCATCATGGCGCCAAAGGACGACCAAGCGCCGCAGTCAGTGCACGCAACCTCCCCCTCGACAAAAACAACACCCCTCCTCCCCTCAACAAGGACAACACCCCTCCTCGCGCCTTCAACAACACACTCCCCCGACTCAGAAAGAGCCTACCCCGTCTATATCCTCATTCCAAGAAACCTCCGTCTCCCACCCTTCATCTCAGCACACCTCCTTCCCACCCACTCAACCGACGTATCTTCTGTCAGTTCCTCTTAGTGATGGACAGATATCACAACACAGTGTGATGAGCTTCGCATATCCTGTCGAAACAAGCACACCAAGACTTGGGGAACGAGCTTATTTTCCCACTGCCAGCCTCAGCCCGACTTATAAACAGGTGGACTCAACTCCCACCGCCAGCCCCAGCCGATTTTCAGACACATAACCAACAAGCAACACATAAACTTTTGTAGTGGCAATCGTAGTTCTTATTAAAAACACAATTTTTCAGCACACATGCTATTGTTTGTTTGTTCATTCGTTAACTCTCCCTCTGTTCCCCTCAGCCTCGTTCTAGTCATGGCCATGACCTGTCGCAGGAATTCCTGTTTCATCCATAACCATACAAACAGTGAAAAATAAGGGGAATGGAAGGTCTCAGCCGTACACAAGCCAAACATAGAGCACAACAAGCCAAAAAAAAAAAGGGGGGGGAATGCATGTGCATGTCTTGGACCTACACAACCAAAACACAAGGACAACAGGGCAAACAAAACAAAACAACAGAAAACCCAATCTTCATGAGAGGCAAAACAGTATCAAGTATAGAAGAGCAACCATATGTCTGGCAAGTGTGGATCGATGATGTTAGCGGCTCTTGGTTATCATTCCCTTCTTCTCACCTCCGTCTCTTATTTTCTACGCCCAATCTGCCGTGTCTTATGTATCTGTGATAACCAACACGTTGGTGTTGCTGTTGGAATGCGAACCTGGGAGAGCATGCGCTCGTAGAGGTTGATTGGGTAAATCATCGGGCACGAGCCATTTTGCTCAATAAGAAAATGGAAGAAAGAACATCGCCATTAGACTTTCCATCCGCGCTTTTGCAACATCAAGTGTTGAAGGATTATCACACCTGCCTTTTCTTGTTTAAGCCTTTAGAGGTTGTCATAGGCTGTTTATACACGCCGTCTTCGTGATGACATTGAACTCTTATTTTTTTGGGGCCTTCTCTTCATCCCTCTCCCACTCTTTCTTCTGTTCTTCTCTCACCCTTACAGTCTCTTATTTTTATCTTGAGTTGACGATGGACCTGGTGTTTTCTTGATGTTGCTTTTTTGCATAATTTTTCGGCGAAGAAAAAGAGTATGCAGATGGTCGGAATAGCTTGCCTTGTCCGTTTGTTGTCTCTGTTTCATTGGAGTGCACATGTGCGAAAGAACGCGTATGGACAGGGTGAGACCTACCGGGGAATAAGAAGATGAAAGGGAGATTGGCAAGAGCGCCATTTTCGACTGTACCCACCGAAAAAACCCAGACCTTCACTTTGTAAAGATGTTGGAATGAGATTCCAACTCACGTAAAGTGAAGGGATGGATTCGAGACTAGTCTTGGGTATTCGGCCCAATAATTCTTGATGAAGAGTTGGTGCTTGGTTCGTTCAATTCCGCACGACAAAATTAAGACATGCGTTCAACTCGTGGGCAGCTTTACCACACCATGGGTTTGCCTACCTAGTAGGACTACTACCTAGTCTCGCGGCCATATCCTCCCTTACGTGGGTTGAGTTATTGGGGGAGCGGGTCATAAAACCAAAAAGGAATGTTCTTAAGGGGTTTCCTCCCCAAATGCAAGATACTTAAGGGTTTTTTTACTCTCCAAAAGCAAGGTGGTTCGCTCTCCACATGCATCTCACTCCCTCATCATCCAGGCAGGACCAGCTTGCCATCAACTCTTTTCATCTCTTTAGTTCATCCTCCTTTCTCCCTCTCTCTACTTCCCTCATCCTAAGTAAATAAAACTCGCTTCTCTTTCCTTTCATATACTCACTAGCCACCTTTCCAGTCCAGTTCTCTCTATCCCTACCAAACACCGCTTTAAAACTAATGCCTCCCAACTGTTCTTCCTTTCTACCTTCGCCTCTCTGCTACCCTCGCTACCCTTCACCAATATCAGTATCGCTATCGGGAGAAAGGCTACCGCGAGAAAGGCTACTCAAGCAATACGTAGACCCAAGAAAAAGAGATTGGCTATTCGGTCAAGCATTGCAGCAACCCAGATCATCGAGTCGAACCTGCTCCAACAAGTGTGCGTGTATCCAGAGAACGCCTCAGAGTTGTGCAAAGAAGTCTTTGAATATGAGCCCAAGGAGCAGCAAGAGGTCGTTGTTCATCATATAAATTTACAACTGTTTTTTAAAGCAAAGAAAAGAAACGCGCAAAGGAGGCGAGAAAGTAGTAGCGAAACGCAGAAAGTGCTATTGTAAGAGGTATTTCCTTCTAGTGAAACGAATAGCTTGAGTGAGAGAGGGAGAGAGAGCGAGAGAGAGAATGACAATGGGAGCGAGAAAGTAACGAGAAAAAAGTTGTTGTCTTTATTTGCGACCTCGACTCGCTTTTGTAGCTCGTCTCAGTGCACGGTTCTTCGTCAAATAAAAAATAAAAAAGGAACCTGCATTCGTAGCACTTATCCGCAACACTAGGTTTCTGGAATTCTAGGTTCTAAGAAGTGGATGTGCCTCAGTGTTAAGGACAAAGTCATCCAGCGAGATCACATCCGGGGTTGAGAATATCAAATACAAATACTTCAATGTCTCTGCCAAGAAGAAGCTAAAAGGCCGGTGATAGAAAATAGGGACATCAAAGAGTTAGTAGGTGTTCACTTATTGTTTAATATCATACGCCATTGACTTGTTCTTTAGTCTCCTATAAAATATGTATTTCTTGACATACCTCTCCATCTTGTTATCCTTAGAGTGGACATTGTTGACGTTCGTGAGACCAGTGTAAGCAATAGAAGTACGGCAGCTTCTCTCCAACGACTATGCATGTCATATAAAACAAGCACAAAGGGATATACATTAGCATGTCCGTTTACGAATCATTCATTGCTTGCCCTTGTCGCTAACCAAGGGGATACTTCGTTGTTGCATTGACATTGACATAGCATTACAAAATTTATCATTACCTGGAAGATCTCCCACGCCTGATCCTGGTACTTCTTCTCCCCCGTAAGGCGGTACAAAATCCACAGACTTTCCAAAGTTTCTAATAAAAAGTGGCATAAGCATTAAAGGCAATGGCCAAATAGAACATTTTTTTTCCAACAAACAGACTAAAAGCGCCGTTTTACCTGGTCGGAGAATGTATTCCATGCGGCTACGGTACTGGCTGAAAAAGTGCTGGGGGTCTGTAACAAACTTGCCAGGTTGACTCGACTCAGTGAACCTTGCGGCCTCTGGTGCCAATCCGGAGGCAGAGTGGTGGTATCCAAGGTAACATCCTTGAGCAACTTGTCTGGCCAGAAGCAGATCTTCAGAGCGACCAAAGTACTTTGATCCCATTGCCAACGAGCCTGACATGAAGCAAGCCTAACAAGTGGACAGATAGGGGAATGCGCATAGTTAACAAGTATTGCGCCTTATTGCGTCATTTCCATGAAAAAAAATCGCAAAAGTAGGCAGCAGTTGACTGGAGGTAGGTTGAAGCACGTTGAAGGGCTGCTTACCAGATGTCCCATGTCAGGTTCGACTGTCTTGGATGTAGAGTTAACTTGGCCCAAAATAACATAGTCCTTCGATCCATCTTCTGGGGTCATGACCATGTATTTCTTAATCGAGGACACGGCTTCCTCGACTGTTTGAAAGGAGTAAGTTAATATATAGCGTTCAGAAGCGGAAGTTTGGGTTGATTAAAATGAGAAGAGTGATGTGTAAAGCCAGAGACGGAGTTCAAACCACATGGAAACAAGACACACCACGTGGTGATTACTCACACATTTCCTTGTACTTGGTTGCCTTTCCATCCAACAGGATCCATTCCTTGAGAAGATACTATAAATACAGAAAGTGAAAGAATGGGCGCTTGTGAGGGAAAGTACAAAACGCCGACTTATTTTAACCTTTTCGTCAATCGCTGGCTTCTGGAAACATACCTCATAGTAACTGTCAACCATACCGCCGACAGATGCCTGGAAGTTAGAATACTTGAGACCTTCACCATCTTGGACATTAGGAGGGAGAAACCCAGGGATCTCGGGCATAGCGGTACCCAAGATGTCGAAGATTTTGCGGGCCTAAAAGCAGATTCCAATACCTACCAAGGTTAGCAATATAGAGAAATGCTTACCTCTCCACATCCCCTACCAACCGCTTTTTTGTTCTTATTTTGTTCGAATAGTACCTTTTGATCGTAGATGGGATTCCCAGTCAGCTTCGAAAGACGAGAAAATTCTAGCTGCAAAGTTCCGATCTCGGCAAGCACAAAGGACTCATCACGGCCGCTAAACGAAGGATCGATGGTAAAGTGACTATTGGGGAAATCCGATCCCTGGAAAGCGTTTAAAGTGTACTTTCCGAGCTCCTCAGCCTTGTCCAGCAGAACCTTTTCTCCTGTCAGATCATAGGCACCAAGGAATCCTCCCATGTAGCGAATGATGGTCTCGAAGAACGGAAGCTGGATGGTAGGGTTGTTGGTCATGGTAAACTTTGTCTTGACCCATTCCAGCGCCTCGTCAAATTCCTTGTTAAAGCCCATAATGACAAGGGTATCCAAACTGTCGATCATTGTTGCACCCCAGCCGTTGAAGTTGTCTTTGTATCCTCCGCTGACGGGACTGACTTCGTCGTGTCCCCATGCATGATCCTTATAACCTGTCCAGGCGTGCTCGAATCCATCTCTAACAGCTTGTAAACGGCTCTCTCGTTGCAATCGATCCTGGTCCGACTCTGGAGGGAACTTGAACTGAATCTTTTTCAAACTGGTCCTAGCACCCTTGCCGCGAACACGCTCATATCTATACGTAGCAGAATCCTGAGCTCCAGTATGAGGGCTGACATGGTCCTCATTATTGTTCAAACGATCCTGATTAGTGATTCCATCAGCGTTCTGGATGAGCGAGTCCGTTCCTTCCGCAGAGTGTTCTGGGAGAATGGCCACGAACCATAGTGTAATCATGCCTATGAGGATCAGTAGTAGGACGAAGAGGCGGCGAAGGTTGATTGTGTAGCGCCCGCTGACGATAGGATCTGTTGTGTGGTCGAAGAGTTTTTTGAGACCGCCGAGAGGAGCACCGACAGTCGTGCGAGCCGAGGGCGAGTATTGTTGGTCGGGCTCACTGTAGCCCTTTTCGATATCAATCACAGTTCTGAATTGCCCAAGGCGTCGATTGAATGTCGGGGGCTCCATTTGAAAAAGAAACGGCTGGAGAGCAAGAACGATTTGTTTTGTTGTACGTAAGAGTGTCACTGCGAGTATGTGATGAGGGAGAGGAGAATAAGGTAATACAATGGGTAGGAGGAGATTAAAAGAGTGCGAAGAAGAGGAGAAGGAGGAGGAGCAAGTTGATGATGAGGATGATGAGGATGAGGATGAGGATGATGAGGATGAGGATGAGGATGATGAGGATGAGGATGAGGATGATGAGGATGAGGATGATGAGGATGAGGATGAAGATGAGGATGCTGGCGAAGATGTAGGCTACGCCAATATTCTTGGACCAACATAGTTTTTCCTTCGACAGAATAATAGAAATAAATTCTTCTTAACGGCCTGTTTGCCTGACCACCCATAGTAAGCGGATTGTTTGCAAAAAAAAACGAAATAAACGATTCAATTGGACAAACTGAATACCCCTGTGTTGCGTCGACTATCCGCCATTCAGAAATCATTTTTTAGCTGGAAAATGAGCCAACTGAATTGATTGTACATACCTTTTGAATAAGAGAAATAATACCGCGGTGACTTATATGACCAGAGGGAAAATCATTCCACCAGCAGGGGATGGCTCAAACCATTGGACCTATTGCACCGCAGGCAAAAAAAAGCCCCTGGAGAGACTCAGTCTTGTTTTACTCGTGTTAGAACTACCTTCTCTTTATTCTACCACCTCCCATCCTCCACTCTCCTACCCACCTCTCTCGTCCCTTTTACAAACAATATAAACTAAGCACATTGGCTTCTCATGCACTCATTCTGCTATCCTCCTCAAACTCCATTCCTTCGCCATCGTTGTCCCAACCTGCCACTCAAGGAACAAAGAGAAAGAAGAAAGGGCTCGGCAATGGTAAGAGGCAGGAACGAACAGTTGCGCTGTATCTGTATTTGCATTTTCGCTAATACCCCCCTCTCCTCCTTTCAATTTACCATAGATAATGGAGAGGGCAGCTCCAATGCCATCCCGATCTGGTCACTTTTAACTGGGGAACAGGTCGACTATTTCCGTATGGACGAGGCTATCTTTGATAGTTTGGCAATGGACAACAAAGGATTCATTAATAACCGATACAATAATGAGTCTGCCGACGACCTAGACGACGATGAGGACAACGCGAGCGGTACTGCTTCATTGTTGCCCCTACGATAGCCAGAGGTTATAGCATCCTCCAGAGCTCTTGTTCGTCGCGCCAAGAAACTACACCAGCATTGCCAAAGGAGGCGAACATGGAGGCAGAGGAGTAGATTATTCTGGAACAAAAGATGCGTTGTTTGGATGGAGGAGACCCCGGAACAGTTCAACATCTGTATGCAATTGGCGGAGAAGAAGGCAGGACTGGTTAAAAATAAATGGGCCCAAGTCAGGCGCACCGACCCAGGCAGACTGGAGCTTACACCGGAGAATGTGGCGGATATCGAGAGGAAGTTCCACGAAATTTGCGCCGTTTACAATGCCAAAGAAGCGCGTGGACAACAGTTTTCCAAGAACACCAAAGCTGCTTACTCCCGATACCAGGTTCATTGGAGGGTACGGTAATCGATGAGACCTTTTCATTCTTGGTTTTCCTCCCCGCCTTACTCCACAGCTCACACCCTTTAATCGTTGTTGCTTACCATTTTCGATAGGAATGCTGTGAGCAAAAAGGATATCATAGGACCAACATTAACAAAATCGGAGTAGAGGAAGTAGACGACCGAGTAGAGTACACTCGATTTACTTTCTACATGTCGGAGGGTCTACAGAAATACAGCACAGATGGGGGGGGGCGATCCGAGTAAAGCCATTATTCCGTTTTTCGCGAAGAAGAAGCGCAGAGTTGGAGTTGTTGAGCAATGGCAGAGCAAGAGGGAGATGGTGGAGGTGTTTGAGGATTATATTGACACACCCAGCATGAAGACAGTGGAGGCTTACATGTGCACCGCATCCGACCTTTTCACTAGACAACAAACCAGTGAAGCCGATGGGATGAAATACGAACCTTACCCTCGAACCGGTCCCGATCTTGCAGCGCTCATCAACACCTTCAAGATTCGGATCGCAGGGAACCCCAAGTTCGAGTCCAAGAAGTGCTCTACTATCGACGCGGCAGATGGAGGCGAGGTGGCAAGGCTGCAACGTCTCATGAGAACCAACTGGACACATCGATACCAGGAGGAGCACCACAAGCGCTAAAAGGTCACTGATCTCAAGGACAGACTAATGGCCTCCTGGTCCCACTTTATGATGATGCGAGGCGAGAATAATCGGTTCGCCAAGCTCCCACATATCAACTTCCATGCCTTCTCAGACCTGAACAGCCCCATAATGATGAAGAACTCTGACCAACCCCGTACCTTTGCGACTGTCCTTGTTATGACACAAGGAAAGACCCTGCGCTCAGGGGGCGTTACATATGGCGTTTCAATCAGGAATGTCGATGTTGAGCTGTGCCCTCTCGGAACTCTCGCTTTCTATCTTTTCCAGCTATGGGAGATAGGCACTTTTTATGTGCCGAAAATCAATGTTTTATATGCTTACTAAGGGCTTAGCAATTATTTACTAACCGGCTTATTAATCTCGGCCGCCATTCATACTGAATTCGGAATCTGGACTCCAAGGTGACGAACTGCTTTGCAGGTGCCAGGTCGGACATGAGAGCGTTTATTCAGGAGATCAAGTCGACAATGGACAGCAATTTCCAACTTCTCGAGAAAACCATATCGGCCAAGATTGGGAACGCAATGGAACAGCAATCAAACTCGCTTAAAGACTCTCTTTCGATTACTCTGAACCAGCACAACCTTGCCTTCAGTCGCACGACCCAACGAGTATATCAGGAGAAATAACATATCATATCTATCTACCAGGAAGAATTACAACGCTCACTTGGAGTATATACACCCGGCTTATCTATGATTCGACCTCGCCCCGCCCAGCAAAACAACCTTGGTCGGGCAAATAGAGGAAGGATGTCTAACTGAAGAAAAAATTTCTTTTATGCATGTGTAGTATTCCTCCGTCTGAGGGTTGATAATGACCAGAGATTGAGCATTGAGCCAAATGTGACCACAACAGACTGAAATGTACGCAAACAATTAGATGAGATTTGAGAAGAAAGGAAGAGGGGGTGAGGAGATGCATGAGAGTCCGACTTGCTGCCCTCCAAAGGCCTCCAGAAGGCCTCCAAAGATTTCTTTGTTCTGAGTTTGTTGACATGCATGCAGGCCTCCAACCCTCAAGTTGGGCCTCCGAAATCACGCCACTCTTATTCCTTATTTCACTGACAAGGCGCATTTTTTGTTGTTGTGTTGTGTCTCTGTTTTGAGGCAAGCGAATAATAAATACAATGAAAAATGATCAAATTCGCAAAGGTTCTCTATTTCAAAACACCCCGCAATAAGAAATGGATGTCGCTGTAGCAGAGAGATTCTCACAGCAAAAATACTTTTTTCAGGCTACTGAAGTCAACTGTAATGTTGACAGATAAGGATAGGTTATAAACTGGTATTGAGTTGCATCGATTAGCAACAGTGTCATTTTTGTTTTGTGTTGACTAGAAAATTTGGACTCAGGAGGTGAGATCTACTATTTTTTTTATTTTTTTGCTCACACCAGTCAAAGGTGCATGTACAAGTTTAGAAGATTAACCCACTTGCAGGCGTGGTTATGGTTCTGTTTTGACATGCGTTTTGATTTGAAACAGATACAATCATGCGGGTATCCCCAGCGCTTTTCTCGCCTTGAGCTTTCCCCAAGGGAAGTGCCTGAATTCCCTTCCAACCATTCTTCATCTTCTTTTCTTCCTTCTTTTTCTCCTTCCTTTTTTTTTATTCAGTCTCCCCCTACCAAGGATTCTTCCTATTCTTCCCTTCCTTCTTTCTCTTCTCCCTTTTTTTTTATTCAGTCTCCCCCTACCAACGATTCTTCCTGTTCTTCCCTTCCTTCTTTCTCTTCTCCCTTTTTTTTTATTCAGTCTCCCCCTACCAACGATTCTTCCTGTTCTTCCTTTCTCCTCCCTTTTTTTTTATTCAGTCTCCCCCTACCAACGATTCTTCCTGTTCTTCCCTTCCTTCTTTCTCTTCTCCCTTTTGTTTATTGTCTCCCCCGTGCTGATATCACCCCTGAATGACAGCTCTATCCAAGGCCGCCACCAAGGCGTCGACTCGCCTTTTCCTCCTCGTCTTCACATTAATACTTGCCCTCTCTACACATACCCACCATTATACCTTTGCTCAGACGGCACCTCCATTTACCCCTGTTCCAGTTTGGGCCCCAGCATCTGTCAAGACGGCAACTCGCCTCTTCATTCTTAGTGGCTACAGTACACTTACCCCAGCAGCCGACACCAACATCGCAGCCCCCACTGCAGACCAATTCTTCTTTCTCGATCTTGCAAAATCATGGACGAGCTCGGCTCCCGCATGGACTTTGGTCACCCCAGCGAGTACTGGTTTGGCCAATCCCCAACAAGTCAACTTTCCGGGGACATCCTCATCCGACCAAAAAAAGCTTTACTTCTTTGGCATCCCCGGCCCTAACTCCGTCTACCAGTTTAATCTCGACACTGCACAATGGTCTCCTGCGAAAGCCTCTTTCCTGGAACCCACTCGAAAAGGATCTGGGACTGTGACAGACCCTAGCACAAACCTGGTTTATATGGCAGGAGGATATTCAGGTACCAATTTGATGAACATTTGGAATCCTTCAACGGGTCAAATCTCCAATATGAGTTTGCCGAATCCTCCTGCCTTTCCGTATAGAACATACTACACCAATGTATATTGTCAGGCGAGACAGAGCATTTTGTATTTCGGTGGTGTTGGTTCAACGATTGTCATGGCCTATGTGACAGAGTTCCGACCAAAGCAGGGGACGTTCACTACGCTGGTAAGTAAACAATAGTGTATACAAGGTATATTTGTTGCTTGGGCAATAAAAGAGGGTGTTGTATAGACCTATCTATGTTGGAAGGAATGGTTAGGACGTAGTAGGGATCGAGGGGAGGTGGCTACGGAGATGGTGTCTTTCTAATGGGACTCGATGATTGCTTTGGATTAACTGTTTGTATTTGTCTGAATGATGCTAATGTATGTTTCCCGCCGTTCCTTATTTATACTACCAGACTACTCCAGGAACTGCTCCCTCGGCAAGAGCAGACCACTGCATGGCAATAAGTAAGTTCTGCTCTAACGCAATAATAAAAAAATCCTCGCCTCATCGAACGAAACCTAACATGGATCGATAGAAAAAAAACAATATTGCAAAAAAAACTCATTACTCTATTCTTCATTTGGCCTCGTCTCCTGTATCCATTCTTCCTTTTCCGACGTTAGACGATGACAGCACAAAGCTAATCGTATTCGGAGGACATGGGCTGCCACAGAACAGTCCGACGAGCAATGAGATATTCATCCTCGACATCCCCACTCTGACTTGGAGTTCTGGTAGTCCTAGTCCTCAGCCCCAGGTGTATGCTGCCTGCGCTATTGCCGGAGACCAGTTCATTGTCTGGGGTGGGCTCTATTCTGACACCCAGATAGCCTCTACAGATGTGCACATCTACAACATAACATCCAATACCTGGATCAATCAATACACAGCACCAGCAGCCTACCAAAGTCTGAACGTACCACCAATACCCAATGTCAAATCAACGACCATATCATCAGGACCTTCCGGGACAGGATCAGCAAATCCTTCCCTAGTATCTGAAACGGGAACAGGTCAATCCTCGGACGTTGGTGGCATTGTTGGTGGAGTCGTCGGAGGTTTGGCTGTGATTGCAGCTATTGCAGGATTTCTATTCTACCGACGACGACGGATTCACCGAGTACCCTCTCCTTCGGATCCGGTTAGGATCGTCGATAAGGAAGTGATCGAGACTAGAGATTCCAGTCCCAAGCCAGGAAACAGTAGCGGACTACGGGAGATTAAAAAGCACAGTCCTCAGGCCATTACGATCGAAGGAGCACGTATACCAGACCGGTACCAAGGCCCACAGGCTCTCGCTAGCGAATCAAACAATTCGAGCCACTCGCTCGATATGAGATTGAAAGGGATCGACAATCAGCTTCAACATTTGGAACTCCAACGACTACACCTGATCCTGGAAGAGCAAAAGGCTCAACTTCGAATGGAAAACTCGAGACAAAACCCTCAAACCTTCTCATAGCATGGAATGGTTTAACAGTATCTCCCTCCCCCCTCCCCCCTCCCCCCCCCAAAAAAAAAAGAAAAAAAAAAAAAAAAAAAACTACTTAATGAGCTCTTCAGGTGCTGCTCTCACCACCTTTTCATGTAACAAGTCTTTCCAACTGAACAAGTAATAAAACAACCATTGCCCCAACCTCTTTCCCTTGCCCCTGCCTTCGGTATTACATCTCTGTAATCCTGAGGCCTTGGAACTTGTTTTAAGGCCCGCCTAGCGAGATGGATGATGATGTAGGTCTGCAAATTTAAACATATCTCGAGTGCGGAGGTGTCTACTGGACGACGCATCTACTCAAGCCTTGGAAGATTTTTTCCGCAAGAGACAATCAACATGCTTTTTGGGAGGCCTACAGGGCGTTTCGCACGGCAATAGTCGCCATCTAGTGTGCACCTTATGCATGGTTTGAGGGATTTCGGGTCAGAGTATAGGTGACAAGGTACTTACTCATCTCTCTCTCTCGTGCAATAGGAGAAAATAATTGAGAGCAACGACCGACTATCATGGATGCGCGCCATCAAGGACACTGAGGACAAATTGGTGTCTTGGGACCATCGACAAATTAAAGGAAATTTGTGCAACGAGCTCGACCGCCTACACAACAAACACAGCCGCGACATCGCCAAGTCCGTCCTTGACATTTTGAGATTATCCATGGACATGCAGTTGCCGTTTTTGATGAGCCTTTCGTATTAAAGGCTGTTGAGAATTATTTTGTTGCCATGGACCCTTATTTCAAGACTGTCATTCGAAGTCGCATGAAAGACTCGATATCTGCTACTAACCAAGGACATATATTTGAGCGGTTCATGATGAGCGCCTTCAGCGAGACGTTCGCCTCACAACCTCTTTCCGAGTGGCCCCATCAGCCGTCCATCTCTAACATGTATCCAGCTCTCGTCGGCAAAGTGGAGATTGTTGGGTGGAGGGAGCCTGGACTCGAGCAAGGGACTATACACAAAATGATGTCGATGGGGACTTTCATGGATGCGCATGCCAACCACAGGTCAGTTCTGAACGATAAGCCTGTACCCCCGTTTTTCTTTCCCAAGGCCAAGCCGTCGGGACCAGACTTGGTGTTCTTTATCAAGATCGACGATTGTAGGATAGTGCCTGTTTTCGTGCAGATTGAAGCTGCATCAAGGATCTTCCACATTTTCTGACCGCGACTGGATCGATGCCCTCAGCACCTTCTCGGCGACCAAGATTGAGAGCCATGCAAAGGGCTTTCGCAACTATCGTCGAGACAAGGTTTATATCAGCATGATTGTTACATACCCTACGAGGTTGACCTGCAAGCTACCGGCACTCTCAGAGCTCCCAAAAGTCACCAGTGATATACAGCAGGTCAACGTCAATGTAGGCGATGAAAATTTCGGCGACATTTTCCCAAAGGAGCATGTAAAGTTCATCGATAGACTCAAGAATGCAGGAAAACGCAATGCGGGCGGATGATGATGGTAGCGACGACGACGACCACTTTAAAAAGCGTAGGAGTTGAGATGAATGCCTTTGCATCCTGTTGCATTGTCCTGTAAATAATAATTAACCCTCTCAGAATGGCTGGCTTGTCCTCATCGTGAATCTCGACAGCTTATGTCTTGACTGCTCTCACCAGAGCCCTGAACCGAGAGTCCGCTGAGCAGACAAAGTGGATCGTTTTTTTGACGTACTGGTCTGTCTCCGTACTGGTCTATCTCTCCCTCACAAACTATTGAGATTTGTGCTGTTGGGAGTGATGGCGAATAAACGAATGAACAATAGCAAAAACGGAAAGACGAGAAAGAAAAGTGAAGTTTTATTGAGGTACGCAACTTGCTTTTATAGTCGCAAGTTGTGTTCACAAATCTTCGTCAATCGAAAAAAGGAAGCTGGCTAACAGTACCCACTGGTGAGGAGCTGTCAAAGCACTCCAAATGATAGCTGCTGAAAAGGTAACAAAAAGGAGAGGACAAGAGGAGGGAGGGGAGGGAGGAGGGGGAAATCTTTTCTTGTTTCTTCAAAAGGCAGAAGGTAGAGTGGTGCAAGTCGAGTGAGAGAGAAACAATAACAATATCAATTGAGTGCGTGAATGAAGAAAGGAGAAGAGAAAAAAGACAATTGGTTTTACAGTGCTCCAATCAATTGATCAACCAATACGCGATTTTGACGTTTTTTTTTGAAATGCTCATCCATCAATGTTCTGAGCAACCCCCAGATTCCTGTCATTCATTCTCTTGATTCGTGACCTCATTCATCACCACTTTTCTTTTTTTTTTGCATGAACCGACGTCTGATCATCGCTGGAATTGAAATGCTTGATCTTGGTTGATCAATTAATTGGATCGCATGTAGTGGCGAATGATTTCCATGTAAATTTTACATGGGTTTAGCACGGAACAAACTGTTTTTTTTTGAATACTACTATGTCAATGCACTTTCTTCAGGCAAACTGAAAGCAGTTCCATACAGAGTACATCAAGTACGATCTTAAGTTTTTTGATGTGCGAAGCCAGCTATTCTCAATAGAGTGCAATATCATGACAAAATGTGAAAATCGTACTAGATCCTTGTAACAAAACATTCAACGATACCTTCTGTAAATGATATAAACGCTTTGTGTATAACCTATTTTCTAGATCAGATAACATGTCCTTTGTATGGAACTGCTTTCAGTTTGCCTGAAGAAAGTGCATTGACATAGTAGTATTCAAAAAAAAACAGTTTGTTCCGTGCTAAACCCATGTAAAATTTACATGGAAATCATTCGCCACTACATGCGATCCAATTAATTGATCAACCAAGATCAAGCATTTCAATTCCAGCGATGATCAGACGTCGGTTCATGCAAAAAAAAAAGAAAAGTGGTGATGAATGAGGTCACGAATCAAGAGAATGAATGACAGGAATCTGGGGGTTGCTCAGAACATTGATGGATGAGCATTTCAAAAAAAAACGTCAAAATCGCGTATTGGTTGATCAATTGATTGGAGCACTGTAAAACCAATTGTCTTTTTTCTCTTCTCCTTTCTTCATTCACGCACTCAATTGATATTGTTATTGTTTCTCTCTCACTCGACTTGCACCACTCTACCTTCTGCCTTTTGAAGAAACAAGAAAAGATTTCCCCCTCCTCCCTCCCCTCCCTCCTCTTGTCCTCTCCTTTTTGTTACCTTTTCAGCAGCTATCATTTGGAGTGCTTTGACAGCTCCTCACCAGTGGGTACTGTTAGCCAGCTTCCTTTTTTCGATTGACGAAGATTTGTGAACACAACTTGCGACTATAAAAGCAAGTTGCGTACCTCAATAAAACTTCACTTTTCTTTCTCGTCTTTCCGTTTTTGCTATTGTTCATTCGTTTATTCGCCATCACTCCCAACAGCACAAATCTCAATAGTTTGTGAGGGAGAGATAGACCAGTACGGAGACAGACCAGTACGTCAAAAAAACGATCCACTTTGTCTGCTCAGCGGACTCTCGGTTCAGGGCTCTGGTGAGAGCAGTCAAGACATAAGCTGTCGAGATTCACGATGAGGACAAGCCAGCCATTCTGAGAGGGTTAATTATTATTTACAGGACAATGCAACAGGATGCAAAGGCATTCATCTCAACTCCTACGCTTTTTAAAGTGGTCGTCGTCGTCGCTACCATCATCATCCGCCCGCATTGCGTTTTCCTGCATTCTTGAGTCTATCGATGAACTTTACATGCTCCTTTGGGAAAATGTCGCCGAAATTTTCATCGCCTACATTGACGTTGACCTGCTGTATATCACTGGTGACTTTTGGGAGCTCTGAGAGTGCCGGTAGCTTGCAGGTCAACCTCGTAGGGTATGTAACAATCATGCTGATATAAACCTTGTCTCGACGATAGTTGCGAAAGCCCTTTGCATGGCTCTCAATCTTGGTCGCCGAGAAGGTGCTGAGGGCATCGATCCAGTCGCGGTCAGAAAATGTGGAAGATCCTTGATGCAGCTTCAATCTGCACGAAAACAGGCACTATCCTACAATCGTCGATCTTGATAAAGAACACCAAGTCTGGTCCCGACGGCTTGGCCTTGGGAAAGAAAAACGGGGGTACAGGCTTATCGTTCAGAACTGACCTGTGGTTGGCATGCGCATCCATGAAAGTCCCCATCGACATCATTTTGTGTATAGTCCCTTGCTCGAGTCCAGGCTCCCTCCACCCAACAATCTCCACTTTGCCGACGAGAGCTGGATACATGTTAGAGATGGACGGCTGATGGGGCCACTCGGAAAGAGGTTGTGAGGCGAACGTCTCGCTGAAGGCGCTCATCATGAACCGCTCAAATATATGTCCTTGGTTAGTAGCAGATATCGAGTCTTTCATGCGACTTCGAATGACAGTCTTGAAATAAGGGTCCATGGCAACAAAATAATTCTCAACAGCCTTTAATACGAAAGGCTCATCAAAAACGGCAACTGCATGTCCATGGATAATCTCAAAATGTCAAGGACGGACTTGGCGATGTCGCGGCTGTGTTTGTTGTGTAGGCGGTCGAGCTCGTTGCACAAATTTCCTTTAATTTGTCGATGGTCCCAAGACACCAATTTGTCCTCAGTGTCCTTGATGGCGCGCATCCATGATAGTCGGTCGTTGCTCTCAATTATTTTCTCCTATTGCACGAGAGAGAGAGATGAGTAAGTACCTTGTCACCTATACTCTGACCCGAAATCCCTCAAACCATGCATAAGGTGCACACTAGATGGCGACTATTGCCGTGCGAAACGCCCTGTAGGCCTCCCAAAAAGCATGTTGATTGTCTCTTGCGGAAAAAATCTTCCAAGGCTTGAGTAGATGCGTCGTCCAGTAGACACCTCCGCACTCGAGATATGTTTAAATTTGCAGACCTACATCATCATCCATCTCGCTAGGCGGGCCTTAAAACAAGTTCCAAGGCCTCAGGATTACAGAGATGTAATACCGAAGGCAGGGGCAAGGGAAAGAGGTTGGGGCAATGGTTGTTTTATTACTTGTTCAGTTGGAAAGACTTGTTACATGAAAAGGTGGTGAGAGCAGCACCTGAAGAGCTCATTAAGTAGTTTTTTTTTTTTTTTTTTTTCTTTTTTTTTTGGGGGGGGGAGGGGGGAGGGGGGAGGGAGATACTGTTAAACCATTCCATGCTATGAGAAGGTTTGAGGGTTTTGTCTCGAGTTTTCCATTCGAAGTTGAGCCTTTTGCTCTTCCAGGATCAGGTGTAGTCGTTGGAGTTCCAAATGTTGAAGCTGATTGTCGATCCCTTTCAATCTCATATCGAGCGAGTGGCTCGAATTGTTTGATTCGCTAGCGAGAGCCTGTGGGCCTTGGTACCGGTCTGGTATACGTGCTCCTTCGATCGTAATGGCCTGAGGACTGTGCTTTTTAATCTCCCGTAGTCCGCTACTGTTTCCTGGCTTGGGACTGGAATCTCTAGTCTCGATCACTTCCTTATCGACGATCCTAACCGGATCCGAAGGAGAGGGTACTCGGTGAATCCGTCGTCGTCGGTAGAATAGAAATCCTGCAATAGCTGCAATCACAGCCAAACCTCCGACGACTCCACCAACAATGCCACCAACGTCCGAGGATTGACCTGTTCCCGTTTCAGATACTAGGGAAGGATTTGCTGATCCTGTCCCGGAAGGTCCTGATGATATGGTCGTTGATTTGACATTGGGTATTGGTGGTACGTTCAGACTTTGGTAGGCTGCTGGTGCTGTGTATTGATTGATCCAGGTATTGGATGTTATGTTGTAGATGTGCACATCTGTAGAGGCTATCTGGGTGTCAGAATAGAGCCCACCCCAGACAATGAACTGGTCTCCGGCAATAGCGCAGGCAGCATACACCTGGGGCTGAGGACTAGGACTACCAGAACTCCAAGTCAGAGTGGGGATGTCGAGGATGAATATCTCATTGCTCGTCGGACTGTTCTGTGGCAGCCCATGTCCTCCGAATACGATTAGCTTTGTGCTGTCATCGTCTAACGTCGGAAAAGGAAGAATGGATACAGGAGACGAGGCCAAATGAAGAATAGAGTAATGAGTTTTTTTTGCAATATTGTTTTTTTTCTATCGATCCATGTTAGGTTTCGTTCGATGAGGCGAGGATTTTTTTATTATTGCGTTAGAGCAGAACTTACTTATTGCCATGCAGTGGTCTGCTCTTGCCGAGGGAGCAGTTCCTGGAGTAGTCTGGTAGTATAAATAAGGAACGGCGGGAAACATACATTAGCATCATTCAGACAAATACAAACAGTTAATCCAAAGCAATCATCGAGTCCCATTAGAAAGACACCATCTCCGTAGCCACCTCCCCTCGATCCCTACTACGTCCTAACCATTCCTTCCAACATAGATAGGTCTATACAACACCCTCTTTTATTGCCCAAGCAACAAATATACCTTGTATACACTATTGTTTACTTACCAGCGTAGTGAACGTCCCCTGCTTTGGTCGGAACTCTGTCACATAGGCCATGACAATCGTTGAACCAACACCACCGAAATACAAAATGCTCTGTCTCGCCTGACAATATACATTGGTGTAGTATGTTCTATACGGAAAGGCAGGAGGATTCGGCAAACTCATATTGGAGATTTGACCCGTTGAAGGATTCCAAATGTTCATCAAATTGGTACCTGAATATCCTCCTGCCATATAAACCAGGTTTGTGCTAGGGTCTGTCACAGTCCCAGATCCTTTTCGAGTGGGTTCCAGGAAAGAGGCTTTCGCAGGAGACCATTGTGCAGTGTCGAGATTAAACTGGTAGACGGAGTTAGGGCCGGGGATGCCAAAGAAGTAAAGCTTTTTTTGGTCGGATGAGGATGTCCCCGGAAAGTTGACTTGTTGGGGATTGGCCAAACCAGTACTCGCTGGGGTGACCAAAGTCCATGCGGGAGCCGAGCTCGTCCATGATTTTGCAAGATCGAGAAAGAAGAATTGGTCTGCAGTGGGGGCTGCGATGTTGGTGTCGGCTGCTGGGGTAAGTGTACTGTAGCCACTAAGAATGAAGAGGCGAGTTGCCGTCTTGACAGATGCTGGGGCCCAAACTGGAACAGGGGTAAATGGAGGTGCCGTCTGAGCAAAGGTATAATGGTGGGTATGTGTAGAGAGGGCAAGTATTAATGTGAAGACGAGGAGGAAAAGGCGAGTCGACGCCTTGGTGGCGGCCTTGGATAGAGCTGTCATTCAGGGGTGATATCAGCACGGGGGAGACAATAAACAAAAGGGAGAAGAGAAAGAAGGAAGGGAAGAACAGGAAGAATCGTTGGTAGGGGGAGACTGAATAAAAAAAAAGGGAGGAGAAAGGAAGAACAGGAAGAATCGTTGGTAGGGGGAGACTGAATAAAAAAAAAGGGAGAAGAGAAAGAAGGAAGGGAAGAACAGGAAGAATCGTTGGTAGGGGGAGACTGAATAAAAAAAAAGGGAGAAGAGAAAGAAGGAAGGGAAGAATAGGAAGAATCCTTGGTAGGGGGAGACTGAATAAAAAAAAAGGAAGGAGAAAAAGAAGGAAGAAAAGAAGATGAAGAATGGTTGGAAGGGAATTCAGGCACTTCCCTTGGGGAAAGCTCAAGGCGAGAAAAGCGCTGGGGATACCCGCATGATTGTATCTGTTTCAAATCAAAACGCATGTCAAAACAGAACCATAACCACGCCTGCAAGTGGGTTAATCTTCTAAACTTGTACATGCACCTTTGACTGGTGTGAGCAAAAAAATAAAAAAAATAGTAGATCTCACCTCCTGAGTCCAAATTTTCTAGTCAACACAAAACAAAAATGACACTGTTGCTAATCGATGCAACTCAATACCAGTTTATAACCTATCCTTATCTGTCAACATTACAGTTGACTTCAGTAGCCTGAAAAAAGTATTTTTGCTGTGAGAATCTCTCTGCTACAGCGACATCCATTTCTTATTGCGGGGTGTTTTGAAATAGAGAACCTTTGCGAATTTGATCATTTTTCATTGTATTTATTATTCGCTTGCCTCAAAACAGAGACACAACACAACAACAAAAAATGCGCCTTGTCAGTGAAATAAGGAATAAGAGTGGCGTGATTTCGGAGGCCCAACTTGAGGGTTGGAGGCCTGCATGCATGTCAACAAACTCAGAACAAAGAAATCTTTGGAGGCCTTCTGGAGGCCTTTGGAGGGCAGCAAGTCGGACTCTCATGCATCTCCTCACCCCCTCTTCCTTTCTTCTCAAATCTCATCTAATTGTTTGCGTACATTTCAGTCTGTTGTGGTCACATTTGGCTCAATGCTCAATCTCTGGTCATTATCAACCCTCAGACGGAGGAATACTACACATGCATAAAAGAAATTTTTTCTTCAGTTAGACATCCTTCCTCTATTTGCCCGACCAAGGTTGTTTTGCTGGGCGGGGCGAGGTCGAATCATAGATAAGCCGGGTGTATATACTCCAAGTGAGCGTTGTAATTCTTCCTGGTAGATAGATATGATATGTTATTTCTCCTGATATACTCGTTGGGTCGTGCGACTGAAGGCAAGGTTGTGCTGGTTCAGAGTAATCGAAAGAGAGTCTTTAAGCGAGTTTGATTGCTGTTCCATTGCGTTCCCAATCTTGGCCGATATGGTTTTCTCGAGAAGTTGGAAATTGCTGTCCATTGTCGACTTGATCTCCTGAATAAACGCTCTCATGTCCGACCTGGCACCTGCAAAGCAGTTCGTCACCTTGGAGTCCAGATTCCGAATTCAGTATGAATGGCGGCCGAGATTAATAAGCCGGTTAGTAAATAATTGCTAAGCCCTTAGTAAGCATATAAAACATTGATTTTCGGCACATAAAAAGTGCCTATCTCCCATAGCTGGAAAAGATAGAAAGCGAGAGTTCCGAGAGGGCACAGCTCAACATCGACATTCCTGATTGAAACGCCATATGTAACGCCCCCTGAGCGCAGGGTCTTTCCTTGTGTCATAACAAGGACAGTCGCAAAGGTACGGGGTTGGTCAGAGTTCTTCATCATTATGGGGCTGTTCAGGTCTGAGAAGGCATGGAAGTTGATATGTGGGAGCTTGGCGAACCGATTATTCTCGCCTCGCATCATCATAAAGTGGGACCAGGAGGCCATTAGTCTGTCCTTGAGATCAGTGACCTTTTAGCGCTTGTGGTGCTCCTCCTGGTATCGATGTGTCCAGTTGGTTCTCATGAGACGTTGCAGCCTTGCCACCTCGCCTCCATCTGCCGCGTCGATAGTAGAGCACTTCTTGGACTCGAACTTGGGGTTCCCTGCGATCCGAATCTTGAAGGTGTTGATGAGCGCTGCAAGATCGGGACCGGTTCGAGGGTAAGGTTCGTATTTCATCCCATCGGCTTCACTGGTTTGTTGTCTAGTGAAAAGGTCGGATGCGGTGCACATGTAAGCCTCCACTGTCTTCATGCTGGGTGTGTCAATATAATCCTCAAACACCTCCACCATCTCCCTCTTGCTCTGCCATTGCTCAACAACTCCAACTCTGCGCTTCTTCTTCGCGAAAAACGGAATAATGGCTTTACTCGGATCGCCCCCCCCCATCTGTGCTGTATTTCTGTAGACCCTCCGACATGTAGAAAGTAAATCGAGTGTACTCTACTCGGTCGTCTACTTCCTCTACTCCGATTTTGTTAATGTTGGTCCTATGATATCCTTTTTGCTCACAGCATTCCTATCGAAAATGGTAAGCAACAACGATTAAAGGGTGTGAGCTGTGGAGTAAGGCGGGGAGGAAAACCAAGAATGAAAAGGTCTCATCGATTACCGTACCCTCCAATGAACCTGGTATCGGGAGTAAGCAGCTTTGGTGTTCTTGGAAAACTGTTGTCCACGCGCTTCTTTGGCATTGTAAACGGCGCAAATTTCGTGGAACTTCCTCTCGATATCCGCCACATTCTCCGGTGTAAGCTCCAGTCTGCCTGGGTCGGTGCGCCTGACTTGGGCCCATTTATTTTTAACCAGTCCTGCCTTCTTCTCCGCCAATTGCATACAGATGTTGAACTGTTCCGGGGTCTCCTCCATCCAAACAACGCATCTTTTGTTCCAGAATAATCTACTCCTCTGCCTCCATGTTCGCCTCCTTTGGCAATGCTGGTGTAGTTTCTTGGCGCGACGAACAAGAGCTCTGGAGGATGCTATAACCTCTGGCTATCGTAGGGGCAACAATGAAGCAGTACCGCTCGCGTTGTCCTCATCGTCGTCTAGGTCGTCGGCAGACTCATTATTGTATCGGTTATTAATGAATCCTTTGTTGTCCATTGCCAAACTATCAAAGATAGCCTCGTCCATACGGAAATAGTCGACCTGTTCCCCAGTTAAAAGTGACCAGATCGGGATGGCATTGGAGCTGCCCTCTCCATTATCTATGGTAAATTGAAAGGAGGAGAGGGGGGTATTAGCGAAAATGCAAATACAGATACAGCGCAACTGTTCGTTCCTGCCTCTTACCATTGCCGAGCCCTTTCTTCTTTCTCTTTGTTCCTTGAGTGGCAGGTTGGGACAACGATGGCGAAGGAATGGAGTTTGAGGAGGATAGCAGAATGAGTGCATGAGAAGCCAATGTGCTTAGTTTATATTGTTTGTAAAAGGGACGAGAGAGGTGGGTAGGAGAGTGGAGGATGGGAGGTGGTAGAATAAAGAGAAGGTAGTTCTAACACGAGTAAAACAAGACTGAGTCTCTCCAGGGGCTTTTTTTTGCCTGCGGTGCAATAGGTCCAATGGTTTGAGCCATCCCCTGCTGGTGGAATGATTTTCCCTCTGGTCATATAAGTCACCGCGGTATTATTTCTCTTATTCAAAAGGTATGTACAATCAATTCAGTTGGCTCATTTTCCAGCTAAAAAATGATTTCTGAATGGCGGATAGTCGACGCAACACAGGGGTATTCAGTTTGTCCAATTGAATCGTTTATTTCGTTTTTTTTTGCAAACAATCCGCTTACTATGGGTGGTCAGGCAAACAGGCCGTTAAGAAGAATTTATTTCTATTATTCTGTCGAAGGAAAAACTATGTTGGTCCAAGAATATTGGCGTAGCCTACATCTTCGCCAGCATCCTCATCTTCATCCTCATCCTCATCATCCTCATCCTCATCATCCTCATCCTCATCCTCATCATCCTCATCCTCATCCTCATCATCCTCATCCTCATCCTCATCATCCTCATCATCAACTTGCTCCTCCTCCTTCTCCTCTTCTTCGCACTCTTTTAATCTCCTCCTACCCATTGTATTACCTTATTCTCCTCTCCCTCATCACATACTCGCAGTGACACTCTTACGTACAACAAAACAAATCGTTCTTGCTCTCCAGCCGTTTCTTTTTCAAATGGAGCCCCCGACATTCAATCGACGCCTTGGGCAATTCAGAACTGTGATTGATATCGAAAAGGGCTACAGTGAGCCCGACCAACAATACTCGCCCTCGGCTCGCACGACTGTCGGTGCTCCTCTCGGCGGTCTCAAAAAACTCTTCGACCACACAACAGATCCTATCGTCAGCGGGCGCTACACAATCAACCTTCGCCGCCTCTTCGTCCTACTACTGATCCTCATAGGCATGATTACACTATGGTTCGTGGCCATTCTCCCAGAACACTCTGCGGAAGGAACGGACTCGCTCATCCAGAACGCTGATGGAATCACTAATCAGGATCGTTTGAACAATAATGAGGACCATGTCAGCCCTCATACTGGAGCTCAGGATTCTGCTACGTATAGATATGAGCGTGTTCGCGGCAAGGGTGCTAGGACCAGTTTGAAAAAGATTCAGTTCAAGTTCCCTCCAGAGTCGGACCAGGATCGATTGCAACGAGAGAGCCGTTTACAAGCTGTTAGAGATGGATTCGAGCACGCCTGGACAGGTTATAAGGATCATGCATGGGGACACGACGAAGTCAGTCCCGTCAGCGGAGGATACAAAGACAACTTCAACGGCTGGGGTGCAACAATGATCGACAGTTTGGATACCCTTGTCATTATGGGCTTTAACAAGGAATTTGACGAGGCGCTGGAATGGGTCAAGACAAAGTTTACCATGACCAACAACCCTACCATCCAGCTTCCGTTCTTCGAGACCATCATTCGCTACATGGGAGGATTCCTTGGTGCCTATGATCTGACAGGAGAAAAGGTTCTGCTGGACAAGGCTGAGGAGCTCGGAAAGTACACTTTAAACGCTTTCCAGGGATCGGATTTCCCCAATAGTCACTTTACCATCGATCCTTCGTTTAGCGGCCGTGATGAGTCCTTTGTGCTTGCCGAGATCGGAACTTTGCAGCTAGAATTTTCTCGTCTTTCGAAGCTGACTGGGAATCCCATCTACGATCAAAAGGTACTATTCGAACAAAATAAGAACAAAAAAGCGGTTGGTAGGGGATGTGGAGAGGTAAGCATTTCTCTATATTGCTAACCTTGGTAGGTATTGGAATCTGCTTTTAGGCCCGCAAAATCTTCGACATCTTGGGTACCGCTATGCCCGAGATCCCTGGGTTTCTCCCTCCTAATGTCCAAGATGGTGAAGGTCTCAAGTATTCTAACTTCCAGGCATCTGTCGGCGGTATGGTTGACAGTTACTATGAGGTATGTTTCCAGAAGCCAGCGATTGACGAAAAGGTTAAAATAAGTCGGCGTTTTGTACTTTCCCTCACAAGCGCCCATTCTTTCACTTTCTGTATTTATAGTATCTTCTCAAGGAATGGATCCTGTTGGATGGAAAGGCAACCAAGTACAAGGAAATGTGTGAGTAATCACCACGTGGTGTGTCTTGTTTCCATGTGGTTTGAACTCCGTCTCTGGCTTTACACATCACTCTTCTCATTTTAATCAACCCAAACTTCCGCTTCTGAACGCTATATATTAACTTACTCCTTTCAAACAGTCGAGGAAGCCGTGTCCTCGATTAAGAAATACATGGTCATGACCCCAGAAGATGGATCGAAGGACTATGTTATTTTGGGCCAAGTTAACTCTACATCCAAGACAGTCGAACCTGACATGGGACATCTGGTAAGCAGCCCTTCAACGTGCTTCAACCTACCTCCAGTCAACTGCTGCCTACTTTTGCGATTTTTTTTCATGGAAATGACGCAATAAGGCGCAATACTTGTTAACTATGCGCATTCCCCTATCTGTCCACTTGTTAGGCTTGCTTCATGTCAGGCTCGTTGGCAATGGGATCAAAGTACTTTGGTCGCTCTGAAGATCTGCTTCTGGCCAGACAAGTTGCTCAAGGATGTTACCTTGGATACCACCACTCTGCCTCCGGATTGGCACCAGAGGCCGCAAGGTTCACTGAGTCGAGTCAACCTGGCAAGTTTGTTACAGACCCCCAGCACTTTTTCAGCCAGTACCGTAGCCGCATGGAATACATTCTCCGACCAGGTAAAACGGCGCTTTTAGTCTGTTTGTTGGAAAAAAAATGTTCTATTTGGCCATTGCCTTTAATGCTTATGCCACTTTTTATTAGAAACTTTGGAAAGTCTGTGGATTTTGTACCGCCTTACGGGGGAGAAGAAGTACCAGGATCAGGCGTGGGAGATCTTCCAGGTAATGATAAATTTTGTAATGCTATGTCAATGTCAATGCAACAACGAAGTATCCCCTTGGTTAGCGACAAGGGCAAGCAATGAATGATTCGTAAACGGACATGCTAATGTATATCCCTTTGTGCTTGTTTTATATGACATGCATAGTCGTTGGAGAGAAGCTGCCGTACTTCTATTGCTTACACTGGTCTCACGAACGTCAACAATGTCCACTCTAAGGATAACAAGATGGAGAGGTATGTCAAGAAATACATATTTTATAGGAGACTAAAGAACAAGTCAATGGCGTATGATATTAAACAATAAGTGAACACCTACTAACTCTTTGATGTCCCTATTTTCTATCACCGGCCTTTTAGCTTCTTCTTGGCAGAGACATTGAAGTATTTGTATTTGATATTCTCAACCCCGGATGTGATCTCGCTGGATGACTTTGTCCTTAACACTGAGGCACATCCACTTCTTAGAACCTAGAATTCCAGAAACCTAGTGTTGCGGATAAGTGCTACGAATGCAGGTTCCTTTTTTATTTTTTATTTGACGAAGAACCGTGCACTGAGACGAGCTACAAAAGCGAGTCGAGGTCGCAAATAAAGACAACAACTTTTTTCTCGTTACTTTCTCGCTCCCATTGTCATTCTCCATTGTGGCGACCAGAGACAGATGCTGTGTGTAACCTTCTTTTTATTATGGTTGAGAAAACAAAATGAGAATAAGATGGAGGGAACTATTGGATCTGGATTCCTACCTTATTTTTTCTCGCCCCTGGCAATATACTGAAGTTTTATGGACGTTAACAATGACGCACCCTCCCACCCCCCCCAACACACACGATTTCTATGCCCTCATCCACTCTCTCGTCGCTGAGGTCCAAGATCTCAAGGCCCACAAGGATCGAAACATCCCCTATACCTATACAGAACCAGAAGCGCCACTGCAGAAGCTCGTCTTCGACGAAACTCGTCGAGATCTCTACGTCAACGGTGTCTCGGCAGCAGAAGGCTTCTACAAGCGATCAAAATCCTCCCCAATAGCCATCGCCTCAACCACAGCAGAGATATCCAAATGCCTTTGGACTCTCCCTCAAAACCTTCATCAGACCTACTCAGCCCCTGCAGTTTTCGAGAAGTTTCCTGATCAATCTCGCGAAACGTAAGTCAACATGCCCTCTCCTCCCTTCGGTCTCACCTCGCCCACCTTACAAGGCCCATCGACAATCTGGCCATTGAAGTCACGGAGAACCACCGCGACTGGTCTTACCAAGATGGACAGGGCAACATCAATGAGGGACTTCAAGGATACAACTCCATCAACGATCTCGCCAACCATGTCAACGAGATCTATGAAGAGCGGACCAGCTCTTTTATCGCCACCCTTAATGACTACCGAGGATATTGTTACAAAAAGATGTGGTGGCTAGGCAGTGGCGGCGATGCCTTAGGTTAGCAGTCATATTCTTTAGTCGACATAGTATTAGTAGTGCGCCGAGCCCTCTTGTCTGCTCTTTGTCCTTTTACACATCACTTCTTGGACGAGAGCAGTATTGACAAGAGTTTCGCTGGCGCGCTGCAGGTAACAACCCCCTCTTTGATAATATGAACACAAGGTCTTTTTACATATCACTTCTTGGACGAGAGCAGTATTGACAAGAGTTTCGCTGGCGCGCTGCAGTGTATCGTTTCGTGTGAATCTTTTAGGACGCTATTATCACTTCCCCCCCCCCCCCCCCCCGTACCAATTGAGGACTTAACAGCGGTCCTACAACTCTGGCCGTAGACCCTCTCCCCTGAGTAACAATATCTTGCCGATCTCAGTCACCGAGTCTCGGACATTCGCCTCAACACTCGACAGAAACCAGCTGAGACAGCTCCTCTCTACTCTCTCGATGGCATCAAAGAGATCAAGGAGAAACAAAAACTCCTCGAATCTCTCGTCGGCTCCGTCCAATAACGTGGCAAGGGATGCAACAGAGGAGGAGGACGCATTTTCAACAACGGCGCCAACAACAACAACGCTGACAACAACAATGCCAACAACAACACCAATAACGGCAGTTCTTTTTCTCAGAACGGCCAAGGGGAACGTGGGTGATCCAGGGGAGGGAACCAACGCGGCCGAGGCGGATTCAACCAACAAAGGAACAACAACCGCCAACCACGACCCCAACAGCAGCAATAGCAGCATTCAGGTCAATAACAGCAGTAACAGCAACAACAGCAGCAACGGCAACAATAGCAGAAACAGACAACAAGCTAGTAAGAGATCGACCCCACCTTTACTCCAAGGCCTGGGAACTGCTTACAGACGAACAATGGGTCCGCTCCGTGGTTACCGAGTGCTACAAAATCCTTTTTCTCTCTCGCCCTCCAATAGCCGTACCCTGTTCATTCACACCCAGAGTCGCCAAAGACGAGGCCACAGTGATCGAGAAGGAAGTCATGGCCCTGCGCCGCAAGAAGGCCATCGAAGAGGCATCATCTCCCGGTTTCACCAGTCGCCTCTTTACAATTCCCAAGTCGACAGGGGACCTCCGCCCAGTACTGAACCTGCGCCCATTGAACAGGTACGTACCAGCACGCTCTTTCAAGATGGAAACGATCAAATCGGTTTGCAATATGCTGCAAAAGAACGATTACCTGACCAGCGTCGATCTTGCCAATGCCTTTCTTCATATCCTGTGTAATATGAACAGCTGGGAGAGTAAAATGGTGAGAAAGAAGCTGGGGGTCTTTATTGAGCCCTATGAGAATATATAATACTACTATCCTTAATAGAGAATGAGAAGTGAGTGAACAGACACTGAAATGGAACAGCTCTCCTCCCCCTGTGAGAACGAGGCACGAATTCGTGGACAAAGAAAAGCAATGTAGTGGATGGCAATGAAATGACTTTTTTTTTAAATAAAAAAACCCCCCTTTTCTTTAGTTTTTCTTGCAACTGAAAGCATACAATATCAATCAGTAAACTGTTGGGAATAATGTAATCGTGTCTGGGGATCCCGAGAATGAAGAGCAGACACAAGCGTGATGCATCTTCGTGGAGCTATTCGCCCAAAAAAAAAAAAAAAAAAAAAAAAAAAAAAAAAAAAAAACAACCGCTGCTGGCTGTCGTTCTCTCTCACCTCAATCCTGCTGTGAAGGTAGCAAAAGAGCACTGGACTAGTATCACTATACCCCTAGAAGCCTCCCACAAAAAATTCAAGCTGATTGGACATGACAAAGACCTCGAACGATCAAACGATTGTTTTTCCAGTGCCCTAGCTAATTACAAGCAGATATTAATCATCTCTTTTTCGGGTCCCAAGTAAACTTTTTTTCTACTAATCAACTGGTGCTGGGAAAGTGCCAGATCATTTCCTCGCGTCAATCTACCATCTATGCAAGCTGGAACCCCGAACAGACAAGGGTTTTTTTTTTTTTTTTTTTGGGTTTTCTCATATGGAAAGAGCAAATCCTCCAATATGGCAATGGCGACAAGCCCAATAAGGCAAAGCAAGGCAAAAGAAGGCAAAGGAAAGCAAAGCAAGGCAAAGCGTGATCGATCATGCATGCTAAGGGATTACTTGCAGTGTTACACAAGAATCGACCGATCACTCACGGAACGTGGCAGTATGTATTCATGCCTTTAGGTTGGGAGGCAACAACACTTCCCAATTTCTGTTTTACCATTGTCCCTTTGCTTTGTCATTTGTCATTTACTGTTTGCTGCTTTTCCAATTGTCATTTCTCCATTTTATGCTTTGTCAACAGGGATAACTGTGCGCCTCCTATGTCATTCCTTGAATTCTACTGTTAAGGGGATTGATCCCAGTCCCGAATGACTTGGTATATTGTTTTGACGGAGTACAGCGGAGATAGAAGGACAACATATTCTGCATGTGCTTACAGCAGAAAAAAGGAGAAAAAAGAAAAAATGCTGTATTGACTCACAGCGGGAAGAAGGAAAAAATATGCTGCATAGGCTTAAATGATATTAGTAGCACAGGTGGGGGATAGGAGATGAAGAAAGTAATGATGCAAACTTTCAGCGCGGACCTTCTCGACTTGACAATTTGGCAATGTACCCACCTATTTTTGGGCTATTTGTACCTCAGTGCGAAGGCTACACCATCTCTCGTATTGTTACCACCAGCAAATCGATGATGTCTTCTGCTGGCATTGGTCGCACAGAGAAGATTTCAAGGGAACTGACGAAAAAATCGAGGGTACTTTTCTGGAATGCAGTGCTTTTTCTCCACCTTTCACCCATCCGTCGATTGTTAGCTCATTCTTTTTGGGCGTCATATCGTTCTTTCACTCGAATCAATTGACCATTGGGCTAAACCTGCTGCACACAACTATTTTGCAAGCTCTCAACGAGCATGCAAAAAAGCAGTAACAACAAAATTAACAGAGTGACAATTAAAAAACTTGTGCCTTTTTTGTTTTTCATTTTTTTTCAACTTTTCCTTACTTCTTCTCCTTCACCTTTAACTCTACTCCTATCCAGCTTTTGTTTTTTCAGTGGTGTAAAATGCAGTAATGTCAAGGTCGAACGACAACCACGTCAGCATGAATATATCCGTAGCCTCCTCTGGCAGTCATGACGACGACAGAGGACAATAGTCAGACCGCAACCTCCACCCCGATCGAGGCAATTCGACCCACCAGTTCTGAGAACAAGCAGGAGCCAGCCACAACAGCGCTACTGTCGTATCAGCGGTAGCAGCAGTCACTGCGCATTGTTCCGGAAATTTTCAACCCTGAAAAAAGAACGAACGTACAAAAGAAGGTTTTCAATGTTCTGCCGTCTTGTGCGTGCTCGAGGCGAGGCAATGGGTTGCTCACCAATATTTTTCGCTTTTATATACAATAAAATAGTACAAGGCCACGATGAGTGCCTTCACAGCCCCGGGTGACTACTTCGCCATCTAGAGCGTCTCTGTCCCTGCTTCTAATCGGATTGGGAAGTGGACGAAACTGAAACTAGTTTTTACAAGAGTGAGTGTTTTTTGTTTGTTTGTTCCCCTCACCAAAAAAGAATAAAATAAACTGAGCAAAAAAATAATTCAGACCTAACCAATTTTTTTTCTTTTGCATTTTCTACCATTAAGAGCCACGGCGGCCGTATGGAGGTATCGGGCTTGTGGGAGGAATTAAAAGAAGACCAGGATGAGCAACAAGAACAACAAAGTAGGTAACAGAGGATGCTAAAAAAAATTATGAGTTAACGTGTGTGACGGGAAGGGAGGCTTTTGAAGGACTAATAATCGTATATCAAATATTTTGTTCTCTTACTCCTCCCAAAAAACACTCGGACAGTTCGCTTTCGATTAGACACAAAGATTCACATCAATTTGCGTTTCGAGTTTGTGGACCGGCTCAAGGGAGCCGACAATACCAGCAGCAGCCATAACATTATCGAAACGATCGATGACAATGCTCCAAAACCAGGCATGGCTTTTTATTCGGGATGAGACGTTGCGATCGCGAAGAGGAAGAGCAAGAGCAGCAGCAAGAACAAGAGCAAGAACAAGAGCAAGACGACCCCTCGATTCTCGCACTGCCCGTCACTCACATAGTCGACATGCCACTAACGCTCGTCCCGCCTTCTTACTGGGAGGACATTCAAAAGTTTCATATCTTGGCGACTGCGGTTTCTCAGGATGAAAAGACCGTGGTGAAAGTTTCTAGAAAGGACCGTGGGGTGAAGTTCTTTTTGGATCTATGGGATTTGAAAGGCTACCACTACTTCTCCGACAGCCAGAAGAAGAAAGATCTGATCAAGTCAAGACGACCAGTGGCATGGATAGCATGCACGATCGATGGAGTAGAAAGTCTCGACATGTCGTTCCTCGATGTCGCCTTGTCGAGCAATGGAGAGCTTGTGACTGTGTTTGATAAACCTCGCGGCACAAGTTCGTAGAGACGCATCAAGGGTGAGGAGTTTCCACTGAGAGTACTTCAACGCAAGACAATAACACCCACCGCAACAGGAGCAGCAGCAGCAGCAGCAGCAGAAGTTACGACGGTCAAGAAACAGGTGTCTGAAAAGGAAACGTCGGCAGTCAGTGGTGGTGATAATTATGCTGTCCCTCAGAGCAAAGGATTCAAGGAAGTTCAATACGACAAGGTATCGCCACTCTTTAATTTTGCCGGCTTTGAAAAGTTTCAACACCGTTCGGAGCAATGCAGCTGTGACAACAGGCAGTCAACAAATCCGAAAGAGTTTGTCCTAGTCACTTGCAGCGGTCGCTGCTTGGAGGTGTATGAGGCTCGAACAGGACTTGAGCTGCTCTACAGTCCTTAGAAAAACTTATTCAATGAATTGCAGTTTTTGACATTCAACTTTTCTCATTCTCATCCTAACCCTTTACTCTCAAGACTCACTCTATTGTTACACTCTCTCTTCTTCATTGTTCACGTGAAATCTCAACCAAAGTACTTTGTAGAATCGTCATCGACATCGCTTTAAAATAAATAATTTCATTGAATCAGTTTTTCTAATTGACCGAATCTGTTACATGCCCTTCATCTGCCGCGGTCATCAATACTTGGTGTTGCGTCCTTTGTTCTGAATCACCATCTCCAGGCGGTCGGGCATGCTCTCGTACAGTTTGTGAAGATACTCCGGCGGAATCTCCCTTCAGATCGCCTCCACACGTTTCCACAGTCTGTCCTGGTCCTCAGCCGCCTCTGGCTGCCGATTCAGCTCCTTTTGATGTACGACCAAACGTTCTCGATGAAGTTGAGGTCGGGCGAATTAGGTGGCCACTCAAGAACCTTCATCCTGGCCTCACAAAAAAGTGTACGGACTTGAGTGCAGTGTGTACGCGGGCAATGTCCTGTTGGAATATGAATTTCTTTTTGTGCATGCCTAGCCAATCGCGGGACTGACGAACACACCTTTGGAGAACATCGAGATAGGCATCCAAATCCATACTGCCCTCGACCCAACAGAGATCTCCGACGCCAGAATATCCAATGCAACCCCAGACCATTACTTTCCCTCCACCACCTTGCTGTTTCGGCCAAACTTGGTGAGGCAGGTATTGTTGTTGTTGGCGTCTGTGGTAGTAGTACTTCTTGTCGAAGGACCCAATGCGGCTGAAGATGCACTCATCAGAGAACATCACGTTCTTCCAGTCCTCGGCCTTCCAGTGATGGTGTTCTTCTGCGAATCTGAGCCTTTTGTGATCTGTTCCCGTGTGAGATTCGGCTTGTCTGGTGCTGAGTAGGCCCTGATTCCTTCCTGACGTAGATTCTTCTGTACAGCGGTGAGGTGGACATGCTCTCCCTCGGTTGATCCAACAAATTGTTGTCCATCCTTTAGCGATTTTAAATTGCCTTGAATGAGATGGCGCGCGAGATTCGTCCCTGTCGTTGTTGAGATCTTCCTAGGTCTTCCAGGATGAGGATCAGGGATGTTTTCCTTTTCCTCATTCCTGATCCTGATCGCTGATGAGACAGAGATCCGAAGGTTGATGCAACTGCCCTGGTCGATTTTCCTTGTCAAAGCTGTTCTACGGCAGTCTCTTTAATGGATCGTGTAAGAGGCTTCATGTTGATTGTTCGTTGAGCTGGGAATCGTTCGAAAGGTGAAGAAGGAGGAGCTGAAGGTGTGTGAAGGGTGAATCAGAGTGATCACAAAGCAAAAGCGCGGCAATAAAGAGTGAATGGATCTATGATGGTGAATTAGAAAAATTGATCCAATAGACGTCACGATCTAGAAAGATATAAGCAACGGCCTACGTTATTTATATTCTGAATTCGTATACGCATTACGATTAGGAAGGGGAAAGGTAGATTCCCGGCGCGTTTGGAGATTGTTGGTTGAGATGGACACAAGAAAAGTTGATGCATGTTGAAACCTGTGATTCATTGAATCAATTTTTCTAAACACTATACCAAGGGAGCAGTGAAATAAAATAAGGCGACGATAAAGGCAACAACCGCGAAGAAATGCGAACATACCGTGAAAATGCAGAACGCAGAAACGATCAAAAACGGAGCACCAAACATTAGGATCAGGGCATCATGGAAATGAAGATGCGCAAAACAAGAAGGCGCAGAGATGATGCAGAACAAAAAAGAAAGGGGAAATGATCAAGGGCCGAAAAGACCAAGGCATGGTGAAAAAGAGGGAAAGACGAGAGGGCAGAGATGGCCAAAGACGCTGAAAAAGTGCAAACTGATCAAAGGACGCCGGAAAAAGGAAAGGGCGAGGAATCAAAGGAAAGAAGGGAAGAGGCGATGTCCAAGTGGTTGAGAAAAAGAGGAAGGGTAGATATGGTCAGGGCATGCTGGAATAAAGGAGGGGGCGGGGCCTGTATTCGACACAATAATGTGTCGAAAAATTGTAATTTTTCAATTTACGCAGGTTTTCTCGACGACGGGCTAGGAGACCCCCCTTGACCTTGTTAATAAAAAAGAATCGGAACACAACAATACGCGGAACGAACTCGTTTGGGTCATTATAATCATCGTCGTCAATTCTGAATCCATTCATTTCCCTCTTCATCCCATTCCATTCTCTTGACCCCCATCCTACTTCGCCCAATCCTTCAATGAGCGTCCCTTCCACCAACAACTTTGACGACGACGACGACGACAGACCTTTTACTATCACTCGCACAACAGCCGATACGGATAACAACGACAACAACAGTAAAAACGAGGAGGAAGAACAAAGAGTAACCACATCCGCCCCTGTCACTCATCGATCAAGAAAGCAAGGGCCCAAACTGAAATTACCTCCCGCAGCCGACTTTGAGGAGCATGCTATGCCTCACTCCAGGAAGCCGCACACAGCACAAGCAACAATCCCACCGCATCCTCAATTCGGCGAACCTCTACAACCCTATTATCTTTTCTCTCTCTTCTTCTCGGACTCGGCTTTGAGGATATTGCCGTCAACACCAATGCCTATGCAACAAAAAAGGATGCAGGGAAATCGGGATCCTGCGTCTGGACCCCAGTAACAAAGCACGAGCTCCGTATCTTTCTCGACATCATCATCTACATGGGTGTGTTCGGCAAAAACATCACTCATGACTACTGGTCAGCTTCCGAAAAGTACCCCCAACACTCCATCAGCAAGTACATGAGTCTCTACCGTTTCCAGCAGATCAAACGATATCTCCATGTGTCACCCCTCAACGATGACCATGTTGACTAGCACACCAAATTGCGTTCCCTCTCCTCCGAGCTGCAGCAAGATTTTACCAGCCTTTTTCTTCCCTCCACCAATGTCTCTGTTGATGAGATGATTGTTCGATTCTCTGGACGAAGCAAGCACACCGTCAAGATGAAGTGTAAGCCAACCCCCGAAGGATACAAGATCTTCGCCCTTTGTCAAGCCGGCTACACCTATTCTTTTCTCTCCTACTCCCCTTCGACTCTATCATCGGTGTGACTAAGCTTCCTGACATGAGCATCACTTCCTCTGCCGTCGCCCACCTTGCTAAAACTCTCCCCCATTCCAAATACCGATTCAACATATACATGGATAACTATTTCTCCAACGTCGATCTCTTCAAGTATCTTCGCTCCCTCCAGATTTGCGCTTGTGGTACCGCCCGTGTCAGTTCAAAAAACTTTCCCAAGGCCCCAAAGGTTGACAAGACTGACGATCACGAATGGAACACCCTTTCCGGTGTCATTGTCGATAATGCCGTCCTTGCCGCCGTTTGGATCGACAATGCCCCAGTCAACTTGCTCACTACTTTCTACACTATCACAGGCGACTGCCGTGTCCCACGCACTCGATGGCGCCCCCGTATCACCAGCAGCAATGGGAAAGCCATCCGAGAGTACTTCCAAGACGCACCCTCAGCAGCCGTCGTCATTCCCAAGATCATCGACGACTACAACAACCACATGAATGGCGTCGACATCAGTGACCAGTACCGATCATACTACTGCACCCAATTGCCAGTGTGCAGAACATGGATGCCACTCTTTTTCTGGATCTTGGATACCACGATTATCAATGCCTACCTAATCCACCAAACACAAGGAGGAACGCTCTCACACAAGGAGTTTCGAATCGAAGTAGCATGGGCACTCATTCACGAGGGCACCAAAGGCGCTTCATCCCAGCAAAAACGAACTCTTCAGCACCACGAGGATCCCGCCAAAAAAAAAAAAAAAAAGGAATACAACAGTCCATATGTCACTGCAAAAACCGAGTTGCCCTCATGCCGCCTTCAGCCAGGTCCCCACGTTCCCATGAAGATTGAAGGACGACCAAACTGCTTTCTCTGTCGATACAATGCGGTCCCGGGCGGAGAGGATGTCAGAGCAACGACTAGTTGGAAATGTAAAACTTGTGACATCCCATTGTGCCTGACTAGTACACGCAATTGCTTCGAAATTTTTCATGAACTTCCATAGCTTCCCTCTCTTTTTCCCTTTAAGAGACCCCCCCACCATAAAAAAACGCAAGATACAATTGAACATGAAGAGATAATAAAAAAAAGAACTGAGGCCCCAGGGCTTGTGTGTGAAGAATGGGACTCGAACTAAGTAACCCTCTTTTTTTGTTAGTTATCGTCTGGGAGTGCATGAGCCCAGCACACAATTTTTTTTGACACAACATTGTGTTGAATTAAAGTACAGGGGAAGGGATAGTGCCTGAGCGGGGACAAGCATCCACCTCGTCAAGTAAAAAAGAAATGGAAGTGAACCCTCTAGTATGATTCATAACACTAGGGACGAAAAGGAAAGGCTAGAGACGGATGGTGTTTACTGCACAGAGGGCTAGGGTATTTATATGGGTAGTTTGCTAGAGGTAAGGGATGGAGAGTAAAGAATGGTGACAGAAAGGAATAAGGAATAGGGAATAAAGGACTGAGGAATGCAGACTGTGATAATGTAGCATGCACATATAAATACCCCGGCTCACCTGTACAATAAGCATCATCACTGACTTTGTCTCATGCTGTTGCAAGTATCATCCATTTCTTCCTTCTTTCTTACTTCTTCATCATACAACCGTTTAGCCTTCATACGCATATCCCGCACCAACCACCACCATCACGCATGACCATCGCCAGAGTCTTCCTAATCTCAATCGCTGCAGCTGTTACTCCATCTCTGGCGCTCCAGTGTATTGGAGACTTGAAACCATATTGCTACGATACCACTACTCTGACGCCGAGAGGCTATACAGGGATGAAATGTGTTAGCATGGGCGATGGTGGGTGTCCCCCTGTGCGGCGTCTGCTGTCAGCATTTGGAAAAGCGAAGTTGCATACTGTTGTGGATGCTCTCCCTTTGCCAACACTTACTTCCTGTTGCACGTCCTCCTGCTATTTGGTCCTTATCCTGCGTGCTTTCCGGGCATTTCTGTACCTACTGCTAAACGAAAGACGGAAAGAGCAAGAGAGAAAAAGGTGACTTGTGAGTCTTCTGCAGAGACTCCCCTTTGCCCACACGTACTTCCTGTGCGTCCTCCTCCTACCTGGTCCTATACGATCAGCGCAACGTCCTTGCCAGCACTTAATCTCTTCGAGTTCCAGTCCCCGCTCGCATCCTGTTGTCCCAATAGAGGAAAAAAAAAGAGAGTAGTCAATAACTAAGCCGACATGCAGTGCCACCAGCCGATACACTTGCCAAGAGAGAGATGTATTGCCGGCCTACAGTGTGCATGCGATACTATACCTTTTGATTACCCGCGTTCGCAGTCGGCAACCATTGTGTGCAAGCAGGCTACGACAGAGAGATGACTCATCTGTACTATGTAGCCCCACAGAGATAGGGCCATGTCACGGAGAACTGACCCATCACACCTGTGCTGTTGCGATGCGGACAAACCCCATAAGAAAGAAAAGTAGTGGATTGAAGAAGGAAGGGCGGAAGAAAAGGAGCGTCGCCAATAACTAAACGACGTGCAGCGCCACCAGCCGATACACTCGCCAAGGGAGAGATGTATTGTCGGCCTACAGTGTGCATGCGATACTATACCTTTGATTACCCGCGTTCGCAGTCGGCAACCATTGTGTGCAAGCAGGCTACGACAGAGAGATGACTCATCTGTACTATGTAGCCCCACAGAGATAGGGCCATGTCAAGGAGAACTGACCCATCACACCTCTGCTGTTGCGATGCGGACAAACCCCATAAGAAAGAAAAGTGGTGGATTGAAGAAGGAAGGGCGGAAGAAAAGGAGCGTCGCCAATAACTAAACGACGTGCAGCGCCACCAGCCGATACGCTCGCCAAGGGAGAGATGTATTGTCGGCCTACAGTGTGCATGCGATACTATACCTTTGATTACCCGCGTTCGCAGTCGGCAACCATTGTGTGCAAGCAGGCTACGACAGAGAGATGACTCATCTGTACTATGTAGCCCCACAGAGATAGGGCCATGTCACGGAGAACTGACCCATCACACCTCTGCTGTTGCAAGGCGGACGATTCCCAAGGAGAAAAATAACTGAGAAGGAAAGGCAAGAGGAGAAGGAAAAGGCAAGAGGAGATGGAAGGTAAGAGCATAAGGAGAATTGGGCCCAAAAAAAATGCGATAACTTATTTATTACGTCACCGTAGTAATTGGAGTATTTACTTTTCTGACGAAGAAGACGTCCCGCCAAGCATCCTAAGGCTCCCAATCCAACCTTAACTCTAAACCACCGAATTCAGCTTCCCCTTGCAACAACCACCTTCGCCATGGAGGATCAGCTTGCCACACCCAAACATCTGCAGAAACCTGAATTCGCCGAGCTCGTGTCATTAGGGGACCCTACAGGGGTGGGCTATGCCAACACTCATCCACCATCCCAGTGGCTCCCAGAATTTTTCTTTGGCCAATTAGCGGGAAACGCCAAAACATACATCTCCCTTCTCAGCACGCTGGAGAAACGAAAAAGACTCCCACAACCCATCGCTCTCTACGCCAAGGCGCTGTTTGACTACTACTCTTCAGAACCAGGAGCGACTCTGTTGAATCAAATATACCAGCGGTCCGTCACGAAAACCACTGACAACACATATGGGGCGTTGAAAAGGGCAGACTTGCTGCGGAAACACATATTAGATCCAGGCGCAGGTAAATAGTTTGGATAGCTTAAACCCTTTGAAAATGCTGCATTCCATACCTTTTTTTTGATGGTGATTGACGACTCGTCGCAACTTAATGTTCGATGCTTTACGTAGAACACAGGACCAAGAAGAGGCGCTCACCCAGCAAGACGACCACAGGCGAGAAGACAGGTCGGAATACTCCTCACGCTATCACAAGTCATGTCGATCAACAACTGGAAGTCGAGGAAGATGTGGCCGCCGAGCAAGACGAGCTGCAGGTAATTTTTGTGTGAGATATTTGCGCTTGAGTCTCAGGACTTTTATCTGATTGTTTTGCTCTTTTTCGTCTCCATGTCGGCTCTGTTACGTATAGGAGAACGACATCAACATTACACCTTTGGAGCACTTGTCATGTGAAGAGGTAAGTCTTCATTATAGGAGAGAGGAGAGAATGTGCATGTCCAACGTTTATTGTCTCGTACAAATATCTAAGCATAATGCGTATTTATTAATCTATGATTATTGATTTCTGATGTGACTTGTCGTAGTGGAATGTTGATGGCTCGTGCGTCATGTGCCTTTGCATGGACTATCAACTGGCGGCAACAGCGGCTCTCCGGAGTGGGACTCTGTTGAAGGCCAACACGGCTGACTACGCGTAAGGCCGATCTGTTATTTTTATTCTATTGTTTGATCCGTTTGAGACTAAATGCATATAATAATATGTCCTTTATTTAACGATCCATTATTTGAAACTATTTAGAATCCTCGCGGGAGTCTTCGTCCCTTTCTCTGCGACAGCATTGATGAAAAATGTCTTTTCAAGTTCCACGCTCAAGGCTATCCGAAAAAACGTGTCGATTAGCGCCCCAGATGTCGATATTGATGATTCAGTGGTCCAAACGGCCATTCGTGTAAGTAAACTAAACGTTTTACGATGCTGAAAGGATCACGAATTGCTGTTCGTATTTTGCTCCCACTAAATAACTCCTCCTATCTTATAGCTGCACGCAAATGGCCAACACGACGACGCGGCAGTTCACCTCCAGAATCTGAAAAACATGAGAATGCTGCAGCTCTTCGGCACCGCGTAAGTCACTCAGCCTTTGAAATCCTCTAGCTATATGGACGTGATAGATAACGCTGATTTCATTTAATAGTGACACAGCCATGCATTATTCGTATCTCGTTAAATTTAGGTTGAGTAATCTCCCCTTGCGTCCTATTGAAGTGTCGGAAGAAACACTAATAACGAACTATGTGTCCCCCCTCCTGAGAACATTCACCCACTATCCATCGGAGGAGATTATCGCACACTTGTAAGTCTTAATGAGATTCGATAGGATGCCGTTATATCTTTGGTTTTACCTCTCCGCCCGTCGCCCCGCTATAACCATTTTAACCATGCTTAAAAACATTTATCCTTTTTTCTTTCTGATAAGTCCGAATACGGCGTCCACGACTCAAGTTACCCTCAACATCAAGCCGGACCGGCCAGACTTCAAGGTGGCATGGGAGGATACCGAGATTGCGTTTGGTGAAGTGACCGGGATGGCTCAAAAGTCGGACAAGAGGAAAAATGGGTGGGATTTGTGGCGACTGCTGAGATTCGGCAAGGCGGCCCTGGAGGCGGGAGCTGCCTCGGTCCCCCTGGTACAGGTGGTCTACGATCTCGGAACTATCTGGAACATGTGCACACCGGTCCGTGGATTGTATATCGCGATTGAGATTGGACCATTCATGATGCCTACACATCTTTATGCAGTCGGAGGACTCCAAGCATCGCTGGCCCCTCTCTTGTGGCTTCAGGTATCATCTATTCGATTGGATTGAAGCAATTTTTTGCATATTTATTTTGTACTAGTTTACGCAGCGACCTTGACCGATTTGAAACCATTGTTTTTGATAGAAGGAAATTATTAAAGTACAGGACTCAACCCGCCGTCGGCGCTCGTGGAGAACCTCCGATATCGACAGCATCAAAGAGAGGCTCCATTAGATCAAGATCGTCCTGGAGTGTTGTATTCTCGATCACGTTGCTTTGATTGTATTGCTTCAACTGATATGTACCATTAAAAAGAATAACAATGCGTATAGCAACGACCATCGATCTTCTAAGCAAGTTTCTGAAGACCACGCAAATACTTTTAATCTCGCCGTTTTCAACGTTTAACAAAGCAAAGAACGAGGGTAGCGCGACCTCGCGAAAGAAGTGCGCACCACAAAGGCCTCCAAGTCTCAGCGGATCTTTTTTTTTTTTTTTTTTTTTTTTTTTTTTTTGGTGGTCGCTGTTTTACGAATATGCCCAACAACGTGAGAAAGGATTACAAAACAAAAAAAAACACTTGCAGATGGTGTTTTAATTACTATGCTACTTGATGGCTGGTTAGTGTTTACATGTCGTGGGGTCATCCTCCCTTAACTTTTTTGATACTTGTCTTCAGAATGCCGCTTGTGTCATTTTAGCTTGTCCAGAAACTCGACGTAGCGACGTGGGAAGATGTTTGGAAAGTTCTTGCCATCGATGCCGATCGACACACGCTGGAGGCCTTCAAGTTCAGGCGCAGGGTCAGGACGAACGACCTGGAACTGGACAACCTCAGCAGGATAGATGACTTACCATACTAATATATGTCCCAGTGACACTGGGCAGTAATTGTGGTGGTTGCTGTTGACCGCATGGGACACTTGTTGTCAGTGACTATTGACGCTATTTTCGTTGTTTCCTCTGCTCCTTTTCCAGTTGCAAGCGCTTTCTTGACGTCGCTTGGCTCAAGGACTTGTTGCAATTTCAACCACGGTTGACCAGTCAAAAATTTTCTTTCCCTCTTTTTTGTTCCACACCCTTCTTTTCGAGGGCAGTTGGACAAAAGCTGGGTATGACAGCCCATTGATCTTGACAAAAATATGTCCAGACTATCCATCTCGCATTCTCTCTGGGCCCCGGACCATCTCGGGGAGATATTCTTTCGGCGACAGGGTCGACTTGTGACTTTGTCGCTCTTGTTCGATCACTATAAAGTCGATTTGAAATGGCTGGATAAAATGGGGACGGGAAAGAATAGTAATTTTATTCAATTTGGCGAAGACAGGATCCTTTTAGTGATCCGGTCAAGCCACATTTGATTCTCAGTTCTTCAATTAGAAATGGCTGCTGCTTAACTGCAGCACCTAACCTTAACATGACCTTAGAGGGGCAAAAAGGAAGGCTCTACTATTGATCTGAAGATAGAAAAGTGGAACAAGGCCAAAGAAGGTGGGGATCTTGATTATCCGAATGGACCGCGAGCTAGGACTGAATCCGTGAGGATGAACCGGGAGGGAATTAAGGAGACTGTATATATGAAGTCCTGAAGGGGCGGAGTGCTGATAGTGAAGTAGACCCCGTGGTGTTGATGGTGCTGCTAAATCCATCGAAAGTGTTGACTATGTACCTCGATTCGCCATTAAACGATAGATCGGCCAGTTCCAATGCTGGTGGGTGGATCGATGACTGGTGGAAACGTGGGCAGGGAGAAAAGTGGATCTCTATGAGATCAGGGGTGGTGCGATAGTGTCAAGGATAGGATGAATGAGCCGGTCGGTGGTGGGCTTCCTTGTGCTACCCGATACGCATTGTGTTTGTTGTTGACAATGCACCGGGGTGGCGAAGAGATCCTGCTCTCAATGCTGACTGAGAATGGAACGGGCACATGGCTAGGACACGCCATCGGTGGCAATGTCTGTCGAGTCGCCTTTGCTGGTCAAAATAACAATCAAAAGAGTGGATCAAAAGAATATGAAAAAAGAGAAATGAAGCGCCTCGAGCCAATTGTTCGGTTCCGAATTATTTTATTACACTACGAAATGGTGGTCACTAGAACGGCACCAAAATACCACCCATAGGGGAGATCCCCATTTACATCACTCTATTGTTCGTCACTGAGCTTGACGGAGAGATACTTTTTGGTGGTGTGGCTACCGATTTGGAGGTAGCGGATATTAAGTTTGCCGATAAGAGTAACCAGCCCTCCCAATTTGTAGGCCAAGTCGTTGATAATGTCGTCGGTCGAAAAGTCAGCTGCCTTGAGGATGAACTCCTGGATGCCGTTGTCGAAGATGATTTTCTCCATCTCTTTTGTTTGCGGTTGCAGTTCGTCCATGCTGCTGGAGTTGGTGCTGCGCTGTTGACGTCCTCATGGGTTTCTCCAGACGTCACGTTTTCGTCTTCCGAGCGTGGCAGGTACTGGACGCGGTCGCTCGGCTGCTTGATGCCGCGTGCTTGGTGTCGGTGTTGATGCCCGGGCATGTTGGGGCTGGAAGCGTTGGTGTGGTAGGTTGTTTGAGGCAGATAGGGTGTTGTTTCCGATGGAAGGGGGATGATGGCTGCCGGAATACGTTCGTGGTAACCCTTTTTTGGGTGTGAGATGAAGGGTGAAATATTTTATTCAAATATCAGCCTCGTGTCTGAGCACAAGGTGAACAAGGGGTAGCCAGTGCTTGCACCCTAACCTAGTGTCCGGTCTTGAAACGGCGGTCCTGGTCCTCGTACCAAGGGTTGAATACCTGTGTCATCGGAATCGGTTATTATCAGAGACGAGCCACGTCAAGTTGGTGTCAAGAATCTAGTTGGTGGCGGAGGGCACGCGACAAAAACAAAATCCGGGCGTGTTCAACGAAATAAGGACAAAAGCAATGTAAGCTTCAACCTGACAGCCTGGGGCCTGGCAGCCTTTGGGCCAAACGTGGCAGTCCGAACAAAAGTCGTCGTCACCATCATGGACATCATCGTTGTTTTCTTCGTCCCAGTCGCCAAGCACGAGAACAGAGTCCTTGTTTTCAAATATACCCCAAGGCACTTCTCTACTCGATTGAACAAGAAACACAAGTGCACGAGCGACAAAAGTAGGACGTTAATATTAGATGAGCATGTGCAGAGGCATTGACGAAGCAACGGCTGACTTGTGGAATAATTTTGGTTATGCATAATGTACGGGGTGGTGGTGATAGCATAGTCTTCATCTTCCTCAACTCCCGACCTCTTCGAAGCAAGGGATCTGTCCTGACTTTCGATCTCCTTCACTACGCCGTTTGCTCTGTTTGATAGAAAGTAACAAGAGAGTCAATCCAAGGATTATCAGTAGGGTTGTTCAAGTAGATCAGCAGCCCAATGGCATCGCCTATACCTCCGTATGTGAGGACGTTGTGGTGGTAGTGGCGGAGGTACTGGAGCCTTGGTCGTCATCATCGTCGTCGTCGTCATTCAACAACGCGCACTTGTTTTTTCTGTTTAAGGAACAACGTCACTAAAAAAAGCAAGTGTTAGGAAATAAGCTGGATGCATAGCACGTCGGTATGTATATCAATAGCACTGCTGGCATCGTCCATAACTGGTTCGCAAGAGCCGTTTTGATCGTGGCTAATGTTTCTCAAATGCGAATGCGAATAAATGGATTTTACATTGGTTTTACATGATGCGAATGCGAATGCTACTTCGATTCGATTCGCATTTTACAGGGAAATAAAGGGTGCGAATAATTTCTGAGAAACACTGATCGTGGCGCGGTGGATGTGCTGACATATCCTTCCTCTTCCTTTTCTTCCTCTTCCTTTTCTTCCTCTTCCTTGTGTTCAATCAAGCTGCGTCTTGGACTTGTAAAAACGCCACCGAAAAGACAAGATGTAAGTGGCGAATGCTCTCGAAGTAGCATAAAGAGGTGTTGTTGCAAAATTGGGGAAGGTTCGATAACGGTCGAACAGGCGATCGTTGCGCCTGCAGTTGATATAGGTTGTCGGTTTGTTACTCCTTTAATAGAGACTAGGGTTGCTCAACGCGCACACACACTCACACACACACATAAAATGATGGTCAGCTAATCGTTGGTAAAAGTGTCTCTGAAAAATGGCGGGCTTCCCATTTTCTATATACACAGTATCTACATTGCTACAGTACGGTGAGGTAGACGTTGGGCAAGGGGGTATGGATTTTGTAACAGTATGTACGAGTGGTTCGGAAATGCCATGGCGGCATTCATACCTGGGACGATTGTTTTTCTTGTTTTGTAGAGCTTCAGCTGTTTTCCTCTTCTCTCTATTTAGCCAAAGCGCCACCAGGCAAAAGCATCAGCGATGGAGACTGCTCGACTAGGGTAACGGGAGGTATGCTATATGCGGAATAGGTGTGAATGGGACTTTGTTCAAACCTTTCGCGTGTGCGCATTATGTGGACTGGTTGTGCATCAACAAAGTCGTCATCGCTGTCTGGTGCTCGAGCTTGAACTTCAAACTTGCTTTGCAAAGCGCCACCAGAGAAACAAAGTGTTAGTGACGGAGGATCGCTTTTTAGGACATCAGGAGGTGCAACAAGTTGTCGTAGAGGGAAAGGGCGGTGTCGTTCGTACTCTTGCGAGTGCATTTGGGGGTTTCAAACCTTGACATTTGACGACGTTTAACCAAATGCACCATCAAGGAAATCCCCCAAGGAAATAAGTTTCCTCGAGGGCTAATGTATTTCGAAATGCTTCGATTTAGATGTGGATATGTCAAAGTTTGAAACCCCTATTGTGTGTGAGGTGCGAGTGAGGGTGTGAATGCATGAAGACAGCATGAGAAGCTTGGGAGAGCGTATGAACAGTGTGGGAGGAAGAAAGAAGCTAAAACAAAGAGAACCAGCCCAGCTTCGCCTTTATGTTCACATGCTAGAGTTTTGACTCTGTTTGTTTCATCAAACCTGTCCACCAAATAGACTTTTCTCTGTCTCTTTCTCTATCTCTCTCTGTATCGCTGCCTAAGAGACTCGTGTACAATCATGGAGCCTTATTGGGTATCGCTGTGCTTTTACCGGCGAGTTTGGAACAACGTCGCCTTCGTTGTTTCCTCAGCAAAAGTTGCTCCTTTATTCACAAATAGTCTAATTTTCGAAGGATGATACGTCGACAGGACACCAAGGGATTTGACGTCCAAAATGATGCTTGAAGAGATTGTTTCAACACTCAATGATTCCAACATTGGTCGCGAACCGGTTTCCAGGTAAGACGACTAGAATTTTGTACTGCCCTTGTCGCTTAGAACCTGGGTTTCATCCACCACCAGCCTCAACTTAGACTCGCTTGAGAAATTGGGATAGGTATGAGCAGCAAGACACTCTCGGACTGAAAGAAGTTCGTGTCGGACGATGGGCCTCAATGCTGACTCAAATATTGTAAGCCCTTCCAGCCTGTCACAAAGTATCGAGAGTAGTTCCGAGAAAACGTCTTGGAACATGCAAGGACAGACCTGGAGTAAAGCCCAACTTGCGCTGGAAAACGTCTGGCGGCGGCCGGAAACCTGCAAACAGTATTTGAGGACCAACAGTCGGGAAAGGAAAAGCAAAAGGGTCATGTTCCTTGCGAAGGTGCTCTGTCCAGGACGTTGTGACTGTCGAAAAAGGAGTTCCTTTGCCGAGAACAGATTCTTTCGGCTGTAGAATATGGGGAGGGTATCGGCGATTCTTGACCTGCTATTGAGCAGCACAAACTGATCAAAGATCCGTCATTTGATTTGGGGCGGACATTGGCGGGGAAGGGGGGGAAGGTGATGGCGACATCGTGGTGGTGGATGTTGGTGTTGGAGGGTGTTTTGAACTCAAAGAGATTTGTGTGGACCGTGATGAGGCTTGGCCAAGATTGGCGTCTTGACGGGTTCAGTCAGCTTATTTATTTGCTGTGTGCGCTTTTGTAAACACGGGCGAGAGATAATAAAGGCTCAAAAGGCCAATAAGAAAAAAGAGAGGGACAATGAGAGAGGCAAAACGAGACAGGAAAGTGACAAGGGGTATGAAACTCTGACAGAAAAAGGCTCAAGGCAGGTTGGAAGAGCGGGGGGATGCCAAGAGATCAAGGATTTACAGAAAAAGAGTCAGGAGTTCAGAGAAAAACAAGGAGAGGAACGCCAAAGAAAAGAAGGGACGCCAGTAGATGAAGACCATACCGAGAAAGGAAGGATGCGCTACGTACCTTGCAAGCACCGATAAAAAGGAGGTCAAATATCAGGGGATGCTGGAGAAAGGAGATGGGGGGAAGACAAGCCGAGTGAATGAAGGGGACAAAAAAGATGATGCGAAAGAATCGAGTGGAGAAGTAAAAGTGAAATGCCAAAAAATGCCAAAAAATGCCAAGGGAGCGGTGAGTTAAAATAAGGCGAAGATAAAGGCAAGCCACCGCGAAGTAACGCGAACATACCGTGAAAATGCAAAACGCAGAAACGATCAAAAACGGCAAAACAGGAAGGCGCAGAGATGATGCAGAACAAAAAAGAAAGGGAAAATGATCAAGGGTCGATGAAATGAGCAAGGGTCGATGAAATGAGCAAGGGTCGATGAAATGAGCAAGGGTCGAAAAGATCAAGGCATGGTGGAAAAGAGGGAAAGACGAGAGGGCAGAGATGGCCAGAGACGCTGAAAAAGTGCAAACTGATCAAAGGACGCCGGAAAAAAAAGGAAAGGGCGAGGAATCAAAGGAAAGAGAAAATGAGGGCAGAGATGGTCAAGGGATGCGGGGGGGAAAAGAGGGGAAGAGGCGATGTCCAAGTGGGCATGCTGGAATAAAGGAAGGGGCGGGGATGATCAGCAGAGATCAACGTTATAGCGCCTGAGCGGGGACAAGCATCCACCTCGTCAAGTAAAAAAGAAATGGAAGGGAACCCTCTAATAGGCTAGAAATGGATGGTGTTTATTGCACAGAGGGCTAGGATATTTATATGGGTAGTTTACTAGAGGTAAGGGATGAAGGGCGAAAAATGGTGACAGAAAGGAATAAAGAATATGGAATTAAGGACTGACGAATGCAGACTGTGATAATGTAGCAAGCACAAATAAATACCCCGCCTCCCCTCTACAATAAGCATTATCCATTTCTTACTTCTTTCTTCCTTCTTTCTTACTTCTTTCTTACTTCTTTCTTACTTCTCCACCATACAACCGTTTAGCCTTCATACAAATATCCCGCACCAACCAACACCATTACATATGATCATCGCCAGAGTCCTCCTGATCTCACTCGCTGCAGCTGTTACTCCAGCTCTGGCGCTCCAGTGTACTGGAGACTTGAAACCATATTGCTGCGATTCCACTGCTCTGACCCCGAGAGGCTATACAGGGATGAAATGTGTTAGCATGGGCGATGGTGGGTGTCCCCTATACGGCGTCTGCTGTCAGCATTTGGACAACGGGGTGGCATACTACTGTGGATTGCCAGAGGGACCTCCCGCATGCACCGGGGGTCCTGCAACCATGAAATGAAAACGACTATTTAGCCATAACACTGTTCCATTTTTTTTTTTTTTGGATAATAAAGCGACCAAAAAATACGTATGATGCGACGATCTGACAGCACTCGGAAGAACGTGTCCTGTACTTGTTATGGTTTTATTGTGTGAATTAGAAGAGTGCCAGCAACTTCGCTTGCGGAAGGAGGTGAAAAATAAGAAAGGACATGGTTTGTCTCTTTTTTTTTTTTTTTTTTTTTTTTTGGGAGGGGGGGGATCTGAAGTGCTGGACAAGAATGATCAATCTTTTTCTGCGATTTCGACTTTTTTTTTTTTGGTGGAAATGCTGCTCATTCAATGTTCCGACTGGCCCTCAGATTCCTGTCATTCGTTCTCTTGTAGCCTCATGCATCACAACTTGCCTTTCTTTGCATGGACCGACATTGTTTCATGGTCAGAATTGAAAAGCCTGATTCCGCATGAATCATTTAGTTGGATCGTATGCATCACCGTTTCCTTTTTCAACTTGTAGGGTCTTTTCAGTATCTTTCTACCTTCAAACTTCAATGGGTTACGTCCTTAATTATATATAGCCTTCTATCAAAGGCTTGCCTGCCTTGATCCAAGTGAATGTATTGGTTCTGTTTCGTCCTGCCAGCTGAATTAGTCGCTGCAAGGTTGAGCAGTTTTTTTGTTTATTTGTTTGTCCCGATTGATATCTGAGTATCCTAATGCCGACGGATAGGGGACGGAACCAAGGCGACCTTTCAACTCCAAGGTATAATCCATCATCTTTGGCACCCTAGGTGCTCTTGATGGCGTCCACTGTGCCCGCCCGCCAAGAGCATGTGCAAGAACCTCAACCATGCAGAGTAACAATGGCAGTATGCTGCACCACGAGATCTAGCAGTATACCAAGCCACCTTTCAAGCACGAAGGTGCCGGTTTTTTTTTTGGAAAATTACCTGTTAAATGTAACTCTCCGCCTTTGGAATGCATCCAGCATTGCCAAACTCACCGGTAAAGTTATTGTACATGCTACTCCAAGCCACTTGATCTTCCCACGGCATCTCCACCGTGAAATGCAGGGGAGAAGTACAAAAGCAAAAAGACCTTCTTGCTTGTCGACCTCTTTTGCAATAATTCTCTCGCAAGCGTAAGGGGTACCAATGGACTTGCGCGCCATAAAGGGCCATTGGATACTTTTTAAACCCTTCCTTGGTGACCTTGTGCTTGGAGAGTTTCCCAAGAAAAAGGAAAAGTAATTTTGCAAGCAGCAAGGAACAAGCACGCTTGTCACATACTTCTGCACAATAGAGTAGGGCAGCGCAAAAAAGCAAACACAGTTCACCTCTTGTTGTTTTTTCGTTGTGGATAGACCTTAACTTGCTACAATTGTGGATCACAACAGTAACACCCTACTTTTCAGAGTCGATGGCAGACATACACTGGGCAGCGTTCATATATATCAACGACCCAAACACCTTCTTCCCACCAGCGCATCCAGAGGCATCAGAAGTGTTCTTCTGAAAAGCCCACGAGATGTCCTTGAGCCGACCGCTCTCAATCTTCACCAGGATAGCTTTCAATTCAGCATCATCCTCCCTCTTTCCCGTCTCAGTCTCATCTTCTTTGTCCTGCAGACCCTGTACTTTCTCACTGCTCTCACTTCGTTCTGTCGTTCCCTCCAGGAACCATCACTGAGACCATCCTTATTTCCCTCCAATTCACTTGAGGTTATCTGGAAGGTAGCCAATCCCTCGATAAGTCATGTATAAGTCACTCTCGGGCCTGGTTTCGAAAGTTATTCGCCATAGGTGTCTTGGTCAACATGTGGTGTGCCCTGCTGGTATGAGAACCGTTCCTTGAGCTGCTGTCGTTGGTGGTGCCTTTGATCGGCAAGCACACCTTCGGGTCCTGCATTGGTGCCCGTCTATCGTTCCGGATAATTCATTTGTCCATTTGGGTCCACTCGATCTCATCCCACCAGCAGCGGTTGAACCCCGAATACATAACCAGTTGGAAGTCTAGCCACCCAACCTATCGACCTCTCTGTCTGTTAGGCCGCCGGTTTCGAACATATACTGAACCAGTTCCTCCTCGTCGCTGAGGTTGTTGACATCGTCATCGTCGCATGCGGATACCGGCGAGCTTCAATCTTCAGGAAGGCTGTAGTCATACAAGTATTTTGCGCGCCGGTTTTGGTTGCGAAGGCTGCGGAGTGGATTTGCGAACGCTCTCTAGGGCCCTGCCTATACAAAAATGAGGAAACAGACAGTTGGGAAACCCACAGCAGGAAGAGAAAATACAGGGGTAACGATTCCAAGGGTGTACTGCAGGAGAGAGGAAAAGGACTTTAAGAGGACATCAAGGTAGCAAGTGAGAAAGAAGGTCATATGACGGAGAAAGGCCTATTAGCGTACTTGAACATAGACAAAGGCACACCTCGCACGAATAGAAGGGTGTTAGAACGGTGGGGTAGGAGGAAGGAGAAGATATTGCTAGAGACAACAAAGGAAAAGACGATCGCGTGGGTAGAGTGATAAAGTAGGGAGAGAGGGTGGATAGTTGGTCAAACGAGGTTTGTTGTTGGCTGTGCAGGTGCTGCATTCTTTGTGAGTGTACTATTTTGCTAGGCCACACTTGCCGCTGAACGAAAATTAACAGCTTTGAAAGGTTTATGAGTTTGTGATGTTCGAGGTTGATGATTTTGCATCTGGACCATGACCATGAACACATTCAGCGATCTTGATTACATTAGCAAGGTTTTCATATGGGAATGTGATCAGATCTACTTCCAACCATCCTCTTGATGCTGACTTCTTCATATCTCTTACCGCATGAGTATGTGAGTATGGCTTACCGAAGACTGGGGGCGAGTTTTTTTCTCAATGGAAAGTTAACGACCAACAAATGTCACAGCCGAGTATGCACCTGTGGCATGCTTCTCAATGTTATTAATCCGTGACACCAAATAAGAGCAAAAGATATAAAGCAGGAGGTTTATTTGTTCTCTTTCGAGAAAATCATTTATCGTCGCTGTCTTCGGAGGCGGGCAATGGTGGGTCCCAGAACTGCAAGGACAATGGTCATGACGACCACTCGATTGGCATTGACAGGACTGCTTCCGTATCCCAGGTTCTGCTTAAAACCCTCCCAGAGCCCCCTGAACGTGCTTGATCGCTTCCTCTCGACGGCATTGTTGGATCTGTTGCTGGGGAGATGTCCGTTATCGTGTCCGTTAATACTGTGTGTATTGTGGAGCGCTCCTAGCGACAAGCCGCGTTGAGTCTTGAGGTCGTGCACTTCCTCCTCCTCTTCTTCTTCAACTCCATTATCGCCATCTTGAGCCGCTTTGGCATCGACTTCCTTGCGGGCGGCGATGACTTTCTCTAGAGCCTTGGACTCCTGGTAGGGCGATATCCCCGGGATCATCTTGTTGACATTGCGGATTCCTTCAGGCACAGCCTTTGTTGACACTACAATAACAATTGCGAAAGCACAAAATAGTGTTAGCAAAAAGCACGTTTGAGCATTTTTTCCAGAGTGAAGTGGTTCTTGAATCAAGAAAGTTAGAAATATAAATGTGTACCGAGCTGAATGACTTTGTCGGGGATCCATCCCTTGAGATCGGCATCCATCAACTGGACGAGACGGCACTTGTTGGGCTGTCCAGGCTCTGGCCCGATGATCTGTCCAGCGACTCCCATCTCCATCCTGACAATCTTCTCCTTGGTCCTCTCGGGCATGAGCGAGTGTTCAATCGAAGACGTGACATTAAAGTACCGTCCATCATCCAGCTCCTTGATCGCTCCAAGTAAAACGGTATCGCGGGAGGAGGTTGGCCATATTCCCTTGGTGCGGACGTATAACACCTTGACGCCGGGCGAAACCTCAGTCAGAGCCTTGGCCTCCTCACAGAGGGGATCCCACTCCAAACGACGGCTAACCTCGGAGAGGGTATCGAAGGTCACTGCGGGGGTGTTGTCCATGACAGCTATGATTTTGTAGCACATGGGTCGGTCCTTGAACTGGTACACCTCAATCAATCCTGGGGATGTTTCCTCAAAGACCTTGACCCAGATGTCCTTGTTGTCGATGTAGTCCATGAACTTTTTCTCCATAGCGATCAGCTCTCTGGCATAGGGCTGCTCCTTTTTCTTCTTGGTCTTCTTCGGTCCTTCAGTTGTCGTGGTTGTTGACGCCTTGGGTGTAGCAGCCTTTTTTGCTTTCTTCTTGATTGTGGGAGCTCCATTGACAAGGGCAAGTTTGGTGGTTCCGTTGGCCAACGAAGTCTTGACAGGGCGAAGAGTCTCGGCTGACTGTACAGCGACCTGGGCCGGGAAGAGTCGTTCGCTCAGATCAGGTAGGCCGAACAGCTTGCGGAAAGCGAGAACAAAAATGAGTTCAAAGAACACATAGTGAACCTTGTCCAGGATGCCATTTAAGAACACTGTAGGCGCCGGAGTTAAAAAGAAAGAGTCAGGCACATGTCACTCTCACATGGGGCTGGATATAGTATCACTGAGCTTGTGGGTAACCTACACTGGTTGACGAGGTAGAGGATGGTGTAGGGGGTGACCAGGACCAGCATGGCCAGGGGAGACTGTGTCGAGTCGCCCATTGTCGCAGATGTGGTGGGGTTCGTTGTAATGAGAGTGTGGGGGAATTGCAATTAACAAGTAAGTTTTCAGTCTCGGAAAATAAGGTCGGATGGAGATGTGGTCGAGGGAGGAAGGGAGGGGGGCGACAATGGGGGGGTGATGACCAATAGTGGGATGAAGAGGAGAAGGAGGACACAGAGGGCAAGTGATGAGTCAAGAGGGGGAGTGAGAGTAGAGTGTGTGCGAGAGAGAGAGAGAAAGAGAGAGAGAAGGAGAGAGGTGAAGAGGGAGAGGAGAAAAAGGGAAGAACAGTGGCGTATTTGAAATCAACAGCAAAGTGCACCGAGGCCAAAAGGGTACAAAACCTGATTGATCCTTTGCCTCAGGAGGTGGGCTCACTCCCTCGACGCAAATTCATCTCCCTGTCCATTGTCCATTGTCCGTTCTTGAGGGTGACTGTCGGCACGGCTGAATACAAAGTCAAGCCTCGTCATCCACACCACATTGTCCTACCTTCCTCGGCACACACACACCACGCTTCGTTCTCTTCCTTCTTTTCTCCTTCATTCATCCACACTGCAACCGAACAGACAAGGCACAAACCACTGTGCACATGGGAACACGGGTGGCACTGTACATGTGTACATCTGCTCTCATACAAACAAAGAAAGAAGAAGGACGTCCTGCATTTCTGCTGACAACTCAAAAACCTAAATAGGCACACCACATAAATTCGGTCTTCGCGTGCGTCTGTCGATCATGAACAACAGTCCACAACGGCGACCGATCCCATGCTTGCCTTGCCTTGTACTCCTTTGCCGCGTTTTCATCCATTGCATCAGTAAGCGGACTTGGCAGACACTTTATCTGATGTGCGAACGTGGTAAGTCTTCTTCCTTACATGCTCGTATTAATACACCTCTTTTCATCAATTAATACTGGTTGTTAAGAACACTTTCACCTCACAACAACAACCAACAACCCATTCACCTCTGATCGACTCTTCTTCTAGCCTGTCCTTATGTCCAATCCGGAGTGATGTGGTTATGAAATGGCTGGTGATTGATCGACAGGCTGTGGTGAATTATTTGCAATAGAGACTGACGAGAGGCTAGGCAAACACATAGACATAGACGGGGTTGACACAGAGGACGATGATTACATGGACCATCGTTCGCTTCACAGTTCTCACGCACAAGCAAATGCATATTCATCAAGGGGTGAGAGAGGAAGAAAGAGAGTGACCAACGTTTGACTCTCCCCCCATTTTATGAGTGTAAACACACATCTTAATCTCAAGTGGTTTTTATTCCTGTTTATCGTGCTTAATGTTACGGTCATCGTGGCCCTGGCTGTCCTTGTCCTTGTCCTCCTGAGCCTGCTTCTTCTTTTCCTTTAAGCGCTTCACTTCCCTCAGCAGCGACATCAGCAGCGGGACAGAGATCGGGACAAACAACGGCATGTAGATCGCATACTTATGCTCGTCAGGAAAGTAGAGCATCGACACCATCGTTGGGTCAAAGAACGCTGTCTCAGACTTGACCAGACCATCCCGCGATGCCGCCAAGGCTTCGACATACTCCTGACGAGACAAATGTTGGCAAGAGCGTCCAATATCCCCAAGGGCATCAGTCACATCCCTTTGAATATGATCCAACACCACCATGTTGGGCGTATCTCTCACAAGGCGGGCGAGCGACGAAATCGTGGCCAATGAATCAACCAGGTTCTCGGCTGAGCGTCTCCTTAATAAGTTATCCAGCTCCCACGTCGTCGGAGCCTCGTTCAACGACTTGTGGAACACGATTGGAAAGGAAGACGATGATTGAGCCGTCGTAGACAGGTCAGTGACGCCCATGAGATCTCGCAGTTGCGTCAAAAACACTCTCATAACAGGTTCCAGATCCTGGACAGTGATCACTTCAGGGTGCTCCTCTGCTCTCTTGGTCCTGTCGGTATCGCGATTGAGGATAGCAACGCCTCCCCAGCGTGGAATAAGGAATGAGTTAGTGGTCGATTTCGGTGCACCTGGTCCTGTTTTGATGACCAAGGGGCTTTCGCTAGGCTTGGGCACATATGTCAAAAAGTTGAGCGATGGCAGCGATGACACCGTCGACGCTATTGTTTTCCATAACCCAAAAAAAAAGCGCACGAGGGTTAGTCAGCTACACTGTTTGCTTCGACGACTGCAAGATTCTTGTGCAACTTTTCCAATTCGTACCTAAGCTCCACTCGGCAGCATTGATAAAGTTGGGCAGCGCATCCGGTGTCAAATAGTATTCTTGTGAGCTAGAGTCCAATTGAGGAGTGAACGCCAAAGAGGCATAATGTTGGATCTGTGATTCGATCGTGAACTTTGACACGGTCGACATGGTCTTGATGAAGGGGGCGAGATATGCTACGTTGTTAGAGTCGAACGCCATGATTAGCTATTGGTCGCAGCTGGAGGAGTTCAATTGCACGCTTGGTCTTTTCAACGAGGGGTACAGCAGCCTCACCGTGGATGACTTCCTGCATTTTCCATTCCCGAACACCATTAGAGGCATCGCCGCTGAATAAGCTAAATGTCAATTGGTACCCTGGGGCGTATTTGACCGTCTTGAGCTGATCTTGTACCTTGCGCACTCCCTGAGTGTCCTCGTTGGTGTTGAGCAATTGGCGGATAATCCTTTCTTCTGATCCAAATACAGCGCCTGAGGTCTCTACAATGGTGTCGATGATATGATCTACAGGCAATAATAACGTGTACATTATTAGCTCAGTAAATCACATCGCAGTGCATCATAGCCTTGTAGGTACGTTGCAACATCTTACCAGTGTTCCAAGATTGGACTTGAATGAATCCTTGGCGCTGACTCCGTATGCTTGCATGTGTCACATTGCTAGGTGAAATATAAAAGTCGTATGTTCCGGGAACTGTGCTGGTACGATCTAATAATGTGAAAGGGTCACAAAAGGTTACTTATGACTGGCGAATATACTGGGACATTACAGCATTCGGTTCCTTTAACAAAAGCGAATCTTATCCTTGCCTGTGATATCCTTATTGATAGATCCTGTCCAAGGCTTGCCTGCGATAAACTCTACCGCTAATAAAGACTCTTTGACGCCATGGGCCGTGTTCAGTTCCTGAACTCGTCTGATAACTCCTTGAGTGACGTCGCTCAATGTTGGGTTGTTCCCGCTCTGCTGTTGTTTTGTTTCTGAGAGATGAAGATTCACGCGAATAGGGAACTTTGGTTGGCAGGTCTACATACAGGATCATAAGAGGACAGTTGTTAACCAATATGTTCGAAACTAGAGAAGGGACGGGCACTCGTGTTTTTCAAGGCAAGTTTTTACCTTCCACTGGTTCCACTGGTCGATCGAATCGTAGGGAAGTTCAGCTCTGTAGACGCGTGTGGTTTTCCACCAGAGAGGCAGACCGAGGAGGACGACGGCCCATACTGAAAGGATGACCATTCGTCTTGTCTTGTCTAACGTGGAGTTGCATCGCAAGTGTGAATGAGTGGGTTCCGGTGGCCGGAAGATGCAATCGCCGTTGGCGATTAACAAAGTCAGGAGTGCCGAGGTGGCGAGTTGCCCCCCGCGAGGCAGGCTTCCTTACCGTTTGCGGCCATGGAGTGTCTGTCAGCAGACATGGTCGATGTGTGTTTTTGTATGCTTGGATGAAAAGTAAGATGATGCTTTCTTGAGACGACTGCATCGTGGCGCTCTTTCTTTGCCAGGAACAGCCCACCGAACGACGTGACGGTTTACAAATTGAGATTTTTGGCCCAAGACGTGGATGTGTCAGGATGTGTGTCAGACTGGATAGTCATAAGCCGATCCTTTTGGTCTGGCTACGTTTAACTGTAGGACTGGGCGGCGCCCATCTAGATGGCTTGGTTCTTTCCATTGATACACCTTTGCACCTTTTACCTTGAAAAGGGCAGTCTCCAACCGTTATCTCACATCAACAATACGTGCATACGCGGCGCGGCCAAGAGCTCAGCGAATAGGAGGCCCTGGTGCTGTGTAAGGAGGCGCGCTATTGGCGGATTAGTAATCGATGTTTATCCGTCAATGCATTGGCCAAACTACCTTTGACTTTTTCTCGTGTATAAATAACAAGCAAGGCATTTTCGTTTTTTTTTTTTTTTAAACCTATTCATTCCATATCTCTACACCCTACCCCGCCTCCACCAACAGCACTCGCACTCTCTCACGCAATGGCAGCACAAAGAACAAGCCCCAAGATTATCCTCGGAACCATGACATTCGGTCTCGATACCACCAGCGCCGAGACCTCATCCGTCAGGATTCGTGGCATCGAGAACATCAAGCCCTTCCTCGACACCTTCCACAAATACGGCCACACCGAGCTCGATACTGCTCGCGTCTATTGCGGAGGCGATACCGAGACAGCCCTGGGTCTGATCGATACCTCTGCCTTCAAGATCGCCACCAAGGTCTGGCCGACTGGTCCTAAAGCCCACGGATCAGAGTTGTTGAGGAAGACCTTCCTTCAATCCCTGGCAGCACTCAAGACCGAGAAGGTCGACATCTTTTACCTCCACGCCCCAGACTACACCACTCCCTTTGAGGAGACCGTCAAAGCCGTCGACGACCTTTACCGCGAGGGACGCTTTGAAAGAGTAGGTTACTGCGCCTTGCTCTTTCACGTCAACATTTCCGATGAAGACAACAACCCGCGTTCTAACCATCCACTGCGCACTTTTTTAAAACTATGCTGTTTGCACTAGTTCGGACTCTCAAACTTCGCGGCGTGGCAGGTCACTCTTATTTACCAGCTCTGCAAACAGAGTGGTTATGTTCTCCCCACGGTGTACCAGGGCATGGTAAGTTACCCACTCTTTCATCAAGCTGTTCAAAGTCCTTGACATGTTTGCATGAATCGACGACAAAAGACAAGGCAGCAGATGGGTCAGTGCACAGATCCCCTTAACACTTTTCTCATGGTTTCATTTTCAGCCCCTAACTTACACCCAATTCGTTTTTGTTGCCGCATGCTAGTACAACCCAATCGTACGCGACATTGAGCCAGAATTGCTCCCCTGTCTCAAAAAGTTCAACATTGCCTTTTACGCATTCAACCCTCTGGCTGGAGGTCTCCTCTCCGGAAAGCACAACTTCTCCCAGCCAGAAGCCGAAGCCGGCGGCCGATTCGACAGCAAATCCGGCCCCGGAAAATTGTACCGCGACCGGTACTGGAACACTCTTTACTTTGAGGCCATTACTTCGTTGACAAAGGCTACTCAGGAGCACAAGCTGACCTTGGTCGAAGCAACGTTGAGATGGATGTCGCATCACTCCGGACTGGATGCACAGGATGGTATTATCATCGGCGTTGGTTCGATTCAGCATCTGGAGGAGAACTTGATTGACTTCAACAAGGGTCCTTTGCCCAAGGAGGTTGTCGAGGCGTTTGATGCAGCCTGGGAACACGTCAAGGTTGCCTGCCCCAAGTACTTCAAGGACGAGGCTGCCGCCCGCGTTATCTACAAAGCAGTCGAATCCAAGTAAACCAACTTTCTCCTCATGGGCATAAATGACAAATAAACAAGAGACATTCCAGTCAAGCTGCTTTTCATTCTAGTGGTAGTTGTGGGTACTTGCATGAGTTATCTATGCCCAGGCTAGAATCAAGAACTCGCGGAAGGCGGACAGAACCGTCCTCAGATCCTTGGCGACAATCTGTTCTCTGAACAAGATCTCCTCCACATGATGCTGCCCGTCGAAATAATGAATCAACCTAAGAGCAGTGAGAAGATATAAACAAGGTATTAGTGTGCCATATCTCGAATCACTGCCTCAATACAACGAATTACACACACGGGCCCTATCGAGTATACCTCATAAACAACTCGGTGACACTCTGCGGTTGGTTTTCGCACATCCTGGTGACCCACTCACGTTCCAACTCAGAGGCTTGGCCAGGGTTGGGTAAGATCGAGCTGGCGTCTTGTCTCTTCCCCATCAATTTGTTAAATGGTGGTAAACTCAGGTGTGATTTTAGACTGGAGCTAATAGCAGCACTAGCGCTTGTCGATCCCGGTACTTGGTTATTCCCGTTGGTACCGCTTACGCCCCCACCACCTCCGCTGCCACTGCCACTACCACTGCCACTACCGCTTCCGCCAGGACCCGTCGATGAGCGGTTGTGATAACGATATGTCTGAGAAGGAAGTGCCTGAGGTTGCTTTTGAAACATCTGCTGTAGCTGTTGTTGATGCTGCTGCTGCTGAAGGAGCGATAGTTGTCCAAAGTCTGCAGATTTGGCGCTTCCGTTCTGCCCTCCTGCTGTTACAGTCGGGGACTCCATGGTCGGGGTCATGGCTCCATTGTTTTCCTCCATCATCATGTGCTCGTAGTCCTCGGCAGAGCAACCGAGCTTGATGTATTCCGGGACCATGATGAGAATGTAGGTATGTAGTTGGACAACCAAATCCTTCCGGAGTAGGTATGTCAGCATCTCCAGGTAGACTGTTTGGACTTCTTTGTCTTTCCCTGCTCCGGGTATATGGGCCTTGTAGGCCTTGGGTGTCGAAAGTTCGTGGAGAACGTTGGGTAAGGAGAGCGTTGGGAAATGCTGTGAAAAGTCAATGACCAATGACCTATGGAGATTTTAAAAATATATGGGAGGGAGGAATTATTTAGATTACTGCCACCAATCATCCATGGTGATTTTGTGAGCGACGACAGTGTGCATGCAACAAGTCGTCCAGGACGAAGGAGGACTTACTCGTTGATACCTGCTTGTGGCGCAACGACATATACATTGTTGACACGGATTTGGTCAATAAGCTTGGCCTTGCGCCAGTAGATCAAATGCGATGCAAGGCGGTAGATCTGGGCCATCGAACAGTCCAAGATATATTGAAGTTCGTCAAGACTATCGGACAAAGGAGAGTATGTTAAGTACTTTGCAATCAGTCTATGCCCAAGAGAGCAATAGCAGCACAAAGTCATCGTCCTAAATATCAATAATAACCCGACATCATACCATTGATACGGGACAAGAATCTGCACTAGCTTGACGAGAGTTGGATTGGCATCCAGTGGAATATCCTTCAGAATCTCCTCAGGATCCTCAAGTAAGAGCAAGGTGTGGTAGGGAAGCAACACTGGAAAGTTCTCGTATTCGTAGGCGATCCCGATCTCATAGTCGTCCATCATGTACCCCATCCCACCAATGCCCCCATACTGCGTCGTTAGAGGAGTCATCAGAGCCTGCTGTGATCCCGGAATGTTGGTGTTGTACATGTTGTTGGCGGATGTTGTAGCGGTGGGGCTGTCACCGTTTAATGTGTTTTGGATACGACGAGTGACATAACCGCTAGTCCGCGGAAGAGGAGCAAGATGAGGGATCTGCAATGAAACATCGATGGAGTCGTTCAGGACAATATGGCAGACCTTGTCAGCCGATACGCAATCGTAAATCGAGCGAACAGCTCTCGCCAGCGAAGAGATGGACAGGACTTGTTCATGAAACTGCGCTAGATTTAGACCTGTTAAAGAGCAAGGACAACAGCTTGATTAATTCCAGCGCAGTCGCAAGGACATAGAAAGAAACAATAGCATTGGTCACACCGACTCATGCGTCCAGTCTCTCGTTGAAGACGAACCTGCTTGTGCTGCCTCCTCCCGGATACCAAGAATCTTTGTCGCCTCTTGACTGACATACTGGCTGTTCAATTCCTCGTAGCGGAGCGCTGCCGTCAACTTGCAGGCAATGTTTTTGTAGACTTGATCTGCTACAGAGTTGAGCTGAAGTTCTTGAGGCTTCAGCACAAAGACAACATGAAAATACGACATTTGTTGGAAGTGAGATGCGGGTGTCGATACCGTGTGCGAGAGCGCATTGGAAACCGATCCTTGTGAAATCTGAATGGGCGGTGGGAGTCCCAGATGAGTCGAAAATGCGCCTTGGATGCCGGCTGTTGGTGTTTGTGGCAATGAAACGGGGTGGTGAAGGAGAGAGGATGCAAACGTCGCTTGGTGGGTGGTTGAAGGGGTCATCTGCTGCTTGGACGGCTGTGTCGCCATGGAACTGTCTCCTGGAGCTAGCGATCCAACGTTGGAGTTGTAGGTCTGACTCCTGAAGCGATGTTGCCTCCACCCTGTTGGATCGGTGAGCGAACGAGTCGCTGTGGTATTGTCGTGCTCGTCTTTGGAACCCCGTCGGAGAGCGGTCTCCTTGCCGTCAATCTGGCTCTTGCTTGACACTGAACCCCGAATGGAATCTGTGTCGTCCGCTGAGTCCTCATCGTAGTAGTCCGAATCCGAGTCATCGTCATCCATGAACGGCGCTATTCCTCCAACGATCCATCCGCGTTTGACTTTCTCTTTGGGTGGTCGAAACGACTTTCTTTTCCAGTAGTCGCGTCTTTGTCGGAACTCTTCCCCGCGCAACGAGACCGGATGTCCAATGAAGGTCAAGTCGTCGACGGTGAGCTGGAACCTTTTATCACATAGACTCTGCTTTGGCGAGAGGATATTGGCGAGGAATTGGGGGTCGTATCCGAGTACTTTGGAGTTGACCTGAAAGTCATCGGACTCTGGTAGCTGTTTTGATTTCGACTCCTGGGGAGCGAACAAAGTCGAGTCCTCATGGGGCGTGAATCCTTTCTTCTTTTCCCGCGGGTACTTGTAGATGAAATGGTGTCCACGACTGGAGTTCGTGACGATGATGATGCCCACAAGGCCATTCATGATGATCGTTGAAGGACGAGGTGGGGTTCTTCGACGGGTATGGGCGATGCGAAGTGGTCGAAGCAAGCTTGGCTGGATAAGCACAAAGTTCACAGAGAACAGTGGCTTAGCCAAATTTGGACAGGGTCGCGTCCCCGCCATTCATTCACGTTCTTGCAAAAGGACAAAGTTACTGCTGGTCATCGTACAGTATGACGATGCATGTAGTATTGGAGGAGCACTTAACAAATACATGCCGCGCCGCATCAATTTGAACTTCAGTATATGTTGTTTATTTCAGCTATAGAGAATGGCTGCGATGGGTGATACAGACACGTTTCAGAGCGCAGGAAGTGACTCCAAGGATCCAGCTGTCTCGGTCATCGATCTAAGAAATGTCCATGGCCTCAGATGTGTGGATGTTGACGGTTTCCTTGATATCCACGAGGTCACGGATCGACGTCTTGAGAACTTCAGTGGTTCCCCTCTGGAACTTGTAGCTAACAAGACGACACAGTTCAATACATAAAACCGTGTTAGAAAGTGAAGAATAAAAAAAACAAAACCAGAGTACGACCAAGACATACATGCAGTTCTGTTATTGTTAGTATCAAAGAGTGGATAATGTACCTTGCTTCCTTGACACCACGCTCATTGGGCTTGGCGTAATTTCGGAGAACCTCGACCTTTTCACTGTTAATGACGACGATATCGACATTGGATCCAGATCCCAGATCATTGAAGATACCCGCCTCAATGGCCTCCTGTACAAGCGAGATTCCCTCTTCGCGCTATGACGTTGCATGAAAATAAGGAGAGTGTATCCAATTAGCATCCACGCGCTCTGAAAACACCGCGATACCACGTTTGTCTCATCTTAACGTCTCCCATTCGTTTTCATTCGTCGTAGACATACAGTCAAGTCGGGCTTGAAGCGGCTTTCAAACACACTCATGGCAGCAAGAGATCCTGAGCCCATGGTGACATATGGCAGCTTGTCTGTGCTTCCGTGAGGGTAGATTGTGTACAGGTGAGGTCCGTTGATGTCGACACCTCCAAGAATCAAAGCTGCTCCGATCTGGCCTTGGTATCTATAAGAATTTGTTTCGAAAGAGCAAATCATCAATGGTGAGATTTGGATTGTTTACAAGGCCCTGCTATATTGGGGCACAGAACGCAATGAGATTCCTTTTCAAGAAGAGGAGGAGGACGACGTACTTGAAAAGCATCTGCTTCAGCATGGTCATGGCGGTGACGACGCGTGCCTGGCGTCCTGTGCTGAGTCGGTGGAGCTCCAACTGACTGCTAATCAAGGCTGTCGTCATCTCTGTATCAGCGGCTGTTCCGGCACCGCAACAGTACATGTTAGGGGCCAGGTAATGAATTTTTTCACAGTTCTTGTCGGCGACAATAGGTCCAGCGGTGGCACGGGTATCGGCGCCGAGGACGAGGCCGTCCTTGTAAATCAGTCCGACGATGGTTGTTCCTGTCTTTGTCGCCTTGGGAATGCCCATTCCTTTGCCCTCCATCATTGTGTTGCTATTGTCCATTAAAGGTGGAGTGAGTGAAGGGGTTAGTCGGTAGTGTTGGTGTGTGAAGAAGGGTCGAGGTCAAGGAAGGTGACGCGTCTGTGGGAGCAATTACAAGTGCTGCAGCGCGCGGACACGCGAGATATAAGAAAAAGCAGCTTACCGGACATGGTTGTCAAAGTTGAAACCGCCCTTTGTCTGCTGCAGTCTCGAGGTCATTGTCGCTGTGTGTTATGAGTGTGTATGTATGAATGTGAGTGCGTAATGTTTGTGTGAATAAAAGCGAAGAGAAGAGAGAGGCGAGAAACGAAGGAGGAAAAAGAAGAGGAAAAAGACACACGAATCCCGCGTAAAGTAGTATGTGTGTCTCGAGAGAGTCGCCACTCCTGCCGTGCCTTGGCTGCCTGCCTTGTCTCTGTGCCCTGAGTGTGTGTGCTCTGCGTGCGTGGACATCCACCTCATCATCTCAATTCTGAATTTCGCTCCAAAGACAGTCACGATGATGATGCCAGGAAGGCAAATATAGTCGCATATGCTATCTGGCTCAGATCGGAAAGTGGCGAATGCGGCCGTTTCCGAAAAAAGAAAGTTTTCTGTGCCTTTTTGTTTTCTTTTTTTTTTCCGCTCCTTCTCCTTCTTTTCCTCCTTTCTCCACTCCACTCCACTCCACTCCACCCAACCCCCTACTCCTTTCGACAACCATTGCATTGTCTCCTCACAACAATGTTCATGTTTCGACCCTCCCTCAGGACCGCCACCTCCTCAAAACTGGCCCTGCCCAGAACCCTCTCTTCCCTCGCAACCCCTGCTCGTCCCCTCCTGAGGACCGCCGCTGCCATGGGTCCTGCTAGGTCACAGGCACAGCGTCTGGGAATGCTCATGGCCAAATCACAGCCTTGGGCAAAGCCCGCCACCGGATCGCAGTTCCTCCGTCGCTGCTATTCTGCCGAGGCTGCTCAGGAGGAGATCTCAACGCCTGCCTTGACTGTCGAAGATATGATGCCTGTCGAGAACATTCGCAACATTGCCATCATCGGTAAGATTCATACCTCGATCTGGAAGAACCCAACTTCCACCGCAAGAAGGCAGCCTCTTCATCATGCATTTGATCCGCCGGTCTAACTTGCTCCCTTGTTCTTTCTATGCTTAGCTCACGTCGATCATGGAAAGACCTCATTGGTGGACAAGCTGTTGGCCCAGTCTGGAGAGGCTCTCGGATCGACCCGTGTCATGGACTCAAACACATTGGAGAAGGAGCGTGGAATCACCATTTTGTCCAAGGTCACCTCGGTCGCCTACACCAGCCCTGACTCTAAGGTCATGAAGATCAACATTGTCGGTAAGTAGCAACTTTCACCATCCACGAATACCGATATCGACTTTGAGGAGAGCCTTGTATAGCGGATACCTAACCGATTATTGTTTTTGGTTCGTTTTTACTTATAGATACTCCCGGACACGCAGATTTTGGTGGCGAGGTCGAGCGTATCTTGTCCATGGTTGATGGAGTTGCCTTGATTGTCGGTAAGTCTTTAGTTCAAGGACGCAACTCTCTCATATGTGCTCTCGATAAATATGGATCGGCATCCATCCTTATGCAATACCGCACTTTCTTTCTTCAAATGAATCTACTGTAGATGCCAGCGAGGGACCAATGACCCAGACCAAGTTCGTCTTGAACAAGGCCCTTTCGCTCGGTCTTCGTCCCTTGGTCGTTCTCAACAAGGTTGATCGCCCTACTTCCCGCGTAGACGAGGTTGACGGACTCTTGCTGGATCTGTTCGGATCTTTGGGCGCAACGGACGAGCAGATGGACTACCCTATCATTTACGCCTCTGCCAAGGAGGGATGGGCTACTCGCAGCATGGATGATCCTCGGGAAAACATGAAGCCTCTCTTTGATATGATCGTCGATCATGTTCCCTACCCCAAGGTCGATCGCTCGGATGTCTTCAAGATGCTGGTCACCCAGATCGACAGCAACCCTTACCTCGGCAAGTGCTTCTTGGGCAAGATCGCTGGAGGCACTTTGAAGATCGGCGACAAAATGCAGGCCTTGAACCCTGAAGGCAAGCAGACAGAGTCCGGACGTGTCACCAAGATCTTTGTCCGTCGCGGCTTAGAGATGATTCCCGTTACTGAGGCTGGAGCAGGAGATATTGTTACTGTTACTGGTGTCGCTAATGCCACTGTCAACTCGACCCTCTGTGACCTGACCGTTACCGATCCCCTTCCCGTAAGTGGATGTGGATGTTCTGCATTCCCTGTGACTGCATCAAGGAGCAATTGTTGTAGGTGGTGGCTAACCCTTTCTCTTTTCCTTTGTCGCTAGTCCAACCCTATTGACCCCCCAACCATCGCCATGAAGTTCGCTGTCAACGACTCGCCCTACGCAGGAGAAGAGGGAAAGAACTTGACTTCCAACATGATCCGTGAGCGTTTGATGAAGGAGGCTGAGACCAACGTTGCCCTGCAGGTCATCGAGTCTGAGAACAAGGAGGCCTTTGAAGTCCGTGGACGCGGAGAGTTGCAGCTCGGAGTGTTGATCGAGACCATGCGTCGTGAGGGATTCGAGCTCAGTGTGTCGCCACCCCGTGTGGTCTTCAAGGAGGAAAAGGGACAGCGTTTGGAACCCATTGAGGAGGTCACCATCGACGTCGGAAACCAGTACACGGGAACGGTCATTGAAAAGTTGAGCAAGCGCAAGGCCGAGATGAAGTCGTTCGATGAGAACGGCGACAAGACTAGGATCGTCTTTGAGTGCCCTACTCGTGGATTGTTGGGTTACTCTGCAGAGTTCAAGAACGACACCAGTGGCGACGGTACCCTGAACCACACCTTCTTGGAATATGCTCCATTCAAGGGTGGTCTTGAGAGAACTCGCAAGGGAAGTTTGGTCGCCATGGGATCGGTTGGATCTGCAACGTCGTATGCCCTCAACTTAATCGAGCCCCGCGGAAAGCTGTTCATCCGTGCTGGTGAGAAAGTCTATGCAGGAATGGTCATTGGAGAGTCTTCACGTACTGGCGATCTGGAGGTTAACCCTACCCGTGCCAAGCAGGTCACCAACATCCGTACCGTTGCCAAGGATGAGAACATTGTCTTGCGTCCTCCTGTCGAGATGAGTTTGGAGTCAATGATCTCGTACATTGCTGAGGACGAGGTTCTGGAAATTACCCAGGCCTCGCTCAGAATCCGCAAGCGCGAGTTGGACGCCAGCAAGCGCCGCCAAAACTTGCGCAACAACAGGGACTAAACCACCTTTGTCCGTTTTATGCTTCATTATTTGTTTATTATTTTCTTCTTGCATTACCTTGTACCTTAGACAGTTTCCTTTTTTCGCACCCATACACATACATACACACCCACACCAGCCTTTATTCCGGATACAGTTTGCCCGCTGCGTCCACAAAGAATACACGAGATCATTCTTGATCCTCACCATAGTTAAACAATCAAGAGATATGTATTTTTTGCAGGAAAAAGTATGAGATATGTACAGATCAAGAAACGATAATATGTGTGTGAGCGCATGCTACTCACTTTCGCCATTGGTTGTGTTTTCCGCAATAGATGGGCTTCCCTCTTGAAGTGTACTCGTAGTTAGGGTCAAATACCATGCCTTCCGGGAGAACCACCTGGCGGTAGAAGTTACTGCACTGATAGCCAACTCTGTGAGGGATATGGCTGGCAAAGAGGCCCCACTTGTCGCCACATCCGTGTTCTGCTGCCACCTTAAGGAAGATTTCTTGCTCTTCGGCTGTCCAGTCGCCCGTCCATTGCTCCTATGTCGTACGTGGTCATAAACATGGAGTGTGCACCACATGGTCAAAAACAATGTTCTAGTGTCGCCATCTTACACTCCTATGAGCCATCTCGAAGGCGATTATGTTGATATATTGTTACCTGACCGGGTTCGTTGTGTCGATAAAAGAACGCGTTGGGATTCTTCTTGAACAGACCCTTGGCGACCATCTTGGCCTCGTGCTTCGGTCGCTTGGCTGTCTTGGATCTTGAAGTACCAGCAGTGTCCGATTGCAATCCGAGAGGATCCTTGAAAGAAAAGCTACCGCCGCCGTTTGCTTCCCAAGCATCTTTTGCGTTCGTCTCAAATCCGTATCTCTCAATAACCCCAGGGTCGAGCCAACCATGATAATGGCCGTCCACACGGATGGCGCGCTCCCGCGTCGCCTTGTCGAAAAAGAGGTCTCCTGACATCAAACTGGCCATATCTTCTACATCTTCGCCTTCCGTGCCATCGACGTTACTCGTATCAGTTTCCTGGTTGTGGATGTTGCGTTGGTCGTTGTGAGATGACGATCCATGTTCAAGTTTGTCGTTCTCGCCAATCAAAGTTAGAGTGACCGCCACGCCACGGATGCGGTTGGAGACTCGGATAGGCTTCACAATCTTGGGTGAAGCTACATTGTAAAAAAAAGATGAAGGTTATCCGATATCAATATCGATAAAAAGATAATTGCACGATCTTCCACCTCCGCCTACAATTTGATGGCAATACCGCGCCGTTTTATCTCATACTTTTCCATTCCCTTTGCTTGCTTATCCTCACAGACTTTGGGGTGTCTTTGAACAGGTCATCGGCTGAAGTGCGCTCCTTTTGCGATGGCATTCCTTCCATTGTAGCGATTTGCAACTGGGTGACAGCGGTTGGCAGCTCTAGGGACATGAGCATCTCCTGGTTCCGACGAATATTCTCCAAGCGTTGTCTCTCTACATTTACAGAAGATAGAAGAGCGAGTTCAATGGATCGGCGCCGAGTGCCAAAGCACGCAACAATATTTTGAAGATGGCGAGTTCCTTGATTGAAGCACAACGTACCATATTCTGACAGTTCTGACTCGGGCGTACTCTTGAACAAAGGCACAGATTTCTCGACTTTGAGCCGTTTGCTAGTTTTGCCATATTCCCCATCTGAATCCTCACTGTCAGACGGCTCGTTCTCTTCCTCTTCCTCGTCACTCTCGCCTTCCTCGCTCGCTCTGCTGTCCATCGGTGTCGGTACGGGACTGGTTACATCTTCCAATTTCACCACTTTTGTGCGCCGTGCCCACTTGCGCTTCTCTTGGGTGACCGCAGGGGAGACACCAGAGTCCTCTGACACATGTTGCTTCTGCTGCTGTTGACCCCGCTCCTTCTGTCGTGAGGCGTCGATGGACGAGACCTCAGCTGGTAAGATCTTAATGGTTGTCTCGGTAACGGGTTCAATTGAAGGCTTGTTATCAGTCTGGGTGGCGAGGATCAATCTTGGTTCCTGTTTCTCCACAGACTCGGCCGTCTCTGTGACATCTCCCAAGGGTATGATCGTGCTCTCTCTGTCGATGCTCCTGCTCTTGCGGCTTCTGGTACGCGTTTGGTGAGAAGTAGTGGGGGGTCTGTTCTCTTTCTCATTCAAGTCTCCTTCAGTCGGGGCATCCTCCCCGTCCTTCCGAGTGGCGCTTGTCGCACTGTTCCGCCCCCTTCTATGCGTAGGGGGTGCTGTTGCAGTGGTGGCGACATAAGCCCGATTTGTGTCAGATTTGACCAGTTTCGGAGCATTGGAAGGCGAGTCGATGGAAGGAGGGGCAAGGGTATTGTTGATGGCGAGGCGGCGAGATGATCGTTTGGGTGGTTGTTGCGTTGGTGTAGTCTCTTGAGGTGCTGGTGGTGAAGCATTAGTGCCTGCGACGGATGTCTTGTCGGATAACGCGCTTCCTACTGCGCTCCTTGTCGATCGACCCATGGGAATGATGTTGATGGTCTCTGTTGCTGTTGTTGTTGTTCAAGGGCAAAAGTACTTTGCACAAAAAAATAATATGACGAGAAAGTGACTGCTGGGACTGAGCGACGCGCCAGGGCTGATCGTGCCTGAGAACTGATCAAGGTTTCAGATATACAGCTTGCCTGCCTGGATGAAAGTAATAAATGGGGCAGCATAAGATATGGACCGCACGGATGGGCATGGTTGCGGCATGGTGGTGGTGCTTCTTTGTCGTGATGGTGTATGACAATGTTTGAGGTACTTGCGTGGTAAAAGTGGCTCAGGGCCATAGAATAGAACCGAAAGGAGGCAAAGTTCAAACAAAGAAGCGAGCATTCAGCTGTCAACCACGACAGAAATAAAAGGCGTTCTCTTCTCTTTCTCTTCCTTCTTCTCTTTGCCCTTTTTCTCTTTGTCTCTCTATCCATGTCCATCTCCCTTCCTTGTTATCTCTTTTTTTCTCTCTCTCTCCCCTCCTCTCACTTAATTCCCTCCATCTTGCTTCACTCGCTCCACTCATCCAGGCACCCTAATCCCACATAGACACCTTTCCACCTCGTCAAACACCCTCCTCGCAACAAACACCCCCTTCCTTACAACATCACCCTAGCCTATTGGACTCTCGAGCCGGCTTCGCTTCATCTCTACTATCCACATCCCCGAATAATAACCAACAAGACTACAACATTTTGACAAGCCCGACACTATAGCATACTACCCGACAACTGTAACAATAACAACATAATGAGTCCTCTGCTTGGACATCAACTAAAACGACAAACAATCCTCCTTGACGAGCAGCTACAAGAGCGCACGCATAAACAGTCAACAAAAGGAAGGGTGGGAACAATCGACAAATCTAGCGTTTCAGCACAAACTCCATCCACTCCATCTTTTGACTCCATCTTGGAAGCTGACAAAGGAGGAAAGAAGGCTGGACAATCAAATGATGGACTTGCCCTCCGCATGGCTCACCCCAAATTGATCCACCCTACTCCTATTGTTGCCACGAAACACTCGCCCATCCTTAAAGCTATCGATAAATTGGAAATCCTTGCACTAACGATGGATCTGACCTCTGTAATTAATGTCCAGCCCGAGGAAGAGCAGAAGTCTGTTATTCCGACCTATAACTGCCACGAACCTCAAGGTAAGCCCACAACGAACGGTGACTGGACAATTAACTCGAACAAAGACCATATCAAAGCGGCTGTGTGAGCATTTTTGATTGGTATGGACGAGAAACTAATATACTTGCATTCCCTCTTGTGCCATTTGTTTCGACCTCAAAAAAATATCGTGGCGCAATAGAGTTATCGCACTCCCTAGCGTTCAAACCGCCACCACCCTCTACAGAACCATCTAATCTCACCCTCGACGTGTCGGAAGGTACTCAACAACAGAATGGTCCAGCAGCCTCCCAATCCAACACTTCAACGGAGCCTGCTGCTGCTGTGGTTGCCTATCCATCGAAAACTCCCGCCAGTCCACATCCGTCTTCGCCCCTTGCCTCCTCCACACTATCGACAATAAGCTCCCTCATTCTCCGGTCTGCTACTTCCTCCACAAAATCCCGTTCGTCGTTATTAGAGATGTGCTTGAATGCACCGATCGCTTCCTCCGGCCTGCGGACATCTACTGCCGGCATGTTGGACACCGTCACCATATGTCGTGAACACAACGCGATGTCTGAAAAAGCAGACAATGAGTATATCCCTAATCCCACTGCAGACAATAAGCATCAAAAACAACAACGCGTCCAGCAGACAGAAAGTGACGCGCGGCTCTCGGCTGGGAGCACTGCCATCAAGGCGAACCCGACCACCTTCTCCGCCGTTCATTCCCCTTCGTTACCCTCGGTCTCTTTGGAGCCATCACCACACAGCGCGGCCCCTCGACCACCCATAACAGCCCGCGTACTTCCGTTCTTTAAGAAAAGGTCATCGCTATACACTCACCAATCGATGGCACAGAGCGACAGCCAAATCGACCACCACGTCCCCTACTCGGCAACGGCTACTAGAAGCAACAAACAGCAATCTGGCTCTGTTCTTGCGTCCATATCGTCCACGTTTCTCGGTTTCGGGAGCTCTTCGCGCTCTAGAAGCTACTCTAATACCTGCTCCGTTTCCTTGGCAACCACTCAATCATTTGACACTGTCAGTGACTCCAGCAAAACCAAGCGGCACAGCCAAGCCAATCATGCTGCATGTGCTCAACCGCCTCCTATGCCGGCCGACCTTGCCACCAACAGCTCAGCAAGGTCGTCGAACTTCCGACCTTTCCCTCATTTCTTCAACACCAGGCGCCAATATCCAACGTCGATCCCCTTTCACTCTCAATCAACACCCGCACTCCTCTCATACTATCAGCTTGACATCGCCAAGGAACCCTCTGCATTACGCCAGACTGGTTGTACCTGCCCCAATAAGCAGACCCTAGGACCCTGTATTTTCCACAAGAAGCTGCCCGATCTTCCAGCCGCTCAATTGGACGACCCGGCTGGCCCTATCAAGGAAAAGAAGAAATCGAGCAGGATCTCGGTCATTTCTACAACTGCCTCGATCCGTTCGTTTGTCGCATCCATCAAGAAACCAAGGTCCCGGGCTGCCACCGTCCAGAGCCTTGTTAAGCCCGATGCACTTTTTGCACGAGAGTCACAGCTGCAATCTCAGTCCAACACGTCGTTGCCATTTGTGCAACCCGAGGAATCAACACAAAGTCATGGGCTTTCACTGGCAGCGACTCGGTACAGGAACAGGAAGGAGCCTTCGTCTATCGTTCGTAGCGCTATAAAGCGGCATGCTGGAGCAGATGTACCTTTAGCAGCAAGTCCAAGACTATCAAAGGACAACTTGGGCTTTCAGCAAGCGAAACGCCAAGCTGTTCACGGACTCAAACAGCGAACGTTTTCCCCGCATAACCATAGCTCTCAACAGAGCCTCCCTCGCACTGGCCAGTTGTACTTGCACCCGACGTCGGTCTCGACGCCTTGCCTTGTTTATCCTGTTCCTTTCACGAAAGCTACCACTATCAACAAACACACAGCTCGATCCGTGTCCACCATCGCCAGAATCCAGCAAGCCACAGAGTCGACACCAAACCTCAGTCTACAAGGAGGGGCTCATGTCTCGGCGGTGAATGCACATGCTGAAATAGCTGTCCGCCCACACATTGCTGGAGTCTCAGCGACTTCACATCAAGGAGGCGTCAACCTTATTTCGAGCTCCAACTCATTCCTTTCGCCTATTGAACGATCCCGGTCCTTCATGTCCCCGCCTTCGCCGGGTCACCGTACTGGACCTTACAACAAAGAGAACGCCACGTTTTTTGAGCCGTTTCGAGCACATTCCAAAGGTCGCGGTGGAAAATCGTCAAGCTATGTCAGCTTTCATTTTGATCTCAGTCACCTCGAGAAGGCTGAGCATGAAGATGAGTACGACTCGGCCTCGACTACCAAGGTAAATGTGAGCCGCACAGAGCAGGATGGCGTCGATGGAAGCGATGATGATGGCGATGAAGATGCGGTGGGCAATCTTCGGTGTGACTCAAGTTCTCCTCGACCGCTCCCATCCATGTCCCTGCTGAACGTGACTCTCAGCTCCACAGACCTCCTCTCAGTTCATTCCAGAAACAAGGCAACCCTTCCACCTCCACCTCCTCCTCCACCAAGCTCAAGGCCACAGGAGGCTGACCAAGAGGACAACTCCAGCGATAAAGATGACGATCCCTTCCAGACTTTGCACCTACATCTCAGGAATGCCGGTCGATACGCGCCCACTTCAGCTTCAGCATCAAGTCCGTCGCTCCGTCTTCCAACTCAGCCACAGTCGGACCATCGGCACCCCCTCAAGCGTCTCTTCGGATACGGTAAAGACAAGTTGAAATACCGGAGCCACAACGAGGTTCTAACAAGAGCACGAGAAGAACTAAATTCGTCGACGGTATCACTCCCGGCCCTGCTCTCGAGCTTCTTGCCATCGTCAGCCTCGACTGCGTCACTACCCCTTCACTCAGGTCAGACTACGGAGCCGCGTTTGATGGGCAGGGGATCGAAGCCGTCGAGGAACAAGTTGAACTGGATGTGATGGAAGAGCAGCAACAAGTTCTCTGATGCCGACAAGGATGTCTCCTGGCCAAGAGATGCATAGAAAGTAACCTGGATTGATGTTGTTAAATACATTTGCTGTCAGTTCTTTTTTGTTTGTATCTAGCGGAGCCGAAGATATGAAGGCTCAAGCCTATTATCCGAGGGCCAGGACCATATATGTGTTATCTTCTTTTATTGTATAAAATGCGAAAATCCAGAAAACTAAACGAAAGTGAAAAGAGAAAAAATGAAATAAGTTCTTCTCAGGCACCAGATCTGTCCCTTATCTTCGTGGTGTGAGCCAGGTGCCAGGAGACAAAAAAGGGTGGGAAAACAAAAAATCCAAGGGCGGGACATATATGGTCCTGGCCCTCGGATAATAGGCTTGAGCCTTCATATCTTCGGCTCCGCTAGATATTATCCGTCGGGCCAGGACCATATATGTGGATCCAGAGCAGAAGTTATGAGAGAAACCAACGACGTCAAATTGGTCGCGGTTGCTCGCGTCAGGCGGTAGTAATTGTTGACAATCACGTCGTTGACATGGGCGCCCTTCTTGATGGCCCCTGTAGGGCCGATCGCGCGGGCTTTGGGTCGAGTCTTGTTCGGCGGGAGGCCGAGTAGGTCGGTGATCGCGGCGATGTGGCTGCTGATCGTTTGACTGGTGACAGTTGTCTTGGGGAAGCGGACGTCGCAAATGAGAGGTCGATGGGGGACCAATTCGTCCTTGTGATGTGGGACCATTATCTCATGGTCCTCGATGGTGGCGTACTTGATGGTCGGCTGGTCGTCGCATCCTTCGTCCTCGGGGCGGCGCCGCTTATGCGCCATGCTGTTAAAGACCAGTGAGGATTCTTGGTCAGAATGTCGAGGGCATTTCCTGGAGCTGGAAGCACGTGGTGTCGCGGTATCGCAAGGGGGGCTGCGACTGACATCATCTTGACCGTTGGGTACCATACTGCTGAGGGCCAGTGGGGTGTTACGATCGTTGCTGAGATCTGCTCCTGGCGAATCTTCTCCAGGACGAGAGGGAGGAGATTCCAAGGTGGGCAAAGGTAAACGTTGCCTAGGGGCTGCCATCGGTGTCGGAGAGCATCGTGACCTATTGCGCCTGATGATGGTTTCCAGGTCATGTACTGTTGTAGATGGTGGTTTTCGGGAGATGCGAAGAGATCGACGGTATGGGGACCCCATTTTTGGTCCATGTGGTCGAAAAAGGATGGACTGATTGACCACTCGAGTTGGCCCGTCAGTTGACGGGAGGGGGCATCCGCTGGGTTGAAAGCTGATGGGACGTACGTTGTTCGAATCCTGGTTCCGGTCTTGAGGCACCAGTTCCATATTGATGTCGCCAGCTTCATCAGCTCCGGCGACCTCGTTCCGCCAAAGTGGTTGATGTAGGCGATTGTTGTGACGTTGTCCGATATGATGTTGACTGTGCGACCCTTGACCTGTGGTCTCTGAAGGGCGTAGAAGACCGTCAACAATTCCTTGTAGTTGATGTGTCTGGGGTAGTGAGTTGCCGGCCAGGTGCCACTGTATGATCGGTTGTTGATTACTACTCCCCACCCGGACGTGGAAGCGTCCGTGTAGATGTCGATCTGAGGATTGGCCGCTATCCATGAGAGACCGTTCCATTGTTGAAGGTGTGTGCGCCACCAAAGCAGTTCCTCGGTCGCTGTCGTCGGCAGAGTAATGGAGCCCTCCCATGGTATTCCCGATTTCAGTGCATTGATCTTGACCGCTTGTAGGTGCTGCACCTTGAGTCGAGCCGGAAAAACTGCTGCTGTCATGGCGATCGCCTTGCCGATGAATGATGATAGCTGTCGTACTGTGCATGTCGTCTTGTTGATTAACTTGGATGCCTCGCGTCTCATGTCTCGGATCTTGGCTCCTGGGATCTGTAATGTCATCGCCGTTGTGTTGATCTCGTAGCCCAGATGTTGTAGTGTCTGGGATGGCGTCAGGCTCGACTTGGATTCCTTTGTCAGAAAACCGAGGCTGGCTAACTTGTCCGTCACCATCTTGGTGTGTATCTGTGATAGCTCCTTGGTCGCTGCTGCAATAATCAAATCGTCCAAGTAGGCCGATATCCTGATCCCGCGTGATCGCGCCCACCGTAGTAGCGGCTTCAGAATCTTGGTAAAGATGAGCGGAGCCAGAGATAGACCGAACGGGAGCACTTTGAACTGGTACAGTTTGCCTCGCCATTGAAATTGTAGGTAACGCCGGGAAGAAGGGTGAATGGGCACGTGTAGAAATGCATCTCTTAAATCGATACTGGTAAGAAAATCGTTCCTTTTTATTAGGTGAACTACCTGAGAGATAGTCTCCATTTTGAAAGGTCGGATCGGCAGATACTGATTCAAGCGACGCAGGTTCAACACCGGGCGTAGTTCTCCTGTCTTCTTCGGAATCACGAACAACTGGCTTGAAAAACCGGGTCCAGTGCTGGGCTCGATCGCATTCTTGCTCAGCAAATCGGACACTTCTTTGTCGATGCTCGCCATTGCTTCCTCCGACATTGGGTGTGGCGGGGGATGCGAGGTCGATGTTGGTGGTGGCGACTCGAAGGGGATCCTGTAGCCGTCCTTGATAATGTCGAGGATGGGGGACTCTTGGGTAATGCTCTTCCAGGCTCCTAAGAATCCTTTGAGCCGCCCTCCGACCTTGGGGATCTGTCGTTCCTGCAGGAGGTGCTTCGTCCGCGCTGTTGGCTGTTCCACCTTTGGTTTGATGCTGGGGCATCCCATGACATCCACGTCTGAGGGGCGGTAGTGTTGAAGTGGAGCTTGAGTTGTGATCGCGGGATCGGAGCCCTGGCGAAGGCGATCTGCCATAAAGCGTTCCATGCGGTCCAGCCTTTGGCTGAGGAAGAGGATCTCTGCATCCTTGGGATCGAGTGGGTGGTCGAGTGGGGGTGAGGAAGAGGGAGAGGAGGACGGTGAAGGAGAGGGTTGTTCCATGGGGACCTGCTGAGAAGGGTGAACTCTGATGATGCGGGCAATGTCCCTGGCGAAACAAAAGAAGATAAGGGACAGATCTGGTGCCTGAGCAGAACTTATTTCATTTTTTCTCTTTTCACTTTCGTTTAGTTTTCTGGATTTTCGCATTTTATACAATAAAAGATAACACATATATGGTCCTGGCCCGACGGATAATGCCATAAAACATTCGGGCTCTCACAAAAGCACAAGAATGAAAGATGACAATGATGCAGGCAAAGAGTTTATTTTGAAGTAAAAAATGCTAGAAATGCGAGAGAGATATGCGTGGTGAGATGGAATGAGATCAGCAGCGACAAAGGCAGACAGTTCCTGCATGGCAATAGCCCCAAGGCGGTCGATCGACAGGTTCCGTTTCGCTTAGTATTCGGATCCATACTTGATATGAGCCTTGTCGCCAGCAACCTGCCTCCTGTTCCGCTTGTCGGTTCCCTTGGTGTGGTTCTGCTTGGACGAGAACTTGGTTCGAGAGCCCGACCGGAGGTTGACAGCAACACGAGCCTTGATATCCTCGGCCGACATGGGTCCAGTTGACTTTGTGGCTTTTGACCGGGTCGATCCTGCAACAGATCCTGCCACCTTGGGCCGGATGTCTCTGTAAGCCTTGAAGTTGCGGTTGTTCATGTCTTCCAATGAAGCAACAGAGTCGTTCTCCTCCTCTTCGTCTTCGTTGTCGCTGTCGTTATTTGAGGGTACAGATGGCTGATCCATTTGAGACAAATTGGCTAATGACTGGTAGTAAGGGGATCCCACATATATATAAAAAGACATATTGGTGTTAGTTACTGTCTTCGTCATTCAAATAGCACCACCAAATAGCGCCGCCGATTTTCCTGAACAGCAAACCCATGTCAACAAATACATACCAGCTTTCCGACTTGGACGGGTAAGTCCTCTGCATTCTTTGCACTGCCTTCGCCAACCTCCTCGGCTTCTTCTTCGTCCTCAGATTCTTCCTCGGACTCTTCTTCAGACTCCTCTTCATCCTCAACGTCGTCATCGCTGGGGCGATAAGCATCCTCACCCAACTCCAGGACCAACTGACCCTCTTCCTCTTGAAACTTCTCCAGCTCCTGCTGCTTCTCCTTGGTGAATCCTGAAGCTGCTACCTTGACATCCAGATCAAACTCACGCTCCGTATCCAATCTGAACTTTGGGTATAACAAACTCTCGTACTGGAACCGCCTCTTAAAATAGACTCGGATACACTCGACATCGCGGTTGAAGTAGAACTCAGCGTTGGGGTGGTCGATCGAGACCATCTGGGGGAAATCGATCAGGACAGCCTCTCCGTTCTCCCGGATCAAAATGTTGAATTCGTTGAAATCTCCGTGAATCAATCCGTAGCTGGCAAGTTTGACAATGAGGTTCATGAGTGTAGAGTAGAGTTTGCCGGGGTCGCCAACCTCGCTAATTTGGCGAAGGGGGAAGGCGTCAATGAGTTCCATAACAATGCAGTGGCGAGACTGGTCGATGGGTTCGGGGACTGGGAATCCGTGCTCGTGCAAGACCTTCATGAAGGCATACTCCTTTTCAGCGGCCAGCTTTGACATGTACATCCATGACGCCGACTTGCGGTTTTTGAGATAGTCGCGCTTCGACTTGATCGTACGGAAACTCGTACGACCCAATCTATAGCGAGTTCGGAACGAATGTTAGCCAACCGGTCAGGGATGAATTATATAGCTCAATCTTGTACACTCCTTCGCTTGTCATCCATGGCTATTTGAACATACCTCTGGATCTTTAGGACCATTTGACGCTCCTCCTCGTTGGCAACAATGTAAATATCTGACTCCTTTCCGACACCGATCTGGTTTCCGACAGAGTAGACGCTGTTGCGCTGGCAGAAGGTCCTTAAGGCCAAGTAGTCGTATCCTCCATATGTCAATCGATAACCGTCATCTAAAGGACAAGGGAAGCTGAGGTGAGCCGCTTATTTCAAGAGAATATATGTCTGTTATTGACTGTTCGTTTTATGACTCCTTTACTTACATTTGATATGCTGGACCTTGGCAACCAAGTTGCGTCTGGCCAGCTCACTCAGAACCTTGTGGGATCCTCCGTGGCGGAGCTTGGCGATTTGGGAGATAATGGCGGAAGGAACGACCTCGTGATTCTTGGAGCCCATCTCGGTCTATCAGTTGGAAAGGTGCAAGGGTGGAGGAAGGCATAAGTAAAATGCAGGGTTAAAATAGGAAAAGGAAGGAAGATGGCAGTTTATCCGAGCAGGGTGCAAGTTGGAAGTGGAACGTACGGCGGTTAGGACTCGAAAGTCCTCAGGGGTCATGTACCGAAGTACTTTGGCGTCTAACTTCATAGTGTATAAAGTTTGGGTGGTTGTGTTGGTGGTTGTGCAGTGGTTGTTGTTGCTTTGTCGTAGTAATGTTGTTGTAGTTGTTGTAGTTGTTATTATTGTTGTTGTTGTTGGTGTTGTTGCTGTTGTTGGTGTTGCTGCTGCTGTTGTTGTTGATGACCAATGATGTGATTGGCAGCTTGCTGAATGAAAGTGTGAGCTGTCTGTTCGTTGGTGTCTTCTGTTTGTGAACAAAAGAAAGGGTGACCTGAAAAACAAAAAAAAAGAAAATTTGTTTTGAAGGGTGGCTTGTGCTAGCTGAGTGACTGTTAAGTGGTTTGGTCTGCGCACAATGGACAGTATTCTTATTCTGCGCGGGCGAAAGCGTTTTTTTATTCCATTCCCCATTCCCTTGACAGACATCAAAAGCAGCAATGGACTCACTACCAGGAGCACATGCAGACGACCACCAGTCTACAACACTTACGCCAACACCAACACCAACACCAGACACTCAGGCTCCCGAGCTCACTGCTTCGGGAAAGCCTAAGAAGAGGTTCGTCGGAAAGGCAAGGAGGCTTCAGCAAGAACGTGGAAGCATAGACCCAACAACCATTGAAGACTCCGCCATCGCCATTCGTGATGGTAAGAAGCACCATCCTTCGGTTGCTTGCTCACGTTCTTAACATGTATTCTATAGCTTCATTCTGCTCTCTGTCTAAATACCTACTCTTTTTCATCTATTGTGCCAATAGGGTCCAAGAGTTCGAATGGCCCCAGCAGACCAAGGGTTGCCAACCAGATTCCTGATGATATCTTGAATGACGCTAAACTCAACCTGGCCATTGAACAGCTCCCCGCCAACTACAGCTTCGAAATCCACAAGACCGTTTGGAGTGTCCGCAAAGCTGAAGCCAAGAAAGGTACACACAGAATGAGGGCGCCACCCTATCAAGCTCATATGGGTGTTCATGTTCAATGTACCTTTTTTCTCACGCTCAATGCTCTCACATTCGTCTCCAATAGTCGCGCTGCAGTTCCCAGAGGGTCTCTTGATTTTCGCCTGCACCATCTCAGACATCTTGGAAAAGTTTTGCGGGGTCGAGACCTTGGTCATGGGAGATGTAACCTATGGCGCCTGTTGTATCGACGATTTTACAGCCGTTGCCCTCGGGTGCGATTTCATGGTGCATTATGGCCACAGTTGTCTCGGTATGTAATTTATTTCCTCAATCGAACAGCTCGCTACAAATCCCACATTAGACACGCACATCTAACCCAAAGCTTTCATTCCAAATAGTGCCTGTGGATATTACAACAATCAAGACGCTCTACGTCTTTGTGGACATCGGGATTGACGTTCAACATTTCATCGCCACCGTTCGCAAGAACTTCGAGAAAGGCTCCAAGCTGGTCTTGGTCGGCGTCATTCAATTTGTTCAAGCAATTCAATCGGCAAGGAGGGAGCTTGACATTGACTATATCCTCAACGTCCCACAAGCCAAGCCCCTTTCACCGGCAGAGATTTTGGGATGCACATCACCTCAACTTCCCAAGGATGAAGACGCACTGATATTTGTGGGCGACGGTCGATTCCATTTGGAGTCCATCATGATCCACAACCCCGACCTGGCAGCGTTCCGGTACGACCCCTACGACAAAAAGTTCACTAGAGAGAGATATGACCATGCCGATATGCATTCGCTCAGGAAGCATGCAATCGAAACAGCCAAGAAGGCGAAGCGGTTTGGGCTCATCCTTGGTACTTTAGGTCGACAGGGCAGCACATCTATTCTTGAGGTACGTGCTCGTTATCGTCGATCAAATATTTGGGCTTGGGTTCTCACAGATTATCACAATATGGGTGAGAGAATCTTATAATTAACCTCATCTTTTCCGCCTTCTTCGCATAATAGCACATGGAGTTAAAGTTGAAGGAGCGTGGCTGCGACTATACCATTATTCTCCTGTCAGAGATCTTTCCAGGAAAACTGGCGATGTTTGAGGACATGGACGCCTTTATTCAGATCGCTTGCCCTCGCCTGTCCATCGATTGGGGATACGCATTTTCAAAGCCCTTGCTGACACCTTACGAAGCATCGGTTGTCTTTGAGTCCGTTGCCTGGCAGGAAGTTTATCCTATGGATTTCTATTCGAACGATTCTTTGGGCCCCTGGACTGTGAATCATGGCAGAAACATCCGCAGAAAGGCGGCAGGAGCGGTAGGCGCAGGAAAATCTCTGTTGAAGAGCAAAGCCAAGACCGATGGCGACGAGCTTTCAACAGGAACTGTGCCCCAAGGCACAGTGCAATCATGAACAACCGCACCATCATAGGCGTGGACAGTCATTGTAATAAATACGATTAAAAAAATGAACTACGAAAACATGCAATGCCCATTTAAGCCCTTCGTTCTCCTCATATCCAACGCCAATCTCACCTCACCAAGCTGGACTAGTGGACGACCTTCAAACTCAGGCACCAACTTTGCAGTTTTGTTAGTTCATTTGTACTAAAATTTATATTTACTCTGGTCACGAATGATTTTCGTGTTTCACAAATGGTCGGAGTCGCTGCATAAATACTCTTCGGTGCCACCTCTCCCCATCATGCATCACATCAACTCCTGAGGGCTCTTGTAATCCACGCATAACCCGCAATCTTGGCCACTTCTCTGCCATCCACTGCAGCTCGCTTTCATCGATCCTGTGGTCGACACTCTGGAACCCAAACACCTCCAACTTTTCCAGTGTAGCGAGTCGATCCAGCCCTGAGGCGAGAGAGAGCTCTAATGTGTCCGGGAAGAGATCATCGTATTCGACATAGAGCTGTGCTCCACGTCGGATCGTTAGTCTTCCTGGACGGAAGCTTAGGTTTCGGTACTCCATTCCAATGTCCAACACCTTGAGACTGGTCATTTTTGCCAACTGGTCGTAGATCTGGCGGTGCTGCAATTGGACAGATTCGCGGTACTTTTCGATTGCTGCAGACTCATTCTCTGAGAGTGGCCGTGCGATCCGTTGGAAGAGCAACCCCTGCCGGTAATCCATCTCTTCCTCCTCCGACAGCCGCCTGACGCCGATAATTTGACACCGGAAGACCTCGAGTCCTTGACAGATCCAAGGGTATGAGATCAGATGCTCAGCCGCGATCTCCATGTGGACGGCATCGAGCACGGTCAGATGACGACACGTTTCCAGAAGCATCCCTGTGGCGTTAACGACGCTGTGTCTTTTTATGGTCCGGGTGATGGTTCGTTCGAGTGTCGACTCACGGAAAACCTGTAGATGTGGGCAATGGGCGATAATGGCCATGGCGACCTCGATAGTTAGAAAGGGGACACTGAGGTCCGTCAATTCGGGACTGCAGCTCAGAATGTCAAACAGTACGAGCTGGTCGTCGGGCTCTGCATTTTGACGAGCAAAGTCAAATCGCTGGATTCGGGTCGTTGGACGGACGAAATCGTCTGGTGTGGAACGAGCGACGTATTCTGTGCACCGGCCTTCAATCCAGAGGCGTCGCAGGTTGGGTAAATATTTCAGGAGGGTGAAGTAAGTCTGCTTGCCAATGCTGCCAGTAATCCGCAAGCCGACAAGACTGGCCACAGGCGAGGTCAACAATAACGAATCCTCGATCGAGGCAGGAGGGCCAGCATACATGGGATAGATGAACTCATAATGTTGTAGTTGAGGCAACCGATCCAACAGAGTCTGAAGCCGCCCTCCGGGGTGCCAACTAAGGGCCAGTCTCGACAAGCGCGGGCAGGAGACGAGGAGGTCTATCACAGGAGCCTGAGTCGAGAAGTGCTTGAATTGAACAATCTCCAAATCCTGCAGCGTGTCCGAGTTTTGTTGAATGAGGCGCCAGAGCCATTGAATCGCTATCCAGGTAGGCTCATACTGCGGACGCAGAAACGGTGGCGTGGTTGTCAGTGCAGGTGGGTCTGATAGGACGATGTGGGTCATCTCCACGTCATCGCTGATACCCAAATCCCCCATGATCAGCGACCTCAGTCGTGTGCAGCTCCCGGCGGCAGAGGCAGTGTCGAGGGAGATGGTCCATTTTGTGCAAAGGCGACGGATCAGGTGGCCATAGGTCGTAAACATTTTCAATATCCAGTCGGCATCCCGCTTCTTGTTACTTCTGTTATTGCGCCATATTGGTACTCCGATAACTAGCGGCCAGGAGTATGTACTGTCGTCAAAGGTCTCGTAGAGGTGTGGAATGAAAAGTGTGTTCCATTCACGACAGACAAGGATACAGTGGAGGAGATCAGGTGATGACAGGTGTGTTCCGATCATGTCGGTTGCCTCGGACATGAATAACACCTTTGAGGGCGAGTCGTGGAAATCGCGTTTTGTCATGTCAGGAGGAGGGTGGGAAGGGGTGAATGGGCAAGGACGAAGCAGAGAGCGAAGGAAGGAGATAAAGTGGAGTCCATTGACGAGTTCGTGAACGAAAAAGCTCCACCAAAATGTTCGAATCTCACCTATTTGAACTGGTTGCACTAGGGCACCGCAGTCACCCCACAATGCCGCAGTCAACCCAGCATGCCGCAAACGGAAATGGAGCGCTTTTGCAATCTGAACAACGATATGCAACACGAAGAACCGTTGCACGCTTGGAGGGGCAAAACCCTAAAGCACATGCTGTAACAAATAGATACAGGACAATTCGGGGTTTATTGGGTAGATTAGAATCGGTAGCCAGGCCCTGAATGCTGGGCAAACTCCATGATCAGCTGGCTTCGACTCCTCCGCGGCGGTCGACCACGAGAATTGGGCATCTTTCGATACCCTCGCTCACAGTCATCCTCATCCTCTGCGGCCTCATCAGAGTCAATGCCTGAATCAATATCCAGTGCAAAGAACCGGCTATCCCTCTTGAAACCCCACTCGCCCGAGTTGCTAGCACTGGCACTGCCATTGCTACCGTCTTTTCCATCCAGGGCTGTATTTGTGCTGGTTAATGGATGGAAGGTTTGAGCACTGATCCGGCGTCGGTCGGATGCGGTCGAGCTGCCCTTGCGGGCGATTGCAAAGGTCGCTGCGAAAGTGAGTGTCGCTCGGTCGGATACCACTGGGGTGTGAGGTTTTTTCGACGTGATGCGCTGGGAGAAGAACATGTCGCGAGAACTCTTGCGGACTCGGGATGGGACTGCAATGCTGCGATCGGTCAATGGAGCGCTCTCTTTTTCTTTGTTTCCCGTGTGCACGCGGGAGAACAATGTCGACGCTTGTGCGGGCGGGGTCGCCAAAGCATGAGTGAAGAGTCCTGCACGACCCAAGGTAAGACTCTTGAACTTGTTGGGTACAGTGGCGTGAGACTTCTTCTCTGGCTGGACGACCAGAGACTTGAGGGTAGCTGGCTTCTGGGTCTCGAGTGGTGGAAGCAGGCCTATGCAGTCGAGGATGGGGGTTTGAACGACAGACTTGGACTTTATCCTGTGGGGCCACGACAACAATGGTAGTGGGGCTGAAGGAGACAAACTGGCCTCCCTTTTGTTGTCAAGAGGGGCTGGAAGAATGTCAGCAGAGACCATCTCCTTGCCATGCTTGAGATCATCTTTCTCCATCTCCTCTTTGTCCTTGTCCTTGCTTCCATGGCCATTTGAGTTAGAGGACCTCCTCAACTTGTTGAAAACCTTGGACGGCATCCTTCGTGGCGTACGATCACGAGACGTGGAACGCAAAGGTTCAGCAGGAGAGCAAGGGAGCGCAAAGAACTTGCCGGCATCTTTTCGGTGCTGAGACTCTGTTGCCATACACTGCTCCAGAAAGTCGTCTGTGATGTCAAACTCGACTCCAACCTCAAACTCGCCACGGCTGCTGTATCCGCCTCCAGCAAAAAGTCCATTTGAGCAACCGCCTGTCATGTTCAGGCTGCGACGACTTGACTTCGACACGATCGAATGGACACCCATCGAATTTGGACGCGAGTCTGCACCGCCACTGCCGTTGCCTGCCGCATCCATAGGTAAGTGTCGCATAGGCTCAGCCCATGTCTGAAGACGCTCCTCATCTGCCAAATAATCCTGGCTCGGCGTCCTCCGGAATGAAGGACGCGAGATCAACCGACGGCCTTTACTCCTCTCTAGACTGCTGTTCGCCGATATAGAGACGACCGTTGCTCCTGCTAATGCTGTTGATGTTAGTGCAGTCGGCGAAAAATTATCTAGAATCTCCATCCCCTGTTCGTCCTCGTCCTCATCGTGATCTCTGTCACTGTCACTCATCCCTGCAAAGACATCCGGTTCGTCACCCCAAGTGTCGTCCAAGGAGGGTTGTCGAGGGTGGAGATGATGCTGGTTGCCGTGCTTCTTTTGTCGCTTCCGGGTCAGGTACTCAGGGTTAATGATCCAGCACATCCGGCTAGGATCAAAGATCATCTTTCCTGCAACCTGTGTCCGCTGCTTTGAATGCTGGTTCATGTTGGAGATCAAAGCTGGGCGGATAATCGCGGTGGGCGAGTAGGCTGACAATGAAAAGTACTGCGAGTAAGGAGATGTCGGCGAAGGGGATTCAAACGCTGCCACAGTGGTTGTCGATGGGGTGTACTGTTGTTGTCTGGGGCTGTTGCCATTGTCGTTATCTTCCTCCACATCGTCATCAAACTCGTTCAGGATATGATCGTTCCCGTTCCACATCTTCGAATCTGGATGGAACACCATTCCAGAGACCTTGCGCACCTTGGTCTGAGAGAGATCCCGAATCAAAGTTGGTCCACTGAAAGCCTTCTTCTTCAGTTTCTGTCCCTTCGCGTTTGGTTCCTTGTCCTTTTCCACCAGCTCGACCTTTGGTTCCTAGAACGCGTATACACCAAAAAAAAAAAAAAAAAAAAAAAAAAAAAAAACTTAAAACCACGTAACGAGAACCTTGCTCAACGAATCTTGTTCCAGTGACGCTGCAACATGCAGGATATACCTCAACAGGTGCTGTAGTTTGGCTAAAGATGTCAAAGAGGGATCTCCTGATGGACTTTGCCTTTTGGACCTTTGTTGTCGACACGTCTGATTCTGCTCGATGCACTATATATAACATAAAAAATGCCGTTATTAGTCATCCGTTCTTCGCAGTAAGAGCAGTAGCAAGATCATGGCGTTGCATAATATGCAAGTGTAATTAAATTTTACCTTCAGGCTTTTGGCTCTCCCTCAGGTTGACCATCGACTGAGGTTTACGCAACCAAGCAGACACTCGATCCAACGACTGTCGTCGCCCCTGAGCCGCTGCAACTGCCGCTGCCATCTGCATAGCCTGCAGTCGGTCTCTGTCCAGCAATTGTTGATTTTGCAGCTGTTGCTCTCCAGATCCAAATGTTGGCAAGTTGTCAATCCGGTCCAGCTCGGACCCGTCGCTCAACATGCTCTGCTTAGGTGAGCGTTTCAGGAACCAACGCCCCGAAATTATTTCTCCGGCCGCCACGGGTGATGTTGCTGCCATCTCGCCCAAGTCCGACGTCGTCGATCCACCCTCAGAGATCTCGCCCAGGGATAATGTACCGAAACGGGATGGCGATCTGCTCTCCTTGGCTGTCTCTGTCGAAGTGACAGCGGAGCCCCAATCTGTGAACGAAGACGACCTTGAAAGCGATGGTCTCGGTTGAAGATAGTTGTGGTGGCGAGGATGCTCGTTAAAGTCATCTGTCAGGGGTGTTGTTCGCTCGATGGGTTTGAGTTCCGACGCCTTGGAATCCTGAACCGCAGATGATTCTGGAAGAACAGTGATGGACGCGTGAAAGGCTGGGATTTGTCCACGGATAGAGAACCTTGGACGAGTGAGATCCAGTCTCCGCACAAATGTGCGAAGGCTCGAGAAGGGTCTTCCGGCGTTTGTCGATAGCTGAGGTTTGGGAGCGACTGCTGCCTCTTCGGCTGTGACTGGCAATGTTGTTGTTGGTGGTTCAGGCTGCGAGGGCTCTGTGAAAGAGACTGAGCGCATGGCCAAAGTACCCGCTTTGAAGCTGGGAAGGTCGTCCTTGTTGACAAGTGCTGAATTCCTCCTGGATGATGATAGTGCCGATGGAGCTGACGGAACTGAAGGAGTCGAGGCGAAAATGCTGTCATTGTACAGCATGGTCTGTCCTGATGTGGGCAGACCTGATCCAATCCTGGCGCCTTCTTTCCTAGAGATGCTGTTGCGTTTTAGTCGTGGAAGCGATGACTTTGAAGAGATATGTCGAAGAGGCAGGTCGATGTGTGTCGAATGGGCCCGCGAGAGACTGGCTGCTGGCGTGACAGGTCGGGAGGTATCGGTGGGTCCTCGGCAAAGTCGAGGTATCCTTGACGGTAAGGCAACAAAGTCCTTGAGCGGCACAACCTCCCTCTGAACGCGTGAGCTGCTGCGTTCCCGTCCTGCAATGACCGGCCTCACCACCAAGTTCTTGTTGCGCCCCTTGTGATTAAACGCGTCGTCGTCGTTGATCTCAAGACCATCCCAAAAGTCGTCCTGCTCTTCCTGTAGTCGAGACTCCTTCCCAAATATCGAGGGTTCCATCTCGACCTTGTACTGCCGGTGCGTCACCAGCCGGAGATCTTCCATGGCCTCTGGAAACTCAATGCCATCTAGGAGGTTGTCATCATCATCGGCCACGCTCTCCCTTGATATTGATTCGCTACTCGAGAGGCTGTGGCTGTCCTGGGGTGTTCTAATGTCGAATTCGTCAAAATCCGATCCAGAGTCTCGCCATTGTAGTAAGGCGGGTTGTTGTCGGTAGCTGACAATCTCCTGCGGTCCCGATCGAGTCTGTAGGCATGGAGACATGCGCAGCCGAAATGATCCAAAGTCGTCGGGAATCTCGAAGGCATCGTCCAAAGTCTCGATCTTTTCCGATTCTCCATGCTGGCCACCGGTTGCCGTTTCAACATTGTCACCGTCGACGCCACCTTCTGATGGTGATGCCGTTCCTGCAGACTGATACCGAAGTATATGCGGGGTCCCTGACTTTGGTATTGGCGACACTGGCTGACCTTCCACGCCCGCTGCTGTCGCGGCGACACGATCACTGGTAGTGAGAGACCGTTCGCTGTCCGTGTCCCAGCTGTCAATGGACTCCAATGTCTCCGGCATAAATGCCGACTTTGCGAGGATGGACCGAACATGGTTGAAGTTCAAATCCTCCTCGGGAACTTCCAAATCCTCGAGGTCGTCGACCCATGCCTTGACGCGCTTGATAGGATTGATCCTGGTGATGATTCCGGTGTATGCCGGCAGGTTGGAGAGCATCATTTCCTGAGTAATGGTGGTCATTGATTTGGTCGAAAGCGTCGGACTGTCCTTGTCACCCCCACCACCATCGGCTGATTTGTATTTAGAGAGAAGTGATCCTGTGGAGGTGGCAATGGTCGAGGGAGCAGTAACAGAGGCAGCGATTGCCCGAGGAGAGGAAGAGGCCGAGGAGGCAGGCGACAATGACGATATTTTTGCAACCTCTGCTGCAGGTGTTGTTGGTGCTGTTGTTGTTGCGGATGCTCTCGTGGTACAATAAAGACTCTGTCCATCGTGTCGTTTCCGAAAGGTTGGGGATAAAGATAGACCAATGTCTTTTGGAAAGACCTCCGCATTGTTGTTGCTGTTTGTCGTGTGCTTGATGTGAGTCGAGGAAGAAGGAGAACATGACTGAGGGTCGACTTTTTCGTACGATCTTGTGGAACCATAATGACGCTTGGTTTTTTGGTGGAGGTGGTCTTTTTTGTGAAGATTCCACAAGGCGTAGTTTGTGGTGGTCGTTGCGTGTAATGGGCCGGGAAAAACTGGTGGAAGTGAGGACGTCGTTGTTGTGTGCGTTGTGAAAGGCTGAGGGAGTGTGAGAGGAGGACGAGAGAGAGGTAAGGGCGGCGTTGTTGTGGGCACGGTAGGAAGAGAGGGAGGAGGAGGAGGGGGTGAGCGTGCCTGGAAGTAGTCGCTCTGGTCAGAGCTGTCGGAGAGAGGCGACTGCGGGCAGTGGCGTTGGAGCAGCTCAAAGATCTGGTCCAGGGACTGGTGGGCATCCAGTTCAAACGCATCGTCCCACCGCTCGGTCTCTTGTGTGGCGGCGTCCATGATGGTCCCTGTTGTCTTCTCTATCCGTTCTTCTCGCTCTTCTGGGTGTTGTCGTGGGGTATAGGGTTCGTTATCCTCCGCTGTCTCTGTCATCATCACCTCTACCTGTCTGCTGAGTCCCTCGTCGTCATGCTTGCCCCTGGCACTGTTGCTGCTATTGCTGTTGATGGTTATGTTGTAGTTGTTGTTGCTTCCACTTATAAGCCCGCTGTAGTTATTGGTGCTGTTGCTGAGGCGGAGGCCAGCTGTCATTTGTACCTGGGGAAAGTTTAAAGCCGAGAGATTTTTTTTACTGGAAGGGCGAGTAAAAGGAATAAAAGAAAGGTAGGCATAAGGAAAGTGATCGTGTTGAGGATCAAGAGTTGAGAGGAAGAACAAGCAGAGCAATTGAACAAGGAGAAAAGAAAGAGTTGGTATCCAACGAGAGGAAGAGTAGGACGAGAATGAAGGAGCGAAGAGCACTAACCTGAGATTGAACAAATAGGACGTAAGAGATTAAAGTGGACGTGGGATAGAGAATGGGACAGACGGAGAGACAAAGGTCGAGATGTAAATAGATAGAGTGTGTGTGTGTGAGAGAGAGAGAGAAGCAGTCCTTGCTGGAGTTAGGTGGAGGAGGATGACGAGAAGGAAACCAAAGAGGAAGGATACGAGGGGATAGGTGACAAGACGTCGAGAGCAAGAGGAGAGAGAGAGAGGGGGAGAGAGAAGGGGGAGGGCTAGGAGCGAAGGAAGAAGAAGAGTTGGTTGTGCAAGGTAGGAGAAGGAGAGAGAGGAACGATGACGAGCTGACAAGGATAAGGATAAGGATAAGGACAAGGACGAGGACAGTGTAGGATGCAATGGTTCAAGCCTGAAGTCAGAGAGAGAGAGGGAGGGAGGGAGAGAGAGAGAGAGGGAGGGAGAGAGAGGAGAGAGAGGATAGAGACGTGCGAAGAAGGTATAGACAATTACAGTGTGAAAAGAGAGGAAGAACGAAGAACGAGCGAGAAGGAGGTGACAAGTAAATAGGAGAGTTAATAAAAAGAACCAAGAATAGAAGACAGAAAAGTGAAAACTAAAAAAATAAGATCGCTACAATAAAGCGCTTGTGAATGGAGGTGTTTTCTGTCCCTTTCGAGGAATGACAAAGGTGAATGAAGAAAAGAAGAGAAAAAGAGAGAGGAGAAAGAGTCGGTCTTTGACTCCCCTGCCTTCCCTGGCAAGCCCTGCTTTGTTCAAGAGACAAGCAAACGTGAACAACATCAACAGCTTCATGCTTCATGCTAATTGACTAGACCCTTTTCCCCCTTGATATCGTGCCGAATACAAATACGCGTTCGTATGGATGATGGTCTGGCCTCACTTCATCACCACCATCCAAGACATATCACACTGATCATTACCGTATCAGTCTCACCTTTATTTCTCACTCTGCTCACTGTTCTCTGTCCAAGGACGCCCTTTTGCCTTCACCCACTCACCTACACACACCCCTCCATCCTGAGAAAAGAGTCAAAGAGTCATCCACATTCAACCAACAGTCCTCATTCATTCCATATACTCAATCTAACAATGGAAGCACTGACATCCTTCTTCAAGTCCGTCCTCCAGTCCTCCTCGTCAACAACTGACACAGCCGACAAGGACGACCAGCAGAGCCAACAGGACGGGCTTCTTCTATGGCAACCAGAGATACCCTTGTCAAAGGAACCATCCGAATCTTGGCAAGTAGTCTCTCTCACTCTCCCTTTCTTTCTCTCCCCTTTCTTCTTTTTTCTCCCCTCCTATTCACTTTTCTTCACCCCTTCTCGCTCTCTTTCCCTCTTTTCACTAGTCTTCTCTCCCCTGCGTGATATATGTGTGTGTGTGAGTGTGTGTGAGAGTGGTTGTGTCCTTTCCTGGAACAAAGGCAGACAAGAAAGTCGTCTAATGATAATGATGATGCCCGGACGTGTTGTGCCAAACCAAAAAAGAAAAAAAAAACTGATGATAACGAGACAGAAAGAGAGAAGGGGGAGAGACGGATCGCTCCATGATCCTTACTTCTCTCTCGCAGGCTTGCCTTACCCATGTTCTTGCCATCCTCCGTCTTGACCCCTTTTTCGCCCTGACTCTCTCGTTCTCCCACTCTCGCTCAGTCTTCATTCTACTCCTTCCCGCGCCTCTCCCCTTTTTTTTTCTTGGTGTCTGTTTCTTCTTTCCTTCCCTGCCCACAAACAAAGTTATCCATTCGCCGTTGTTGTTATTGTTCAGCAGAATTCATTAGAGGCGAGAGTGAGGTGAGGGAAGCAAAGGCAATACGAGACAAGGCAAGTAAGACCGGTCATGGTGCCATGACCTGGTCACAACGCCATTCGTTTTTTCGCAACAGCCAGACGAAAGCGCAAGGGCATGTGCAGCACAAAACAGGGCTTTTCCTTCTCTTTTTTTTTTTTTTTTTTTTTTTTTTTTTGGCAATGATTTAATTGTTGGGGTATATCGGCACACGAGATACAACGCTACTTTCGACTACTACTCCACACGCATATAAGCAGCAACAACATGGGTTCTTTTCGGAGGCTATTCTTGGACAACACACACACACACACAAACTTCCGGGAGTGATGATGTTGCTGAGCAGTCGTAAAATGAAAACGGAGAAAAGTCGCCCAGCACCTTTTCATGATGCTAACCGGACCCTTTCCCTTCCCTTCTCTCCCTTAACCCTCTCTTTATTTATGCCTATTGTGCCGACCCCTGGCACTGTCTGGTCTCGTGAAATGAATGAATGAACTTGGCCCGTTCGTTCGTTGACGCTCTCGTAATATTAATGTCCACTATGCGCTCTGCCCAATTGGACATCGTGCGGTGATGTGGTTTGGGGTTGTTACTGTTGATATTGTACCTGTCCTGCCTATTGCTCTGTGTATTTATCACATTTAGGGTGACGATGACCGAACTCGTTCTGCCGTTTCACTGCGATGGTCGGGGATATTGTCTAGGAGGTATGTCCGACATGTATATATCTCGTTCACTGTCTTGGCTCATCATCATCATGGGTCTAGACGCGATAATCGCTCTGACCCGACGCGGTTATTATTCATATATAGGAACGGTGCTTTCGTGGATTGATATCGCAGCAGGAATCGCAGCCAAGAAACATGGCATTTATCCTGCTGTAATAAGTCTTTACTAGGCCTCGCACACACACACACATGCCCCACAACATCTTGGTCATGTTGGTACACGTTCTCGTATTCCTCTAGGCTTGATGTACACTTTTTATCAAACACTAACAACATCCTACTTTCTCGACTCTCTACTCCGTAGGTGACGAGGTGTGTAGACGCAGTGCACTTCTTGGGACCTATCACAACAAAGAACATTGTCATTATCCAGGCCTGTGTCAACCGCGCATGGAAAACTTCAATGGAAGTAGGAGTCCGAGTCATGACCGAGGACCTCCTTTCGGCCGACCGCCGGTACTGCTGCCACGCCTATTTGACATTTGTTGCCTTGCCACAAGCACCCCTTTCTACCTTAACCACCAGCCCAACTTCTCAGGGCCAAGCTCAAAAGCAACAGGAGCAGCAGGATTCAGCGGCTGCGAAGGCAGTCTTGGTCAACTCTCCTGCAGCAAGACGATACAGCTTCTCGCTCCCAAGCTCCAACAAATCGGGATCTAAATCGGATGGTCATAACACTAACAACCAGCGGAAGATCCAATTGCCTGCCATCGAACCCATCACCCACATCGAAATGGAACGCTACACCCTCGCCCAATCCCGTCGCGAGGCCCGTCTCCTCCAAGCATCCAGCGAATCCAAACTCGAGGAAGACCAACTTCTCAGCGACGTCCGTGACCAAATGCGACACTGGAACGTCTCTCAAATCAACCACCCGCGTACTCAAAAGCTTCCGCCCTCGTTGGTGGATGGGTCACCTCAGATTGCTATGCAGGCCACGTTTTCAGAGTCGGCACAGTTAGTACTTCCACAACATGCCAACTCGCTGTCGATTACTTTTGGTGGCCAAGTCATGAAGTGGATGGAAAACGTGGCTGCAGTGTCGGCAAGTCGATTCGCAAGGGTTCCTATCGTCACCGCCAGTATCGACTCCCTGCAGTTCCATAGGAAAACCATGATTGGTAACTTTCTTTGCTCTTCTCATACATATCTTGCACCTGTTCTTTTCGTTGCTGAAAACATATATCTGCGAGTTCAAAGACTAAGCCGAAAAGTATCGTCGATATCAAAAAAAAATAATTAGGCGACTGCTTGACGATGCGGTCGGTCGTAACTCGTGTGTTCAGGTCTTCGATGGAGATCTATGTCTTTGTTGACAGTGAGAACCTTGTAACAGGAAAGCAAACCTTCACCAACGAAGCATTCTTCTCCATGGTCGCCCTTGAGCCGTCTCCCTCGTTATCACCCATCAAAACCAGTCTCCCGACACTATTTGCCGCCTCAGATCTTGAGCGATCCCTTTCGGAGGCCGGAGAGAAGCGCCGCTTGGGGAGATTGCAGCAGAGACGAGAGTTGGTCGAGAGGGAGATGCACGGCGTGTTGCATACACCTACAATGGAGAGGGACGAGCATTCTCTCAGGGTCGTTGATCACGGAGTCATTCATCACACACATGTAGAGTGAAAGACGGGAAAAAGCACTGTGAAATAAACGACGAGGGAGAATTGCTTTGGAGAAAGCTGAATGTCAAAGAAATAGCTTCATTGTGTAAAAATAGTTGAAAGTGGCTATCAGAAAATACGCGACAGTCGTGTCTGCTTCGTTTATGCCTGACGAATGACCAGACCCCAAACAGCCAGCACTAAAACACCATTGAAAGCAATAGGTACACAGAGTTAATACCATGTTATAGGTTTGATTGCATGTAAATACGTGCTCTGCTGAATGATATAAAGCAGGAAAGTTACCTTTTTGACAGCTGATGCGGCAGTGTCGGGCACGGTCAGAATCCCATTCACCAGCAGCATAGAACGCACGAGCGTGCTTCAAACAGGACTCTTCATGGAATTTCTGGTATAAGCGCGTGTTAATCGTTCTCTGTTTGTGTGCGAGCAGAAAGAAAGGTGTATCCAATGTCAGTTACTATTACATATAATAACTTCGGTAGCGAAGGAACAATGGAACCATCTTCTAAATAATTAATTGTTACCTCGCGCTCGGTAATCTCAAGCTCCTTGCGCTCGCCGCCGTGGATGGTAAAGTCATTAGGGAGGACCCAGAAGTCAGCTCCGCTCAGGTACAGCTCAAATAAGCAAGCCGCCTGATTGTTTCCGAACCGCTCAGGGCACCAGAGCATCTTGTCACGACGCATCACAACTGAAGGTCCAAAGTAAGGGTCATAGTTTTGGATGGCGCTCAAGCGGGTCTGGGTTGCCCAGGTGTTGAAGTCGACGTTGCGGATGGTCCTCTTCCATGTCTTTTCCGAGAGGATGACCTTGCCATCGTGGACGTGGCTCAACAATGTCTGTTTCTCTCGAGGCAACTGGTTGTACTTGAGCACGGGAACCAGTTCCACCGCTGTCCCCTCATCCTCAAGTGTGCTGGGAAGAGCGCCACCCTCGGAAGTCATTGAGACGTTGAATCCAGGCACAACAAAGACGTTTCCGGTCCTCAGCTTCTCCATCCATTGAGGGTAGTCCCTGAAGCTCTTCGAGATATCCGTCGCAGGGAGGGAGCCATCGGCATCCAGCAAAAGAACGAAATCTGTCCTTGCGAAAAATCGCGCCAAGTTCCTGTGGAGGTTGGATTGTTGCTGGACAGTGGTCGTGAGGGGTCGCCGGTGAGTCTGGGGGGTGGTGATGAGATGAATGTCGACCTGGCTGCGGATCTTGGGGTTGCTGGCCCTCATCGTATGAAGTCGACTAATTGGGTTCGATGCTCCTGGTTCGTCTGATGGGTGGTCAATATGCAGCACTGCCGAAATAGGGCCTATGGTATTACGATTGGATAGTAGACATGCGGTCAGCTTATATGGTACTTTCGCCCCTATGTTCCGTTATTGTTGCTCCTGACATGGGTATTTCCTTTTTCTTGCGCTTGTTGCTCCTTGTTTCCTAATGCTCTTGTTTGTTCTTACTGTTTTGTTCCATTTCATAGTCGCTTGCTCTTCTTTTGTTCCTGTGTTGTTCTTGTGTTGTTGATGTCTGTTTGTAGCAGTGACGGATGGGTGCATAAAGCACAGCCCCAATCCTAAGCCCAGCCCAATCGATCCCTCAAACACTACTACTGTGCAGCATTGCATAAACCAATCCCTCCAGGCTTGCTTTTCTTCTCCTTCTGTCTTCCTTTGTTGTGTCCCCTGAAGATTGACCCTTGTGTCCTTTTCTCCCGTCAACACCACATATAGTGAGTGAGTGAGCATTCCATTTACCTGGAAAGTGTTCGACGAGGCGGATAAGTTCAGAGAGGTCGTCCTGGGGGACAAAGGTGGCGAGAGAGATCTCGTCGGGACGAGGGGATCCCTCTGAGCGGACAAAGAAGGGCTGGATGTTGTCTGTGATATCGGGTGTGCTGAAGGCAAACATCTTTGACAGGATCACGCTCGTCGACAGCTCTGACACCACCGAGTAAGGTTTCTCTATTGTATGTTGTTGGATGGTATTAAGTGTGAGTAGGTGTCCGCTGGAAGTGTTTACGGATACTGCAGTTGTTGTTGTCGTTCATGGTAATATGCTGTTGCTGTTGTTGCTCAGTTTTATGTTGCTGTTGTTGGTAATGAAACCATTGCTTAACAAAGAGAAAAGTGATAGAGGAACAAAGCAAGAGACATAAAGCACTCCTGGTGTGAATAGGAACGAATTGGTTTTTGTTGAATATCTTGCACCACTTCCTTCTGCATTAGTGTCTCACACCCAAGCCGCTTCAAAAAAAAAAAAAAAAAAAAAAAAAAGAGTGCACTGTGCGTTTTCATTCAAAGCCTTAAACTCGCTCATAAGTGTTACCTGGATCATATGTACGCTCGAGCTCATAGTGCGGGTAGACAATAGCCTCAGGGACTGCCTCGAAAGTAAGGAGATGTTTTAGAGTAAAGATGGCACAGAAGCCGACGTAGGCGATAAAGACGGTCTTGGATGCCCTTGACCTGATGAGTCTTCCGACGATGCTATTGTTTGATGATCCTCCTACTCCTCCTGGGCGGTTGTTGTTTGCACCAGCTGTTGGCAGCAGTGATGCTGGTGTTGGGGACTTGTACATTATTTGATTATGTTGTCGTTATTGTTGTTAACCTCCTCCTTTGTTGATTAGTCTTGTAGTGTTGTGGTGGGTTGAAAGGGATGTGTGAGTGTGGAAGAGTAAAAAAAGGGAATAAGGGGGAGAGGGGAAGTGTGAAATATGTGGTTGGGAGTGAGTGAAGTGAGTGATCAAGTAGGGGGGCTAAGAGTGGATGCCAAAAGGGACAAAGAGCGATGGGAGAGTGAGAAGTAAGTAGGAGTGATGTGCGCTCTGGGAGTGAAAGGAGCAGAGGTGAGGTGTGATTGATGGTAGGGTGTGAGGGTGTGAAAGAGTGTGAAAGGGTGTGAAAGGGAGAGAAGAAAGAGAAAGAAAAGGTGCGACAAAGAGAAGAAGGGGAGAGCAAGAATGAGTTCAAAACTATGATGCCATCTATTCCTTGTGAACGCAACCACTGGTGATACTAATACTTATCCGTATCCATACTAGTTCACCCCTTACACGCACAAGCGCTCAAAATATAATAAAGTGCCTTTTATGCTGTACAACTAGGCTGCTTATGGTATCATGGATAGGAAGGATTGGTACTGCTATACTGCCGTTGGCGCTCAATACTCGACTCTCATCGCCGACTGGACGTGGGCCTGCCACGGTTGCGCTTCAGGTACTGTTCGTGTGTCATCGAAGGCCGGAACTGGCTCGGGAATGCAATTGGCGTCTCGTTGTTGCTGCCAAACAGTCCGTTGTTGCCTGAACCCCACGAACTCGTCGTAAACCCATTTTGGTTGTTGTTGTTGTTGTTGTTGTTGCCACTCATCAAGTGACCAAACATCGCCGACGACAACACTCCTCCACTACCTCCACCAAACATCGAAGCCGACGAAGAAGAATGCTGCTGGGTAACAATATCACTGAACCCAGCAGACGCTAGTTCCCGTCGCTTCTTCTCCTGCGCCAACAACTCTTTGGCTTGCTTCTCCTCCAAGAACATCCAAAACTCTTGCTGCTGTGTCGGTGTCAACATCACATCGAGCCCCTGACCGCCATTCGCCATCATCCTCTCAACAAACATCGGATCCTTCTGTAACGCAATCGTCAACACGTCCGCCATATCCATTGCATCGTCCTTCCCACTGTTCCCACCAAGGCGGAAACTGGTCGAGGTACGCTTCTGCTGCTGGCGACGGTAGAGCCACTCCTCAAGCGATCGACGAAACTCTCGTCCTTGGTCTTCTTGCAATCGCATGGACCACAACTCCTCGGCGCGTTTCTGTTCTTGCTCCTCTCGATGGCGTTCCTCCAACTGTGCCTGGTACAACCTCATCTCCTCGGCCCGCTTGGCCTCCTCTCGTTGCTGGTTTGTGATTTGTTCCTGGAACCGGATATACGATTGGAGCTGTTGGAATTCTTGTGGGAACTCGGCCGCAAACGTGTTCATATGCACCAGGAACCCATGGGGGTTAGACAGGTTCAATTGGTGCAAGAACGCCAAATATTGGACGCGGAGTGCCTCTTGTTCCTGCTGGAGACGCGCAATCGCCTCAGCAGACGCCCACTGCTGGTGCGTCCCCACGGGTCCACCCGTGATGGAGGTAGGGAGTGGACGGAAGAGGGATGGGGGGTCATCGAAGACTGGGGAGGAGTTCTCGAACGGGTCTGGGGTAGTTGGGTCCAACTTCATGAGGTATTGGAGGTCGACGTCCATAAAGGACTGCTTGGTCATGCGACGGAGCATTCGAGGGACGGCTGGGGTGCCGCCTTGTTGTTGCTGACCGTTGGCTGCTGCGGCTGCGGCTGCGTTGGCATTGATGCGGTGGCGGCTCTGGAGGGGCTTCTTCTGGACTGCTGGCTTCATGGTGGGGATAGTTTTGCCTGTTTTTTTGTGTTGTGTAGATGTGAGTATGGAAGTGTTGAACGAGTTCGAGTTATGTTTCTAAAATAAAAAAGTGGCGATTCTGCTCTCTTTTATATCTAGCTGGGAGACGCCGTCAATTGACTCTTCAACAATAGTCAACTGACGCCTGCACCTCCTTTCGGGAGAATTAAACATTAGAGACCCAGCCTCCAGTCAAACGAGATCGACAGGCTACTTTTGCCCATAGTGTTACAAGGGAGAGCTATTTGATATTTTTGAGTTAAGTCAAACGAGATTTTTACTTCTTGCAATTAGAGTTCAGGGGCTATGGAGTGATGGATCAAACGAGAGTCAGACCTAAAACTGTTCAAACGAATCAATCGGCGGCGGGAGGGGCAGTGGCTGTGTCTTCAGCTGCACCGCCCACAGTTGATGAGGAAGACGAAGCAGAAGTCAAACCATCTGGCCGGGGTGCACTCTCCATCTCCACATCCTCACCCTCACCCTCAGCCTTATCCTCTCTACTATCTCTCTCTAGCGTATCTTGATCTTGGTCACGTTCCTCGTCCGACTCTTCTTCATCCTCCTCCATCTCGGGCATATGCAACGCAGGTGGTCCACCACCAGACGACAACAAACACAGACCGTTGACCAATACGCGGAACGCAAACACAACCGACTCTGTCGCACGATTAAATGTCACCGCTACATTCAGGAACAAATCGTTAGAAACGAACAATGAAATGGTTAGAGACCCGGAGGTAGTAAAGTCGAAATAAACATCAAAGCAAAAATGCAAACAAAAAACTTACTCAGGGAGGGAACGGTGGGGTTCATGGGAACCATACGGGTACGGTCAGAGCCACCGAAATGAACAAGGGTGTATCCGACCATCGGCTCAGTCTTCCAACGCTGTCCAAACACCTCCCCAACAGCCGCCTCGCTCATAAACGTCCTCACCTCCGACGAGGGTAACGACGATGTTGCAACAGTCGAACCAGACGAGAAAAGACTCTGTTGCGATCCAATGGCACTAACATCATCATCATCATCCTCAATCTTGATCACAATCGGCCCTTCCTCCGTCGCGCCAGCTGTAGATACGGAAGTGGCAGTCTTGACGGGATGAATCACAGGAGAGGAAGCAGCCGTACTGGAAATAGACGTCTGGCGACTGCGAACGTTAGCAGCTGCCTCGTCAAACGAACCGGCTGCAGAAAAGACGCGCTTCCAATCTAGCTCGGTCATCCGATCCTCTACCTCAAGAACCTGAGCATCCTGCCAGCCCTGGAATCGGACCTCTTGAAGCTCCTTCTTGAATCGACTGTGGATCTTTTTCAAAAAGTTAACGCGGAAAGGGGGGACGGGACGACACTTGCCGTGGGCTTGCCAGTACTGGATACACGCTGGGCACAACAGTCTTCCTTCAGCCTTTGAGTTGCTGCTGTCACTAGTGAGTTCAGCAGCAGTAGCTGGGGAGTCCTGGGTTGAGGTAGTAGAAGATGCGCCAGACTCGACTCTAGGACGCCAGGTCAACGAGTCCAGCGCCATACAGTTTGAGCACTCGAGGGGTCGGGCTGATTTCTGTCGAGGACCTCCGCCTTCAATTGAGTTGGTTGCCGCTACACCGCTGTTGCCACTGCTAGTGCTGTTACCGCGAGACAAGGACTGAGCCTTCATTGCAGCCAGAGTGATGCCTGTAGAGATCGACTGAGCAATCGTCGCCCGCTGGCGAAGCTCCTGCAGCTGTCTTGCCTGCAGCTGCTTCTGCTGCAAGAGCCGCTGTGCCTGATACCGCTGGATCAATTGCTGTTGTGCGCTCTGCTGTTGCTGTTGGTGATGATGAATTGCCAACATTCGCGATGCCTGGTGTTGCTGCTGTTGTTGCTGTTGTTGCAGAGACAGCTGAGATTGGGTTGACGACGCTTGGTTGGACGAAGAATGAGGGTACATTTGTTGGTGAGGCTGATACTGTCTCTGGATCTTGACCGGTTGTTGTGCCTGCTGCTGTTGCTGCTGTTGTTGCTGTTGCTGTTGTTGTTGCTGTTGGGTCAGTTTGAGTGTTCGCTGTTGGTCCAACATCCGCATGTGCTTCTGAAGATGATACGATCGAGAGTAGTCGGACTGTGCTTGCTGTTGGGCACGATGCTGCCGCTGCTGGAACGATTGACGCTGCTGCTCTTGTTGCTGCTGCTGCAGTTGCTGCTGCTGCGAAGGAGTTGTGGACGTCGGTGGCTGCTCGGTCGACTGAGGACTAGCGTGGGTATACTGTGATGAAGACGGGTGTGAGGGCGGAGACTGGCGATTGGGCTGAGAACCGGGGCTGTGGTGCACCTTGGTGGGTCCTCCGGCCTCGGCTCCGCGATGAGGAAGAATAGGTCGTGGCTGGACTGTCTGAGGTTTGGTTGCCAATGTTCGAGGGGGCGACGACAGGGGTCCGCCTGAATCATGACCATTCGAGTCTCGACTATTCCGATGATCTACTTGTGAATGACTGGAGGCCGACTCCCGGTCTCCTGTCCTTGTTGGCACATGTTTGCTTCCGGGATGCTGAGGCTGTGATCCTGACATGTATGTCTCGGGAGTGTACCATGATGGATAGGATGGTGCATAACGGTAAATGCTTTGTCGGTCCTCTGGGCGTGGTGGGCCATACGCTGGCGAGGGCGGTGAATGTCGATGAGGATGGTGAGGGTGGTGGTAGGCTGCCCGCTTGAAAGAGTGGCCATACTCACCGTCGTAGCCGCTGTGAACAGGCGGTCGTCCTTGATGAGCGTGGTCGTAGCCGTGTCCGTATCCGTATCCAGGGTACTCGTCCATTGAGCGGTCAACGGATCGTTTCCTGGAGCGGTTGAAGGGTGCATAGTTGACGGTCTTTGCCTCGAGTTCGAAAATCCGGTTCCTCATGGCAATGTACATGCCCTCATTGAACTCTTTAGGTTCCTCGTCCAGCGAGAAAAGAACTGTGGAAGTAATAAATGTGATTTAATGTTAGTATGATGAACAAAGAATAGTATCCTGTATCTTGTACGCTTTCTCTATAACTAAGCAGGAGAACAGTGCGCTTCTTGATCCAATTGTTTACCTCCATCAAGGGTCGAAAGTGTGTGTTGGGATGCAATTGTGTGCCGTGTCTGGAAGTATGGCTCTTGCAGTGGGGCAGATTTCTAGACAAGGGCCATGGCGGAATTTGCGTATGAGAAAGGTAACAAAGGAAGAAAGTGGGCGACACCACATTTTAGTCTCTCAGTGCAATTCCCACGTTGAGCAACCGAACTAGAGAACATAGCGCATAATCTTCTTACCTTCCAGAGGGTCGAGAGGGAATCGCTGGAGTTGGTTGAAGAATGGATTTGGTCGAGTTTGGCTGAGAGAGGAGGGATAGCAAAGGGGAAGCGGTTAGAGGCGTCAGGGTGATGAGAGACGAGTGCATTGCGATCGGTGAGATGAGGTTGTCGGAAGGGACGAGTGGGAAGAGATGACTGATGAGAAGAAGGAGGAGGAGGAGGAGAAGGAGGAGAGGAAGGGTGGTGGTGGTGGCGGTGGTGGTGATGAGGTGGGGCAAAGGGATGAGCAGGTTCGAGGTATGTTGTGGTGGCAGCCATTGGAATGAATTGGTGGCGTGTATTGTATGATGAAAGAGGCGGCGGGAGCAAGGATGAAGAAAGGTGTAATAGATGAAGGGTACAAAGAAAAGAGAACATCCAATACAACAAAGGGAACGAGTTCTTCGTTCGGTCAGCCGCCCATTATTAGCATTCCGGCGACATACCTCTTAGAGGCTGTTGTTGCTGGTTGTTGTTGTGTGGGGATAAGAGAGAAAAGGAATGGAGTGAGGGAAGACAGGGGGACACTTCAAAGAGACAAAAGGAGGAGTGTGTGATCCGTGTGTGATTGATGGTGGCCCCAGAATAGGGTGGATGATTTCTGATCAAGATAAAAATGCGGGGTAAACAACAGTGAACAAGATCACTATCCAATCACACCTGGCCCTTCACTTAAATCACTTTTGGTCACGCTTCATTTTTCTTGTAAGAGTCTGGGCAATAATGACAATGACATCGCTCAGACAGTCTCAGCTTGGAAAGGGGACATGGATGCACCATCATCATCATTATCATCAACAAAGAAGGGAGAAGAAACAGCAAAAGAGGAAGAGTGCGGAGAAGAAAAAGATGGGGAAACGGGAATGCTGTTGGTTTGAGTGCGCTTTTGTTGACTGTTGTCGCCTGTGGGTTCGGTATTGATGTCGCCCTTGTTGTTGTAGGTCGGTCGCCACATGTGTATAAGGTGTTTCCTTCTCAGAATACAACAAAAAAAAGGCGGTGGGTCTTCCGATCCCCATTTGACCTCTTTTAGAAGGCAAACAAAGACAAGGTTTCCTTCATCGCCGGGTCCTCCTCCGCTTCTTTTTTTTTTTCTTAGTTTTGTACGACTGGGGATTATTGCTTTGTGTTTCCTTTGCCCGTTCATCAAGATGGATGCTCCGGAAGTGGTGAAATAAAAACATGAAGTAATCCACCCGTTGCAGTTAGTTAGTTACCTTGTTGCTTTGGTCCCTGATCTGTTGTTGTTGCTGCCTTTGACTCGCCTTCTTCGTCAGTCTCCTGGACGGACGAGGTCACCATCGAGTATGCAATTGCCAATTCTTGGGATGTATACGATGCTGCTGCAGCTGCTGCAGCTGCTGTTGACACCTCGACACTGGTGAGATGGTGGTTATATCGCCGATTCCTTTGCTGATGATGGTGGGGAGTATTCCTCTGTCGTTTATGTGCATCAAATGCCCCATTCCGTCCTTCCTTGTGAGCAGTATCAGATGCCGAGAGTGGTGGTGAAGGGGGAGGAGTCGAAGTGGATGCGTTCCTGGACCTGCTCCTTGATCGACGACCATGTGCTGCTGTAGACGTCGCCGATGCACCTTCAGAGTTGATGTTGGGCACAGTGGAAGTGATGATGGGACTGGTGCTGATTTGTGCGACAGGGACAGACATGATTCGAGGGGCCACGTCTCTAGAACAAGGGGCCACGTCTCTAGAACAAGGGGAGAGCGAAGTGGGCGAAGGGGGTTTTGTCGTGGTGGAAGGAGGCGATGGTACCGTTGTGAGGGTAGGTTTCTTTGTTGATATTGATGTTGATGTTGATGTTAATGGTGGAGGTGAAGGGGAGGATGATGCAGACTTGTCGGAGGGAGGAGTAGTAGTAGAAGTAGAGATCATTGTGTTATGGTGTTTGGGTGTAGAGGGGAGGAGGATGGGCGAGAGAGGGGAGGTTGGAGAAGGAAAGCAGGTTGAAGTTGGGATGGATGGTGTAGGTGACATGTATTAATTTCAGCTGTGTTGGTGTAAGTATGTATGGTTGGAGAGAGGCAAGAGTATGTATGTGTGAATGTAATGAGAGAAGAGGGTGAATGCAGGAAGGAGAGAGGAGCGTGAATGGACAAAGAGACAATGAGTGAAAGAAGAGATCTTTTTTTTCTGTGTGCTCATTCGTGCGTTGTCCTTCCCTTCAGGACAAGGCAAAGTGGCTCCACAGGAGAGGCAAGAGCAGTGCGGTGCGGTGAACTCCGTCCCTGCCAGTGAGAAGTAGAGGAGGAAAAAAAAGGAGGGGAAGTGGGGATTCGGGCGAATGCGCGTGTGATCCCATTGGCCACTGATAGAATACATGTCCTTCAGTGCAGCTCTTCCCTAAAGCACCTCGGGACATGTCGGTAAAACCCTATTTCAGGAACAAATCACATATAAAAAAACTGGGTCTCGTGGGGGAAGAATGAAGGATGTGTATGCTATCCGTATAGCCACAGCACATACAAGAGAGAGGGATTGCTCGCTTGCCACTAATTGTCTCACGTTCTCGCTCACCATTCCTGCTCCCCCTTACTTGCTCCTTCCTCCTCATGGACATCCATCATACACTCGTAGACATATTCTTAGCCTGGTGCTGTAGTCCCGCATTATTCTCTCGCGCTCTCCTCCTCTTTTACCATCGTGTGTTCAATTGTCACTACAGTACAAAAATAAATTCCCGCGGAACCCTGTCTACTATCGTAAACCATATCGAGATTGGCCGGTCTACTCCTCCTTCTTCCTCATCTTCTTCTACTTCACTTGCAAAGTGGACCCACTTTTGCACCTCATCACAAAAGCACATGTCCATCGATACCTCTGTGCGGGGGTGAGGAAGGGGAGTAGGAACAGGACGAAAAAGAAAGAGAAAAAGCAGGAAGCGCCCGTTTCATCTTCCCCTCTGAATATAGATACCCCTCGATGATCTGATAGCATCGGGCAAAGGGGAGGAAGAGGAAGGAGAATAGGGGGGATGGAGGAAGGAGTGGGAAAGAGTGGCGAGGGGCAAAGTATGCGTTCTTCATCTACTGGCTCTACATATGCGTTATCACTTTTTTCCTGGATCACTTCATCCCTCCCTACTACAATACAGCTCATTACCACTGACCATGTCCCCATTCCATGGGTGTGAAACAAGTAGAATGACCTTCCCCGCAATTTTTCTTATGTCAAATATCAGCCTCGCGTGGTAGAAGAATGGTTCATAGAGTTCATATGTGATTTACTATTGTTATTATGTGCTACGCAAAACCCAAAGTAGAACTATTACCGCGCCTCCTAGTGGCCATAATCTGCTACTTCGTCATCATTATCACCCTTCTCTCCACCCATAGCACCATCCTCCTCATCATCACCATCATGACCACCCAAGAACTGACGATGATCCATCATAGGCGCAAAGGACGAACCGGCAAGACTGCAAAGCTTCTGGTGACGAAGCAATGCATCGTTCCTCATGAAACCAGCTCCACAGATCGAGCAAGAGTAAGGCTTCTCGCCCGTGTGAAGACGGATATGACGTTCACGATCATGGCGTCTTGCAAAAGCCAGATGGCAAGCCCCACAGGGGAAGGGTCTCTCGGATGAATGGGTCTTCATGTGGGACGTCAGGTTGTAGGCTCGGGTAAAGACCTTGCCACAGCCGGGCTCAGCGCAGGGGAACGAGGTTGGGCGGATCTTCTTGGGCTTCTTGACAGTAGGGGGGCGGACACGCTTGCGGCGTTTGGGACTAGCTGTTGTTGTTGGCACTGTGGTGGTTGAAGTAGAGGTTGTAGAGGAGGCTGAGGCTGAAGTTAAGGCTGACGTTGCAGAAGAACTGAATTGATGAGCTGTGGAGGAGGGAGATGTGACAGTGTAGGGTAAAGAGGATGGGAAAGAGTCTTGGATGGACATGTTTCGGGGAGACAACCTAGGCGAGTTCTCTCTGGAGGTCGACGACGATTCCCATGAGAGAGGAGAAGAAAAGATAGGGTTGGAAGCAGTCGCAGAGTAGAGGCTGGTATCGTCTTGCTCGGTGGTAGGGGAGAGGATCAAGGATGAGAGCATCATGAGGTCCATGTCTTGATCGAGAGCAGGGATGGTGTTGGCGAGGATAGGACGCTGCGACTGGAAGGTGGCAAGGTAGTTGTCAAAGGGGTCAATAAGAGCCTCGGAGAGAGGAGCAAAGCGAGATGCTCCTGGGACGTGATAAGAAGGGCTGGATGAGACTGAGGACGAAGAGGCAAAGACAGGGGCCGAAGAAAGCGGCTGCTGATCGTGAGGCGATGCAAACGACTCTGGCAAGGGCTGAGATGCCTGTTGAAGCTGTTGTTGATGCGGATGTTGCTGTTGTTGTTGGTATTGAAGAAGAGGATCGGCGGCGAAGTACTGGTGGAGAGAGGGCATTGAGAGGGTGCGCTGGAGGACCATAGGATGGTTGGGACGAAGGATCTGGAGGGGCGACTTTGGCTTGGATTCATCTGCGTCCGCGGCGGGTTGGAGTGTAGGAATAGGTTGCCCCTGGTGGCTGTTGTTGTTGTACTGTTGTCGATGGAGTTGTTGCTGTTGTTGTTGCTGTTGTTGTTGCTGATGCTGCTGCTGGAGCTGCAAAAGGTGGCAGTGTTGTTGCTGCTGATGCTGCTGCTGCTGTTGTTGGTATGCGAGTTGGGCAGGGTTCAACCTCAACTGACCATGACCAGGAGTTGCGAAGATGTCGTAGGCATCCATGTCTTCGTCGTCGTCAAAGGACTCTGAATGGTGGTCTTTGAGGGAAGGGTCAGGCGACATGAGACTGGGTAGACTTTGGAGGTCAAGGGTGTCGAAGAGGTCGGAAGGTTGGAAGTGGATGCTGTCGAGGTATGAGATGGGGATATTTCCGTTGATGAGATCGGTGTACTGTTGGTTCAGTTGTGATGATGAACAAGAGGTAGTAGTAGTGGAAGAAGAAATAGGGGTAACGGATATTGACATTGAAAAGTAGGAGAGAAAAAAACGGCGAGGAAGGGGTTGCTTTTATGGGTTATGAGGATAAAAAAATGTAAGGTGAACCCTTGTTCGGCTTGGAGGAGGCGTCGCTTTGAATGGATAGGTGTGCTTTGTAATAGGTTGGCAGGTAAGGATATAGGTAGGAAGGTAAATAGCGACAACGAGAGAAGCAATAATAGTTGCAATTGAATAATATGTGGATGTGGATTGAATTGGTAGACGCGGTTTGTGGTAGAGAAGAAATATGAGAAAGAGAGCAGAAGAGAGTGAGAGGGAGAGAAGAAAGAAGAGTAATAGAGAAGGAAGAGAAGAAGAAGTGTGTTTATGAATGGAGAATAGAGATGGAGGCGAACACGTCGTTGATTGGGTTCTGATAATGATAATAGTAATGAGAATAACTGTTGTTGTGTTTGTTGAATGCAGATGATAATGAAGAAGAGTGAAAGAGAAAAGGGAGAGTGGACAGGAAGGGGTCTTTTTATATTTGCTGCGACCCATTGTAACAAGGTTTGATACAAAGAGAGAGGGAAAACAAAGTTGCTCAGTCCATGTCCGCTTCTTTTTAGAAAGAGGGAATCAATTCAATCTTCCATACACATATTTCTGTTGTTCACAACAGAAACAGAGCAGAACAGTAGCACGTTACACCACCACCACCATTTGTTTGACACATTCATTTAACTGGAGTGGCAAGTGCTTGATTACTATTCAGTATCTTCTCTTTCTTCAGGATATCGTGTCGTTGTCAATTGCACCCTGTCTCGTTGGCAAGGAAGACAAGCAATTAAACAAAATGATTTGCCTCGATATGTGGCAAACAAGGGCCATTGTTGTCGACTTTCTTTATCTGGTGACTTTTTAGCCGTGCTTTACGGTTCCCTTCTTCTTGTTGAGAGTGCTGTTGGTGATGATGCAGTACTATGTGTGCCTGGCCTGTATTTTGCCTGCGCCACCTTTCTGACGAGAAGGACCAGCAGCCCGTCCAAGGGCAAGTCAATTGAGTGTGTATGTGTGTGTATATTCAAGGTTCTGCCTTTTACAGCAGCAAAAAAATGTATCGGTGATGACATGGTTGGCATGGTGTTTGTTGAGTGTGATTCCTTCGTTTTGCCTCCTTTTCCTTCCCGTATGCAAATCATAACAAGCAAAGAAATGTATATACATCCCGACTGAATACCTCTGAAAAGAACTGTGGCACAGCCGGCCGCATGAGGAAAAAAAATTGCCATACAAAACATTTCTTTTGAAGTTATGGAGTCCGCTTCATTTTTGTCCGACAAGTTCCCTCTTGCTGCTCATTCATGCCGCAATAGGGCCACAAAAGGGGGGGGGGGGAGTCAACCCAGACTCAGCCATCCTCGCTGCTCTGTTGTGGGCATATCAAACGGACAGGCACAAGATACGAACCGGCCAATGCCCTGTCCTCATTAGTCCCTTGGGGAAAAGACCCGAGCGAAGCCCCCTCCCTGTCATTTCTCACATTTTTTTTTGTAATGATAAGATGATATGTTATTTGTTGCTTTTGCTATCAAACAACACACATGTACATCAATACAAACACTTACCCTTGTTTTGTGTTATGTTTTGTTCTGGTTTGTTTTGTACCTTTGTATTCTTCGCGAACAAACCAGGTTGTTCTTCTTGCTTCCATTGTGACCCATCACTGGTGAAACGCATACGCAGTAATTAAGCTTATACGCTGCCAGTTACTCCATCAGTCCCCGCAATCCCCCCTTGCTTGTGCCCCCGACTGCGTCTCATTGACTACAGACAGACAAATGTTGTCAATTGGTCGTGGTACATGATGATGAAGATAGGTGGCAAGTGTTCTGCGTCACAAGTCGTGAAGAGTCAAAAAAAAAAAAAGACCGACCATGGTTGCTTTGCTCATCAACGTGCGAAACTCTCTTTTTCGGTTCTCTGTTTGTTTCTATTCGCTAGGGAGCCGTGGTCTGTGGAGGAGAGCGGAAGCGTGAAATGGAATGCACGTTCGATGAGAAGCGCTCCGTTCACCCTTTTCTTTCCTTTTTTCGCGTTTACGATATATGATTTATGATTTATCTCCGTCGATTCTCTTGTTGTGTCCATCCCGTCTTTCCGTCCGTCATTCATTCCGAGAGAAGAAATGTGACCCTTCCTAGAAAGGCCATGGGCGCAATGAAATTAAGCATTGCCCCTATTCGACTAGAAAGCACATTTCTCCAAAAAGGGAGATTTTCTTTTTCTTCATCCATTGAACAACAACAACCGCAACAATTACAACAACACCAACAATAAAGGAAAAAAAAGGATACTAGTTCTTGACAACTCCATAATCGTCGTACCGAGGAGAAAAAAGTCTCTTCTTAGACCACATTACTTTATTTTCTAACAGCACACACATAGACAGTGTCACCCATTGACCATCCTGCCTGTTCAGTCCGGTTGCAATATCGTGGCAATATCGTGGCAAGCATGCAGCGACAAGGAGGGATGTGGAAGGAGTACAAGGGAGGAAGAATGGATTGCCCTTTTTTTTGTCATCGCCACTTTGTTCTCAATTGAGGTGCACATTAGAGGAAAAGAGGGGTGGAAATACAAGGCTGGTGACCTAGCACGTCGATCTACCATCAGGTAGATTCCCCACTTCCTTTCGCCTTTCAGTCAGTCAGTTCTATCGTGGCCTTCTATTTTGCCTCTATGATGAACAAAATGGCAATGCTACTGCTGCTGGTAATGATGCGTATCTCCCTTGCCACCATTTTTTTTCCTTGCTCCCGCTCGCATATGGCTATGTCATGGATAATGATGATGATGGTGATGATGCGATATCGCATTTCATTCCATTCAGCCCATTGGTGAAGTACGAACGGTTCCTCACCGTTCATATTAAAACGGTCACATTTCGATTCCGTCGACTGTCGACGCTGAATGTCCCATCCTATCCACGCCATGTCCCATGCTCCCTCCAGTAGAATGCCATGGTTCGCAAATCATGACTCTCATTGGATGGACGTCAACAAGGGATTCTCTATGCGTATTGGCCGTTTGGAAAACAAAAGGTTGCGAGTGGGAGGGGCTCGTCATCGACAGAAAACGTGTACGAAGGAATGGCCAGGGCTTCGTCGATCTTTTCTCTTGTGTTTCTTTTGTTGTTATTAATGTTGTTTCATTCGTTATTCTTTCTAATTCTTCCGCGGCACGGGTTGTGCATCATTAGCACCAATTTTTTTCTCTCGTTTCTGTTCTCCAATAAGACCTGCATGAGAGAGTGTGTGTGTGTGAGGATGGTGTGACACGATCGCACCAGAAGGAATCAAAATCACAGACATTGGTCTTAACACCCCGTCTTTTTGTCGACTGAGACAGAGGACATAGAAAAGAATCGACAATGTGATATTCGAGCAGACACGCATGTCGATGGCAAACGTTATTTTCTCTTCTACTTTCTAAGCCCTCATAAAGAAGACTTTCCAGAATGTCTACAAGGAGTCATTGTCATGATCGAACAAAGAGTGAGAGTAGCTATGGAGCGAGCTTTCATGGAGTGGACTAAGGCTTTTTTTTTTCTACGAAAGTAAGGCTAGGTTTTTGGTTCTCGACCACATATTTCAAGCATCGAATGAGAGAAAATGAGAAAAGAACCAATCGCGAAGGATCTTATCCTCCGCGCGAATAGTGGAATGGTGAAATGGTGTATGAAGCTGTGGTTCTATGAACACAAGCCCCTTGTGTCTTGTCAAGGGCTCTTAATGGTCTAGGGTATGGAACCATGGCCAATGGGAGAGGAGGGGCTCAAAGTACGTGGTGTGATCAAGGCGCAGGTAGCATAGACAAAAAGAGAGAAGGGTCAAGGAAAGGGCGAGGCCAGGGGTGTGTGAAGAAACCCATTTAGTCTTTTTTTGGCGAAAATAACATTTGTGTTTCGTTGTTTTTCCAAATCGAGCAAACAAACCTCCCAGCACCGCCCTTTGCCCCTCTTGTGCCTTTCTCCTCTCGCTTGTTCAATTCCAAGAATACAAGAAAGAGGAGGGAAGAAGTCTAAAAATACATCAGTGGCAGTGCTCTTGAGGCACTTTAACCACCTCAGCCCCACTCTTCTCTTCTCATGTTTCGAAAGAGTCTTAAGGAGCATCGAACAATGCAGCTTAATTAGAGCAATGCACAGGAGAATGGACCCTGGAAAAGGAAATTTACGACCCAATGTAACACACATCTTTTTTACTTTGGTATCCGAAGAAGAACAACGACAAGGGATAAAATCACAACTATAACACGATCCCGGGAATCAGTTATCGGGTTCGGGACGTATCATTCACTTCTCAAACACAATCGGGTAGAGGTTTATGGATCCCCGACAGACAATTCAGCCAGCTCCGTTTCCAACTCGTCTTATCATCGTTACCCAATCTCAGCAATCCCAGGAAGACTTTCTTGGCCTAGTAGACGTATCCGATATCGTCATACTTGAACATCTCGCTACTCCTGGCCAAGTCCTCATCCACTGCCATACCGCGAAGTCGACGAAACCATGAGATTTAAATGTGTAAGCTTCGTCAATGACCCAATCTGTTGGTAAAAGATATCCAACTGCATCACCAACGTCTGCTATTCTCCGGTGAGCTCGTGCCAGTCCAGATTAAGGATATCGGTATCCTCGTCGTCAAAGTTGACCGTGAGCTCAATTTTCTTGAACTTTGTCGACGCCCATAACTTGGCAGTGGCACCCAACGACTGATTGCTTATTCCTGTTTGCTCGCTGCAGAATGTTATCCTGGGCGAGCAGTCGAAGCTGGTCAAGCAGGCAAGGATGAATGTAGAGGTCCGCCGAAGGAGGATGTCGGTGTGGTCGATGGTGCCTGAAGCTTCGCGTTTTTCGCGTCAAACATAATCACTTCGACGTGCTCCGTTCCTGAAAATCTTGATCAGTCGATGCAAGGAAAGGCTGAAAGTGAATGGTTGACTCCTTCATTACACTGCACCAAATTAAAGCGACGCGCTTAATTGATGCGCACCGCAAGGTTGGATCAATGCTCGACGGATCTCTCAATGCCTGAAGTGAGTGCGTCTCGTCTATTCTTTTTTCTTCCATGTTTTTTTTTCCCCACTCACTCCTTAGGACCGCCTTCTCAAGCGGCACATTCTTCTCTTGCTAACAAATAGTTCACAAGCAACAGCATCAATCAAAGAAGAGTCATCTATTATATTTTCCGCGTTAATATGTTCATTATTAGGTGATAAAGAGGCGTAGTAAGAGAGAAGGAGAGGGGTTGTCTAGAAATAGTAGTAGGTTTCGCGTTGCATTGCGTTATTTTCGTATGGTACGTTACAAAAGCACAAAAAGGAGTGTGAGGAGGTCAAAGTACAGTTTTTCATGGTTTTCTTGTTTCCTTAGTTGAACCGCCTCTTTTTTTTTTAAACAGCGGCGGCAGGAGTACTATCAGAAGCACCCTTGGACTTCAAGTAGTTTGCATACTTCTTGGACGTCCGTTGAGGGGTGGAAGGGTTATCGCCTTTGGTGTCGACTCTTGGGAGGAATGCTGCCTGGGGTCTGTAATAGTTGATGTAATCTCGGCTCTTCTCCTTGAAGTACTTGGGCACCAGCTTCAACAACAAGTACCGACCCGCCACATCCAACCAGGTCTATTTGTTTTCAATAAGAGAATAAGAGTGAACATGTTAGTTGCTTTGTGCTTTCCTTTTGAGTTCAGAGAGATCTTAACGAAGGATGAGTATACTAGAGGATACATACCCGACCAAACATGACGTGGGTGGCCTGCTGGGTGGGATTGAGCTCTCTCCGGGGGGAAGGGAAGCGCTCTTCGTAGAACTCGTCAAATGCCTTGGTGATGTTCTTGTGATTGCTTATGGGCATCTCGTAAATCAGGTTCGCCAACACAATTGCATCCAGAATACCCTCCAATGCTATTTGCGTCGTTGAAAAAGTAAATGGTAAATATCAGGTTGTGTTCACATGTTGGGCTCAATTGTACGTAGGTATAACCGTGAGCTTCGGATTTTTCACTTACCGAATCCAGGAAGCAACTGAGGGTTGTTACAATTGTCAATAGATTCAAGACAGCGAGAGAAAAAGGAACAAGGTAGATGGATTAGTATTGGCACGATCCTGACAATGCTGTTCAATGACCACGATATCTGCGAATGCTTTGAATATGTACCCTGTGTGCGGCTATAAACATGAAAGAAATGGAAGGAGGCGTTAGGATATGCGATATCGACAAGCAACAAGAGCAAACAAAGGGAAAAGAATTAGGAAAGATAGAAACGTACCATCGCCGATGAGGACAGTGCGTCCATGCTTCCAGTTTTCGTAAATGTTCTCCTCGAGGACGACCTTGCAGATCTTATCCTGGGGGGTGTTATCAAAGAGGATTCCAAGGGAGCCCATCATCGCCAACTCGCGGCCTCTCCACCTCTCGGGCATCTTCTTCAGATCGAAAGCCTTGTAGTCTGCGTTCTTGTAGCCCTCGACCCACTCAGGGTCCATTTCGCTAGACTGGAAATCGACTCTCCATGACACGCGGTTGTTGGGGATAATAAACGTCCTGTACTATTTTGTTGTACCACGATGTCGTTGTATTGTATCGTTGTTGTATTGTGTCGTTGTTGCATTATGTTGTTGTTGCATTGAGTTGTTGTTGTCCATCGGTGTTGTTTGGCGGGGATGTAATGTTAAAAGAAGTGAGAAGGAGAAGGTTGTGGTTAGTGCTTGTCTACGTTGATTATGAACAGACTCAGCTTTATAACGACGAAGACTTACGGTCAAGCCACGCTCGTCGCCGACGACGGTGTCGCAACGTGTGCAGTCATCGTCGAGCCCCTCAAAGTTGGCGGGGTCCATGGGATCGGTGGTACCAAAGACGCTCATGTAAAGAGTCTTGTTCTCCTCCTCGATGATTTTTGGGGTTATACCATCCTTCTCCAGGTCCTTGTAGAGAGCCCGGCGGGTACCACTGTCGCTGCCATCGGCACCAATGAGGATATCTGCAGTATACGTGGACTTGTCCTCGCAGGTGACGGTGACAGACTCGGTGTCCTGGACAAGAGACTCGATCGACTTATTCACGAGGATCTTTTCCTTGGGAACTAATGCCAACAGGATTGCATGGAGCTGGGGGCGGGGAATAACCTGCGTTCCATAACCAACCCTGGTTTTGAGGAAGGAGGGATATAAATAAATGCGAGAGGGAGAGGCGGAAGAAGAAAAATAAAGTGAGCGTGTGGAGCACGTTTTTTGTGGTTGTTTAGTCGAGGTTGAACAGAGTGAGAGAGTGGTTATTTGAAGGAAGGAATAAAAAGATGGTGTAACATAATGCAAGATGGGGAGAGAGGGAGTGGATGACATGGCATGCAAAGAGCAGCAGCAACGAGGCAAGTAAGCAAGGAGGACAGACATGCAAGGTATTAAGCTGCAATGACAACAACAGCCAAGTATTAAGAAAAACAAGGGTGAAGTATGAAAAATAAAGAAGAAACGTACATCTTTCTGTTACTCCTGAGGTTGATTTCGCGGATGACTTCCATGTCCTCCTTGTAGATCATGGTTGTCTCGATAGGAAATGAGATGGCCTCGATTTGGTCGAGGACGCCAAGCTGCTCCATGAGGGGCATGACATTGAAGGAGAGGATGATGGCGCCGCCAAGGGTCTGCTGGATTTCTGAGCTACGCTCAAGCACCTGGTACTCGATGCCAGCCTTCTCAAGGAGGATGGCCATGGTGAGGCCAGCCAGACCAGCACCTGCAATGATGACCTTGGGAGATTTCACTGTCTGTGAATCTGGCATATTGATTGTCGATGGGTATGAGGAGGAGGAAGGATGGGAAGGAGGAAAGGAGGCGGGGGAAGGGGAGAAGGGGAGAGATAGTAGAAGGAAGGAGGAGAGGGAGGAGAGGGGCGAAGTAAAGGAGAGGGAAGTAGAAGGTTAGGTAAGATGAAATGAGAAGAAGGGGATCAGGGTGAATGTGGAACCGAAGGAAGAAGAGAATGGAAAAGGAAAGGAGAGATGATCACGGCGACAGAAGAGATGATGAGATGAGGGGTGTTGATGAGTAACACTTTTCCTCCAGGAAGGAGCTGTGAGGCTGGTATCTCCAAAGTGCCATGCGAGGATAACAAGAAGTAGGTTCCATGGCATGTAAGCAGTAAGGGTGAGAGGGAAGAAAAGAGAGAGAGAGAGAGAGAAAAAGAAGGTTTCCGCCTCGAGGGCATGAATTGGGTCCAAAGGCCCGAGAGCAATGAAATCGCAGTTGAAAGAACAGCGAAGGAGTCAAGAGAGGGAAATGAAATCGACCTTTTGACGGGTGACAAACAAGTTTGTCCTGCTCTAAGCTTCTTCTTAATGAGATCTCATGAATCGAATGCCCAGCCCCCAATAGTTTTACGTGTATTATACAAAAACCCAACTTAATTCAATCAACATGGCGCCAGTAGTTAGATACACATGCACATACCTCCTCCATTCGTCCCTTCTCTTCTTTTTTTTTCTTTTTCTTTCCTCTTTTCTCACCCTTCTTTCTTTGCTCGTTCATTCACTCCTGTGCTCCTTTTCCATGTGTGGTTGTGCGTATGTGTATCTGTTGATGCACCATCCATCGCCTCCTTTTTTGTGCCTATATTTGTCTGATCACCATTGGAGAAGGAAGAAGAAAGAGTTTTTTTCTCCTTTGTTCATTCCCGCAATGAATGAATGCCCCATCACATCGACAAACATAAAAAAGACGTGTCCAGATCTTCTTTCCACAAGACAATGACACACACGAAAAGAAAGACATTTTATGTACATCTTTTTTTCTTTTTCTCTTTGCACGACCATGATCGAGGTAGGACAACGCCATGGAACCAACCAACACATCCAACCAACAGCCAATTCCTTCTTGCAGATCCAGTTTACTCACTCACATCCTAACGATCGTCTGCTCAATCGAAATCAAACCATGGAAGAAGCATACATGCTGCAGTAAACGTGTCTGTCGGCATAGAAACAAAAACAAACACAACGTGAATGAGATGCAGCTCCCAAATCATACCATTGCCAATCAATATAAAGTGGAACAGGATATAAGCTTCTCCTTCTCTTCAGCCAGCTTGCTGTCTAAAAGTCATACTTAAACGGCAGCCTGCTGTAAGAACAAGCGTTCAAGGTTGATATTTGATAACATATTTGTGCGCCCCTGGTTCACCATAGAATGAATGGGTGCATGCTCTCTTTCACACAGAACTCTCTCTCCCACGTCTACTTCCTCTCTCTGTTAGCGTTATTTTCTACTATTACCTACTCCATCAAATAACAAAGACAAAACGAGAGCGTTATTCTCCGGTCACACACACACACACACAGAGGATAAGTAAGTGGAGAACGAGGGGACAGAAACGACGCTAATCCATCTCTTTTTACCACCTGTTTTGTTGATTGAAGGTTGTGATTGATTATGGTTTTTTGTTTGTTGACCTTGGTGTATGTGTTTATTTGTAGTATGGTTTGCGAAAATGGTTGGAGAAACAAAAAACAAGCTCCACGCCTGTTATGGACAACTAACAACAGGTCTTTCCTTCTCTTTCGGCTGGCGATCAAGGTTGAGGATGCTCACCGGATATTTTTTTTCGTTTCCCAATTGTGTGTTTGCACAAAGGCAGGTCAGGTTAGGGGAGTAAGGGGGTGAGGGAAAGAAGGAGGCGGGAGGAGGATGAGGAAGAGATGTGAGCATCGAAGACAAAAAACGCTAAAAAGCTTGAGAGGATGTGACCTGACAGAAAGTAAAGTCCTGCCAACTGACTTTATCGACATGACAGACGTGAAAACAAGCTGCGCAAGAGTCATCAACTTGTTCGCAAAATAAGCATTCTCTCCTCTCGAGGAAGTATAGCCTACCCATTGTTGTTACCACGACGACCATTCATCGATGGACCATGTGCACTAGGAACCATGGGTTTGTTGATACGTCGAATACTGATTTTTTCTCCGAGGGTCGGTGTTTTATTATTCAAGAAATTGATGCATAGTCACCGTCTGTAGTCGTTGTCGTTATTTATCCGTTCATTTACTTGCAGAAACCCTGGAAGAACAAACGAAAACGGAAAGTGAATAGCCGGCAAGAGGGTGAAGGAGGAAGAGAAAGAGAGGACAACAGCAAATAGCATGCAAGTGAGATTACATTAGCATGCTTCACTGTCGTGAGCTCTCATAAATAGAATGGTGTGACGAACATCTCTTTCCTGACCCATGGTTCCCCGCTATTCCCACTTTCAGCTCCGAAAAGGCACTATTATTGTCAATGAGTAAAGGAGCGATAGCATCGTTTTGTTGGAGTCTTGACGGTTAATGAAAACCAGGGGTCCATTGGAGATAATGTACAAACACGAGGTGTATCACAAAACTACAAGACCCTGCAGACCGACAAGTTTGATGATTGATGAAACGTGCCAACAACATCATGTATGCAATGTATGTCGTGCTTGGCTTTCTTGTCAATTGTTTTCTAAAGTGTTGGTGTAGGTTGCAGGTTGCTATTGGTAATCGAAAGTCGCTTGATACAGGGGACAAGGTACCTTGAGAAGACGCGTTTCGTATTTATTAGAGCGTCGAGACATAGCGTGTGTGAACAGTCAATCAAGTAAACATCCTACACTTGAGAGTGAATGAGCGACGCGTTTTTTTATCTTTGTCATATTCTCTTCGCCTACATACGGATCCCTGTGGCTCGGGAGCCATCAGTTCGTCACCTTTGGGTTTTTTCCACAAACAACCTGACCGAAACTCTGTGACCACCCCAAAAGTAGAAAAATATCGGTTACGAAAAGGGGTGGGTGTTGCCTTGCCCCCTTGAACACAAGAATTCCTCCTCTCTCTCCCTTTTACATCTCTTTTGTTCCATTCGCTCATTCATTCATCCATTCACATCACAACAGCCATAACAAAAAGAAACATGCCCATCCTTCACACAGGTTGGTACCACTCAGCAAACAACGCTGTTGCTCATACTTTCTCAAACAAAAGCACCCTCTCCCGTATATATTTGTTAACATATGCTGCCTTTTCGTATCTGCTTCCTCAATATAGTATTGTTCAAGATCAAGGAGGATTCTTCGGACGAGAAAGTAAAGGAGATGATGGCTGCCATTGCCGCCTTCCAGAACCAGCTACCCGAGCTCATCCAGTCCATGCACTCTGGTGTCGACAAGTCTGCCCAAACCCAGGGCTTCAGCTACTGTATGGTTCTTGTATTTCTCACTTTTTGTACTCGTGCAAACTTTCAATTCACATATATCTAACACCTATCCGTCTTTCTTTTTGTTTTGGATTGATATAGCATTCACGATGATCTTCAAGAACAAGCAGGATTTGGACACTTATATCGCATCGGAGGCACATACCCAGTTCGCGCAAAAGATCGGACACCTTCTCATCAAGAACGCCATCGTTGTCGACTATGAGATCCCCAGGCACAAATTCTAAATCATATGTCCGTATTGAAACGAACGCTTCCTGTTCGTTATGAACTCTTGACGGGGTCTCGTGGGAAATACGAGGACGACACCGACCACAGGGGTTAAATCATTCGGCAGGAAGCATAAAGTCAATTGTGATGAATGCTTTTAGTGCTGTTGATATAAAAATGACAAAGATGCGAAAGAAAAAAAGGGTTTCTATGATTGTTGCTGCTGTTGCTGTTTGCTCTCAGATGCCTTCCTCTTCAACTGCTCAATACGATCCGACATACCCTCCGTGACAGGCGCCTTGACAGTGTTCTCGGTTGCTCCAGCATCCTGTTTAGATGAAGCAGCATCATGAGCACTCGTCGATCCGGCTGCGGTCCTGTTAACGGCAGATCGAGGACCAACTCCTGCTCCTGTTGTCAAATGCTGGTTCTGTTGGATCTCTGCCATGATGGTCCTGAGGGGCTCATCCTCTGCCAACTCAGAGTGGAGATAGAACCGCTTCTTCAGCTGGTTGCCCTCCGAAAGAATCCTGCCACGCCCATCTCTGACGGTCGAAGCCTGACCGGCACGGATCCTGATGGTCGAGAAGGGAGCCGAGCTAGGTTCGAGGTCAGAAACCTTGACGGTGGTGATCCGCTTGCCGCCCCAGAAAGAGAGTGTCTCGAAGGAGACGGGCGTTGAGCGGGTGACTGTCGTAGAGGCGGGGTCCTGGGTAGCCGATCCTGTAGGGTTTGGGAGGGTAATCTTTCGGACGTAGGAGCCCAGGCACCATTGCACCAAAGCTGTTGACGACCCACTCGTCGCCACCGCTATCAATTTCACAACAGACGAAAAGGAATGTCAGCGAAAAAGGCCTTGTGCGTCATAATAACCACACAAAGAAAAGTAGATCAAGTATACGCTACCTGCGACAGCAAGACCTCCACGCATGCCGTTCGAGATTCCAGCGTCGAGAAGAAAGATGAATGGACACAAGGCAATGGTGGCACCCAAGGACGAGACCGAGAACAGCTTCAGACGCTTGGCGGTCTGGGAAAAGGGTCCTTCATAGATAGACAAATGACTGTCAGTGTGGTGTGGAGAAGGGGTTGGCGTCTGTTGCTGTTCTGGTGGTGGGACAGCGGCGGGTGATCCGACGACGGGGAGTTGACCGTAGTGTGCGCGGTGGAGGAGTGAGGCTGAAGAGGGTGCGATGGTCTTTGCTGAATGCAAGAGTCCGATGGAGCGGACGGTGCATCCTGACCGAACGAGAAGCATGGTTGAATCGAAGTTTTTTGTGTAAAGAAAAAGGTGATCAGTTTCTTGTCTGCCCCTGTGGTATCGTGCGGAGGAGGGTCGGGCTGAATCCTGAGGGATGTCTAAGCCTTCAAGTTTAAGGAGAGTCGAAAATCTACGTAATTGAGTACGGCGGCGTATGCCCTTCCATGTGTTCGACCTCAATTCCTTTTCGTCTTTCTTCTTTCCACACTTCCTCCTCCTCCTCCCTCGACAACCGCCCCTCTGTACCTTGCTTATCACCCTCTCCAAAAATGATGTTCCTGGAGTACCACAACAATGTCATCGAAGACGTTCTCATCGGTCTATTCTACAAGTAACGAAGAAGGCATACCATCGATGCACCCTCGCCTTCACACTCCAAGAACGCGCAACCCATCTAACTTCTCTACCGCTGCACCTTATATCTGTTGTACCTGCATTTCACAACAGGATCCGACGGCCAAAACCGCTGAACATGAAATTCAATGACTTTTCAGGTATTTCCTACCACCTCTCGACACCTGACGAAGGAAGACTCGACCAATTGAGACTTTCTATCCATTGGGAGTGCTGGGCGCAGTTAGTTCAATATGGAGCAATGGATGTTCTTGAACGAGAGTATGGGCCGTGGATTGCTTCGCCACCGGAAGAAGGATATGACTTTACGTTGGAGTTCAATGTCGATGGCCTTGTTGGTGACAACGACCCAGGTACGCCCACAAACACGGAAGTGTATACTTTAATTACAAAAGCAAATGAAGGGCAAGCTCGACCATTGACCTACATCGCTTATACCAAATGGTGTGATAGAGAAAGTTATAAGGAACGTAGCCCTGCTACGACGAAACGCATTCTCAGGCGCCTTCGAACGAGCATTCAGAGCACAAGCACAAGCCAAGGAAGAAGACTACCCTAACTTTGACCCCAACGCGATCGAGTTCATGAGGATAGACCCACACCGCGACGAGAGGATGTATATCCGGCACCACCGAGACTACACCACCCTCATAATAGGGATTGCGCTGGATGATCTTGACGAGGTCGATATATTTTTTGTGAGAATGACATTTGAAGAGCTGCAGCACCGGTCACGGTTGTGGTGGTATCGTGAAACTTCGCCGATGGTTGTCCATGCCAGGTTGGAACCTCCACTCGAGATTCGTTATTTCGAGGAGGTTGTGCAGGATACTAGTCGTTGCCGCGCTTATATCAAATTCTGTACGGCATATCGCCCTGTGTTTCTTTTGGAGTCCTGTCTTTTTGGTTTGTGGATACTGCATTGGTGATGGTCAAAGCAGTTGGTTGACACTTTTCACGCATCCTTTGCTTCCTGTTTCCCTTACCATGTAGTGATACTGCCGGAGCTGATTGCGACCAAGGAGCGACGCGACTATATCATCTCTCAGCGGATGATCTTTCGAGACTACCTGCAGTACCACATCAAATGCGCCAAGGGGTCCCTAAACATCCGGATGCGACGCGATTTCAACGACCATATCAAAAGGTTGGAGCGCACCAGAAAAGACTACGTGCCTCCTAAGAGGCTATCAAGTTTCCTTCGGAGAGGCTGAATAACAAATTGAGGTCTGCTTAAATCCTGTTTTATTCGTTCCATTTTATTGTGTATGTGTATCCTGTAAAAAACCGTAGGTTGGAACGTGAGGATTCCTGTACATATTCGTCTACTTAGATCTATAAGAATACGAGAGAGTGTGTGAGAGAGAGGGAGGAGGATGACAAGGTTAATATAAGACAAAAAGAACGAAGGGCGTTCCTACGGTATTGATAATTGCGTCAAGTGCTGCAGGACGAAGAGGACTATTACATGGGAAGAGAAAAAAAAAGCAATTTTAAAGATCGGAGCGAACCTCAAGCTCTCCGGACTTGGCGATGGTGATGGCCTTCTTGGGGCGGTCGTTCCTGCCGGTGTCGACGTTCTCGATCCTGGTGACAACATCCATGCCCTCGACGACCTCGCCAAACACGACGTGGCGATCATCCAACCAGTCAGTCTTGATGGTTGTGATGAAGAACTATAATTGTAGTAATAATGTCATGCGACCAACATGCAACGCCATCGATTAGTTTTCCTTTGAGCCCAATTTTTTCTATTTTCGCAGAATACAAAATCGATAACACAGCTGCTGTAACGTGTCGTTGTCTCGAAAGGTTGATCGTACCTGGGATCCGTTGGTGTCCTCGCCGGCGTTGGCCATGGAGACGATTCCGGGGCCGGTGTGGTGGAGGTTGAAGTTCTCATCCTTGAACTTCTCGCCGTAAATAGATCTGCCTCCAGTTCCATCGCCACGAGTAAAGTCGCCCTATGAACGAAAAAATTAATAGGCCGGATAAATGCAATGAAATAAGTTTTTCATGTTCAATTGAGTGATATGTCTGTCCGTTACGCACAAATAAGGACAGGAAAAGACTTACTCCTTGAATCATGAACTCCTATATGAATGAACGAAAATAGATATGAGATTGCATATTGAGTATCAATCAGCGCATCGCATCTTATTTCCTTTTGTGACAAGAGGACTAAGCGAGGTTTAGTGTACCTTGATGACACGATGGAAGGCAGAGCCCTGGTAACCATAGCCATGGACACCCGTGGCGAGCTCAAGGAAGTTCTTGGTGGTAACGGGGACATCCTGAGAACATGAGCAAGAAAAAGGAAGTGTCAATTGACCGGTGAGTTAGCTTTACTCCATGTATACGTTGGTGCTGGTTCATTCTTCCTGGGGTCCTGACATACCTGTCCGAAAAGACCGATGACGATGCGTCCAATATCTGTGTCGCCTTCCTTCATATCAAAGTAGACTAGTTGTGCGGTTGCGAGAACGAAGAAGTAGAACAAAGAAGGATGAGCTGAGCTGTGACAAAACAAAGTGGGCAGCCATGCGCAAAAAGGGTCGGTGATGAGCTGGGTGGTCGTTTATGTTTGATACCTTTGTTGGTGACGACAGGGCCGGCCTGAACAGAGACGGCGATGGCGACGGCTGCGGCGACGAATGCGAGAGTGCGCTTGAAGACCATGGTGAGGATGATGGGTTGAATGCAGGGGTTGTGTAGGAGGAGAAGGGATGGGAAGGAGTATGGGGTGTGATGGGAAAAGTGGAGAGAGTCTTTTTATCACTGGCTTTGCACCTTCTCATTCGAGGTCAGAGTGTGGATGAATAGGAGGACGAGGCCCTTAACTCCAACTTGAAATGTCCGTTGAGGTAAATGGTTGGACAATTGAGCGTAAGACTAATAAAGTTAGCCAGGAGAACCGAACATAAACACTACCTCTACCTCCTGCAACTAGTCAAGGCGACTAGCACACTTCTCTCGCTCAAGACACCCACCATACAAGCGGGATTACCAGATTCTGCCACTTTTCTGGAGAGTTCATTGGAATGGTGGTCCCTTTCGACGGATAACGACAACACCACCCTCACCGCACGGATTGGAGACCTGTTCGCGCTGGAGATAGACGGGAATAACAAGCTCACAAGTTCAAGATGGCGTACAAGCGCTCGTAAATCGAAGCGTGAAAGAGACGACCTCATCACACAACTCACAGGAACCAATACCCGGCAGATGTCACAAGTATATCTGGACACGATATAGACACCACATGTTGGTGTCGTCGGAGACTGCCTGGCTCAGAGGATACGCCCATTCATCCTCCTCGATAATGGCAAGACAAAGGTGACCTAAGGGACTAAGGAACTGGCCCCACCAGAAAGATCCGACAGTACCTTCCCCCGACTCCCGAACCGTGCCTCCCCCAACCCCTCGACGATGCACCCTGAATCTGGCACCAAGTCCCAGTGGCGCAAGTTCTGAAAGACCAAGGTTCCTCACGGAGCTCGCACAAGCGTGACATTATCCCATGTGGCACGCTTCAGGCCCACTGGTGGAAACAGGACGCTCCAATGTAACGCTCAGGGATGCAGGGAAAGAAAGGCAGACAAGAACCACCATGTCTTCTCGGAGGGAATCTCTGATAATATTTCCATAGAAATTAAGAAAGCGATAGCGCAAAACGAACACCTCCCAAACACACGGCTACAGGGCACAAATAAGATAATGTTGGCCAAGGATCAACGATCAACAATTGAGAGTCTCATTCTCACTCGATGCACTTGTGGTCAACTTCGACTAGACTCTCTAGCGTCTCGTTCCTTTCTTTACCCAAACAGACGGCGCCACTTGTATTCCCGTGACAAGACAGTGAAGGGATCGAACGATGGTAGCGCAACAAAAGCACACTTTTCGCGTTACACAGTACACATGTCGCTTCTGCATATCATTGGATCTTCGCTAATGCTCTCACCTTGCATCCTCCTTTTTTATACCACTAGTTACTTTTGTGCCTCTACCTTCTTTCTCTTCTTCTTTCCTCTTCTTCTACTCTCTATCTTCAATCACCTTCCTCAGTCTCCTCGCCAGTCATCCCCCCCTTCCTTCCTCCCTCCCACCACCTCCACTCCCCTCTCTTTTTCTTACAACACCCCCGACAAGTATCCACAATGGCAGAAGGAAAGCCAACGGTGATGATTATCGGTGCCGGCCTCGGAGGACTGACAATGGCGATTCTCTTGGAACGAGCAGGCGTCGACTATCATGTGTACGAAAAGTACAAGGAGCCCCGCCCCCTTGGAAGTGCCACTGGAATCAACCCCAACATCCTTCCTCTCTTTGAACAACTGGGTCTCTTGGAGAAACTCAAAGCGGTCGCCAAGGAGGTTTCTAGTGTCAATGTTTATACTGCGGACATGGAGCAGTTGGGGACTATTGACGTTCGTGACCATGAACAAATGTAAGTTTTTTTTTTTTTTTTGTTTTGTTTTGTTTATTCGTTTATTCGTTTTTGATTGTTGTGTAAATAAGGATGAAGAACAAACGGTTCTGGCAATTCTTTGTTATCGATAATTGCATGCATTGTCCTCGTTTCTCACATAGGTCGGGATACCTGTCGCTAATTATGTCTCGCCGTGACCTTCACGCTTTCCTGCTGTCAGAAGTCCCCAAGGAGAAGATGACCCTCGGAACCAAGGTCCTCTCGATCCAACAGAACAAGCACGGTGTCATGATCAGGACCAACGACGGCAAACACCACCACGCCGATATCCTTATCGGATCCGACGGTGCCTACAGTGCCGTTCGTCAGTCTCTTTACAAGCAGATGGGCGATCAAGGGATTTTGCCAAAGTCGGATGGCGAGCCACTCAAGGTCTGCCATATGGGTATCTTGGGCACGACTGAGCGTTTGGATCCTGAAAAGTTTCCTCAAGCTCATGAGACGTATGGTCATAGTGGTGTTGTCATTGGCGACAAGACTCGACACACTGTAAGTTTTGTACAAGCAGTGAGCATGGGAATAGAGTGACAGAAGCGCATGTCAAAAAAGAAAGAGGGGAAAGAAAGAATAGCCGATGAGGCAGAAAAGGTTATGTACTGTACCATGCCAAAAGAAGAGCAAAGGGAAATGGGAAGAAGGGGGAAACCAAACAGGCAGAAACGGGAACATCTGTGCCAAAAGAAAAGTTACTCTCAGAAAATGCTTAATTTTATGCTTTTTTTTCTTTGTTTTCTGGGCCCTTCATGCTACAACAATCACACTAGTGGCGGTACTTTTCTGTTCCCGACGGCAGAGTCTGCTGGAGAATCGATGTCCAGTTGAAATCAACCTCCCACGACGAGAGCGATTCCTTCCGTCTCTCCGAATGGGACGCCGACTCATTCAAGCTGGATGCAGATGACTGGAGAGGGTTCAAGACCGGTCTCGGCGGGACCATGGGCGACCTGATCGATGCCACGCCCAAGGACTGTATCTCCAAGGTCATGCTTGAGGAGAAGCTATTCGAGACATGGTACCATAACCGCACGGTGCTGATCGGTGATAGTTGCCACAAGATGTTGCCAAATGCCGGTCGAGGAGCACTCAATGCAATGATGGATGCTGTTGTGTTGGCGAACACTATCTATGAGATTACTTCAGCTACCCCCGAGAATATTACCGCGGCGTTGAAGGAGTACTTTGAAATCCGTTATCCACATGCCAAATTGGAGTTGCAAGGCAGTCAGCGCATGGCCAAGGTCCTTGCCGGCCAGGTACACTTCTTCCTCTCATCGTTTTGCTTGTTTTGTGAGCATGCTTGATAGCAATTGAAGGTATGGTTGCTAACTGAGATCGACTTCTTTTTGACTGATATTTCATGAATAGACGTGGCTGGACAGCTTGACACGTTCGATTGTGCTGGGATACCTCCCAAAGTCGATCCAGCAAAAGAACACCGAAAACGGAATGCGATACCGCCCTCAGTTAACTTTTTTGCCCCAGGTTGAGGCCAGGGGAACTGTCCTTCCACTTCCTCAAATGGTCTCCAAGCGTTTATTGGCTGAGCAAAAACAACAGAAACAGCGGGAAGCGGCAGCTGTGTAAATTGCCATAGACATACTTCCACACACATCCGTGAATAACAATAAAAGTGTGGCATGTCAACCCTTGAAGACCCCTTTGTGGGCGTTGATAATCCAAGGCTTGTATCTCCCGATGCATTACAATCACTGAAGAATGATGAAATGAACCACAGGCGACCACCCCCATCGGAGATGATCACCTTCGATCCACACCTTGCTTGCATATACACAGTCGTCGTGATATACAACTCTCTCATCCTCATCGTTCTTTTTCTCTTTCCTTCATTGATTTGTCTCTTCTCTTACCACCTTCCTATCCCCCCTCTTTCACATTTGCTCTTACATCACCCACTCACTTGCACCTACTCTATCTATTGACTTGCAACGCGGCACGGCTACCAACATCTCTATCGACCCACCTCTCTTCTTTTCCCTTCCTCAATTCTACTGTACTGCGTCATACGACAATAATGCTGCTGGACGTCATTCAATCCAATTGGCTTCGAAACAGGGTTCGTCCATTGTCCCCGATGCTCACTTTACTCTACTTTTCTACCCTCTGCTCATCACGACAATCGTTCCACCTTCTACCAACTAAACAACTCTTTTCCCTCGCCTTTCAAAACATTCAGCTCGTTGTTGCACCTTTCGTGATCCAGAACACCCTTCGCCCGTTCACAAGTACAAGCCATGCTGGAGGTATTCGCCATTCGCCTTTTCTTTATCCACTGCTTCTCGGCTCTTGTAATATATCAAGGCGACTGTGCTACGGCAGCAGCAATCCTAACCAATGACATGCATTATTTGAACTCGAACTAGCGGTGTGGATGGCCATGAGGGTGGGAATAATGTGCAGTCAAGCCTTCTCGGGCGTAGTTCTCGTGCAGGGTATGATACTTCTTCAACTCTACTGGAACCCATACATCTGGATCCGCACCCCCGTGATCCCATTTGGGATCTGGACAACCAGTACCCTAGTCCACTTTGGACAGTTGGTGAGTCGAGTCGTCTTCTCAACTCCCGGCCGTATCTCAGCAATCGCAGTAGGAAGTGGTGGACTGTCAATCCCCCAGGTGTCCAAGAAACGCCTACTACTCAAAATCCTCTGGTTAGGTCTAGAAACCTATATCGGTTACCTCCTCACCGGCGGCTGGGCCGAACGCCAACAGCTCCACCAAATCGTCGCAAACTTAGAACTTATGCTCTTACGAGTCCAAGACCTGAAGGAACGAACCCGGCGGCAATTGGAGGTTGGGTATGAGCCGAGTGCTGGGATAGAGGTGCTGGAAGGGTGTCGAAGGGAGGTGAGGGCTTATATCCGAGGGACGCTTGGGTACTTTCCAGAGGTTGTTGAAGTGGCAGAGGCGATTTATTTGGAATTGACGGAGGCTATGGGGCTGATTAAGATGGCTTGGGAAGCTGACGGTCGTCGTCGGATGATGGATGAAGGGGATGGGGAAGGGCAGGAAGTTGACGGTATATAGTTGCGACTAGTCCAGTAGTGTAGTAATGCTAAATAACGCGTTCATAGCATGTCCAATTGAACGGTGCTGCTGCCTTTGGCAGGATGAAGGTCGTTGAGAATGAGCAAGAGCAACATACTAACTATTTTTTCTTTCTTCTTCCGCCGCTATGGGTTCCACAACGGCTGAAACAAAATGTTTGTGCCGTCTTAGAATGAGAGCCATTTATTCATAACTCGTTCTCCTTTTTTTTTTTGACGCCATCATCATCAATAAACGCCAAGACCATTCGCTCTCTTTTACCTGCATTTTCTGTGTCTGTCCACTTTGCGTCTGTGGACGCTCATTCTTCTTTTTTATCTACGGAAAAAGGAACACCGATCAAGAAAAAAAATGGGCGTAAAGCAAAAAATGTGATGCGGCCGTTCAAACTTTGAACCCGTGAAATGTTTATTTTTACGGCGCCGCGCATCCTGACCAAGGAAAACTATTAAAAAAAAAAAGGTGGCAAAAACGATGAGCACAACGGCGACATGGACGGGAAGAGAAACTTGTCTGTAAGGGAGGGCGTAGATGTTATTTTGTTCCTTCGTTTAATTGCAATTCGCACATGGCATGGCCTCCGGTATGGTTTTATTATGAGGAGGTGGCGCATGATATTACTATGTGTGGACCCTCGCTTTTACTCAAGGACCTTCGAGATCATTTTGCTACTTGGTCACAGAGTGTTCCTTTATTACCATTCGTGTTGTTTACCGGGTGTGGCGTCGTACTTATTTTGGAGTTCACCATGCAAACACGCTCTCATTGTCGCAATAGGACAGCTACAGCCTGACCTTGTAACTTCGTTTTCTTCAAAAGGAAGATTGGGCGCGAAGCGAATCAAAAGTGGGAACGGTCTGTGCAAAAATCAAGGGGTGCGAGATGTGTTTGTCGACTTCTGCTAGGATGGGGGGTTGAATGAGGGTAAGACACACAACAACGACAAACGATAGCTAATATTGTCAAGGTGGAGGTGGTGAGACAGTTAGACGAAGAAAAAAAAACGGCGGAGGGGTCAAACAAAACGAGCGGGATGAGGGCGAAGAAAGGGACCAGACCACATAGTAACATGGCATTTGTACACTGGCCATGCATCCTTCTTATTGTCGTCCTTTCTCTTCTCTTCCTTCTTTCTCTTCACTCTACCTTCCACTCTCCCTTCCACTCTCCCTTCCTTCCACGTTCTACCCTCCTTGTCTCCTTCTCCACATACCGACAACATACCAACCAACCAACTCATTCATTCCCTTCCCTTCGATCAACTCCAACGATTCCCAACTAACCCCAAATGGGCAGGTCGACCACCAAAAGAATGTCCTCCCAGTCCTCCACATTCTCAATCTTCACCTCCCCCCATCGACGAAGTCAAGATCTCCGCATCCTCCTCGTCGTCGCAATCTTCTTTTTCCTCGCCTCCATCAACCAATACCACGGCTCCTTCGACGTCTCCTTCGACGAGGACGGCCAGGTCCAGTCTGTACCCGCCGAAGCTGGTGACGACGATTTGTATTACACACATCATATTGCTACCTTCAAAAACGATCAAGTCCGTCCCTGGACCACCGCGGATACAGTCGCCTTATCGACAAGGGAAGGGCAGGAGATATTTGAGTTCTTGGGTGCCCCACCTGCTTCCCCGCGTCCTGTTCGGGAAGCATTACCCATTGGAGAACAACGATTGGGGCGCGGTAATGAGGATAGAGCCGGCTACGACGCCGCAGTATCATCGACGGATCGTTCGAAAGCAGGCGGAAGCGACAAGATGTTTTTGCATCTCACGAAACGTCTTCGTGCCTACAGGGGACTCTGGCAACACCTTCAACCGGATTATGAGGGTCTGAGGAGCGAGGAGAAACAAGACCAGTTCTATGTCCGTCCATCGCTGGACATGGCGCCCGCAGTACGGCTCCTCCAAAAGATGGAATGGTCGTTATTCCCATGGATCCTCAAGACTTATGCGACCACGTTTGACCTCTACCACGAGACCGTCGCTGCCGCTTCGCGAAGGCCGATTGACGAGAGGCGTGGGATAGTGATGTGTGTAGGCGACAAACATTCGGTTTATGCACGGACGACTGTCAAGGTTCTGCGGGATGTACTCAAATCCTCGCTGCCGATTGAGATCTACTATGCGGGAGAGCAGGATCTGTCCCAGGAGAACCGTGCTTGGTTCGACCAATTGCCTGGCGTCAAGGTGATTGACATCACGACGCGGTTGGACCAGTCTCTTCTCCACCTTTCGGGGTCTATCATCAAGCCCTTTGCGATGTTGGTATCGCAGTTCCAGGAAGTCATCCTCCTCGATGCAGACGCGTACTTCCTACAGGATCCCGAGAACCTGTTTGATGATGGTGGATACCAAGAGGTTGGGACGGTCTTCTTCTATGGTAGGACGGTGCCCAACAAGAGCAGCAAGGTCTCTCAGGCTAGCAAGCGCGCCTGGCTCGAGTCGTCTCTTCCCTCGGTCTCAAACCACCCTTCCAAGACGCGGTGGTTCCGATCTAAGGGCAACCAAGATCAGGATTCAGGCGTGGTGGTGATGGACAAGCGGATTCATTTCCTGGGCCTGCTGGCGATCTGCAAGTTGAACGATATTCAGGAACGGAACCAAGCTACCTATAGAGGCATCTGGGGCGCGCAAGAGTCATTCTGGATCGGATTGGAGATGATTCAGGAGCGATATTCGTTTATTCGGTTCGGAGGTGGAGTGATTGGCGACCTAGGGGATAGTATTCCTTACAAGCAAGACTCCCCAAGCGCTCCTACACGGATGGATCGCGTGTGCGGGAACCAATTGCATTTCAACCACAAAGGCCAACCACTCTGGTGGAACAGTGGTCTAGTGCGCGACAAGACAACAGACGGATCGCCCTACCTCAAATACACGGCCTGGATCCGGGACGAGCACGGGATCTGGGACATTGAGCACTCGTGCCTGATCCAGGCCTTCCATGGGGCATTGAAAGAGGTCGAGTGGAACCATCGGCAGACAGCGTTTGAGATGTTGAGGATTGATCGTGGGGTGGCTCAAGAGCTGGGCCAGCCCTCTGTCAAGAACATCATGACGGTGCCTCGGCTTTTGCGGACGGATGGTGTCAAAGGCGGCAATGGCAACAACGACGCCGTTTAGTAGTAGTTTTTTTTTTTTGCATATACTCATTTTCTAGACCTTGCATCATAACACTGTAAACATTCTTTCTTGTACAATGTACTCATTTCTTTTATTGAATTGGGGGTGGTTAGTGCCTTTTCTGTGTGTTGACCAGTGCTTCCCTTGTGAGACTAATACACTCATCCCTGATTATCCAGTGATATGTAACTGTTCCTGAATTGTGTCAACTTTACCCATCCACGTTACTGCCCTACTGTCAACTCCACAAGCGCACAAGTCTCTTTTCTACGAGCATGCAATACACCCAAGGGGGAAGGAGCATCTGAAAACGTCGTCACAACTCCCATCGCACTGAGCATTCAACGCACGCACGACCCTTTGCTTATTGCATATACCTATCCCCTCTTACCCTGCTCTCACTCCTTGCCACCCCCTGTGAACGTTTTTTTGTGCCTTGTTTCCTCAACACATTGCGCGAGCGAAAAGAAAGAAAGTAGTTTGTTGTGTTGTGTTGTTGGCCGTTACACTGAGTTTTTTCTTTTTTTTTGGGGAATCAGTCTTTCGACGAATGAATGAACCCTCACTAGTTTTGCTCCCCATTCGAGGGGTTTTTTTTGTCCGCTCCAGAAAACGAAAAAAAAGGAATGAAGACCTTTTCGAAAAGAGGTTGCTTTGTCGTTCCCCTGAAGTACAAGCTTCTGTAAAGTCGAGAGACATCTCAGTTACGGTAGTCGCGATCCTTGTTTTGTTGCAAGAATTGAGATCGCGTCAATTGGTGTCCCGCCTGGCCTATCCACACTGTCGTCCCACAGTTCTCAAAGGCAGTATGCACAAACAGTAACAGTCGATGCGACTTGTCAGTCTATGATCCTATGATAGATAAAGAATAGAACAACAACATGAGAGAGAAAGAAGAGCAAAAAAGGTAGATGAAGGAGGTAAGGCAACTACAAGAGCGATCTTTTGTTAGAAAGTATGAGTACAAGAAAAAAGTAGAGTGAAAGAAGAAAACGAGATGGTTGTTGGGGAGTAAAAGGGGAGGGAGGAAAGAAGGGAAAGGGAGGTGCGCTGAGTGAGAATGGATGTGTAAGAGTGGACCCTTTCTCATCTTCCTTAGTTGCGTTTCTAAAGAGCTCAAGGTTTATCGCTTGCGAAAGGACTGGACTGCTGGTTAACCCCATCGTGATCATGATCATCGATCTAGTAGAAAAGGTGCAAGAGTGGATAAGGATTGCTCTATTGATCTCCTTTTCCCCCTTGCTGTTAGTCTGGGTATGGCGAGGTGCCGCATGTTGTTCCTCTTTCGTTTGTGTTGTTGTCGTTGTTCAATCATGCATCTTTCCGAGCAAATGAGACCTAACCTCAAAACACAAAAAGAACGTTGTGGAAGAAGAAGTGAGGCAAGAAGGTAGAAGGCAGGAGAGGAGGAACGCGTTGATGTTGTTTTACTGCACCAGTCAAACACACGGACAAAAGGAAGAGGAGCTTTGATCTTGGGCGAGACGAGAGCACGATGGCGTGATTTTGAAGGCAGTGGCCAAGCTTGACGACTTTCAGGACGTAAAAGAAAGAAAGGAGGGAAGGAAGGAAGGGCACGCACTTGGTTGCGATTGAACAAGGACAGGGTCGGTTACACACTCCTGTTGGTTGATGGCCAGCAGTGGCCCGTCTCTAAAAAAAAGAGCGAATGAAATGTGAAAGGCGTGACTGTGAAATCACACCTCGATGGCGAAATCGATCCCTCTGGTGACAAAGACAATCGAAAGTAAGGAAGAAAGTAAAAAAGAGACAGAAGTGCCATGACTGTCAGCCAACCCAGACAACCTTGTTTTTGTCTTCTTTACTCCGCGCGGTGGCGACATCCTCCCCTCTCAAAGGAAGAGGTATAAAAAGGATCCGGGTTCTTTACTCTCTTTTCTTTTCTTTTCTCCTTCCCCCTTCTCCTTCGTCACTACACAACACTCTTCTCCCCTTTTCACAACCAACCCACCAACCAACCAACAACCATGTCTCCCGATCGCAACCCCCTCCGCCTTGGCTCCATCGCCCCTGACTTTGAGGCCGAGACCACCGAAGGCCCTATCAAGTTCCACGACTTCATCGGCAACTCCTGGGTCATCCTCTTCTCCCACCCCGCAGACTTCACCCCCGTCTGCACCACCGAGCTCGGTGTTGTTGCCCGCCTCCAGCCCAAGTTCCAGGAGCGCAACGTCAAGGTCATCGGTCTCTCCGCCAACGGCCTCGAGTCTCACAAGGATTGGATCAAGGATATCAACGAGGTCAACGACGTCGACCTCCAGTTCCCCATCATTGCTGATGCCGACCGTAAGATCTCGACCCTCTACGACATGTTGGACTACCAGGACTTGACCAACCTTGACGCCAAGGGTATCCCATTCACCGTCCGCTCCGTCTTCATCATCGACCCCAAGAAGACCATCCGCCTCACCCTCTCCTACCCCGCCTCGACCGGCCGCAACTTTGACGAGATCCTCCGTGTCGTTGATTCCCTCCAGCTCGGTGACAAGAACCGCATCACCACCCCCGCCAACTGGAAGCACGGTGATGACGTTATCGTCCACCCCTCCGTCTCCAACGAGGAGGCCGCTACCCTCTTCCCCGGCTTCAAGACCGTCAAGCCCTACCTCCGCTTTGCCACCCAGCCCGGCACCCAGCCCGCCACCATCTAAAGTCGCTTCTCTCTTTTTTTAATAAGCTGGATTTGCATTAGTCTTTTCTTTTTTTGTCAACCCAACAAAAAGTCATATATCCTTGCAAAAAGAAACAACCACATTCTGTAAATAATAAAAACACTCTGCGAATCCACACCATCTGTCCCCCCTCAGCCAGTGCGAACGGTGAATGAATGAATGTTGTCAGTTGAAAAGCGCAAAGGGCACCCATGAGAAAAAAAAAAAAAGGGGAGGGGGGGGAGACCTTCAACTGCCGCCTTTCTCTGAAAATCGCAATTCCACAAGTAATATCACCAATCGGGTGTTTTTTTCCCCTTCATTCATCGTTGTCAGCAAAACGCCAAAAAAAAGTTCAGAGAAGGCATAGAAAACAAGACGGGTTTGTTCCATTCCAGAAACACTAGCCCCACCGGGGAGCATAAAAAATACCCAAGCTTGAACCCCTTCCAGAGAGTTTTCTTATAGTCTCGCCATCTTCCTTCAGGTGCCTGGTTTGCCTCACTGCCCTTGGTATATTGGAGTTGTAAGTTGGATCGATGGAAGCATTTGTATGTCCAAGTCAATAAGCATAAACACGAAAGCCAACTCACGAAACAACAAAAAAGCATCTTGAAAGATCGAATGCGAAAGCAACTTTTTTGTTCTTACGCGCAGTCATTCAGTCAGTCATCCCTTCTTTCGCACCTGGAACAAGGAGGACTTGCATTAACGTTCTGAGTTGCAAAGCGGGGGGAAAAGTAGAGCACAAATATCAGGGTCCCATTCCTTCAATCTCAACGAAAAAAAGAACAGCAAGAAAAAGCCATCGCCATTAATAGTAACCCGGTACCCGTGTTTTACAGATAAAGAGTCCCTGCTGCGGAAAGGAAAAACGCGTGTACATCAGATATGAAAGCTTGCGCCATCCCACGTTTAATTAAAAGCGTCTAAGTGATTGATGGGAGATGGAGGAGGAGGCAGCCTTTGATGCAAGAGTAGGATTGGAGGCAGTCGCTTGGGCCACGCTCTTCAAGTCTGTCGTCGATCCATAAAATGTGCGTCCGGGCGGGCAGGGTGACCGTATGCCAGTGGCGTCGTCGTCATCTCCATCGCCCGTCTCATCCTCTTCCTCTTCCGTGAAAGGCCCGCTGTCGCTGGTCGCTGACGTATGTCCTCCGGCTGACGACATACCATCGCCTACTCTTCCTCCTCCTACTCCTCCCAATCCGACGCTACTCGCGCTCGCCATCGTCATCCTTGTCCGGTCTTCGCTCTCATATCCTCCAAACCCATCGTGGTTCAGTCCCAGACTGCTCTGTGTCATCAGAGTATCCGAATGGTATCCAAGTCTGGGTGCTGGAGGCGGATTCCGCGAAAAGGGTGTCGAAAACGCGCCCGAATAATCCTCTGTATTACCCAGCTGAGTGTTGCTCAGGCCGGGCGTGAAAGAAGGGGTAGTGCCTGCCGCCTGACCCTGCTTCTTAGAACGCAGATTGGCCGGCGTAGACGCCAATCTCGTTGAACCTTCAGCTGAATAAGCTGCCATACCCGCAGGCATTGAGGGTCGTGCAAGACCATTGGTTCGCCGAGGCGAAAAGGGTGGCGGGGAGCGTTGCTGTTCAGACAACGTGACTGCCTTGGAAGTGTTGCTTGAAGCAGCGGCGGCAGCAATAGCTGAAGCAGCGGCCCTGCTCGCGGGAGATGGTGATGTGGGGTAGAGAGGCTTCCTCAATGCAGACCCCAACAGGCTGAGACGACCATTAACAGATCCTGCAGGCCTGGGCGTGGCGAATGGTGCAGATGTGAGTGCTGCCCGAAACGTTGTTCCGCCAAAACTGCTCCTGCCACTTCCTCCTCCACGACTGTTAAAGGCACCAGGATGTCCGTAAGGGCCTCTTGACACGTCTGTCGGTGTGGCCATAGTCTGTCGCCGGTTGGACGTCGCCTCAAATCCAGAGCTGATTGACTGCCTGAAAAGAGAATCGATGCTGTTGTCACTGTTGACTCTCGTAGGAGGGTTCATGGCGCCGGTAGTGCTGGCAGGAGCAGGCGTGACAATGGTTTCACTGACTGTAACGGAAGCTGATGCCATTGTTGTTGACACTGCAACAGCATTGGAAGAAGGCTGTGGCATAGAGGGAAAGGAGACCGTGGGTGCTGATGATACTGGCGCTGACGTGGTAATAGCGCTGGTGGAAACGGCCGCACTAGAGGTAGAGGAGGTGGTAGTGGGCATGGCCCAGGCAGGAGGTGCAGGTCGTTGTGGCAGAAGGGAGGTTCGTGCTTTGTACTCCTGAATGCCTCGTCGAATCTCGGGAGGTGTTGCCAAAGCTGCAAGCAGTGGGTCAACTCCGTCTTCGTCCTCTGCATTCCGGCTCCTATGAGACGCAGCCTGACGACCGGGGCTCCGGGGCTCCTCATCATTGTTATCCTCCTGTTCCTGATTCCGCGAACGAGCTGTTGAAGACGGTACGGCAAAGAAATCCTGGACGCTGGCCATTTTGCGAGGACTCTTCAGCAACCGCTCCTTGTTCCGTTGCTGTTCTGTCAAGGACGCCCAGGCGTGACCCTCAGCTGGGTGGTCTTCTTGATCCAAGAAATCGCCTTCGCGACCTCTCTTTTTCGATCCTCCAATGTCGGCCTCGTCAGAGCCACGTCCTGTGTATCGCTGAACAAAGGCAGCGTCTTCCACGTCCTCATCGTCGTTCACAAAGATAGGTTGAGGAATGACGAGACCATCCTTCATCTGGATCTTGTTGACGCGACTCTTGGCCAAGACAGACCGTGGTGTCGTCGCCACTTTAGCCTCTGGAACCGAGAACTGCAGGGTAGTAGGTGGTGTAATGACATCCTGGTGGTCCTCATCGACATCGAGGTCCTCAAATCCTCCGCTGACTCTGCCTCGGGTGGGTGTTGTTGTTGTCTTTGCCTGCTGGGTATAGCTCGAGAGAGACATGGGGCGGTCCCTGAGAGTGATAGTAGGGGTGGTGGAACCCCGGTCCTGTCCTGAATTGTAATCATAGGGTCGACGCGTAGGTGTGGCGTTGCCCGGCGCGTCCTTGTTGGGCCACTGAATCTTTGCAGGGGGGGCAATATGGGTGCTCTGGAGTAAACGGTTCCTGCTGCTGCCTAGAGGTGTTGGTGTTGGTGGTAAGGAGCCCATGGGAGAGCCGTCGAGAAAGTCTGGGGAGAGTCTTGAGGAGGCGAGGTTGATGTTGCTGATGCGTCTACGGTTGGTTGAGCTGCCGAGATCATCGTTTTGGTTGTAATCAGGAGTTGTTGATTCCGACTGAGCTGCCGCTGCAGCTGTTTCTGCTTTCCATTGTGCGTTTGCGGCATTGGCAGAAGCAGCCATGGCGGCCTGTTGCCTGTTCCTGGCGTTCCTGATTGCTTGTGCTCTGCGACCGACTGCTGGGGTTGATGGGGTGGTTGTGGCCTCAAAGAAGTTGATCCAGAGACGGGCGTGTTCCCAAACTTCCCGTGATGACTCTGCGAAGCGGTCAATCTGTGGCAGGATCTTTGACGACACGATGATCTGGCAGTCTGAGAAGCTTTGATCTATTATTTTTTTGGATGATCGCTGTTAGATTCTTTTTGTTTTTACCGAGTGTCGTTGAAAGTGATTAAGTAAGAGTGACCAAGAAAAGAGTAGGTACCAATCTCCTGCATGGTGCGGGTTATGTTTTGGTCGAGGCGCTCGATCTCGTCGAGGACGTCGTCAGTTGTGAGTGGATTTGATGATGAAGACGAAGAGGAGGCCATGTTATTATGTATTGTATGTGGTATGGCGGGGAGAAGGGAGTAAAGAAAGAGAGAGAGGGAGAGAGAGGGAGAAGGAAGGAGAGGGAGTGTGAGATGAAGAGAACAGCGAGAACAGTGATAATTTTAAAAAGACGAAGAAATGTGTTTGTTATTGCTTGACGCGACATTGTTCTGCAACAGACTCCAATTTCCTTCTGTTCCTGTGTCTGTGTCTGTGTCTGTGGCTGACCATATCGGACAAAAAGACGCGTCTTTGTCTCTCTCAATTTCGAATTGCCTTTCGTCCAGACAGACATCTCCTCCAATGTAGTCCGATGGCTGTAGACCACTGTCACCTAGTGCCTCTCTACATGTATTCATCCTATCTGCATGCAATGAGAGCACCTTGTGCACTCTACTCTACTCTCTCTGCTCTTGCCCTTCTTTTCTTTCCTCTTCCCAATTTCCTCATCTCTCTTCCCTCATCTCTCTTTCTTCATCTCCCAAACTCATCGCCTCAATGTCATTCCTCACTTCCCTCATAACCCTCTCAAGGGCAAACCCCTCCTTGAAATACGGCCTTCTCGTCCTCGCATACATGTCCCTTGTCCGCCACCTCCGCTACCGCCGCATCAACAGCCTCCTCCGGAAATACCCAGACCCAACCCTCCCCCTCCGCGATCTCACAGTCGCCAGAGAAGTCGCCACCGCAACCGGCGGCTTTGATTTCCCATTCGTGAACGTCATCTCGCTCGAATTCGCACTCTTCAAAACCTATGCCATCCCTTCCATCTCCAAGATCCTCTCTGCTACCAAGCAGTTTGCGACACAGTGTCCTAAACGTGCAGACGATACTAGCTTGATTCTGTGTGAGATGACAGAGACCTACAAGAGACAGGCGTATCGACACATGACGGAGGGGAAAGAGGATCTGGACGAGGATCTGACGGACGAGAAGCGTGAACGGTTGGCATTGGAGAAACTCAATTTCATTCATGGACATTATCCAATCCGCCAGGAGGACTACCTCTACACCCTCGCGCTCTTTGTCCTCGAGCCCGTTTCATGGATCGATCGTCTCGAATGGCGTCAAGTCACCGAGCTCGAGAAAAACGTAAGGACTCTTGTTTATGTCGTTGATGTTCGGATTATTTTTTTTGATTCGTCTGACTGTGCATTTTGCGATGGTATCATGGAGCTCGAGGTGCAGCTGCAGCCCTCGGTATATGAAATGAGCCGACCCAATTGACAACTTTATTTTTCTCTCTCCATGCTTGAACATTAGGCGCTGCTGGGTGCCTGGACATTTCACGGCCAAAACATGAAGATCGAAAACATCCCCAAGACCTTTGACGAACTCGCCCAATGGTCCCAGGTAAATCGATAAAACAACAATGGAAAAATGGAATTGCTCAAAACCCCTGTTGAACAAAAATTGGCAGCAATAACAAAAGAAAACGCACAACAGCCCACCCATCGGGTCTACATCTCTACACGTGCACGATTACCAACTCTAAACGCTCATCCACCTCTACTCCCACCACATTCCAATGCTAGAACTACGAACGCGAGAACATGGTCTACGCACCTTCAAACGTGGCAATCGCACAAGCAACCACCAGCTTCTTACTCTCAAAATCCCCCAAAGCATTGCACCCCTTCGGTCGCCACATCGTCTCATCCCTCCTCACCGACCGCCTCCGCACCGCATTCGCCATCCCAAACCCACCCCGCGGTCTCACAACCTTCATCTTCGGCATTTTCAAACTGCGGCGATTCTTCATTCAGTACCTTTTGCTTCCAAGGAGGACCCCAAACATCCGAACGGCCTTGCGAGCAAACGATGAAGGAAAATTTGTCCCCCGTTGGAACAAGTATGCTCCCGTCTATCCTGATGGATATCATATCGAGGATCTGGGACCCGACAAGTTCTTGGGCAAATGCCCCGTCTCGCTCAAGAATGTCCAGCTCCCAACATTGATGGCGAATAACAACGATGACAAGGCTGTTGTCGTGTGAAAAAAAAAAGAAGATACGGATTACAGAGCAGACGAATTGAATGTGGCGCCCAGAGCCCTCGGCTCGCTTGGACTTTTTTTTTAGTGCACATATACCATACACAAAACAACACCCTGAATAATAAACACAGTTTCAAAACTCACACAAGTAATTATATCATTTTCTCTACCATTACCTACACCATACTGACAAAGCCGATTGATTTCTGTCAAGTTTTTATTTGTGGTGTCATGTCTCTTCTCCTTATTGGTATCTCCACGAGCATGGATCGAGATGAGAGCGCTCCAAGGGACAACAGCGGTCAGCGGCTGCGACTTGAAGGCTTTTGTATGTAGATCAATGAGTTCGGTCGTGGTCGTGGTCGGACATAGTCCCAGGTCATTTACAGTTCACCGTCCTCATCCATGTCCTCGTCGGCCTCTGCAATCTCCTGAACCAAAGTCCTCTCCTGGTCTCGTGCAGCCTCCACCTCTGCCGCATCCAACTGCACCGCCTTCAAAGGGAAGCGCATAGCCTATACCAGAGAAGGGAAGGGATAAACAAATCGAAATGTCAGTATATCATTCATAAGAGTTGAAACGGTAGATATATAGAATCATGCTCCAGTTTCAAAGATGAAAAGGTACCTTGACGGAGTCGTTATGGAGCTTGAGGCAGAAGCCGATGCGCTGGTGGAAGGCATGCTGGGGCTCGTTGGTAGAGTAAATGTCAACGTTCTCCTTGGAGCGCATGAAGCCCTTCTCGTGGTCAATAGTGGCGTCAATAACTCCATCGCGGATCGACTTTGCAACAATGTACTCGGCATCCTCCTCACTGTCCAGGTGCAACTTCAGGCAAACGTCGCGCAGCGAGATGCGAGAGTATGACAGCGAAATCATACGGATACCAGTCTTGATGACATTGTGGCGCAGACGCAAGATCAGTGTGTAGTTCTTGTCTGCGTTGAACGTGGCAGCGTGAGTTGCGAGCGTCTCCTGGAACTTGTTCAAGTCTCCCACGCGCACAGCCTGTGTGATCTGGAAGTAAGGCACAAGCGCCTTGCGGAGAACTGGCTGGCGGAATAACGAGCGCTCAGGAATTTCTCCCATCAACAACTGTACAATAATCAACAACTTGTTTGCCTATATGGAGTCAAAGTAAGATGAAGCAGTTGTTTAGGTCAACAATCTAAATGCTCATGACTTGTAAGAAAACACACAGAGATCGACCCAGGCATTCAACAAAGACAAAGACGTACCTCCTGCTGGAATCCTGCGGTGACATTGTTCTGAGGGGCCTTGCGCACGGCCTGCAAGAGAGACTGGTGGCTCTCGGTGTACTCAAGCTGGATGGCTTTGATCCTTCCAAGGTAGTACATGTATCTGGCCAACTGGTTGTTGGTGGCGTTCTCGGGGAACGTGGTTTTTGAGACCAGCTTGTCAGCCTGGTCGTAGAGGTTGTAGTGGAAGTAATTGCGCAAGAGCAAGTTGATCAAGGTCGACTGGGTGTCATCATCTCGACGGAGGGTAGCCGTGCGCTGGGCGTTCAAGAGGGTGGGGCGGATCTCTGACAAACGTCCAGTGAGCTCGTAGAAACGGGCATAGTAAAAGTAGACCTTGGCAGCCAACTGATCCAACGATCTCCTGTTCAACTCCTGCACAGTCTTGACGGTGATGTTGGACAGCTCCATACCCTATTTCGCATAGTACAAAGTATTGATGTTAAGGATGCTCTCAATTAGCGTTGACATTGTACTTGTCCGTCCAGTTGATCCAATATCGCCATTATTCCTACCTTCTCCAGTTGGTTCTGATCGAGAAGATAGATCATAACCAACAAGTGCAGATACACATCGACTTCGGGAGTCTCAGACTTGGTGACAGTCGTCTCATGCTCGGCAGTAATAGTGGCTGCTGCCTCCGATCCAAGATATCCAAGAAGACGCTTACGCGTATCATCATCTGTATAGATTGGCAAAGGACGTTATCAACGAAGGTTAGCAACTACTGTTCTCCAGATCGAATACCATGACTGCCCTGTAAGCCTTGAGACCCTTGAAAAGTCGTATCCATGATGACAAGAAAACAACTTGCCTTTGACGTAGCAGTTGGCGATGGTCTGGGCGAGGATGTGAGAAGTAAGACGCTTGCGCAGAGAGCTGACTGCACGCAAGGCACGGACGGCGAAACGTGCCTCGTGAGTCTTGGCCGACTTTATGAACAGAGCAAAGTGCTGCTTGATATCTATTAACAAGAAGGAACGAAGCACACATTTGTTGTTAAGTCCAGTGCTCGTTACTTCTTTTGCTTTTGGCCTGTTAAGCCCCCGACGAGTTGGGCGTTCATGCATGGACATGGCCTTGATTGTATTCCTGAGCACGAACCTGCGACGACGAGTGCTTCGAGCTCCTTAGGTGTGAGAACCTTCTCGGCGGGTTCTGTAGTCGCGTCTGCGGCGGTGTCTTCCATCTCGATGTCCTGGTCGACAGGCTTAGCCTTTCCCTTGGAGTCGTCTTCCTGGTTCTTGTTCAACCGGGTGGAGCGGCGTGGTGCTTCAGACATTGTTGTTTGCTTGTTCTGTGTCGGTGTAGTTGTAGTTGTTGGTTGTTGGTCGGAGTGAACGTGTGAGTGAGAGAGCAAGAGAAGCGGATGTGTTGTTGTTGCTGAAGTTTGAAAGTAAGAAAGAGAGAGAGACGTAATGTCGCGAATGTAAGTCTCCTTTGGTGGTCGTCGTCCTTTTACTTTTACCTGCCGCGACTGAGGGACAGTTACGCGTTTGCTACAGTAGCCTTGCAAATCAAGGAAATGTACATGTCATGGAACAAATTTTAATCGCACGTGTAACAACCTTTCTTTTCTGGATTTTGGAAACTCAATTCAAATTTACTATTTTAAAAAATATATAACCCTATGCGCGGTCTAGCACGATCATTGCAGAAAGCTGAAAAGAATTATTCTGCTACGAAGAAAGAGCTTTTGGTTGTTGTTTTTGCACTTATTCGCTTCCATCAATATCTGTGGGGTCTAAAAGCACAAACCATGCCTTGTAACACAGCCATGACACCTTCGACCTTTTAACCTTCTACACCGGCTTCAAGATGTCGGAGAAACTCATGGGCATGGGCGAAAAACCTCTCCTAGCCCTGGCTCTCACCTACCTCTCCTTCCCCGCCGCCAATACCGCTGAAGGCGATGCCGAAGTCGAAGCCGTCAAGAACCCTATGACTACAGTAGGCTTCTGGTCTGGCGATCGGATCGTTATCATCGGCGACTACTCCGAGGGATTCCCGCCCTTCTTCACATCCCAAGACCAGCAAGACTACAAGGCCTATACCGCCAAGCTCGCCGAGGAAAACGGCCAAGCAGGTGGCAAGGACGGGCAAGAAGTTGGCAGCATCTACAATTACGCGTGAAATACCTACGCCTCCATTCCTGTCAGCGCCTTTTTCAAGATTGACAGCCTCGGCCATTTCCGAAGCTGAACAAAACTTACCATCTTATCCTAAATCTTGACAAGAAAGAGTACTTCGACCCGCTTATCTGCAAGAGCCTCACCCAAGAGAAGGAGAAAGATGTTGGTGCTGTCGCCACCTGCGTCGTCGAGTTTGCGCAATAAAAGGACGGCATCATGCAGGGTCTGTTTAGCCTGCTGTTTTATTCGAATGGCTCTGGTGGTAGGGATGTCGACCAGTTTAAGGAGGGCCGATGGGCTGGAAACCGGATCTCGATCCAGGTCAAGGAGACTGTCGGAGATCTGGCAGAGTGGAAGGACATCAGCGCTGAGGTCGAGGCTGACTTGAATCCTAGTGGCCTTCGTACTAAACAGTAATGACCTTGGCCCCTCTGCTCTCCTTATGAGTCCACGACCATCAGATCAAAAGGCAAGCAATTGCAATTCTTCGTGTAGTCTCTCTTTTACTGTTTTACTTTTCACTGTTTCTTTAGTACACACTTCTCTACCCTTCGTCCGCCAAAGTGTCCAGACTTAGGCAGTCAGCGCCCTTCGACTGATAATATCAGCTACACACAAAAAAATAATAGGACGCTGGCAGCAGAGTCAGGTTCACGAAAGCGGCAAATGGTCTTTTCAATGATGTATTTGTTTAAAACTAAGAAAATGAAAAGCTAGATGTCACGGAATAAACTATCGTGAACAACATCGGGTCGCAACTTTGTAAAATACTCCCTCAATGCCACCCTTTCCTTGTCATGCTCAATCCTGTACAACCGCTCGTCATCCAGGCCGTACATCAAGTTCAACTTGGGCCAGCTCTTCGCCATCCAATCCATCTCGGTGTTGCCAATTTTGTGGTTGAGGCACTCGAATCCAAACATCTCCAGGTTCTTCAATGCACCCAGTCGACCCAGCCCAGACTCGAGCGTCAGCTCCAAAGTATCAAACATCGGTGGCTCATATCGCAGATACTCCTCTCCGTCTTCGCCCACATAATTTTCTGATGTCCCTGACTTGTACTCCCATGGGTCCCGGTTCTCGTATCCGAGATCCAAATGCTTGAGGCGCGTCAGACTGGCCAGCCTATCGTAGACTCCATGGTGCTGTGCGCGACATCTGTTGAACTTTTCGACCATTCCCGTTTCCTCCTCTGACAGGTCAGCCGAGTATCCAGACGCCATGATCCGTGCCACTATTCCCTCCTCCATAGGGGTCAATCGATCCAACCCGACAATTCTGCAAGTCAACCACTCCAGTCCCATGCAGGTCCAAGGCTCCCTCAGCATCTCGTCGACCTTGATAAAGTTCCTGATGCTGTCAAACTCGCGAAGGTGGCGGTGAGTGATCAGGAACTGGTTAGTTGGGTCGTTGCCTCGTATTCCTGGCATATATTGCATATCTCGGATATATCTCTCGTCGATGAAACAAGGCGGAAAAGCTCTGAACGTCTCCCAGTTTAAGCAGCGGTCCTTCAAAAGCAACGCCACATCCTCTCGGAGACACTCGTTCCCAATCTCCCACATCACAATGCTTGGGATATAACGAAAGACAGTGTCCCAATCCTCCACGATGCCTTCGAGTTCCCTAAGAGACTGCCCACCGAACGGCGCTGGCGGCAGCGGGATGTAGTTTGGACTCGACGTGTATCTCGGGTTCTCCTCAATCTTCCACAGTGAAAGTTGCGACAGGTTGGGGAAGATGCCAAGCAGCGTGAGCAATCCATTGACAGTAGTTATTCCTCCAGCCCGTAGGACCTTCAAGCAGCGTGAGCAATCCATTGACAGTAGTTATTCCTCCAGCCCGTAGGACCTTCAAGCTCGTGCTGGCCCCTGGCAGTGACTCAGGCAGGGGGAAGACAGTCGGCGAGGACAAATTCTGGAACGAAAGGGACTCGAACTCTGCTGGAAGCGCATCCCATAGCTTCCAAAACTCGATGCGCCCAAACAGGTGCTGATTGCCATCGAGGTCCTTGAGATGCTTTAGTAGCCGAAAGGTCGCACAAACGAAGTCTGCCAAGACGAAGCAACACTGCCACCGGCATTTAGAGGTGTGAAGACGCACTAGTCCTGGGTTGACCCGGATCAGATGCCAGGTATGTTGGGTGAGAGTCCAGATATGCTCCATATTTGCCATCTTCGACTCGGGGGTGACGTTTTCATAGAGCGATGTTGTTCTAAAGTCGGCCAGTTTTAGATGGCCTGGAAACAATGGCTCGGAGAGTTCAACGTCGCGTTCTTGAGAGGGGTTTGGAACTCGCAAGATGGGAGCAGCTCTGAATCCGCCAGTGCCAGCAAGTGCAACAGCAGGTGCGACCCCGAGTCCTCCAGCGGCAGCATCTGGAACATCGGCAGGAGCAGCACCAAACCCTCCGACAGCAAATGAAGGAGCACCTTCGAATACCCCAACAGAAGTAATTGGTTCCAAAGCAGGAGCAGTGCCCCAGCCAGGATGATAAACAACTGCACCGAGTCCGGGAGGAAGAGGCAGGTACTCCAAACGCGGCCCTACTGCATTCTGATTCAAGTCGAGAACCAAAGTGTGCAAACTGGTGCAGGTCTCCTTTCGACTGGCCGCCTCGAGGACCAGAGTATGGCTGATCTTGAATTCTCGGATGTGGTGGCCGTATTTCTCAAAGATGGCGAACAGCCAGCCGCGGTCCTTGATGAGATCCGAGTCGTGAACGCAGGACTTGTGGGTATCGAAGAAACGCCCACGAAAGGGAAAGCTGCTTGGTGCGGTTGCCGTTGTTACTACTGTTACTGCACTAATTGCTGCTGGGGGTGGCGGTTGTGGACGTGGGTCGGTGATTTGAAGGAGAGTGTCGCCCCAGGATTGAGCCGAGTCGTCGATGGATCGCCAGAGGACAGGGATGAAGGTTTTATTCCACGTGCTGTTGAGCTGGACGCAGGAAAGGAGATCGGCAGGGCTGAGGTATGAGGACAAGTGAGCCACTAGCTCGGGGATGTCGAGGAAATCCTGCTTCATGGCGAGGAAGGGTTGTGTGGAGGCCGAGAGGGAGAAGAACGAGGGAGGTGAGGTGGTGTCAAAGCAGAGGGTGTAAGAAAAAGGGCTTGAGGATGGAGGACGAAAGGGAAGGAGAGATGACAGGTGGCACGGGGAGAGAGGAGATGGAAGAAAAAGAGAAAGAGGAAAAAAGGACAGAATAGGAGTGAAGAAAGTGAAGAGGGGATAAGGAGAATAGGGAGGGTCGTTGTCGTTCTCCTCCTCTCATCAACAAAAACAGTGGTAAAAATTAACGTTGAATGCTCACACTCCAATCAACCATGGTCAGGTCGCATACAGAGAAGGGAGTCTTTTTTTTTTTTTTTGCCACTTGTCCGGCTCACAAGACGGAGAACAAAAAAACAGGGGCAAAGAGGGAGCCTGGAGACTGACAGTAGGAATGAGGTGACTATTCTTTTGTTCACCACAGCATAGCACATTGTTCATCACAGCATAGCACATTGTTCATCACAGCATAGCACATTAGGCTACAGCCTCATTGCGCTGAACTTGCTGTTTTTGTGGGAGACAAGTAAAGGGAAAGGATGGAGAAAGTTGGCAATGAAAGAAAAATAAAGGTGGAGACTCCGTCCTGATGATTTTTTTATTTTCTGCTGATGAATGAGTTGAGGCTCTTTGTTGTTGTTGTTGTTGTTGTTGTTGTTGTTGTTGTTGTTGTTGTTGTTGTTGTTGTTGTTGTTGGACAATGGCGACAACAAGTGCGGATGCTGCTCGATCGTCGTCAACAACGTACTTATTCCCTGTGTGTGAAAGATGTGAAAGATGTGAAAGAAATCACCACACCATCGTGTCATATTGCATGAGTGCGATCGGTGAGCAAGAAGAGAATAATTCGAGCCATGTGCCAGTGTGGACCATCGTGGTAAAAAAATCTTTTCGTGTGGAGCTGGCTGGTCGTACACAGTGCACCCACTCGCCTAGGCTTGAAATAATAATTTTCGCGACGTACACACACACACATATCAACCATCAGCGCGTTTTCTCGCTTGACTTTGTTTTACCTCTTTGACACTCAACGAAGCACTCAACGAGACACTCTCTTCTCGTTGCTCTTTTTATTCTTCACAAAAAACCTCACCAGAAAACGAAGCTGGTATATAAAAACAGCTACTAGTTTTGCGCCCTCCCTCTTTCGAACACTCCCTCCATCAAAACCCCCTCATGGCACCTACCTCCCTCTCTCTTCCCTCCAACCCTCACACCCTCATTACCGCGCAAATGCACACTTCTTCTTTATGAAGCCAAAACAAAGCCGTTCTTTCTCTCTCACTCTTGATACCCCTTGCTGACAACTACGCCGCTGGTGCCTGAACATTGTTGTTATGCAGCAACTATGTGCTATGGACTATAGGCTCGTTTAAACAAGAGGCATACGCCAGCACTCTCCTCCTCCTCCTCCTCCTCCTCCTCCTCCTCTCCTCTTCGTAACCCACTTGCCCATTTAAAGCAATCTTCGTTGTCCTCGTTGCCTTTTTCCTCCTTTCACTTCTCTTTCTTGATCTTCATCCCTTCCACTTTTGCTTCAGCTCCACCAACAAGCAACAACAACGGTAACCTACAGACACACATACTTTTCATCCGCTTGATTACTACTCTCGGTCCACCTTTGTTTTGAAAGCTACACCTACTCCCACCTTATCCTCGTCCTCCTTTCACGTTGCCGTCTTGACACACGACCGCCGCTCCATTCTGCATGTTTTCAATTGCCTGCCTTCCTTCCCAATACCGTCTATCTCCTCCTACACGACTTCCTCCTTCCTCTCTTCCATTTGCGCCCACAGAGACACGCCACTCCCGCAAGCAAAAAGCACTCACACACATATATGCCAACCTTCGCACGATTCCTATTTTTTTTTGGTTTGAACAGGACTACAAGCGGATATAAATATTGCAAGCACCATGACTCCTGCAAGCATGTACAACGAATACCATGAGGCCCTTACTCAAGGCAATCCAGAATTGAGCAAAGAGAGAGCCACGGCCCTCAGGCTGGAGAAGGCTCGACGTGTCATTGAGCCGAGCGATGGCCACTATCGTCGACGCCTTGCCTTCAACATTGCTCGGCTTTCCATTGTTGAGCAGTCAGTGATTCTCCTCGACGGGCCAGCCCTGTTTCCTGCCTCGGAGCTGACCGGTGACGACTCAGAGAACCCTAACCTTCCTCCTCCAGCTGCCATGAGCCTCCCTGCGGAAGACTGCGCTGGGTTCCAGCTTGGCCTGGCCTTCACTGTTGGTAAGTTGTGTGATCTCTTCTCTCTCCCCCCCCCCCCCCTTTTTACATCTTGATTCAAATGCATTTCCCATTTATTTATTGATAAAACCATCAGTGCGTCAATTCTATTTGCACTTTCCTCAAAATGGCCTTTGTTTTTTGTCGGTATCAACTGTCCCCCATCTCCATACCCTTTATCCTTCTCAGAGTTGATACTATCCCTCTCCCCTCCTCGGCACTTCGGTTTGGTCCGCCTTCAACACCACTTTTCTCCGACATGCTCTTTCTGCTTAACTACCATCAGCAACATCATCAGCAAAGGCCCATTTATTTTAGATTGGACTCGATCGCAGGAGTACCACTTGCAGATCCTCATAACTTATTATTTCGGTCTGTCTATGTCTCTTTTTTTTTTTTTTTTTCTTTTTTTTTTTTTGCGGCTTTAGGTCTGATCCCCATCGTCGGCCTGTGGCTGAGCCACAATATGGTGCGTTTAAAGCTCAGTGATATGAAGCTTAGCCATGAGCGGCAAACAGAGCTCCAGCAGAAGATGGTCACGACCATGTCCCAGGACTTTCTGGTATGTCCTCCACACAATGCCCACACATATATATGCCATATCTTAACCACACATGCACGCATGCATGCATTCTCTAATTGATATTTTTCTTCGCTAAATGCATTTTTATTTTTGTATTCATAGCTTCGCCTCTGTCTCCCCTTGGTTGGACCTTTGGTCTCCCGCTATGCACAACCCCACCACGCGATCCTCAAGCATGCCGATGAACTGGTCTCTGCTCATACTAAGCAAATCCAGCAGCGCTTCGACAAGCTCGTCTACGAGACACTTGCAGAGAATGGGCTTTCCCTCGAGCAGTGGGAGAGCTACAACGCGGCTAGAGTAAACGTCGCCGTCGCCGCCGCCGCTCCTCCTTCCCTTGCTCCTCCTGCGGCTGGGTGGGTCCTCCTCGACAGTGACGAGGCCATAGCGCTCGAATTGATTGAGCCTACGGTGCTCGAGTCGGCTGACTCCGCTGCAGAGCCATACATCGTTCGGATCCAGACTGGCGGCGTACATGCCGCAAACGCCCCTGTTCTGGGTGCCCAAGTCGGTGCCAGCTCCGCTCCCAGGGAGCAGGTTGATGTTGGCTGCCTAGACCCAGATGACGTGGCCTCTTCGTGCTCATCTGAGTACAGCTTCTCGGTTCACCGAGAATTGTCTATCTTCAACGAGACCACATCTGTCGCTGGCGAGGATGCCGAGACCCAAAGTAGCTCGCCCGCCGTTGTCGTCGGTGCGGAGCAAACTCCTCATCCTCGCATCATGCTAGTCGATCCAATCGCCGATACGGCCGCGATGGATATGAGCTCGTCGATAGATGTGAGCACGCCGGTGAATCGGCAGACCCTTCTGATCCCCGGACATGTGCAGGGCATCACTCAGACTGCGACCCTGTCTCTCACATGTGTTGTTGAGTTGCACGACTCCACGCCCACCGTTGCGATGCCACCCTATCTCGAGGCCCTGCTCGCCTATTGGCCACTCATCCAACATCCAGTGCCTCAGTTGAATGATGATGAGGAAGAAACCATCCCAACGACCGTCCTCCACGTCCGCCGCATCATCATTGATATCCCAGAGATGGCAACGATCGCGGTCGCATCCGTCTCCAGATCGGCAACGCTCGCCTTATCCAGTTCAGCGGTACCAGCTCCAATGTTCTCAGCAACCTCGGGTCCTGGACTCATCTCTGCTAGTGCTAATGCGTCAGAGGTCTCGGATACCCCTCAGCCTCAAGCATCAGAGGTCCAAGCCTTCGCAGAGACTGATATTGCTTTTACCTCCCAACACAACAAGCCCACACCTACAAACGACTCGTCCATCCTACCAACGTCTCAACCAGACCTCGAGCCAGTCGAAGTGGCCTTCTCATCCTCTTCATCCACTCTGTTGCTCTCAACGACGTCGTCGCCATCTTTGTCGGAACTGGAGCGAACAGCCGTCGCGCGCCCTGCGATGACGACTACTACCGACCGCCCAGAGGACCTTCCTACACGATTCCGTGACTTGTCGATTCATATGCTTGAAGCAGGACCCACCCGTGCCAACAGCCCCAGTGCCTCCGAAGATGATGATTCATTTACCACAATAATCGCCGCCCTGCCAAATGAATCCCGAACAGCCTCCACATCCTCAACATCGTCCTCGACTTCAACCCCTGCTCCCAGATTAAGGCCATCACATCTCCAGGTGCCTCCCACTTTTGCCACCGCAGGTCGATTCCAGTTCTCGAGCAGCAACGAGGTCTCGTCTGAAGAAGAGGGCTATGGTGGCGGCTTTGGTCGCGACGAAGCTGACGACGACGACGTTAACCAACAAGAAGACTCTCCTGGCGAACGAAATCAAGTCGACGCCACTTTCGTCGACAGTAACCACAACCACCAGCAAGGAGCACAACCCCAAGCGAGTGCAATCGGCTCGGAGGACGAAGGCGTTGCTAGAGATGACCGTGGCTTTAAGGTCGTCAGGCCTAGGGTTCGACTCCGCCCCGGCTACAAGTTCCGGAACCTCAACCACGAAGAACTGTTCGTCGGTTTCGACAGCGTCAGCTCCCGCCTTGATGACTATGATCGCAATGACCGGCAGCAGCGAGTCACGGGAATGAGTAAGCCGCGAGAGTGCGGCGAAACGCAGCTGGACTCGCTTGCAGTGAGAGTCTCTAGTTTGACGACGCGGGAGCCTCTTCAAGCCAGAAATCCGGATCCACGGAGCGATCTTAAATCGCATTGGAGCAGCCCCCAAGATGCCGATGTGGCGACCTTAGACGCAGCATTTGTCAATCTCGAGCTGAATAGAGGTCCAGCGAGGACTCAAGCCGGAGAACTAGCTCGAGGAGGCTCCCACGTCCAGCGGGATATCAGGCAACCGTCAGTAACAGAAGAGATGCAAGGCTTTGTTGGAGTTGTAGGGGACAAGGCTGAGATCGAGGAAGAGGACGACCAGGACAACGGACGGGATGTTGAAATTCAGGCGTTGGCTATTGGGGAGCACTGGCAGTCAATAAGAAGCCGGGCCCAACACCCAACAACCATCATGGCCTCTCAGGATAGAAGAGAGAGTGTTCTTCGATCTCCTCTTCCTCTTCACCCTCCTCCAATTCCCCCCCGCCCTCCCTATCGATCTCTCTCCTTCATTCGCATTATGTCTCCAGGTCGCGATTCCATGCCGTCGATCTCGTCGTCAGCACCACCATCGCCTCTACAGCAACAACCATTCGCACAACCTCAACAACAGGTTCGCTCAGTCACCGACCAGCCTTTGAACAAACAACAACTGCTCCTCCAACACGTTCAACCACCTTTCCAACAACAAAGCCTTCACGTCGGAGGAGCACCGACCTACCACCAGTGTCCAACAGCTACCAGAACCGGCATCCACAGCAGCGAGATTTCCGTCCCCCTCGGCAGCATGGACACCTACGCCGCCAGCAGCGAACCACCAACATCCACTACCACAGCGTTTTCAGCAACCAACACAGGCACAGGCGCAAGCGCAGGTGAGGAGTGGTCGACTCCACCAACCGAACAATCAGCAAGCCTTCTCCTCTGCGCGCCCTTTGTCCCCAAGTTCGATGACAGCGACGACGACAAGATCCCTCCAGTCGTAGCTGTCCGCGCCCCGAACTCGCGCAGTGGGGTTCGTCTGCCGTTCCAAAACCAAGCGAGACAGCAGGCAATGTTTGAAAGACAGCAGCAGATCCCAAACCTCACGGTACCTTTGGTATCGCAGAGGTTTTCTTGTGATGCGACAGTTCCTCAGTCGATGGCAGCAACAGGGGCGGCAGGAGCAGCGGGGGCGACATCTAGTCTTGGGGGAGGAAGGATGACGGAGCAAGCGATCGAGAACAAGTTCTTACAGATCTCGGAACCAACGCACATCATTGGGCAGAGGTTAATCGCGCAGGATATTGCGGCTGTGAGGTCGTGGCATGCCAGGCATAAGCAGGACCAAATGTGCACGTCCAGGAACAACGTCAACTCCTACACCTCGGAGTCATCACCCTCGTCGGCCCAACAACCTTTCCGCCAGCAGCAGCAACAGCAACAGCAACAGCAACAGCAACAGCAACAGCAACAGCAACAGCAACAGCAACAGCAACAGCAACAGCAACCGCTCCAGTACCAACCACAACAACAGGTTATTACCCAACAGCAATATCAATTTCTTCATCGCCATCAACTTCAACAACCCCTTCAGCCTCAGCACCAACCAAAGTACCAAGAGCAGCTTCAGGAACAGGAAAGGACTCACCTCCCGGGGGGAGGACAACAGCGACCTTGGTCGCAGACAACGGACGATCCAACTGAGGACCTGAACGGCGACTATAGCACCGACGCAGACGCGGCGTTTCTCTCCGAGCGCCAGTTCCAGGACCCTCGACTCCTCCAACAGCATCACCTTCATCAGCGCCAAAGCACCACCAACATCAATGGCAGCAACCAGTTCATCGATGGACCCTTGGCTCCACCTCTTCAACCATGGTTGGCCGACACAGCCTCGTCATCCCAGTACCCGAGCTCAAGAATCATCCACCCTCGACTTCTCTTCCAACAGCAACAGCAAACTCACCATCATCAACAACAAATCCTCTCCCAGCAACAACAGCAGCTCCAACAACAGTATTTGTTGCCCAACCAGTCTGGATTCAACTTTGGGCAATACTCTCAACATCATCGACACCAACAAATCAACATCAACCCCTCTCAAACTCACAACGAACAGCCTGGGTTCCCTCCCCAACAGCACCACCACCACCAACAAGTCGTCCAACCATCATCTCAGTTCGTGTTGCCCTCCCAAGACCGAGCATTCCAACTCCAGCGCATCCTCCAACAGCAAAATCACCACCACCAGCAGCAGCAGCAGCAATGCGAGCAACAAGCCCATCACGAGGAGAAGCAACGACAACTGCGGATGCAGGTCCGTATCCAAGACGAACAAAGGACCCGCGAGATGCAGGGGCAAGATCGGCTGTCGCGTGCGCTTTTGCAGAGTCAGAGTCTGGAGCAGGCGCGACTTGGGATGGCTCTGGCGAAGCAGGTTCAGGTTCAGCAGGTTCAGGTTCCACAACCGCAAGGACTGCGGGGAGCGCAAGGGCAATGGCAGGGAGGGCTTGTAGGAGAAGGAGGAGGAGGAGGAGGAGGAGGAGGAGGAGGAGGAGGAGGAGGAGGAGGAGGAGGAGGAGGAGGAGGAGGAGGAGGAGGAGGAGGCGGGATTGGACAAGGGAGAGTCAGTCAGACCCCGCTGCCGTCGTTGATGACAGCCGAGCAGAATCACCAGTTGGATGCAGTGCTGTATGGGGAATATGTGCAGGAGTTGGGCGAGAAGGGGCATGATAAGGAAGAGCAGCAGAAGTAAGCGAGTGAGTGAGATGGGATCTGGTCAGGATAGGTTGTCGTTCGGTCGCTGAGGACGAGGGGTTCCCTTTTTCGTGGAGGGCGAGGGGCTCTTAAGGCCAGAGCTTCGTTTTTCTGTTGGGGTTCTTACCTTTTGGGTTGAGTTCGGTGGAGGAGGGAGTGAGGAGAAGGAGGGAGGGGGGAGCAAAAGAAGTCGAGTACAACAAGGCTTTTATACCTGCAGTGGATGTGGTCGTTTTTAGGAGGGGCGATGTCATTGTTCTTTGTTTCTTTTCAATACACGCACCTACATACATAAAGACACGAACACATACACACATGCACATATACACACAATAAACCATGAATACGAAATGACATATCTATTGTCATAGCTGCAATCGTTAATTGGGAGAGTGATGGCTGTAATGAAAGACCCATGCACACACTGAACAATAGAATCCAAAAAAAAAAGGCTGGTTTTTTTTAGTATTACTACTCTATTCGCTGTCTTCCTCCTCCTCCTCGCTATCCTCAGCAGCAGCAACCTCAAGCTCATCCTCAGACTCCTCCTCCTCCTCACCATCAGCAGCACCACTCTGAACACCATTATTCTTCCAGATGCCCTTCTGGACCGAGACACAAGTAACCCTCATATCGGTCTTATGCTCTCCAATAAACTTCTTCATCATCATCTCCTCCGTCGAAGCAGCAGGCGCAACAACATCCTCCAAGTTCCAGACCAAGATCTTGCCCTCTGAAGAAACACTCGTCAAGAGATCGCACATCTTGGTTCCTGAGCGGCCGACAAACTTGACGTTGGAGGTCTCCTCGGGGGTGAAGGGGACGGTGACGAGGTCGAGGTCCTTGATACGGTTGCCATGGCCGACGAGGGTCTTGACCAGTGCGCCTGTGGTGGTGTTGTAGATCCGGACCATCTTGTCCTCGCAGCCAACGATGAGGTAGTCGTCCTTGTAGTAGAGCATTGTGTTCAGACGCGTCTTTTTCGCGGGCTTGATCGTGCGAATGCACTTTGCCGTCTATTTTTTTCCCAAATGGTTTACCAAAGATTATGATTAGTCCTTGTTGAAACAAAACACAATCAACAAAAAAATAAAACAATAACCAAAAATCATGAACTGCGAGAAAAAAAAGAAGAGAAGAACTTACAGCCATGTCGTAGATGCCAATCTCCTGATCAAACATAATCGAGTACCCAGTACCAGAAGGGTTCCAAACAACCCTCAGTCCCTCTCCCTGCAAACGCGTCATACTAGCCTGCTTTCCCAACAACAAATTCCACAACCTCACCGAGTGATCCACCGAAACCGACAGTGCAATCTTTCCCGAAGGGTGGATCGCAATCGAATGAACAGACGCCTGATGACCCTTCATGATCTTGAGACACTCCCAATCCTTTGTACGCCAGACACAGATCTTGCCGTCGTCCGATCCAGAGAGCATGTGGGTTTTGGTGTGGAATGTCAAGGCCGTGATGGTGCCCTGATGTTGGAGAAGGGCGCCGAGTTCCTTGCGACGCTTCAAATCGTAGAGTTGGATCTTTTCGTCGGTGCTGCCTGAGGCCAGGAAGTGGCCGCCGATGGCTAGTGATTTGATGCAGCCGATGTGAGCTGGGAAAATGAAAATTGGCGACAGTCTCAGCGTCATGTCCTATTAATTGTAATTGAGTTGAAAAGTACAAGATGTAGGATTAGTTTTCGATCTGCACGTTGACAACACACTACTACGACCCCCCGTGCGCGAAAAAAAATGACAAACAAAATAATAGCACGACTCTTGTGCAGCCATATCATTGTTTCTTACCTCATTCCAATAGGCGTCAACACCATAGAGAATGTTTTCATAAGTTCCTGCAACAATTCTGAAATCCTCCAAGGTAGCACCCTCAGGGACAACCTCGACCTTCTTGGGCTTGGCAACCACCTTCTTGACGGGTGCGGCAACAGTAACCTTCTTGACGCCTCCAGTGACGGGTCCTCCCTTCTTTCCGTTGTTGTTGTTTTTGTTGTTGGGCTTGGAGTTCACGACCTTCTTGGCGTTGGCGTTAGGTTTTGATCCTGAGGTGACCTTGTTGTTCTTGTTCTTGTTGCTGTTGTTCGAGGAAGGGTCGGGTTTGGTACGCTTGTTGTTGTTGGTGGTGTTGTTGTTGGCTGAAGAGGTCTTTGTGGAGACGGAAGGGGTGTGCTTGCGCTTTTGTGCGGTGGGAGCCGCAGGTGCAGCTGCGGCAGGGGTGGTCTTCTTGAGTGCGCTCTTGAGAGGCTTCTTTTGTTTATCCATGATGTGTTTGTTGTGTAGTGAAGGGGGAGGGAGGATGAATGAAGGAAAGGAATGCTACTCAAGAACTGCAATGCCTTCTAAGCTCGAACCTTCCCAAAAAAAAAAGAAAAAAAAAAGAAAATAACGAAAGCAGTCACTGTTGACGTTTTACCCACTGAAGTGTGCAGTTTTGGGATCAGAGCCAGGCACAGATTCAAGACAAAAATTTAATCAGTGCGCCCAACAGCTTTTTGTTCCTTTTTACCACTCTCCTCAATTCCCTTCGGATACCTCACACCATCAATACCCGATATCGATCAATCAATGATTCAGGAACAACCCCCACAGGACCCAGTAGCAGTAGCAGCAGCAGGAGCAGAGGAACAACAGCAGGACCTGTCAAGTATTGAGGTCCGCAAGGTCAAACTCCAACAACCCCTCCAAGCCTCCATCATCTCCCCCGAGAAGCTCGAATACGCCCAGGGCGTCATCTCCAAGGACAAGGCCATCAAACCCTTCTGGGTCAACAAGTACAAAAACGAGGCCGCCAAGAACTGGGACCGCTTCTACAAACGCAACGAGACCCGCTTCTACAAGGACCGTCACTGGATCGAGCGCGAGTTCTCCATCTTTGGTGAAAAGACGACCGCCGACGGCGATAACGAGAGGACCATCAATTGTCTGGAGATTGGTTGTGGTGTCGGGAACTTTATCTTCCCAGTCCTGGATCTCAACCAACGGTTGTTCATGTACGCCTGCGATTTCGCACCCCATGCCATCGAACTCGTCAAACAGCACGAGGACTATCCCCAGGGCCGCTGCTCAGCATTCGTCTGCGATTTGACAAAGGACTCTCTGACGGACACCATCCCCGCAGGATCCCTCGACATTGTCTCCTCGATCTTTGTCCTCTCCGCCATTCCCGCAGAGAAACTGGAAGCCGCCGTCCGGAATATCAAGGAGGTCATCAAGCCCGGCGGGATGATCTGTTTCCGAGACTATGCAGTCTACGATGCGGCACAGGTCAAGTTCAGTTCCAACCCGGGTCATATGCTGGATACCAATTTGTATGTCCGTCAGGATGGAACCATGTCGCATTTCTTTTCGGTCGAACAAATGACAGAGTTGTTTGAGAGGGAGGGGTTCAGGGTCGAGGAGTGTGGCTATGTCCATCGCGAGACTATTAACAGGGCCATGGATTTGAGTCTTGACCGAAGGTTCCTCCAGGCAAAGTTCGTCAAGCTCTAGTAGGTGGACTTGTCTCTTGTCATCTTATTTCCACGATACCTCAATGTAGACTATTCAATAGATCATCTGTACCATTATCTCAACCATTGTATCCTTCAATGCAACATATATCTACAACGCGGAGAAAAAGGGTGTGCTTGATTAACGAGTATATTTGCGAATGCGAAAAATGAGAGAAAAAAAAATGCAGTGAGGGGATTGGGGGGGGGGGATGGTCTAAAATGAAAATAACTAAGAAGACTCGGCGGGAGCAGCAGCCTTCTTCCTCTTCTCGGCGCCATTGACAAGTGCTGGAGCACCTCCGCTTGCCTTCCTTTTCTTGCTGTTGGCAATGATATCCCGCTTGTGTGCAATCTTCTTCTTGTCGTATGTCGACATTGTGTTGATTGTGCTGCGTCCCAATGGCATCTTTCTCAAGTTCTTCTTCTCGTTTTTGCTATTAAAGTGAATAACAAGGTAATACCATGTCAGAAACTCAGGTAGAGAAAAGCGTTCAATAACAGACAAATAAAGTATTACACAAAGGCAATTAGATGTGTTACCTTGGCTTTTTCATGGCCAACATCCAGTCGGCAACTTCGCATCCAGATTCCCGCATGACATTGACAATGCTCTTAAGATAGATCTGATCCTCGTTCGTAAAGTAGGTCATGGCCTCTCCAGAACGACCAGCACGACCGGTACGACCGATACGATGGATATACGACTGGACCGTCTGAGGGAAATCGTAGTTGATGACCAGGTTCACGCCCTTGAAATCCACACCACGGGCCATCAGCTCAGTGGCAATCAGAACCCACACCTTACCCTGGCGGAAACTCTCGACAATCTTGTCACGCTGGGCTTTTGTGCGCTCGGAATGGATAACGTCGACATGGATACCGTCGTAGATCAGCTCGTGGAACAATTCCTTGGCACGTTCGATACTCTGTACAAAGATCAGCACTGGGGGCTTGAGGCCGCCCTGGATAAGTTGGCGGATAGCAATGAGTTTGCCTTCTTCAGATCCACAGTACACAAGCTTTTGGTTGATGGTCTCTGTGGCGGCGTTCTTGGATCCGATGACAATCCTGATGGGCGATCTCATAAATGTACTGGCGAGAGCCTCGACTCCTGAGGGGAGCGTGGCACTGAAGAGTGACTTTTGGAGGGAGGGGTGCGAACATGCTGCGAAAATCTCGTCCGTCTGTTCCAAGAATCCTTGTTCCAGCAACTTATCAGCCTCATCCAGAATCAAGTGGCGCACGCTATTCGTCATTTGTGAATGGACCTTGGGTTAGTTTCTGGTATATGTCAAGGTCATGACATACGAAATCCGATTCATATATAATCTGCTGAAAGGGTTCCTTACTGTCCAAGTTCCATCTTCTCCTGCTGGATGGCGTGAACGAGTCGAAGGGGCGTACTGATGAGGATATCGTATTTCTGGCGAAGGTGAGGCGCCTGTCCCTGAGTGGCAGCCGTAGCCTTGGTCAACATGCAGATCTTGAACTTTCTTCCGACGCTCAATTTCTTGATTTGGTTGAAAATCTATTATGTATGCATGAAAAATGAACAAGGTCAGCATTATTGCCTATTGACGATTCAGATCGAACAGTCATATCACTATGCGCCGAAGTAATAGTAGTTGAAGTCATACCTGAGTAGCCAATTCACGGGTGGGGGAGATGATGACAGCTCTGTATCCGACCTTCTCGGGTCCCTTGAGATCATGCAAGATAGGCAAAACGAACGCCATTGTCTTTCCTGAACCAGTGGGCGCCATAGCCATCACATCACGTCCCTAATAAGCCGATTTGAAGTATCAAAGTTCGTCAGATTCCTGCCACTTCAGTAATGTACATAGCCCTCCTCATGAATAACAAGGTAAGGTGTTGCCCAAAAATCTTACGTGAAGAATAATAGGAATAGCCTGCATCTGAATGGGTGTAGGCTTCTTGAATCCAGAGGCGAGGATGTTGCGCTCAAGGTAAGGCTCCAATTTGTATTGTTTAGCGAGTCCATTGAAGGATCTAAAGGGATTTGGGATATCGGTTCCGTAGACCTTGATCTTCAAGTGGCTGCGGAACAATGAAAGCTGCTCGGTGCTGTCGAATCCAATCGACTCCTCATCATCCTCCTGTTCGTCTTCCTCTGAGTCTTCCTCGTCGCTATCCTCGTCCTGTGATTCGTCATCGCCCTCGTGTGTCTGATCCTCGCCACTGCTCTCGCCACTGTCATCCTCATCGTCGTCGTCGCTTCCGCTCTCGCCGTCGCTCTTAGCTATTGGATACCATAACAAGAACGTAACGTGTCAGTCTGAGAACAACATTGTATCCATTGAGGCGGCATCGTAGCCCTGATACGATAGGCACACTGATCTGTACCCTTCTTGACGGGCTTCTTGGCGACAGGTGCCTTCTTCGCGGCAGGCTTCTTGTTCTTGAAAAAGTCGAGCTCCGTAGTAAGGGAAGCCTCGGCGTCAGCATTCAGGCCAGTAGAAGCTGCCTTGGGCTAATAAAGATTTTTTCGGTTGTACAAGAGATTGAAGATGGTGAATAATCGATAAACGGAAGGGCGGGTTGGTCGTTCCAGTTCAGTGTGCATGAACTTGTGAGGTGTGAGGTGTAAGGTATGAAGGAGGGAAGAGGCACATACTTGGAAGACCTCGATATCGTCCTTGAAGCGCTTCTTGTCAAAGCGAGCACCGCCTCCGAGCATACGAAACAAGTCCATGGTAAGTGTGTGTTTATATGTCGAAAGTATGAATGAAATAAAGAGGGAAGGAGGTAATCAGGGGTCGGGCGAGGTGATGGAGAGGAGTGGAGAGTAAGGTTGCAACCTGACAAAGGCATGGACGAACAAAAAAAAAAAAAGAAAAGAAAAATGGCTTGTTTACTGTGACTGCTCTGAAATGTTCCTTGACAATTCGTCTCCTCCGAAGAACGCGCTTTGGGCGCAGACAGGCAGGGGAGGGTTCTTCTTCCATTCACTTTTACTACCCATCACGCCCGTCCCTCTCTCATGGCAGCACTAGCAACACGGATACGTGTACACTCGACAAAGAGACTTTGCAGATGCTTCAGCTCCAAGGCCAACAATGGTGTGTAAAAACAATGTCGCACTCCATGGAGACACCGTCATAGTTTGGTTCCTGAAAAAGACTGACCTCTTTGTCTCCTGCATTTTAGGACAGACGAACCCGGTGCGGGGAATGAAGGATAGGTTTGGAGACGAGAACAGGAGATTCCAATGGATTAACGACAAGGGCACAAAGATTGCAAGCCTCTACGGATTCGACCAGGTAAGCGAGCAGAGCAGGAAGTTCCTCGGAGCACACCTTTTTACGCCTACAACCAACTTCCTTCCTTCGGAGAACCGTCTCGTCAGAAGCTCACACCATAACCTGACAAGCCAACCAATTGAATAATGGTAACTTCCTAGGTAACGACGCCCATTCTGGAATACTCCCAAGTCTTTGAGAGGACCTTGGGCGACTCCTCGGATGTGGTCGGCAAGGAGCTGTACAGTTTCGAGGACAAGGGGGGTTCACGCCTGACGATGCGTCCCGAGGGCACAGCCGGAATTACACGTGCCTTGATCAGCCAGAAGCTGTACAATGATCTGCCACAAAAGTTTTATTACTCAGGACCCATGTTCCGACACGAGAGGCCTCAAAAGGGTCGCCTGCGCCAGGTACGGACCTAATAAGTTTGTAAAAAAAAATGGTTGGGGTATTTATTTGTTTGTGCGATGATGAGGATGAGTATCCCAATTAACCATCTTGAATTGGTGTATATTTGCTAAAATTAGTTCGAGCAATTCGGTATTGAGGTGTACGGACAGAGCCATCCCTCCTCGGATGTGGAGACCATTGAACTCGCCTCAGTGTTCTTGAAAAGCTTGGGTATCAATTCAGCATCTGTAAGATACACCCTGGTCAACTCGGACGAACATGCCCGCGAGAATCCAACTACCAATTACCAGATACTTACGTGGTTGCTGTTCCTCTCTTCACATAACAGCTCGAGATCAACACGCTGGGAGACAATGCGTCTCGTCACAGCTACAGGACAGCATTGACGGAGTACCTCTCAAAGTACACCGACAAACTCTCAGAGGATAGCGTCAACAGGTACGACCCGAACAAGAGACAGCAGACGAGGACTAAGGCTTGTCGATTAGGGATAACTAAGTGCTGACTTGTAACCTAAACGGTAATATCGTAGATTGTCATCAAACCCGTTGAGGATCTTGGATTCGAAATCACCCCAGGACATCTCAATTCTCGAGAATAGCCCAGTCCTCTCGGATTATCTCAGCGACGCCTCCAAGGAGCGGTTCGCATTCATCACTAGAACATTGGAGCACATGAACATCCCCTTCACCATCAACCAACGTCTGGTCCGAGGACTGGACTACTACCAGGACACGGTCTTTGAGTTCAAGGTCACAAGTCCATTGCTTGGCGCACAACAGGGCACAGTTTTGGCCGGAGGACGGTACGATGGTCTTGTCGAGAAAATGGGCGGACCCGTGGGCGTGCCATCGATCGGATGGGCCGCAGGATTGGAGCGACTGAGCCTCCTGGTCGAAGACGACAATATCCCCTCGTCTGCTCGACCCATTGCGATTATTCCTGTCCCTGGTCGTCCTGTTAGTACTAGTTCTGATTTCTCCGCGGAACTTAAGGTTCACAAGAATACACCGTCGATCATGGCGTTGCACAGCCATGCTATGTCTGTGGGCGCGGCATTGAGGGCAAAGGGTCTGCGCGTCGAATTTATGCATTTGACGGGCAGTTCGAGCTCCAAATCCCAATTACCCAAGCAATTGGCGAGGGCTAGTAAGATGAATGCTAGCCATGCGATCTTGATTGGTACGGATGAGATGCAGAAGGGTGTTGTGACGCTCAAGGACCTTGACAAGACTGAGCAACAAAGTTGTCCCGTTGATGACCTCGTGCGCGCTCTTTCAGCGCAATGATGAATACCATCAAGTTATAGAACTCTTTAAAAAAAAACACTATTAAAGCGAGAAAGTATTAGAGAAGAAAGGGTAATGGGGGTGGGCAATTGGCAACAGTGGTGCATGCAAACAAAGCATAGGAAGGGGGCCGAGCAGTTTCACTTCTTTCATGCATCGCCTCAGTCGTTGACGCAGACAAAGTGGCAACAGAGAGAAAGGGAAAAAAATGAACGGAAGAGGGAGGAAGGAAGAAGGAATCGGGCAAGTAAAAGGGATGTCTGTAAACAAAATGACTAGTGGAAAAGGATACTGGTTTAACAGTCAACAAAGTAGGGGTGTGGCAAGAGAAGGAAGGAAGGACCAAGAGACCAAAAGAATTGAAGGAGAGAAGGACCGACAGACCAAAACAAACATGCAACGCGTCGCCCATTGAGGTTATTGTTTGTTTTGCCTTGAGCTCAAGAGTGTGTGCCATCATCATCATCGATCCGTTCCTGAGTTCCCTTGTCCGTTTGTCCCTGACACAACTCGAACCAATCAGAGCCAGGCAGATCGAACATTTATTTTATTATTGCGTGTTGTAGTTCCCTCGTGTTGTGTGTGGGTAAGAAGAAGGCAAGGGAACCACACAACATGGTCCTTGCTGGTATATAACGACTGTCTACTTTCCTCCTTCATAAACTACACCTCTCTCTCTCTCTCTCTCTCTCTCTCTCTCTCTCTCTCTCTTTTTTCGTTCTTTGTGCAACGCATTATAGTTCTTTTTTATTTATTTATTTCAGTTCACACGCTCCTTTTACGCCCTCCCCTTCTCTTCTCTTCTTTTCTCTCATCCTTCATTCATTCATCACCAACAAACAACATACAAACATCTAATCAGCATTATGACAACCACCAAAGTCCTCTTCGTCTGCCTTGGCAACATTTGCCGCTCCACCATGTAAACACCTCCCTCCTTTTCCTCTCTCCCCATTCATTCACCAAATGACCCGAATCAGAGTTTCAACGTGTTTTGTCACCACCCACCTTACCCCCGCCCGCCACTCTGACTGACACCTTTCCTTTCCCTTATCCTCGTTCGTCGTCAATTGGTTTCCTTCAAAACCACCAAATAGGGCAGAAGCTGTGTTCATCCATGCAATTGAGAAGCGAGGCATCAGTGCGGAATTCGAGGTCGACAGTGCAGGAACCGCCTCCTATCACGTATGTTTACCCCTCTTCTGTACTCTCTTGCAGGCGGAGAAAATAACCTCCTTTTTTCCACATTGTTGGTTTACATTCCACATGAACGACACAAAAAAGATAAACAAAACCAGGAGAGAAGGAACTAGAAAATACACAGCAGGACACTAACATGGGGGAACCTTTACGTTTTTTTTGTTGGGTGAATGAATTAATAAACTCATTAGGTTGGAGCGAACCCTGATTCCCGATCTGCTGAGACATGTCGCAAGAACGGGGTGCCGATGAAGCACAAGGCCCGCCAGGTCAGCGAGAACGATTTCACATTCTACGATCATATCCTTTGTATGGATGAAGAGAACTTGCGGGATCTCAAGGAGATGGCGCCCAAGAAGTACACCGCAACATGTAAGCCAACAAGTGACCTCTTATGACAACAACAACAACAAGGAAGAAAGAAAGAAAAGAAAACCAAAACCTGCTCTCTCTCTGTGTGTGTGTGTTTCGCACTGTCTGTCCTTGGGACTAGCGTATTCTTTTTAATCGATCGGGCATTGGTCATGCAAGCATGACATGTACAAACAAATGAGAGCAGATCGAACGAATCGAAAAAAGATACACAAAGGAAGAGAGGGAGAGTGCATGTATGCGCAACAGCTCTTCTTTCCTCCTTTCTTTTGAGCACAAGAAAAAAATGCCTGTCATCATGAAGCATACATGTAAAACAGCAGCTCTGCTCCACTTCTCTTTTGAACAAAAGAGAAAAACAAAATCCATTGAACATGACAAAGCTAACCAATTGACCGAAATTACCCTTTGATTGACACTAGTGAAAATGTTTGGCCATTACGATCCAAAGGGCGACCGGATTATCAAGGACCCTTACTATGGCGCTCAGGGAGGATTCGACAGGAACTTTGCCCAGTGCACTCGTTGCACAGATGCCTTCCTCGAGAGTCTTGGATACGAATGAAATACGAGTCGACTGTGAACCTGGGACAACGGTATGCCAACCATGGTTTCCTTTGACTACCAATAACTTATCAACCTACAATACACCCATCCCCCAAAACATAAAAAATAGCCCTGTTAAGCCACATATTTGCCACCAATTCTGTTAATTGCCATGAATGTTGCCACGCGAGATTCATACGAGGGAGAGTAGGGAGTAAGGTATCTCTGGGCTTAAGAATGTATGTGAGTGTGGGTCGATACGGTGCGGGTCACATAGGAGAAGGGTGGACAATTGAACGGAATTGACCCCAAGGACACACTGTAAATACCCAGGAGTAGAAGAAGAGGAAGAATTAGGGAAAGTGGAATGGGGTGCAAAGAGCGGTGAACGGTCAATCAGCCAATCCGTTTAGTCCCCCCCGCTTTATTTATTTCTGCCCTCCCCCTCCTTCTGTCTCCACGCGAACACAGGTTCATGTGTTGGGTTGAATTCCGTTTGAATGTCTGCTGGACAGCAAGGGGAATTCTCGGGCATTATTTTTGCATAGCGAGAGAGTGAGAGAGATTTGAGGGAACTCCACCAGTTTGAAAGATCTATCTGCTCCGTATCCGCCCACGGTCACGTGGAGGATGAGAAGTGTGAATGTGACGGCCGTTCCACTCTGCCAGCCAATTTTTTTTCTATTGCGATTGAATAAGCCCGAATGAATCGGACGGACGTTGAAAAAAAAATTAAAACCATCGTGCCTGGAAGGAGAAGAGGATGATTCGCCTGTGAAAGAGAGGGAGAGAAAGGGAGGGAGAGAACAAACAATGGAAACAGAGCAAACAAAAAGAAGTGTCTGTGGCTCACAGACTCACACTCAGACATTCACATCCATAAAAAGGGACCGAGAGTTTTAAACTTTTTTTTTTTTTTTTTTCTTGACACGGTGGAAGCGGGTGTATCTGATGAACAGATGAACATGGATGGTTAGTGAATAATATTCAGGATCTTGAAGAGTCAGAGCAAAAGGCGTGGGGCGAGCATGGAAGAAAGAAAAGAAGCAAAACGGAGAGTGGGAGTGAAGAGTGAAGGGTGAGGGTGATGAGAGTGTGGATAGAAGGACGAAGGAAGAAGAAGAGCCTCGTTCAAGTTGATATGGATGAATGTGATCCACGGGCATCAAAGAAGACGATCAAAGGAAAGAAAAGAACAGCCTTCCCTTTGAGCATCTTTTAATTTTGACTCCTCTCCTTTTCCTCCTTCTGTTTCCGTGTCCATCCTTTTCTTTCTTTGTTTCTTTATAAACGATCGCTCCCCTCTCTTCTCTTTTTCTTTTCACTCTTCTTCTTTCCTTTCCTCTTTTCTTCTTTACTCCTCACTCCTCCCCTCCTCTCCTCTCCACTCTACTTTTACTCTCCTCTCCTCACCTCCCCTCTCTACTCCACTCCACTTCTCACTCTACTTACTTTACATATTCCCTTTCGTCTTCATCCCCTTCCTATCCTTCATACATTTGAAATCTCATTTCTACTGGCATCCTCCTCCTCCTTGTAACTTACCTTCACCCCCTCCCTTATACATCACATATACATACAATGATTGCCAATATCGCACAGAGGAACGCTCGTCGCATGGCCGCGTCGATCCAGCGCATTGCCGCCACCCCCATCGTCGCCGCTGTCGCAAGATCTACCGCCCAGCCCGTCAAGGCCACCTCGCCCCTCTCCATCCGATCTGCCATCCGATCCTTCCACAGCGAGAAGCCCCCCGCAAGAACTGTCTTCTCCCCCCTCGACACCTTTGTCCGCCGCCACAACGGCCCCTCCCAGGGCGAGGTCAAGGAGATGTTGAGCGCCATCGGACTCAAGGACATGGACGGTCTCACCGGAAAGACCATCCCCGACCGTATCCGCTCCACCCGTGCCTTGGCCCTCGACCATGGCTTCACCGAGAAGGAGGTCCTTGAGCGTCTGAAGTACATTGCTTCGAAGAACAAGGTCTTCAAGAACTATATCGGAATGGGATATACCGATGTTGTTGTTCCTAACGTTATTCTCAGAAACGTCCTGGAGAACCCCGGCTGGTACGTTTTCTTTTGCTATTGTGTGTTGCAACGGAAGGATCAAAGGGAAATAGGCCAGAATGAAAAAAGAGAGAGAGAGAGGGAGAGAGATGAAATAATTGAAACAAGGGGTGGAGAGTGGAAGTGATGGCAGTGGCAATGTGCACCTCGGACCTCCTCCTCCTTTCTTTTTCATATGAATTCTTGGAGGATGAAAGAAAAAGACTCTTGCAGGATATAGCAAAAAAAAAAAAAAAAAAGTACAGGACAATTAGACACACAACAACATGGGACAACAGGAGGAAAAAACAACAACAGCAAGGAACGTGGAGACATAGCAAGGAACAACAACAACTACAACAAGGATCAACAACAAGAAACTACGAGAAAGCAGACGAGAAAGCAAAGACTCCGGATGAGATTGGCGAACAATTCGATCCGGAGGAGGGAATGGACTATTGGCGCCCGCTCCAAGAGAGAGAACCCAATTAAGGAATATCGCCATCTCACGCGAAGCGGGGAAATCGAGAAGAGAGGAGCGGAGAGCGGGAGAATTGAGCTTGATTTTTTGGGGCCTTGGATGATGGAGATCACATAGCCATAGCCATAGACATATGCTAACCTACTTCTACTTTATTTATTTTTTCATCCGCATGGACATACAGGTACACCCAGTACACCCCCTACCAGCCCGAGATTGCCCAGGGCCGTCTTGAGTCGCTCCTCAACTACCAGACCATGGTCACCGACCTCACCGGAATGTCGATCGCCAACGCCTCTCTTTTGGACGAGGGTACCGCTGCCGCCGAGGCCATGATCATGTGCTGGGCTGCGACCAAGAACAAGAAGAACACCTTCTTCGTTGACGAGAACTGCCACCCCCAGACCATCGCTGTCGTCCAGACCCGTGCCGAGGCCTTCAACATCAAGGTCGTCGTCGGCAACCACCGCGACTTTGATTTTGAGGCCATCAAGGGTGAACTCTCCGGTGTCTTGATTCAGGTAAGCAATCAAACATCAAACAACAACACCAAGGAGAGGCAACTTGATGAATGTTATTATCATGGAATACGGAGAGGCAAGGAAGAAAGAGGGAAGGGGCATACCAGAACGAAATGTGGACAGTGATGAAAAATAGAGAGAGCAGCAACAACAAAGAAAGAATTTTTTTTGAGCATGGACATCAACACGACAGGACAGGAGGCCATACTATGCTCCTCATGTGATTACCACCGGGTGCGAGGCGTAAACAATACTAACTCTCTATCTCTCCCCCTCCCTATCTCCCTCCCTGCTTCTAATAGTACCCCGATACCCGCGGTAACGTCGCCGATTACAAGGGACTTGCCGACAAGATCCACGGATATGGCGGTCAGGTCGTCGCTGCCACCGACCTCATGGCCTTGACCATGCTCACTCCCCCTGGCGAGTGGGGTGCCGACATTGCCCTCGGAAACTCTCAGCGCTTCGGTGTCCCACTCGGATATGGTGGTCCCCACGCCGCCTTCTTCGCCTGCAAGGACGAGCACAAGCGCAGGATGCCCGGCCGTCTCGTCGGTGTCTCCAAGGACACTCAGGGCAACCCCGCCTACCGTCTTGCCCTCCAGACCCGTGAACAGCACATTCGTCGTGAGAAGGCCACCTCCAACATCTGCACTGCCCAGGCCCTCCTCGCCAACATGGCTGCCCTCTATGCCGTCTACCACGGACCTGCTGGTATCAAGCAGATCGCCCAGCGCATCCACAACATGGCCGTCGTCTTTGCCGAGGGAGTCAAGGAGGCTGGTCACAAGGTCGAGAACGAGAACTTCTTTGACACCTTGACCATCAAGGTCGAGGGTGGTGCTGATGCCCTCGTCAAGAAGGCCCTCGCCGCCGGCATCAACGTCCGCCAGTTCGATGCCCAGACCGTTGGTATCACCTTTGACGAGTCCGTCAACAGGGCCGAGTTGGAGCAGCTCATCAAGGTTTTCACCCGCGATGGTGCCTCGACCCCCGATCTCCTCAGCATCGCCAACAAGTTGAACATCACCGAGTCTAGCCCCGCCAAGGTCCTCGATGAGCGCTTCATCCGTACCTCAGAGTACTTGACCCACAAGATCTTCAACTCTTACCACTCCGAGACCGAGATGCTCCGTTACATCTACCGCCTCCAGAACAAGGATCTCTCGCTCACCCACTCTATGATCCCTCTCGGCTCCTGCACCATGAAGTTGAACGCCACCACCGAGATGATCCCCGTCACTTGGCCCGAGCTCGGCAACATCCACCCCTTCGCCCCCGATAACCAGACCGAGGGTTACCAGATCATGCTCAAGGAGCTCCGTAGTGACTTGGCCGAGATCACCGGTTTCGATGATGTCTCGCTCCAGCCCAACTCTGGTGCCCAGGGAGAGTATGCCGGTCTACGTACCATTCGTGCCTACCACGAGGGCCGTGGTGACACCAAGCGTAACGTCTGCTTGATCCCCGTCTCTGCCCACGGAACCAACCCCGCCTCGGCTGCCATGGCCGGTATGGAGGTCGTTCCTGTCAAGTGCTTGGCCAACGGAAACTTGGACCTTGCCGACTTGAAGGCCAAGGCTGCCAAGTACTCTGACCGCCTCTCTGCCTTCATGGTCACCTACCCCTCGACGTTCGGTGTCTTTGAGGACACTGTCTCCGACGCCTGCGAGATCATCCACTCCAACGGAGGCCAGGTCTACATGGACGGAGCCAACATGAACGCCCAGATCGGTTTGACCTCGCCCGGTCACATTGGTGCTGATGTCTGCCACTTGAACTTGCACAAGACTTTCTGCATCCCCCACGGAGGTGGAGGACCCGGTATGGGCCCTATCGGTGTCAAGTCTCACTTGGCTCCTTACCTTCCCGGCCATCCCGTCCTTCCCACCGGAGGTGACAAGGCCATCGGACCTATCTCTGCCGCTCCCCACGGTTCGGCTTCTATCCTCCCCATCTCATGGGCCTACGTCAAGATGATGGGTGGTGAGGGTATCAAGAACGCCACCGAGGTTGCTCTCTTGAACGCCAACTACATGGCCCACCGCCTCGGTAAGCACTACAAGGTCTTGTTCACCAACGAGAACGGCATGTGCGCCCACGAGTTCATCATCGATATCCGTCCCTTCGGCTCTGTCGGTGTCGAGGCTATCGACATTGCCAAGCGTCTCCAGGATTACGGCTTCCACTCGCCCACCATGTCGTGGCCCGTTCCCAACACCCTCATGATCGAGCCCACCGAGTCTGAGGGCAAGGAGGAGCTCGACCGCTTCTGCGATGCTATGATTGCCATCCGCGCCGAGATCCAGGATATCCAGGACGGCAAGCAGCCCCAGAAGGACAACGTCCTTAACAACGCCCCCCACACCTTGGCCGTCTTGATGAAGGACGATGACTTCTGGAAGTCAAAGTCCTACAGCCGTCTCCAGGCCGCCTACCCCTTGCCCCACCTCCACAAGTTCAAGCTCTTCCCTACTGTCTCCCGCATTGATGACAGCTACGGTGACCGCAACTTGATCTGCTCTTGCCCTCCCATGAGCGACTACGAGTAAACTGGATCCAAGGAGCTCTGAAGTGACATCAGCAACAACCACAAAATAACGACAGGAAAAAAGCAGGATCTCTGACGACGACGACGAGGACGACGATAAAGCATTAGGGACGTACATATTACTTTTTACGATTGACGACTTTTGAGGAGCCCAAGCACCATCTGTAAACCGTTTTCCTTTTTTTCTTATTATTTACTTTTTAGCATACATTTCCATCATCATTGCTTTTTTTTACCTTCTCTGTTAGAAAGAGAACCTTGTACATTAAACTCCATTATAATCCCAAAAGACATGCACGCCTTTACTCGCTTGGTTATCAACACAAGGTGCCAGGCTTAGGTTCTTTTCGTTAGGGCTTTTTCCAATGTTTCCCGTGCAAATAAGATGATACTAGATCTCAAACTCTTCCTACAAGGTCTGGCGCAGCAATCACAACAGCGACAAGTCAGGAAACGTACTGTCGATGGCACATTGGAGAGCTGAACCACCAACAGAACCACCACCACTAGGTCCAGAGATACTAATATCAGATTCTATCTTTTTTTTTATTGTTTGAGCGACCCATGCTGCTCTAATTTTTCTCCGCAACGCATCCTGATCAAACTCTTGCTCGAACATTAGAATAAAAAGAGTGAACAGTAAAGGATGGCCAAAAAAAACTGAATCATTGCCTGCGGTTTTAGTAAGAGTATGTCCTTTCTAATTCTCAAGCCCATTTTGAGTACCTTTGAGAAGAACAACTCCCATTTTTTCAGAGCTCGTGAACTTTGTGTCGTGCTCACCTTCCTTTAAAAGAAGGTGGGCACTAATTTCTTTTGAAGAGTGAGGACCTTCCTAAAATGTAAATTGAAAAAAGTGGACACCTTCCTTAAAAGGAATAAGGAGGCAAAGTGAGTCGTTTCCGTTCAGACCTAAAAAGTGGGCATGCCCACTTCCTTTCAACGGTCAATTGCTTGGCCTACAGACGTGCTAGGGTGATAGGGGAAGTTTTACTAGATAGAAGTAGATTGCTGCTTCCCGTGGCATTATCGGGGACCAGACTGCTCAAGTGGCTCCCATCTGGCAGCTAGAAAACAACAAAACTAGAGCTGATAGACTTGCGCATGTTCGACATGCATGATTGGTTATCTCTAGAACTCCATGCCGCGTGTCCTAGCACAAGCAAAGCAAAAAAAAACAACCTCGCGTCCTTGCCTTGTCGCTCTTGATTCCTGCGTGCCGAGAGGACGGTCGAGTGGTATTTTTGAAATGCAACGCGCAAAGGTGAAAAAAATCGCTCTTTGGTAAAGTGCGCCATTTTTCACCTCTCCCTTCCCGCCTTTTCATTCCCGCCCAGCTTCCCTTTTCTTGTTTTTATGGATGGGTGCGCATTTGTGTTTTGAGCTCCTTCCTCACGTTTGCTGCTGGAGTGCGCGTTTATGTTTGCGTTTGCGCCATTTTTTATATTTTTTTTTTTTGGCTCCTCCCTTTCCTCACTCCTTTGTTCTATCTCTACTCCTTCTCCGTTCCTACCTCGTGTTTTTTTGTGGGTTGCGTATTTGCGTTCGCATTCTTTTCTCCAGTTCATTCCTTCCTTTCTTTACACAACTCCACTTTTACCACAGTTTCCACGCTCTCCCGCCTTCTCCACTCTTGAGTGGTCTCCTTATCATAGTTCATGGTAAAGTTATTTTTATTTTTATGCTAATCAATTGGTCGCGTATACTTTGTATGATCATCAGTAATTAATTTAATTCTTGAACCATTCGTCGCTATGTCCACAGAACCAAGTAAATGCAAGAACCGCATCCCAAATGTGTCCCCGTCATCTATCCCTCCATCCTCCATCCGTCCGCGACCAGGGCATTCCTCCTCAGATTCGCCATCCCCTGGCCTTCAACCGGGAATGGCCACTCCAGGTTCTCTTTCCCGTCCTCCCCCTCCTCTCCCACGTCTTATTCGCCCATCTCCGCCTCATATGGGACCTCCACGACCCACTCGCACAACCTCCTCCTCCTCGTTTGCCAGACCGCAGCTGTTGCTCTACGAGCAACTACCCTTCTGCTTTGGTGACTGCTTTGGCGCCAACCGGAGGAGAAACCCGGCGGCTCATCCAGTTCGACCTCATCTACGACCTTTTCCTCCTCACCCGCGCCCGCTTGCTAGGCCGTCCCCTGCCCACGTCGCCGCGTCGTCGTCGTCGTCATCGTCGCCGTCTTCAAGACCATCCTTCCTGGAACAACTGCCGGTCCTATTTCGCCCGACGGGGAACCCTCAGGCGGAAGGGTCATCGACACGAAAGAGCCATCGACTGGCTCGTCGCGCCCAGCAAAGAGACTCCGGCTGTCCCTCCGACGCAGCCAAGAAATCCCCCTTCCTCTCCACCTCGCCATCTTTCGAAAAAACCACGCCGTCGACTTTTTTTTCTCAAGGTGGCTCACGGTGGGCTGTTCTGGCCGAGGGAAAGAAGCTGCGGTTACCCATCGAGTCTCTGAAGGTAATGCCAAAAGTTGATGAGAACTTGAAGCAAAAAATCTTGTTCTTTGTTATCGATCCCTGCCTCGGGGGGGGGGGGGGGGGGGTTGCCGTCAGTTTTCGTCCCACCCCTTTGCGATATCTCCTTCCAGCCCTCTCTAACCTGACTTTCGATTATTTGCTGACTTGTGTGATACAATAGCGATACGTCGATGGTAACTGGAATGAGTTTGCTACACGCAGACGATCAGCTCAGTAAGTATATGCCGGTAGAGAAGTGAAAAGAGAGAGAACGAGAGGGTGGGAAAGGGGTGACCGAGCGAGAAGTGAGAAGGATTGGTAGGAGAAAAGAGATGAGGGTGAGAGAAGAAGAGGAATGTATATGAGTGAAAAAGAAGACTGTCGAAGTGGATGATTATAGTTGATACAAAAAGAGTATGGGAGAGGACAGGTGTAAGAGAGGGAAGAGAAGTGAAATGTTGATGGGAGAAGACGAAGAGGGTGTGTGGGAGAAGGGAAAAATATGTGTTGACTTTATGAAAAAAGAGGAGTGACAAAGGGGCGAAGGAAGAAAACAGAGAGATTGGTGGCAAAAATTTCCGACGATTTCGGGCTAATGCCTTCCTCTTTTTGCTTTGGACTTCAATCACATAAGGGGCACAAGGAGCCGCTATCAAGGCGGTGGCAAAGGGAAAGGACTGGTGTGGGGAGGAGGCCTGCCTCAAGTTGGTGAGGGCCGAGAACAGAGTCAGTGTAAGTCAGATATGAATCAATGTTCAATGTTGTCGCCTTCTCCTTGCCTTTTGGCTTCTCGCTCTTCGATTTAAAAAAAAGCCAAACGACAATTCATCGACTTATATTCGCATTCCAATTGACCTGTTTCTGATCAATAGTGGGAGCGGGAAAGGGATGCGTACGTCATCGCCTCGAAACACAACCTCACGAACCTTGGCGTCAATTATGCGGCGAAGTTCCTGCTGAAGTTCTACGGATCTTTTGAATGTAAGGGACAGCTGGTCCTCGTCCCCGAGCTCGCGATGGAGGTAAGATAAGCAACCCATGTTCAACCTTGCATTGCTTTGAGTGGTGAGTTGAGGGTGGTATATTGCAATATCTAACTGTCACTCATTGCTATTCTACTCTTGTATTTTAACGAGGGAGTGTCGTTTGTGAAATATTTTAGCTTGCAACCCTCAATCATTGCCACCAACACTACTCGAAGGAACAAAATACAGCAACGGCAATGCAACGGTTCTAATGCACATTTATTAAAAGACAAAGAAGTGGGCGTTTGTGTTTGGCATGGGCAAGGCCACACAGCATAATCGCGGACTTGAATCAGGGGCCGGACGTAAAAGGTGCGTGTGATGGGACTGTGTGCTTGCTGCAGAATGTTGTCCGAGGGTCATCAGCATGGTGGTGGGGGGCGAGCGGTTGAAGGTGGTCAAGCGGTCGAAGGTGGTCAAGCAGGCAAGGATGAATGTAGAGGTCCGCCGATAGAGGATGTCGGTGTGGTCGGCGGTGACAGTTATGAATCATAGATTGTAAGTAAGAGAAGAAAAGGAGAGCGGTTTGAAATAAAAGAGAATGAAGTGGTGGCGTTTCCGGGAATAAATAATGTTCACCACGTCAAATCAGAAGGTTGGAACACGACTACAGTACAACCGCATGCAACAAAACGATACCATCGTGGTCACATACAAGAAAAGTGTCATGGTTTTGTTTATTTGTCCAAGATACGAATCGGCTTCCTGACAAAACTACAGACGTGGATCTCATAAACGCCGCCGTTGCCTCGGATCTCTCCCCCTTCCACATAGCTGCCGCCGTTGCCTCGGATCTCTCCCCCTTCCACATTGCTGTCGCCGCCCTCCAGCTTGCTGTTCCTATCCATGTCTCTCGTACTCATACCCATCGCACAAATGAACATCACAGAATAAGCAGAATATGTCAGGTCGTAGGCTCATTTTTCATCAATCGAACATCAATATGGAGGGGATGAGAAATATGAGAGATATCCAAAAGATAGAGGCTATCAAAGCTGTGCAAATGATCAAGATTGAGAATGCGTACCTTGGCTGACTTTTTTGCCATTACAGTTAGAAAGGCCGACTAGTGGAAATTGCCTCAGACCTCACTATGTCTCTTTTCGCCGAGGACTTGTCCGACGGCTCATAAACGTTGTACGAGATGGGAAACAGGTTCCCTCTCTTGAAGTACAATGAGTATCATCATAGGAATATGTTGTCCCTGGAAGGAGACAGAGTGTACCTGCCAGTAAAAGCAGACGCAAGCAAGCTTGCCATGTCCTTGTCCGTTACACTCATCCGTGGTTTGGGTCACGTCGAAGGTATCCGATGGTCCGATGAGTTGCATATGAGATTAGCAGAAAAGAGACAGTAAAAGGAAAGGTTAAAAGGTTGATTTCGCCATGGCTATTAATCCCACACCCCGGCGAGTTGTTCTCCAAGAAGGAAAAGGCGAGGCTGACTTTGAGACGGACGAGACAGCAAATGGCCACTGTTACCCAACTTCATCGCACCCCTACAGAATGTTATCGCTAAAACTCCTAAAGTCAAAACTTTTTACATCTTAGGCATCGCCGAGTCCAAAGCAGGCCACAGGCAGCAAGGCCATGATCCATAGAGAGAGGGAGAGAGGGGAGGGAGGAGGGGAGAGGGGAAGAGGAGAGGGGGAGAGGGGGAGAGGGGAAGGGGAGAGGGAGAGAGAGGGAGAGAGAGAGAGAGGGATAGGGGGGACTGTCCGCTGCCTGGGAGGGACTCTGCCCTAGAGAACGACACCCATTTGCTAATCGGCATTCCCCTAGCCCATATTGGACAGGTTCTGAAATCCGCGCATTCTGTAGGGTAGTGTACGGCACCCTGGATACCATCCCAAGTTGTCCTGCCATCCTCTTGTGTTTGTAGAACTGCAAATAGAACATAGAAAAGTACTTAATTCAGTCACCTTTGTGCTGTCTTCCTGAGCGCCGGCGATGACCTTTCTCGAGACCAAAGGAGTCCAAGTAGCGAAGCGAAGGCGGCTTTTTGATGGTGGTGAGGCAGTGGCAGCGTTCGAGGTTGGTCTGGGTCGTTGTGCCTCCAACGGAGCCGGCTGGGAAGGTCGCGAGTGCTGTCGATGGAGATGATGGAGATTCTGAGGGGAGAAAGGCCGGCATCCATGAGAGCGAGGGGTGAGGGCAAAGGGTGTTGGTGTTGGTGAAGAAGAAGGCAGAGGGAGAGTTGAAGGATGAAGAGAGAAGGAAGAGGGAGAGTTGAAGGATGAAGAGAGAAGGAAGAGGGAGAGTTGAGGGATAAAGAGAGAAGGACGAGAGAATGAAGAGAGAGGGAGGAGGAAGAGAGAGGGAGGAGAAGAGAGGAAGAAGAGAGAGGGAAGAGAGAGGGAAGAGAGAGGGAAGAGAGGAGAAAAGGAAGAGAAGAGAGAATGTGGTCAAAAAAAAAGTACCTATGGTACGTGTAAATGCATATGCGCAGTACATTTTTGTAAAAAAAGACAGTAGCGGGATCATGGTGAAACACACCAATCGCCATCGCGTCCTCTGGCCTTGATTTGCCATCATTGTTTTGCCATCATTATGCATGGTGGGAACAAAGCAATGAACATCCGGAATACCCTGGTACCCTGACTGTACATGTGTAATGATGATCATAATGGGGTCATGTGAAAACATCCAGAGAACGCTGGTACCCTGACCGTCCATACGTAATAATAGCCGTAGTGGAATCATGTAAAATTTACGTAGTAGAGCCATGTAAACTGGAGTTGGTGCCATGGCGCTGGGCACAGAAGTGGCCTTGAAACCTCCTTCGAGACTCTGTCGATAGGCCTGACTTTATCGAGCAATTGTGAGGCCAAAAAGGGCAGCTCGCTGCTATTGCGAGCCCACACAGATGTGCACCATATCTGAGACTAATGCAAGGCAGCATTCCGACTGCATATTGTGAAAGTGAAAGAACAACAATAAAGGTGCTATAGTAAACCGATGGCTGTTGACAGGACAGTGGAGGTGGAGTTGTAGGTGCGAGGGAAATGTTTCCAGAAGTCTTTGATCAATGATGCTTATCTGTCTCGGATATGTCTTGGATGTCTCCATCATGGAACCAGCTGGTAATTTTATACTTGGACAGTACCAATGACACATACTCACATGCTTTCTTCCTGGCCTTTGTTACCTGCAACTACTCTTAGGGACTTCTTGGACGTCTGATTCTCAGGGTGGCATCAACATGCGTCTTTTCCAGCACAGCATGTACATTATAGAGCTCACTCGCGTCTTGAGTAAACCATTCTCGCCATATATTGGCTGAACTACAGTGTTGTCTGTATCTTGATTAAACATTCTCATCCCAGTATTTCTGCAAGCGATAAGGAACTCTTGCTCTTTTACGGAAGGGAAGACACTTCTTTGTGGAATCATCCCCCGTCTTTTTCTTGTATCCTTGTCTGTGATTCATGCTCTACACATGTTCCATTGTTTCTTGCCACGCTTTCTTCCAAAGGCTTGCAAGGAACAAAGACAGGCATGTCGGAGAGTACCTTGGTCTTTGGTATACTCCTTTGTTTTGATAAAGAGAAGTGTACATGTGTACTCGCTTTCTTGCAGCTGGTGATGGTTAATGATATTCTTATTTACATGTTTGCAGGCTTCCTACAGTAATAGCTCCACACAAAAGAGGGGTCAACCACAACCACATTTTTCTCCTTTCTTCTCCCTGACCAATAGATTTTCTCCTCGTCCTATCCAATACATCCTCTTCAATAGTTATCCTCAGTGCCGACACCAAACAACCTCAACACCTGCAGGATAGCACCTCCAGACATCATGACCAAGATGAGCCCTGTCAAGTATGGGTTTACGGTCGACTTCGCCACTTTGTGATCTGCATACGCCGCCACAGGTTGGGGAGGTCCGCCCGATGTCTTTGGCGACGCTCCTGATGGTCTGCGCTTGGCTATTTTGTGAAGGGCGTTTAAAGAGCCAGAGCGACGAGGTGGCGGTAGGTGATTAAGAGGAGGTTATCGATAGTGTTGACCATGGCAGGCACTGAATGGCATCTCTAATATCCAACTCGACCACAACGACACCGAGTCACCTTGTTCTCGGGCCTTTTCTTACCATTGCGAGCGCGGATTGTGGGGGATGTAGTGTTAGCCATTTTTTTTTGTGTATTATTGACGTCGAGAGTGTGTGGTTCTTCTGTCGCCTAACTAGTTATGCCTTTTCCGTCTTGGTCGAGATATCGCCTTGGTGTGTTGCTATTGTTGGCCTGTCAAAATTCGCTGGACTGTAAAGGATGTCGTATAGGTGTTGATTGTTATGAGTTGGTGGGTAGTTTGGAAGAAAGTAAGAAAGAAAGAAAAGAAAAAGAAGAGGTAAGGCGAAAGGGAAAAGTAGAAGTAAAAGAACGGAGACCACAAGGAATAGTCAGGAAGGAGCAATAGGGAGTCAACCATCATCCCTTTTTATCCTTTTCCATTGATACACCGTCCTTCTCCTCAAATCGCGTACTCAGTCCTTTTCTTACCTTTTCTTCTCTCTCCTTTCTCACTAAGTGCAAGGGAATAGGGGGTGGGTGACAACCAAAACAATTCATTCATTCATTCCACCCTTTTGCCTCGAGAATTTTTTGCTAATTAGAGGACGTGCAGATAGTGAAAGCGAGCGCACACTATGAACCCACAGACTTTTTCAAAATTCCTCTTGTCAGTCACGTGACTTAGGAAGTGTGGGTCTTGGAGGGAGTTGCCCTTGGCTGGCCGAGTCGTTGGCGTCAGTGCCCGGTTGAACAGGGTCACTTGTCGAGGGAGAGGGAGAAGGGAGAGTGGAGTTTCTCTCGGCAACTCCTGTATCCAAAGGAGTATCTTCAGGGTCAACGGGCATAACTCGAATAGCGGCAGACGAGGAAAAGGATGTATGTATATATGTGTGTGATATGTGTGTGTGTGTGTGTGTGTGTTTGTGTGTGTGTGTGTGTATATGCTCCCTCTCAATATCGCGAATAAAGACAGTAACTCTCAAGACCTGCTCGTATCGTGGAAGAAAGGTGTTTTATGTCAATAACTATTCTCCAAAGGCTAGAAACTACTATTGCTACCAATGGTCAAAGGGCATAGTGCCTACCTGCTCGTATCGTGGAAGAAAGGTGCTTTTCCAGACACTCGCAGGCAAGCGCGTAAAATAGCGAAATGGCCACCAGAAGCTAAGCCACTCCAAATCACCACAGAAGACACCTCAAGAGACTAAAGAGACTCTTGCTTCAAGACAGTTCTGCAGAAGTGAGGCAGAGGGCCCACAGAGGTCGACACAAAATAAAGCACAGGACTGTGGCGTGTTTATGTATGCTCGCGTCTGCATTCAAGCCATTTGTTTCTATACAGTACGACCTTTTATTACAAGTTCTCTCATAAAATGACTGAGCAGCAATGGCAACAAGAAGAAAAGAAAGAAAGTGAAGGCGATAGAGGAACTATTCATCATTTATTGTGGCCGTTTCTGCGAGTACTGTGCTTCTTTGAAAATTTGTGTAGAGACTCATTGCTGTTCTTGATATCCCACTCCACCAGCCTGATAGCCTCGCTCTCCCTGTCTCGCAAGTCTCCGGTAAGAGTCAGCATTCGAGTCAACACTCCACACACGATGCCTTTTTTCCAGCTCCACAAGCTGTTGTAGTGGTTATTCGACTTTGCTGGATCCGCGTATCGCCATTGGAAATGGTGTAGCGTCTGTGGGGGCCGTTTAATCTCCAAATTTGAAGGGTGCCTGCCATTGCTGTTGTCCTTGATTCCATAGAACCATTCATCCCAATGGTCCTGAAGTGAATGCCCCCTCGAGATCATTTCATACTTGAAGTCCATATCGACAGGATGAGTCAAATTGCGATCGTAGGCCAGCTCATAGGCCAACTCGTCCAATCTCTCCTCCAAATTTGGAATGGTCTCAGGCGTTTGCTGTGCCGGTTCCTGGACTACTGATGGCCCTGAGCATGTACCCTGTCCTGTTTGACTCAGGTCCATATCCTCCTCAACCATGACCAGCTCGCTCTCCAACTCTTCCGCATCAGCATGCTCCGTCTCCGAATCATCTGCCAGGTCCACACAGCTTTCCTTCGCCCCAACCCTACTCGAGCTCACTAGTTGCTTTTGTTGGAGACGTTGCACATTCGGAGAGCGAGTCTGTTGGACAACGACGGAATGGGTTGTGGATGGCGATAATGATGCTCCGTGGACAGTGGCCGTTGGTCCTAATATCTCCTCCGCCTTCCGTAAATTCCTTTGATAGACATTTACAGATTCCTGAAGTGTCATCACCAAGGCCAGGTTTTGTATCTGACTCGACCTCCCAAGTGCTGATATGAAAGTATCCGTTTGTCTGGTTGAAATGTTGGAAAATGCGGTCGCATCCATGGTCTCTTTGAGTTTCAACCAGCTCTGGAATTTTGTCGTAAGATTGTCGCTGGCGTCGTCGAAATGTCGCTTAAGATGCTTTAGTCCATCCGTAATCTTGCTGTCCAGATTTCGAATCTCATGCTCCAAGGTGGGGGCGTTGAGGCGTAGGCTATCGGATCGAGGGGGCGCGGCATCGTCCATTACTGTGGAGAGATCCCTGCTAAATATCTGGAAAGCAACAGACTTGAAAAGAGGATGTGCAAAGAGATGGTGGCGGCTGTACTCGGATTGTTCGTCGGGGCGGAACTGCTGGAGAACTACTGCATCCTGCAAAAATACCTTCCTCAGGTGCACAAGCAGGAGTAGGAACTTGAGTTGCAGCACCTCAGACTTGTTAGACTGGGCTGGGAGGGCCATCCTATTGGTAAGGGGCCTGTTGTGGTTATCGGGTTTGTTTGTCATGATGTTCAGCGTCCATTGGAGCCAGTCAGGATGTCCACCGTAGTAACGCTCGATAAAAGGAAAAACCATTCGTTGAAGTTCGACCGGAGGTAGAAGGTCCTCTCGTTTGATCAATGGAGGCTGACCTTGTTGGGTAGAACCAGCCATACGATATGCGACACCCTTTGGAAGAGGATGCAAATAGTGAGTGGTGAGGCGACTTTGATCTCTACACCACCCTCCATGCTGCTTGATAGCGGAAATAGACGCACCAGAATCGAGTTCGTGGTTGGCTCCGGAATGGCGGTAGAAATGTGTGGGTTGATCCGTGACTATTCCAGTCTGCTCAAAAAGTCGAGACATACCGTCCACATGCGCATGAGGCGACATCTGTTTATCCCTGCCGTTACCATGCACTAGATAATGCTCCTCCCATTCGGACTCGTCGAAGTTTGGTGGATCGTTTGTCAGCTGCATAAGGGAACATAAAGGTAAATACAGAAAATGAAGATGAGTAAATTGCTCGCGTGAATTCATTACCACATTGGCATGAACTAGCAATAACTAAACATCAGACTTACATCCCATAGACAAAAAAGATAGAGAGCGAGAGCTCCAATAGGGCAAATCTCCGTGTTTACATTCCAGACCGCAACACCATAGGTACATTCTCCGTGTCGCATCGCTTTCCCTTGAGTCATAATCAGGACGACGGCAAGGGTGCGCGATGTAGTCTCCCCGCTAGACAGATTTGCGAAGGAGTGAAGATTGACGTGGGGCAACTTGTAGTATCGGAGGCTCTCGCCCCGCATCATCATAAAATGCCCCCACGACGCCAAAAGCCTAAGGCGAACACCGGTAATTTTTTGGGGCTGGTTCTTGGTGGGTACGCCTGAAAGATTATACCGCTCTCATCAAATCCTGTATGTTCTGGAGCTCTCTTCCGTCTGCATGACCGATGGTCGCATATTTCTTTGCCTCCGCAAGTGGGTCACCTATATTGAAAATAGAGATCAAGGCAGACAGTGTCTGTCAGCCTTTTTCTTATTAATCGTAAAACAAAATAATTGTGTTACATCGATAATAATTGCATGTTCACTATTACCAGCTATTCTCTCCTGGTACTTCGCAGTCATTATCCGATATACTGTGCTCCGTGGATGTGGTTGTTGCAACATGTCCTTCATTCCGATAAGTTGTTGGTTTCTGTAAAGATCGACAATGATACGCCTTCACAGTCTGTAGAGCGGGCACAGTCATGGCATAGGTGCCATTACTTCTTCTCTTCTCGCCTTTCGCAAAAAAGGTAAAACCGCCTTCCTCCGATCGCCACCGCCGTCATCCCCCCCCTTTCCGCCAGACCGTCCTGCATGTAGTAGATGAACTTGCCGTGAAAAACTCGAAAGTCAACTTTCTTACCGACATGATATCCCTTCCGCTTGCACCATCTCTAGAGGCCCACAATATAAGAGACGAAGGTAAATATCAGCCGATTCCGATGCATCCCAAGTAAGGGCTCCAGATCATAAGCGAGTTATTTGCTAGCATTTAACGTACCCTCCAGTGCATCGTATGAGACCTTGGTAGACGGCGCTAGTTGTTGGCGGCGCGTTTTTCCGCCACCGGCCACGGCGCGTCGTGTGCTGTGCATCAATTCGATCGTGCACATCTCACTGGCTGTGAGCTCCGTCCTAGTTGGGTCGATCGCCTGGGCACTCTCCGGCTTGGCTGAGAGGCATAGTTGCCGATTCATTTCCAAGTCTATCCTCGCGTAACGATCCTCTGATTTTTCCTGTGGTTTCCGTTGCATGGGTATTTTAGACGTTGACTGGCTCTTGGCGTCCTGTTTTTCTCTTTCGACGACATCTGAAACGACATCCTGTTGAGTGTTCCCCAAAATGACTGTTCGATCATCCAGGCGTCGTCTTTTGGAACTTGAAGGCTCGCTTGCTGGAATGTTGGCCGAAAAATGCATTGGTTCCATTATGATTTCAACAGTGTCTTCGTCTGTATCCTCGCCGTCGTCATCATAGGTGCTGCTGACATCGCTTTCGTATGCGTCGCAAGGATGTTGAGCAAAATACGCTCTGTAGAAGGATTCTAGTGGTCCATGAAAGTCGCTCTTGTTTTCCTCGACAGGAGGCGGAGCTGGGGCCTGCTCAAGTTCTTGGTATCCGAAAACAGACCCGTCCTCTTAAAAGGCTTCAACCATGGCGGGACCCAAGTGCGCAACTCCAAGCATGTTATTCGCGCTCAAAGCCGTGTTGCTGAGGTCTGAGTTGGTATTGGTAGCGTTGTTGTCGTGGTTCTCATTGATTGCGGCACTCTCAATAGCTGGATAAAATGGCCAAGTAAGTTTGGTGGAGACATTAGTATCGAGTACCGGGGACTCGCCAGGGGCATGAAACAATTGCAAAGCAGACACGGCATAATAGTTACGGTGGATGTACCTGTCACCGTATCCTCTCCTTCAACTGCAACTGCGGGTACAGTCTCTCCGTCTGCGCCAATTGGGATTGCTCTTTGTGCCTCAACTACTTCTTCCCCACTTCCTCTGCGTCCTTTGCCCCCTCTGCCTCCCTTGACTCTGCCTCTGTTCCTTGGGGTCGACCCTTTTTCATGAGATTCATGGCGCGCGGCAGATTCAGGTAGTCTAATGGATGGCGTCTCAGGGGGATGCATGATGAGAGGAGTCGTTTGCGTAATGGAGTGTGCTGATGTGCCGTCAAAGTTATTACGAAGGGAAGGACCGAGAAGAAAAATGACTCTCCAGGCACAGTGAAATAGGCAATCAACTATTACCCCACCAGCTATTGCCTAGATTTCATTATAAGCCACCCGTGATACATTGTCCTTATTCAAATAATATATAGAAAGATACAATCGCAGCTGAACAATGTATTACGAATGGTGAATAACGACTCTCTATCACATAAAGTAGATGGCACGAAGGTACACGCGAGAAAAGGATGTCGGGATATTTACAGCTTGGGTGTTTCGACAGTGGCAGCAGGGACAGGGGTCTTAGGCTGAAACCTGACAACTCCCTCCTGTGCAACCGAGATCGCCAACGTGCCGTCCTCCTTGTATATCCTTCCGAACGTCAATCCGCGATCGCATCCCGAGCGAGGCCTATCGATATGTTAATAGCAAAGCTATAAATGTCAGAGATTGTGACAGTGCAATGCAACGCTCAACATCACATTTGAAAGGAATGTGAACAAAGACGACAAACTTACGTCTCGCAGACATAGAGGAGCCACTCGTCGGCACGGAAGGGGCAGTGAAACCACATGGAGTGGTCGAGGGAGGCCATCATGGTGATCTTGGGGCTGGGACCAGATCTGCGCGAGAACCAGGAGCTGCCGTGGGCCAGGGGCACGGTGTTAAGCAGGTTGTGGTCCGATCCATAGGCGACCACGCACTGGTGCAGAGCCAAGGCATCGCCCAGCTGGCCCTTGCAGCGGATCCAGAACGACTGATCTGTCCTGACCTCGGGGTTCATCAGCTCCTTGAATGTATGGCGCTTCGTATCCTTGAACTCCAATGCCACCGGCTACATTGATTGTCAAACAAAGAAAAAAAGAGAACTGTTAGAAATCATCCGCACTTTTCTTTTTATGATCATTATAACTCTGCTCGCTCTTGAACGTGTACATGCTGGTAGAAAAGTTACCTCGTCGAGACGAAGTCTCAAAAAGTCCTTGAGGTTTTCGGGGAGCTTGGGGTTATCGATCATGGCGTGGATCAACTCTTCCTGGCTGGACAGAGTGCTGTGGTGGGGCACATTGGGCATGGGGTACTGATGGCTCGGTGCGCCAGGGCGAGGCACTTGGTAGCTGGCTGTGCACACAAAGATGTTCTTTCCACGCTGCTTTGCCGTCACCGTTCTCGTGCAGTATGACTTGCCTATTAGATAATGAAGTTGATAGGTGGTACTGTGAGCGACTGAGAAAATGATAGGCGCAATGGATCAGATCTGCTGCTTATTGTTTTCTTCCTTGATAAGTTACCATCGCGAACGCGCTCCACATGGTAAAGGATCGGAGTTGTGTGGTCTCCAGGCAGGAGGAAATACGAATGCAGGGACTAATACGACGATCCAATTGGTGCCAGGGGTACACAAGAGAAATTAAAAGTGATCGAGAGGGCAATTAGAATCCATGGAAGCGTGAGTTGGTATGCATGATTAACTCAGGAGAAAAAAATGGCCCAAGTAAAAGGGAGTGAGCATTCTTCTCTCCGACTGACTCTCTCCACTCTTCCCATGTGGCCATTGTCTGGGTATTCCTTTCCCTTCTGTTCTGTGTTTGCGGATCAATAATTAGCCCCTCTGTCACTCTATCTCCAAATCGCAGGCGAGTCCGCGCAAGCGCGGGCAGCAAAACTACTGGATCGATTCACTTGCACACGGACAATAAGAAAAATAGAGTGTGGCTCTTTGATGGGTGGGATTTGCTTACATGGACAGAGAAATCAGTCGACACAGTGTTTGTGGCAGCAACCAGCGCCTGTCCGACAACATTTCCTCCTATGTAGTCGAAAGCACAACAAGCACGTCAGTTTCTCAAGCCGATTCAAAGACATAAGCGAAGAAAAGAATCAAATCGGATCAATAAAGAGGAAGTGAGGCTCCAACATACCGAAGACACCGCGTGCGCCCATGGGAACCCAGAGCTTCTTGGACCGGTAGAGGTCCTTGTCGATCTCCTCAAGATCGAGCATGGTCTCGATGATGGTGTTGTCTAGGAGCAAGAACGGATCCGAACCACGAACCGTTAGTGGATGGAATAAGAAAAAAAAGGAGTCGTGGGCGGGTTTGGGGAAGGGCGGAACCGTCAGTTTGTGAATCTGTGGAGAGTGGGCGTGGAGTAGGACGATGATCTAAACTCAGCCAAAAGGCTGATAGTATGCTTGTGTTCACTAAAATGTTCTTTTGACCCAGAATGCTGTTCTTGTCCTGTTGCTGCTCCTTGCTGTTGCTGTTGACGAGTGGAAGGGTGTCGCCTTCACTCTGAATGTGAATGCATGAAGCAGAGAGAAGGGAGCTTACTAGTAGTTCCGTCAGCGTCGGGATGGGGGGTTGTCGAATTGGGATCGACTGTGAGGTGAGAGTCGGACATGTTGCTTAGTTGTTGGGTGTGTGTGAGTACTGGTTGTTGTGCAGTTGAAGGTTTTGTTAATGAAGAGAGGCAGGAGTGGATTGAATGAGAGTGGAGAATGGAGAGTAAAGAGTGGAGAGTGGAGAGTAAAGAGTGGAATAAGAAGAAAGTAAAGCGAGACAATAGTGCAAAGGGAACACCTTATTTTTGTATGAGCTGTTCGACTCCCTCGTGAACCCAGAAAATGGTGTCCGAGCCGACAAAAATTTGTCATTCGCACATGGATGGTCTAGGGAAGGGAACTACTCTTCTTGCACAAGCAACTGACACTACAGCTGATACCACTCTTCACTCCACCTTGCCGGCATCGTTAATGGATGACGAACTTGTTGGTACTAATGCTGGTCTTGTCTTCGTTGTGTTATCTCATACAAGCAAGCTTGCTTTGCGCGTTATTGCCAAGAGTACGAAAGGATCGCTTCATTTCTCGCTAATGTAGATACCCTGCTCTCACTGTACACTTTTTATTTCCCGCCCCAAAAGACACTCTCGTTTCCCCCGCCTGTCCCGAGAAATGACATCGCACATGTATAAGAACGTGGGCCGTGGAGCAATGACATATTTCTTAATCCCCAAAAGCGCGCAGCAGTGTTTATATCGCCTTGTCCCTCTTGCCAGACGAGATTGCAAGTAGTGTATTATACTCATGCGAGGAATAGGTGTTGGGCTTAATGTATGGTGTATGTTCATTGCTGAGGTCCTCTAGATGACGCCGCGCCAGTCGCAGGCCTGGACGAGGTATTTGGCCACAACCTCCAATCCAGCCTGATCCACCTCATCAAACCCCTCCGTCACCTCGCAATCCAGATCCAGCACTCCAATCACTCGCTATGAATACATGCAATTGAAGTGGAAAAAAATATTAGTATCCTTCACAGCATCACCTTAATAGATCATTCATGCATTAAACATACAAACAAATAACAAAGAGACGTACCCCATCGAGCACCAAAGGCACGACAACCTCTGAATTAGAAGCAGCATCACACGCAATATGTCCTGGGAACTCATGCACATCCTTCACCAACATCGTCCGCGCCTCAGCAGCCGCAGTTCCACAGACACCTCTTCCGAAATCAATGTTGGTGCATGCCACTTTTCCCTGGAAGGGTCCCAGGATCAGAGCCTGTTTCGTAGATGGGGAGGATTGGTCGAGGACGTAGAAGCCGACCCAGTTGATGGGTTTGTCGGTGACGGCTCGCAGGCCGTGGTAGATCAATGCCGAGCTGTTTGCCAAGTTTGTTACCTATCATTGTTTTCCATTGCATCCAAAAAAATATCAATAATTAGAGTCTCAAATAACGATCTACAAATTGCGTGCGGTTGTGGGGTCAAGGACTGACTTGCATAAGACAGTATTAGTAATCGGGGATCTTGAAATGAGGAATAGTATGTGTGTTTTACCCAGTTGCGCTGGCCGTCGGTGACGCCTTGGATCTGAAGCTCCAGGTCCTGATAGAACTCGGCTTTGTCGGAAGCTGTCGACGCTGAGATGTTGGGTGTCATGTTATGTTCTTGATATTTTTCCTTGTGCGTTGAGGTTGTTGTAGTGTTAAGGGAGTTGTCGCGTGATGGGCCTTGTGTCCTGCTGCGAATGAGGTCCTGAACTGGAGTGAAGTGAATGAATTAGTGTGAATGAGAGAAGAAAGTGTCCTGAGAAAAAGTGATGGGAAAAGAAGAAAAAGCGAAGGAAGATACCCACGGTTGTTTTTCTATTTATCCATCCAGTCAGCCCGTTAGTCATCCATGCAAAAATGGCGAAATTTTGCCTTGTTGAAACTCAGCGAACGAACGACGCAACAACACTCACAGCGACGACGTCTTTGTTTTTGTCCACGCTTCCTCCTCTTTCGCTTTCATACTTGACCAATAGCACTCGTTCATATTGGTTTTTAATTGTTAGCTTTTCTACATATTTTTTTATTTTATGATCTTTTTTGTAAAAGAGGAAGAGGCAAGATGCGAAAAGCGCTTCAAAAATGAGTCATTATCCTACTCAACGATTGGGGGTTGTTACAAAGGAAACGAGCGAGCCAAATAGCACTGAAGTAAGGGTAGTAGTCGTACGTCCATGTCCAGAGTCCGGGGAATATATAGATCAGTGGTCGGAAAGGGAAAGAAGAAAACAGAGTCCAGTGGGACATCCTTACTCAAGATACTCGGCCAAACGATCGACGACATGGGACATCGAAGGCCGCTTCTTGGGATCCTTGCGCCACATCTCCTGAATCAACGCAATCAGCGAACCAGGGTACTTTTTCAACTTATCCAGTGGGGGTCTCTCCTCCTTATCCCGCACAGCCTCATACAGTTGATGCTCTGTCAGGTTGTGGTAGGGGTATCCGAGCTCGGCCCACGACAGGATCTCCCAGTAGATCAGTCCACACGCGTACACGTCCACCTTCTCCGTGTAGCTTGGGTTTGGTGTCCAGAACTCTGGTGCTATTTTCATTGATTGGTGGAAAGTAAGACTGATTAGCATTTGTTGATGGCGAAGCACACAGTAACAGCTGATCAATTGGGTTTTGGTTAGTTATCAGTTCCTGCTTCACTCCTTCAGAACTTTACCTTGCCAGTTGGGGGTTCCACATTGGGTGTGCAATGAAGCATTGGCTCTTGGCCTGATACGTGCCAGTCCAAAGTCGTTAATCTTAGCCCTGTCGTCCGAGGAGATCTGTGCAAGGAATAAGAGAAACAGTAAACGAAAAAAAAGTCTGTTAGCCGTCTTTTCTAGCTCATTCATGGTCGACCATCGTGCCCAGAGCTGAAATAGAACAGGAACATACCAGCACGTTCATAGATTTCATATCCTATTAGAGGCACATAGCGAAAGAAAGGCGGAGAATGATTAGCATCTGTTTGTTTGCAGTAATCCTGAGTTCATCTTCATTCCTGCGTGTAACACATGAGAAAAGTTCCATTACTCTGTGAATGATGCTGGGTCGGCGAGTGTGCAAGTACGAGCATGCAAGCGCAATATCGTGCATATACATGATCTATGAACAGAACCCCAGAAATAGAAAAAATCCTGTTAGTTTTTCGTTCGCTGCAATCGTAACTCAAAGTCGAGTTATCAATCCATGCTCCATAAAGAGTTCTACACTCACCAGGCGTCCGAAAGATGGCTTCTTGGCCTTTCGCATAAAATCATACAAATCGCCATTCTCGCACAATTCTAGTAGTATCACGAAAGAGTGAGGAAGAAGGAGTCAATACGTTGCGTCTGATTGACCATCGAGTTCTTCCACTTGCTCGTTCTTCCTGCATTCCTGAAGCAATGATTACCTGTGACGATGCAAAGGTGTTTGACGTTGGTGCACACTCCAATGAAGCGAATGATATTCTCGTGTCGAAGTTGCCTATCAAGAGTGAAATGAACCATCGCATGTCAGTAAGTATCTCGTTTCCGTATTCTCCCCATCTGCTAGTGGAGACAGTATGCGATCCAGTTTGTTTCCGCGATATGCCCTCTCTCCCAAGCAAGGGGGAACTTACTTCAAGACGTTGATCTCATGCTTCATTTCCGTGATATCCATCTCTGTAAAGTTCTGCACACGCAACTCTCCAATCGCCACTGCCTCCTATAAGATGAAAACGCAAACAAAAAACATCCACATTAGTTACCAGTTATCGTTCGCAACAACGCATACCCAACCATCCACCGCAAACAAGAAGACTTACACCCAAGTATGTTCCAGCATAGCAATCCTTGAATCCTCCAGATCCCAACTTGCGTCCAACAACCAGCTGCTCATAGGCAATCTCGCCTTGGAAGTTCCCGTCCAACAAGAGCGAGTTCAGGTGGACGGTGTTGATAGGTAAGGCGCCCTTCTTGTTCGCCGCCGCGCCTGCTGGTTCGACGGAGCATAATTTTGGTGTTGAGGGACCTGGAATCGGCTTTGCCTTTTGCTATTTTGTTGAAGGAAAAAGTGGAGGGAGAATGGTGCGGTTATAACGAACGACGGTGATGGACGGATGAACGGTGGTAGTGATGAATAAGGAGCGTCAAGGGGACGGATTGAGTTGCGAGTTGCGACAAAAAGTGTCCAATTCGCACCACAATGTCGTAAAAGATCAGTATGTAACGTCATTCAAATACAGAAAAGAGAGGGAGAGCCACCAAGTGTCAATTCAGGGCAGGGTCACATTAGAACGCAAATATAAAAAGGTTCATGAAAAGAGAGAAAAAAAGTATATCGCGGTTAGCGGTCATCTCTGAGAACCAAAAAAACGAGTGTCAGGGTACAACACCATGGATACTTTTGTCTCAAAAATAACTTACCCAATCCAAGAGTGCCTGGATCAAAGTCTTCTTGTCACCCTCGTCCGGTAGACCTGTTGTTCACAAGTCAATAGGGCAAGGCAGTGACATGAAAATGGTGATTGAGTAGGAGAAGGAGGGAGATAGGGTCGAACCCGTTCAGAACAAAAGGAGGGTGTTCAGAGATAAGAGAGGTCCCGGATCAGAGAGCAAAACGGAGCCGCGAGTATACACAATTTAAAAGGGGATGTACGTGAAAAAGATAGAGAGAGGGGGTTGAGGTTAGTTTAACAAGAACTATTCATCACAAGCATCAACATCCTCTGTCTACATGCCATTTGCTATGCCCAAATAAGAACACCAAAAGGCACAAACAAACAAACAAAAGAGAGTTCAAGACAATGGATCCAAAGGAGTCAAGAGGGGGAGAGAAAAGAGGGTCAAAGAAGTAAAACAAAAGAAAGGGCGACTTGTTGAAAGCCCAAAAAAACAATGCATGTGGGGGTAAAGCATTGTAGCACATCCCACTTGTTCCGAGAATAAAAGAGCATTGCGAGCTCTCTCTGTTTCTCCTCAATTGCAAAGCCTTGGCGGGTGTGCGGGATGTGTTTTTTGTGTTATTTTTTGTTTTGAAAAGCCGAACATATGAAGGTGGGAAGAAAAAAGGGGGGAGAAAGCCGCAGGAATCATTGGTGTCGAAGGTGAACGGGAAAAATCAAGTAAAAGGATTAAAGAACCTCCAATGGTTTTGTTGTTTGGGAGAATACAATGCGGAGTGCGATAAGGAGAGGAGAGACAACGCAGTTGCATTGTTCTCCTTGCAATCGAACCAATAAATGAAAGGTAGTGGCGAAGGAGGAGGAAGGAAAGTAACATGCGCATGGGAAGGGAAGGATTGGAAGAAAAGAAAAAAAAAAAGACTGACCTCGTTCCTGGCACATAACCACAATGTCGGCTTTGATCTTTGCATTGAGCGTCTCTTCCGTCTCGTTCTCGAGCCGCTCGTCCACATGTCGCTCAATCGTCTGGAACCCCTTGACAACCGCCTGCAGAGGTGAACCGGGCTGAATCTCGTTAGGGGATCCAACTCGCACCTGCTCAAACTGGACGTTCACCTTGACCATCTGCACAGGCGACCGCTGTTGCTGTTGCTGCTGCTGTTGCTGTTGGTAATGCTGTTGCTGCTGTTGAGGATACACCTGAGGGTGATGCTGCTGAGGTTGATGAGGTTGCTGAGCCTGGGGTTGCTGGATTTGATGCTGCTGAGCCTGCTGAGGTTGCTGAGCCTGGAGTTGCTGGATTTGATGCTGCTGAGCCTGCTGAGCCTGCTGAGGTTGCTGAGCCTGCTGAGGTTGCTGAGCCTGCTGAGGTTGGTACTGTTGTTGGTGGTTCTGAGGCTGGTACTGCTGCTGCTGTTGAGGTTGAGGTTGAGGTTGAGATTGATGGTGCTGCTGTTGCTGTTGCTGTTGCTGTTGCTGTTGCTGTTGCTGTTGCTGTTGCTGTTGCTGTTGCTGTTGCTGTTGCTGGAACTGAGCCTGATGTTGCTGCTGGGGTGGCGATGGGTGCAACGGCTGTGGGAATTGCTGCTGCTGCTGCTGCTGCTGCTGGAACTGAGGTTGCTGCTGCTGTTGTTGTTGCTGAGGAGGAGGGGATGGTTGCTGCTGCTTCTTTTGCTGAGGAGGCGAGTTTTGCTGAGCAGTCAAGTGGAACTGGTGGAGCTGCTGAGCTTGGTGAGCCTGTAGCGCCTGCAGTGCCGGAATCGGCCCCGACGGACTCTGCTGCTGCTGGAATTGGTGGTACTGTGCCTGTTGGGCCTGGACAGGTGGTTGGACAGGTGGTTGGATCGTGGCCTGGAGGGGTGCTGGTACTGGCAGTGGTGGGATTGGTGCCGCCACCTGTCTGACAATGACAACAGGGGCAGGGGCTGGCGCAGGGATAATGGTAGGGGCAAAGGCTGCTGCGACAGCTGCTGCTGTTGCAGCATTGTTGTTGATGTTGTTGACATTAGGCGAGATCCGCATTGCCTCCAGAGCAGCCTGAGCTTGTTGGTGGATAACGTCATGCTGGTTGTTGTTGGTGTTGTTGTTGACGAGAGTGGGAGCAGGGACTGGCGTGGGATGCTGCACATTGTTGTTGCTGGTGTGACCATTGACATTGCGGTTGTTGAAAGTGTGAGCATTGATGTTGCGTGGCAAGGAGGTCTTATCGCCACTCTCGTTGGAGTTGATGGGAGTCTTATGGCTGACGTTGTTGTTGTCTTCAGAAACGACGGGAGCAGGGGCAGGAGAGACTCGTTGTTGTTGTTGTGCGGCATCAAAAAACGCAACCTTGGGTACCTCCAAAGGAGACCCCCGACCAATGGCCTCAAACGGCACCGACTTTGAGTGTTCAAAAGGAGAGCCTTGATGGTACTGTTGAGGCGTCTGATGCTGATGCTGTTGAGGTTGTTGTTGCTGAGACGCCTGTTGCTGCTGCTGTTGTTGGTGTTGGGGTTGCTGGGGTTGGCGATAGAGATAGTCCACAGGTGATCCTCTTGCGTTCTCAAAAGGCGACCCCCTGTTGCCATCGACAGGAGACCCAACGCCACGTCCGTGCTGCTGCTGTTGAAACTGTTGTTGCTGCTGCTGCTGTGTATGCTCAAATGGACTGGCAGCACCCCTGTTGAAGATATTGTTCATCTCGACCACGGGAGACCCTCCTCTGTGTTGCTGCTGTGGTTCAAAGGGAGAACCTCGGTTGACGGCCTCGACAATGGGAGATCCTCTACCGCCAACAGCAGACGCGGCGGCGGGAGTATGTTCAAAGGAAGCGCCTCTTGCCAATTGCTGCTGCTGCTGTTGCCGTTGCTGTTGCTGAGGGACGACTTCCACTGCTGCTGCTGGAGTTCCTGCTGCTGTTGTTCCTCTTGCAACAGGTGATGATCCCCTGAATTGATCCGAGTTGCTGTTGTTGTTGCTGGTATGAGTCTGCGCGGTATAGACGGACGTGTTGGTGTTGGTCGACGAGGCGGTGTTGGTGGTCATGGTGTCGGTCATAATGTTGTGTTGGTAGTGCTGTTGAGGGGATGTCCTGCTCATATCAACGTTGCTGTTGTTGGCGACGTGTTGTTGTTGCTGCTGCTGTTGTTGCTGTTGTTGCAGTTGGTGATGGTATTGCTGTTGCTGGTGAGGCGAATGCTGTTGCGGAGGAGGAGGGATATACTGGTTTTGCTGCTGTTGCTGCTGCTGTTGTGGATACTGTTGCTGAGGTGAGCCATTGATGGCAGTGGTCTCGAGGGAGGATGAGCTTCTGTTGAGTCCTTGGTTGTTGTTGTTGTTGTTGTTGTGTTGGTGGTTGTAGTTGTTGTTGACGGGAGAGCCTTGGGCTTGTGGGACAGCAGCGACTGGAGAGGCAGGAGCAGGGGCGGGAGAGACGACCTTGGCAGGGATGGGCTGGTCACCTGGAGGAGTTACTGGGACATACTCTTTCTTGAGCATGGTGTCTTTTTGTATGTGTATGTAGTGTGGAAGTGTTTCGAATAAAAAAGAGGAGCGGACGGTGATTGTATCCGAGATTGATGAGGATATATGAGGTTATATGGGGATGGGAGGATAAGGAAGGATGGGATTGGGAGATAAAGTAGAGAAGAAGGAAAAAGGAAGGAAGGAGAAGCAGAGGAAGAAAGAAGAGAATAAAAAGGAGTAGAAAAGGGTTTGCAGGACGAGAGGGAGGGGGCACAAGGGAGGGAGGAGCAACTTTGGAGAGTAGTGACGGTGGAAAGGTACTGTTCAATCAATTGATACACAGCCAAGGGAGGCCATTGGATCTGCCTGCCCGAATACGCATCGACGACGCACAAACACAGGCACACTTTCAAAAAAACCCCTCACTTGGTTGTTCGCTTGCCCAATGCAACAAAAACGAACGACCAATTGCCTGTGCGTTGTCCCTTTCTCCTCCCTTTCCACTCTTGTTTTTTTTTCGATGACAACAGACCAAAGAAGCGGTCTTTCAAAAACTTGCAACAAAATGATCTGCCTTACTGCCACAGGCACATCATAAAAACAAAAACAAAATGGGTCAAACAGTGCAAACCCAACCCCACCACCGTCAACACTATCACCACATTTACAACAACAAGACCACTTACGAAGAAAACAAGGCTAGACTGCGGCTGAAATGGAAAAAGGTGGATAGAGATAAATAGATTGGCTGGAAAGAGCGAGAACAAAATGGCCACATCAATTTCCTCGAAGACCGGACGACGACATCATCAATGAAAAGAAAAGAGAGTCAAGTAAAAGAAGGAAGAAAAAGGCCGACAACGAAAGGCATGCGGAGGACTCTATCTCGGTGTTTATGCATGTGCGAGTTCATTCGAAAGAAAAAAAAAGGAGAGACTGAGCGAGATAGAGTAGAGAGTGGGAGAGATAGAAAGAGGGGAGGTCGCCTACTCTTTCTGGCTCCCTTTTTTTCACTTGTGTTTTACTTTTCGAGGTCATTGCCTAGGCACAGAAGAAAAAGACATGCAGGTTCCTGACATCCCCATCTCCTCGCGTCTTTGCTCTCCTTCCCCTGACTCCTCTTTTTTCATCAAAGGCCAAATTGACAACGACGAAAAAGTGCGATTCGAGCTACCGGTGGTGCCGCATGACCATCCACATCCAAAGGGTGCTGCTGTTGGAAACCTTAGTCTACATTATTATTATTTTTCCTTGCAGCAAGCACCCCCAAAGCAAACCCCTCCGTCCTTGTCCGACAACTTTGTAGTCGCGCTTTGGCATAGAGGGTTTTGACGCCGCTCCACTCTACACTTCGCACAATGTGCAATTGATCTCCCTTAGTAAAGGGCTATTACATACTCAGCATTCAGCGCGAAGTGTATATTGAATCAATCCATCCATGGCCCGCCCTGTACTATTATTACTTTATTACTTGATCAGAAACGGCGCGATTATGACCAAGGTACAAAAAGGCATTTGGTTGCGAGACATGACGGGGGACACAAAGTTACGATGCATTAATCGCCGTTGCAAAAAAAAATCGGGAGGAGGAGGAAAGAGGGAGTAAGAAGATGCAACAACCAGCATTTCATGCATGGTGGTGTCCCAAGGTGTTATCAATTGGAGTACACCAATCGCCCCGTCTTTCTTTTCCCCTTGACCTCTTCAGGAAAGTGCGCGAGAGGAGCAAGTAGTACGGACGACATTCCGGATGAAACGACAGGAGGCGATGGCCATATCAGCCCACGTGAGGGACAGACACCTTGGGCCGGTACCTTGATTTTGGTGGCGACCAATAATGCAATCATTCTCAGCACCTAGTGCCTTGGCTGCTACACTGTTTTTTATTACTCCAACTACTCTCCACCACTTTTTCGCCCTCTTTCTCTCTCGTTCTCAATCTCTCCTCATTCTCCCTACACCTAACCTCCCTCCCTCCCTCCTCCGGATCGATCCCGTACTCCTTTCACTTATCGACCCACGCACAAATCGTTTGTGTCAATCGTCCAAGGCCATCAAAGTCAAAGCCCAGCTCACGAGCCCAGCCAGGGACCTCCGATCCCTGTCGGGCATTCTGCTTGGCGACCATCACAAAGACCATGATCGCCGCCACTTGGCCGATCTCCGAGTGAATCAGAATCGGACCCTGCATCGTCTCGACAAGCTGGAGGATTTCTTCGAAATCTTGGAGTCCAATTTCATCCGCCGACTGTTTTCGTTTTGTTTTTTTTAGTCCGTCGAGGAGTTGTTGGTGGTTGACAAGGGTCCAATAGGGATGATAGTAAGGAGTTACGTTGCGTTCATCCGTATCCATGTTCAGGTCCGTGTCCATGAAAATATCCAGTAAGTTATATATAATTAATAGAAGGGTTGAAGAAAAGAAAGAGGGAGACAAGTTTAGATGGCATCTGTTCCTTTGTTATTGCATGGGTCAACTCACATCCGTCACTCAACAAACAACAAAACGAAATGTCAACAATCGCATAATGACCTTGATGGGGTAGGAGACAAAGTTGACGTTGACGGCAGCCCAGATATCCTTCTCCTTGGCGAGGTACTCTCCAGGGTTCTGCTTCGACTCCATGCCAATGACCGTCTTGAATCCGACATTGATTAATCCATCATGAATCTGAGCCTCAGTGGGCGTAGGCGCAAAGGCGAGGTGGTCCGTGATCTTTGAGTAAGAGGTGCCGTTCCAGTGCTGGCTCAGCGAGCGAACGGTTGTCGTGATCCACTCCAGAAGCTGGTCGTCGCTCTCCTCATAGGTCGACTTCCTGGGGAGCATGGCAGCGGTGATGATGGATTGGAGGACATGGCCTCTGAAGATGGCGAAGGTGGGTGTCGCGTCGACATTGTATTTCTTTACTGTTTGCTATTTGTGGAACATGGGTGACGGGACGATGTGTGAGTCCTGGTAAGTAGTGGTGTTGAAATGATGCACCGCCCTACTAATATTACTTTGCTGCTGTGCGCAGGAGTGTCCAAATAATAAATAAAAAATTGTAGTGCTGGCGCACATGGGGCTTATATAGCACATCTAGATAGCAACTTACAGTGAGTTCGTCCACGTCCACATGGACGACGGTTGCAAGTTTGGACAAGTTCTCGGCCATCTCCTCAATTCCCGTGGCTACACATGAAAAAAAGTGGCGCGAAGCAGGAAGTTGGGTTAGTTCTCTCATAGGCTAAAAAAATGGTATGGCGCAATTCAACCCCAATTATTTGAGGTCGGATTACAGCTGTTAAAAAAAATGCTACGTTATGAAACAGAGTAGTTATAAAGGAGAGGGAGAGGGACTAACAGAGGCGCTTGCAGTTCTTGCACCAGGCGGTGGTGAAGACGAGGATCAAGAGGCGGTTTTGGTGCTCGAGTTGGATAGCCTCGAGCTCGTGCTCGGTGTTGGGCGAGAGGATGAAGGGCGAGGCCTTGTTGTACTCTGCAGGAGTAGGGCGGAAGGGGGTGCGGTTGGCGGGAATAGGGCAACTAGCCATTGTTTCTTGTTAAGAGGAAGGGTATATTGAATGTGAATGGTTTTTGAATGAATGAGGGAGTGTAAATCACGAATGCCAATGAGAAGGAGGTGTGGTTGCGTCGGGAATGAATGAGGCTGTGGTGTGAGTGTTGGTGTGGATGAAGAAGAGATATTCGGGTAAAGAGGAGATATAGAAAGTAGGAGTAGAGAGGAAAGAGGAGAAAGAAAATATTGTCGTTGTTAGAACCTCAACTCGCTCTTTCTCGCTCACACACTCCCAACTCTGTTTTCTTTCTTCTCTTCGGGAACTCACTTGCGGTTCACCCTTGTCCTGTCTAGACACACACACACAACCTTTAAATGGCCTTCGTTTCTTCTTTCTTGGGCTTCCTCTTCTCTTCTCTTCTCTTTATTGCTTTTAGTTTCTCCATGGTTGCACAGAAAACATCAAGTAAGGAGAAAAGTCCGCGGTTCTGATGACAAACCACTCTTTATTATTTTGCTTCCTTCCCGGCGCACTTTTCTTTCTTCCCGCACCTCCTCCAAGGAAAAGAGACGCGAAAAGGGGATGGAGCAGAGTGAAAAGGCCCAAACCTCAAACGCCCACCTCACATCTGTCCTTCTATCACACCACACTTGTTTCTTGTTTGCCGATCGATCCAAGGGAAGTATCCTACTGTACCAATTTTTTTCTCGTGGGTGACAAATCAAGAGTGTTTACATGGGTTTAGCACGCCATCCCTTTTTTTTCTTCCGTGCGCCCTTTGGATCCTCTCTCGTCCTTTCCTTCTCCTTTGTGAACAGTCCTCCTCTCTCGCCCTAATGACAAATCAGGTTTTTGTCACTCCGATTGGGTTGGATTGCATTTCCAGCCCCTTGTCCTCTTGGACGATGCGCCCACTCTTACAATTCGATTTAGAATTTGGTGGCTGACAAGGAAGACTCACGCGCTCTTCCCTCTCCTCGCGTCTCTCGCCAAGGACTGGCATGGTTGCCCACGTTGTTTTGATTCTGTCTCCGAAAAACACGATACTTATGAGAGGAAGGGTTGCTTCTCTTTTTATTTATTGCAATTTCTTCCACCAGAAGTATCCATTCTAGCTGCAAGGGGAGTGAATGAGAGTGGTTGCTGTCCTTCATTTTTTTTTCTTTTATTTCTTTCGATCACACGTATTTCTGACCCGTCAGCGGGGACTGATGAAGTGGACAGTGATGGTGCCTGGATGGATGGGGATTGACATTCTGTAGACCGTCGATCCCAATAAAGGTGAAAGAGATAGATGTCTTTAGCTGTGCAATGTTCCGTCAACCATGGGCCAACCTCTTTGTGTTTGAGTGATGTTGATACAATAGTGAGCACCTTCAATCATTCCGATATTTCCATAGTGGTACTTCTCACTTGATTTTTTCATATATTAAGTACCATGTGTTGATTAACTTCTTGTTTGCTCAGCTATTCTCGTTAACTACGCCAAGCGTACTTCATCCTAAGACCACATGAGATCAAGGTGGAACTCATCCATCGCCGGGAACAACACATCAAGCAACAGCCTGGCCTCGCCCTGGCCCACATAATTTTCCGTATCGCGCTTCAACAGCTCGTCCACAGAAATCGAGCTCGTCACCAGTCTCGTGAACGACAGCGGTCTAAACCCAGCCTGCAACATCAACTCTCCCTCTTTTAACTCTTCCTTCAATCCTGCTTGCTTGCGATTGAATTGCTCCAGTGCCTCTCGGGCTAGCTGATCAGTAGTCTTGGGCCTCCAATCCATCACCCCTACAATCTTGCCTCTCTCCACCACCATCTCTAACCCAGGACCACTCATCCCTTCCAGGCGCTGATAAAAGTCCACCTGCAACCTCACACTCACATCTCTCCATACACCCGACTCCTTCAATCGCGTCTCCAGCACGGGCGCAATCTTCAACAGGAACTTTGGCAGACTAGGGATCCGGGTGTAGAATCGGTAGGGGTCTCTGGCAGGTTCAAGCTGCATGCGAGCATCCAACAGCAAGGTCACAGGGTGGGCCGGAGACAGATCAATACCGATGTTGGTGAAATCGAGTGCAGGGAACTCGCCGCGTGTACGGAGAGTCGTCTCGGATTCCAGGGGCAACATATCATTGTTGATTTTGGCGCTATAGCATTCATAGTAGGGCCGGTCAAACTCCTTCAGCTGGATCAACACCGACGCCATCGCCTCTCTATAGGTAACTGCACTGTCGCCGTCGTCAGTTTGGTCCTCAAGGTCCAAAGTAAACACTTTCCAGTTCCAAGCATCATCATGCATGCATGTCAGTGAGATGCCGACATCTTTTGAGGTCGTGGAGTCGACTAAAATTGCAGCGTGATGGTGTGCATCGTGGTGAGCGGAGATGTTCTTGCGCGAGAGGGTCTCGACGACAAACTTCCAGAATGCCTGGTCGTAACGGGTGCCCAGCTCGGCTTTGGAGAAGAGGTGGTTGGGTTGGCTGAGATGGATGAGGTATGGAATGTCAGAGGATGTGGCCTCTCTGAGAACGAAGCGAGGCCGTTTTTTGTCCATAGGGTAGAGAGTGGCAATATTCTTGAGGAGTCGACTCGACTTTGCAGGCACCGCGTTCTCATACCCGAACTGCCTATTTGCAATGAGTATAAACATAACAAAGTAGTGTCAGGAAGGTTTAATCTAACATTACACCAAATAAAAAATAATAAAAAATGATGAATCCTTACTTGTAGAAATAAGGGATACCAGGGATAAAGAGCATTAAGTCACCACGGGCGTCTGCTGCAGGATGAATCAGATCCAAGAACAACCTCCTCACCAAACCTCGACTGCGATATGCAGGGAGTGTACCAACAGCCCCAGGCATGCCCCAGTCCATGTCGACAGATCCAAAGTAGCCAGAGGCCAACAATAGACATGTCACAGCGACGACGAGGGGTCTTGGAGATTGTTCTGGTTTGAGTGCGTGGAGGACGGTGTTGTCTTCGACCAGGGCGAAATCGTACTCGGACATGTGTGGGTGCTCTCCACTCATCAGTCGTCCCTGTCATATTCATGCCAACAGTCAAGAGAAAATAAAGTTAATTGGTTGTTCTCACGACCGTCAGGTACGAGGAAGGAAAGAGATGCAATGATACTTACAGTTAATGCGATGACATATTCGTTCTTGCCTGGAAGTTGGCCCTCAGGAACATGGCGTCCCATGTTCTCAAACTAATGTTTCAACAAGAAAAGAAATAGTCATGGGTGCCATTGACCAACGATTCTACTCTCACTTTGATAGCCATGAGGATCAATGTACCTGAAAAGACTTGGCGAGACACTCGGCCACGGCGTCTTTATCGTCTGCAGTTGACCATCGCATGACCAACCCGTTTCCAAGGTCGATTCGTTCTGGGCGAGGGACCACTTGACGTTTGGAGGTGGAGCTCGGATTAGTACTAGCCCTGTGCATTGTTGAAAGTGGTCGTTTGTATGTTTTGAAGGGGTGACAAGGAGGAATGATATGAGGTCCCTTTTTAACCAATTTTCACATTGGGCAAAACTGCGGATTTTTGAGTCTCCTTTCAATCCCTCACGTTAGGGAAAACTGCGGGTAATTGAGTTCTGGTGTTTCGTCTGCTTTTCACACAGAAAACAGCGCGTCAAGTGAGGACGACTATTGTTTCGAATTACCAGGTGTATGTAGGACAACACGTCTTTTTCGTGGCAGTGCATTGTTCTCATTCCTTTTCCAACTTCCTCTTTGCCGTTAATTCATTCCTTTTCCTCCATTGACATCTGCGCGCTTCATCCACCATCTTCTACTTCCATCACATCACGAACCAAACACGATGAAGGGCCTGTTCAAGACGAAGCGCCCACCCCCAGTCCAGGAAAACAACAACAACAGGAACGACCTCGTTTACCCCTTCATGCCTCTGAAATCCTAGAGCGCATCGTCTCCTTTATCGACACGCCCACCGACAACCTTACAGTTGTCGGGAGAAATCAGAAGAAGATGAAGGAGAGTAATCAGTAAAAGGCTTTGAGGAGTGCAACAGTCGTGGGCTGGGGTGACTGGCTCAAGATCGAGAAGACAGATGATAATCACTTGAGGCGTGCTTTGATGACCATACGATGGAAGCTCAAGATCAACTCTGTCGATGTTGGCTGAAGGGGGACTTGAAGACTATGGGCCTCTTGTTGGGCGACACGTTGTTGCTGAACGAGATGCATTGTGCGAATGATGGTGTTTGATTATCGTACTATCGTTGCTGACCAGAACTTCGTCATATCTCTCTGGAGAGACTGTCCTATTGCAGATGGAGTTCCGTCCCATATGATTGTCGGCTTTTCCATTTGTATGCGTGGACAGGGCATGCCCTGTAAAGAAATAAATAGACGACACCCACCTTCCTTTCTTCTTTATTTTCTCTCTTCTTCCTTCTTTTCCCTTTTCAATCCATATCCTCCCATCCCCCAGTTGCAAGTCAACCACACAGATAGACACTCTTCTCGCTTCTCTCTCCCCTCCCCCCTCCTCTCTCTCCTCCCTCTTCCCTCTTTCTTGTCTCCCTCTTCCTACACAACAAACAACAACCAGACAACACCAACAAAAATGTCACCACCTCTTTCCCCGCTAGAGATCCCTGAGATCCTCGAACAGATCTTCTCCTACGTCGACGAGTCGACAATCGAACAATCCGTCAGTAGAGTCAATCGAACATGGTTCCTCCTCACCCGCCACCGGACCAACCAGGACCTTGTCTTCAATACCAACCGTCGCAGGGGAGACTTTCATACTGTCATGGCTCGATTGTCCGAGGCGACCAGGTTGTGGTGGCATGCAGCGTGTGGACGGGATAGGGCAAATCAGTGGAAGAAGCTTGTGAAGTTGTTGAAGGTCAAGGATTTGCGGTTTCGGGAGAGTAAAAGGAGAACGACTACGTTGGCGAGTGCCTCGCAGCATGGACTCGGTGCAGGAGCAGGAACAGGAACGAGAACAGCAACAGGAACAGGAAGTGCGGCAGGGGGAGAAGGTCAGGGGGATAGGGAGTACGGGTACAGGGAGCACGACCTACGACGAAGCAGTACCTACAACGACGCCGTCTCCTGGACCATGCAAGAACGACCACTACTTGAACTACGACTAAGCGGCTGCCTGAAACTCAACCTGCGGTTCCCTTCCCTGCTTCCGTACATCCAATTCCTCACTGTCCTGAAGCTGAGCATGTGGGAGGAGAATTGGTTCGATACGCGGGAGGATAATGGGGTCGATATGCGGGCAGTCTTGACGCAGTGTGGATCGACTCTGCAGGTGCTGCATATCCGTACCCTATTGACTATTCGACTTGATGGACCATGGATCCCGAAGAGATTCCCGACGCCATCGTTCGTTGAGCCCTTGCCGGAACGATGGCAGGATCATGCTTTTGCGTACCAGTGGAATCAAGGCAACGGCAGTAGTCAGGAGCAGGAATCGGAACCGACAAATGTTCTGGCGTTGCGAGAGTTGGTCCTGGAACGAACAAGTTTCTACCTGAACAGTCTAGAGGCCCTCCTCTGCTTCACGCCTCACCTCAACACCCTCCGTCTTATCGAGCTCAAACTCTACAGCGGGATGAACCCGTCTCCACTCGGCGACGGCCAACGCCGCCTCATTGCTTTTCTCCAAGACCCTCAGTTCCCGCAGGGACAAATCCTCCCCCTCCGATCCTACACCTTCTCACTCGCCTCGATCATCCGTGTTACTTCTACCGCCGCGTCCATCGCCAACGTCGAACAGGAGATCAAACATGCGCAGTCGGAGCTATGCCAAGATGCGAATGAGTGGACGTTTTTTACGCCGGGTCTGTCACTACCTCTACTGAAATTTTTAGAGGAGGAGGTGCAGAATGTAGTGACGACGCTGGAATTGAGAAACAACGATCTGGACGGGTTCTCACCGGCCCCGGTCCTGCATCGGTACTTGTGTGCGTCGCCGAATTTGCTGCACTTGCGGGCCGAGGGTACTCTATATCTGGTCGAGTTGCTGGATATCCATGGACGGATGGAGATGGCGTCTTCCAGTATCACTAGTCAAGGCGGAGTGGCAACACCTAGAGGAAGAGGCACAGGAGCAACAAGAGCAAGAGTAGAAGCTTCCAACATTCCGATAGGGCCGCCTGGGATCTGGGCATGCAAGAACCTCCAAACCCTGCACATCTACTTCGGCTCTTCCTCCGACATTGGTCCCTTTTCCCGTGCAACCGCCGAGCCGTCCCCAGTATCACGCAAGATCAGTTCTCGGATCGTATTCGGCTATCTCTCTCGCGTCTGCCCTCGCATGCATGATCTCAGGATCCGCGCTACAGAGCACCTTCGCTGGGCTACTTTGATCCGACTTAGACCTTGGGAATCTATGAATCGACGACATTTCTCACTCACCCTTGATTCGGGCTTCTGTCTCTTGACACGACTACGACATCTAGAGTATCTAAGCGTTGGGTCTCTTGGGGGATATAGCGAGCCGTGTTCTAGCAGGAACAGGGGTCTAGAGTCCGTAGATCTGGACTGGATGCTGGAGAAGAAATGGTGTAGAGGTGATGAAGTGAGGAGGAGCAAGGAGAGAAGGGAGGCGAGGAAAATGGTTGTGAAAGAGCGGTGGGAGACTTGGTTGGCGGAGGAGGAGGAGGTCGTCCTTGTCCAGAAGGTAATGGATGCTAGTTGGTGGATCGATCGAACCCGCGAGACCGTCGATCGTGCCACCTTTACTACCACCGCCATTAACAGCGGCAACAACAACAACAACAACAACAGCAACCGACCACCGATTTGGGGAAGGACAGATCCTGAGATCCATGAGCAGTTGAAGGATCTAGGATTGCTGGTTGATGTCAAGAACATGATTGACGAGATGGATATCGAGAGCGACCGTGATGGGCAAGAAGGAGGAGGAAGAAGGGAAGACGGGTACAAATATTGGCCGATGCTGAGGTGGATGCGGATGTTTCGCGTGACAGAGTATGGGCGGTCAAGGGAGAGAGAAGTCAAGCGGATGCTGGCGTCTGTGAAGGAATTCAAGTTCAAGGATAAGGCGTGGTAGTTGATCTTATCTTCGTAGAATAAAGACTGAAAGCTTGGCTTGGAACAAATTGAAGGTCTGTGCTTTACTTTGTGCTAGTCTAAACAACAAGAGGCGTTTCTAGGATGGTAGAATGGTTGGTAATATTGTTGATATCATTTTTGCATAAAAGATAAGCGCATTTTCTTGTATTTTCCCTGCGTTTCCATCTCATTTTCATGGTCTTTTCGTAGCCTCGTCTTCTTGTGCCTGGGGTCGCCGGATCAGGCGTACGCTCTGTGCCGACAAAAGAAATAATAGGAAACCCACATGTGAATGGGTAGGGGAATGGGTGCATAAATGCATGACTGTATCTCATTTCCTCAAAGATAGAACAGTGAAAGTGTTGGTCTGCTTACGGGTGTAAGGTTAGAAACGCCAATTGCGATGCGAATAACATTCGACTATTTTATTTGGAGTGCAAGCCTGTTTCTTTGAAAAAATAGAAAGGAATAAGAGGAATGACATGGTTTCACAACCAACTCTCTGGGTCCTGAAGCTTGCGCTGCAAGTACAACACCAGCGCCGACGACGACGCCGCCGCCAGCTCTCCTCCTTCCTCTGCACCTCTAATATTTCCACCGCCGCCAATTTCACCTTCATTACCCCCAACAACGACAGAAGCCCCAGAGCCAGCACAGGAATAATCCTGCAGGTGCAGACTTTGAATCTCCGTCTTGGCATCTGCCTCCAACATTTTCACAATCTGATTCCTCCACCGCACATGCTGACAGATATATGGATGTGTCGTGATCAATCTTTCTAGTTTCGTTCGGTCCTTGGCAGTCAGTGGGATCAACATCTCCTTGAACCGGGCTCTCAATCTCATAGTCTCCCTTTCCTCGTCATCCTGTTCCTGTCCCTGAGGCGGTTTTCCATCGGGGAGTGCATCAATGGGTCGTGGGTCGAGAAAGAGGTCCCAGTCGGAAGGGAACTGACCAAGACATTTCAACGCGGGCACGGCAAGGTTGGCGTTCTCATAGGCAGAGTTGATAGACCCACAACGGTATGTCAGATATATCTCGATCCCATGAGGGTCACAGTCCATCAGCGCCACTAGTGGGATCTCCAGAGGTGGTGACTGGAATACACTTTGATATAGGCTCAGTACTTCAGCCGAAGATTTGCTCTTAGCACTCCCACTATTATTGCAACCATCGCCCAAGCCAGGAGGAGGAGAAGGAAACCGCCTGAGATAAACCCCATCCAGGACCATATCCGAAAGAGCCTTCAACAACTGCCGCGCCACCTGATCCGGGAACCCTTTACTCGTCAACAGGATACAAGGGCCATGGGTCTCACAGAACCCTAACGAGATCAGGTTACTAAGTGTGGCCTCCTTCTCGATCACTAACACGAACCGCGTTCGAGGATGGATCTCGATCTCGACAATGTCCGAGAACCGGATGGGGATGGGCACCAGGGTGTTGTAGCTTGTTTGGGAGAATCGGCTGTCAAGTGGATCGTTCTCTTCCTCTTTCTCGCCTTCGCCGTGCTCTTTGGTCATGAGGTTGTTCGAAAATGTTTGTATCTTGGAGAAAGGCGAGTTCGCAATCTCCTCCTGCAACCACAGCAACTGCTCACTCGCCCCACTGTCCTCTCCTCCACTATCATCAACAGCAACAGCCTTCTGTCTCCCAAGAGCCTTGACCAACATGCGAACGGATCCAAACACAACGCTCCTTGTCCCCGCAACAACATTCAGACTCGACCGAGGCACCTCGAACGTACACGCCAGATCCTCGACTATCCCATCCACCACAATCTGGCTCCCAAACGCCATTACATCCCGGTAGTACATGTCTCGTTTGGAGGAGATGGTATCCTTGGAAACACTTTCGTGTATCAATTCTGTGGCGCGGAGGATCCGGCTTGTGCGACTTGACCCGTACACGGATCGTTGTGTGAATTGGTACGAAGACGGCGATGGTGGTGGTGGCCACGGTATCGAGGACTTGGTAATATTGGTGGCATCGAAGGTGTCGTACAGTAAGGCCTTGGTCGACTTCTCATCTCTTTTCCTCTTCGTTCCACCCTTCGCCTCAGAACCAGCTGCAGCCTTACATCTCTTCCCACTGTTCGCGGTATTCACCTTCTCCTCTTTCGCGACCTGCTCCATCGCCTCATCCTCCAACAAACCAGCAACACCAACATCATCGCCCCTAGGGGGGCCTACCACCACCTCAGTAGCTCTCCCCCTCCATCGCCGAATAACCCCAACCTCCTGGTCATAAACAACCGCATTCATCCGAGTTCTGGACGCTAGCTCAATCACAGGCGGCTCTCCCAACGACAAGTCGTACAAGAACCGACTTGCCAGCCCTTCCAATTGTTCGAGGATCCAGTCTCGTGGCTGTTCTGTTGTGGACACGAACTCTGTTGCTCTTGATGTCGTAGATGGGATTGTTGTTGTTGGTTTTGCGGATGTTGATGTCTCTGATGGTCGGCGCCGTCGCCGTCGCTGTTGTAGTGGTGGCGTTGAGGCTGAGGTTGATAGTGAAGAGAGTGAAGGAGGTAGGTGTGTCGTTGTTTGTGTGACTGGTGGTGCAATGTTGTTTGTGAAGGTTTGATCTCCCTGTTGGCAGGGTAGTTTAGGCTCATAATAAAATGGTGGCGCATCAGCAGACAGAGTATCCCGCAAGTTTCCAAGCAAGTCAACTGTTGTAATCGTGGCGGCTTCAAAGAGATCATCATCCATCTCTTGCTGCATGTCAAGTACACTCCCATCCTCACCATCACCACAGAGTCGTTGTTGCTGCTGTTTGTCCTGAAAAGACTGATGTGAGGTCTCGATATCCTTCCAGATGGAACGTTTCCACACGGACACCGACGACGAAGACCCACCCGAATATTCGTCCTGCCATCCTTGGCTCCCATAAATCTCTGCTCCATTTGCTGACTCTGTTCGATCCGCGGACCCCCATTCAAAAGATCCCTCACTGCCTGGTCCCTCAGAGGCCGTTCGATCGTCAAAGTAGCTCCCATGTATCCACTCGTCCGATCCATCAGGAAGTGGAATCGTCAAGTCAGGGACATCTTGCTCTGGCGACCACACCGCCACGCCCTCGCTACCGTCTGTCTCATACGCTCCAAAACAGAAACCATTGACTCCTCCAGAACCTTGCTCAAACTCCTCCTCAGCGCCGCTTGGCAGGTATTCATCCGAATAAAGCAACGAGTCCATAACATCCTGCTCCATCTCATGACCTCTCGAAACATCGTTTGACACTTCCTCTCTCTGGTTCATGGCCCTAGACCACTCGTCAACCGTTAAAGGGTAGCAGGTACCCCACGAGCGAGAAGGACAAACCCCTCCTCCTGCCTCCTCGCCGGTCCTGCTGGTGCCAGGGCCAAGGGGCATCTCAAGTTCGTCGGTCCCAATCGCGGAAGAGCATTCCTGGTAGATATGTTGTGCTTGTATCTGCTGCCTTGGCTGTGGGACGACAGCGCGGGAGGACATCTTTTGTTGATAATGTGGTTGAGTGTGAGGAGAAGAAAAGAATGAAAAAAGAATAGACTCGAGCCGATCAAGAGAATCAGCCCTAAATCAACAACCTATGCCTTGATTATATTGGCCTAACTTGATTCCTGTAGGTTTTTTCTTGTTTCTTTCGTTTCGTCTTGGTTAGTTGATGTTGTGCTGGTTCTTGTGAAAGGCAAATCAATGTCGATTGTTCACGGCAATTCTAGCGCATGTCCAGATAGATATGTGGCAAACAAAATACATGCGCAACATTGTCCTAACGCCTAGCTTTGTCGCCTCTTTGAGTAAACCCTCGGTGATCCCAATGCCCCACAAAAAGATGCAAAAAAACAAAGAACAAAGAACAAAGAACAAAGAACAAAGAACAAAGAACAAAGAACAAAGAACAAAGAACAAAGAACAAAGAACAAAGAACAAAAATCAAACAACAAAAAATGGAATGGAGTGCTTCATAACGAATGTCATCATAGACACAAGAAAGCCCGCGTCCCAATTAGTATGTGCCATCATTACGAGTGCACACAATTATCCCATGACCTCTTTGGTTCCCGCGACCCCATAGATGGGCCCGACGCCTCTTTCGACACTTACTTGTCACTAAATTGATACTGTGACGAAAAAAAAGTCTTTTATTTTGTCGAGTGTAATGTGCTGTGATCATGGCGATCACGCCAAAGCGAAGAACGCAGATAGTGTGGGAATACAGAGTGTGGAAGGAGGGAAGCCAAGGGAATGAACAAAACAAACGCGCATCCTTGAGACACGAAGGGGGATAAAAACATGAACGCGCATCCCGTGAGGACGGATTGAGAAGGAAAGAAAAACAAACGCACGCACCATAGGAGGGATGAGGAAAGGAGCAAAACGAAAACAAGGTAAATTCGCACCCTCACACACGATCACTCAGAAGAGAGGTAAGTTGAAGAGCGCGGGAAACAAGTATGTGTAAGGAATAAAACAGGACACAAAACACAGACGTGCACTCCAACACCTCAACAAAGAAGCAGGACAAAGGAAGGAAGACAAAACAGTGAATACAAAAAGGCGCCAAATTAACGAGGGAGTATCATTTGTGAAAGATTTTAGCTTGCAGCCCTCACCAACACTGCTCGAAGGAGCAAAATTCAGCAACGGCAATGCAACGGTTCTAATGCACATTTATTAAAAGACAAAGAAGTGGGCGTTTGGCATGGGCAAGGCCACACAGCATAATCGCGGACTTGAATCAGGAGCCGGACGTAAAAGGTGCGTGTGATGGGACTGTGTGCTTGCTGCAGAATGTTGTCCGAGGGTCATCAGCATGGCGGTGGGGGGCGAGCGATCGAAAGTGGTCAAGCAGGCAAGAGGTCCGCAGGAAAAAAACACTTTCCTTCTCTTTCTTTCCCTTCTTTTCTAAGCGAACAGAGAATAGAAAGAGGGTCTGTGTGTGTGTGTGTGTGTGTGTGTGTGTTGTACCTCCTTTCCCATTCTTTTCTTTTGCATTGACTGTTTTGTCTCTCTTTCTTCGTCCTGTTCCTCTTTCTTTGTTATTCTTGCTTGGCGCCCTTTGCATTCACTGTTTTGTCTTCCTTCCTTTGTCGTGGTGTTGGAGTGCACTTCTGCGTTGTGTGTCTTGTTTCCTTCGTTCTTTCTCTCCCTTCTTACACACAAAACGTCTCCTCCGTTCGTCGGCTTGCTTCTCTTTTGAAGGCGCTAGTTTACTTTGTTTGCTTTTTGCACGTTTCATTGTGCCTCCTGTGCTTTGCGCGTTTGTGTTTTCTGTGTCCAGCACCATGCAGCAATGGTACCAACTCCAGTTTACATGGCTCTACTACGTAAATTTTACATGATTCCACTACGGCTATTATTACGTATGGACGGTCAGGGTACCAGCGTTCTCTGGATGTTTTCACATGACCCCATTACGATCATCATTACACATGTACAGTCAGGGTACCAGGGTATTCCAGATGTTCATTGCTTTGTTCCCACCATGCATAATGATGGCAAAACAATGATGATGGCAAATCAAAGCCAGAGGACGCGATGGCGATTAGCTTGTTTCACCATGATCCCGCTACTGTCTTTTTTTTACAAAAATGTACTGCGCATATGCATTTACACGTACCATAGGTACTTTTTTTTTGACCACATTCTCTCTTCTCTTCCTTTTCTCCTCTCTTCCCTCTCTCTTCTTCCTCTCTTCTCCTCCCTCTCTCTTCCTCCTCCCTCTCTCTTCATTCTCTCGTCCTTCTCTCTTTATCCCTCAACTCTCCCTCTTCCTTCTCTCTTCATCCTTCAACTCTCCCTCTGCCTTCTTCACCAACACCAACACCCTTTGCCCTCACCCCTCGCTCTCATGGATGCCGGCCTTTGCTCCCTTCAGAATCTCCATCATCTCCATCGACAGCACTCGCGACCTTCCCAGCCGGCTCCGTTGGAGGCACAACGACTCAGACCAACCTCGAACGCTGCCACTGCCTCACCACCATCAAAAAGCCGCCTTCGCTTCGCTACTTGGACTCCTTTGGTCTCGAGAAAGGTCATCGCCGGCGCTCAGGAAGACAACACAAAGGTGACTGAATTAAGTACTTTTCTATGTTCTATTTGCAGTTCTACAAACACAAGAGGATGGCAGGACAACTTGGGATGGTATCCAGGGTGCCGTACACTACCCTACAGAATGCGCGGATTTCAGAACCTGTCCAATATGGGCTAGGGGAATGCCGATTAGCAAATGGGTGTCGTTCTCTAGGGCAGAGTCCCTCCCAGGCAGCGGACAGTCCCCCCTATCCCTCTCTCTCTCTCCCCCTCTCTCTCCCTCTCCCCTTCCCCTCTCCCCCTCTCCCCCTCTCCTCTTCCCCTCTCCCCTCCTCCCTCCCCTCTCTCCCTCTCTCTATGGATCATGGCCTTGCTGCCTGTGGCCTGCTTTGGACTCGGCGATGCCTAAGATGTAAAAAGTTTTGACTTTAGGAGTTTTAGCGATAACATTCTGTAGGGGTGCGATGAAGTTGGGTAACAGTGGCCATTTGCTGTCTCGTCCGTCTCAAAGTCAGCCTCGCCTTTTCCTTCTTGGAGAACAACTCGCCGGGGTGTGGGATTAATAGCCATGGCGAAATCAACCTTTTAACCTTTCCTTTTACTGTCTCTTTTCTGCTAATCTCATATGCAACTCATCGGACCATCGGATACCTTCGACGTGACCCAAACCACGGATGAGTGTAACGGACAAGGACATGGCAAGCTTGCTTGCGTCTGCTTTTACTGGCAGGTACACTCTGTCTCCTTCCAGGGACAACATATTCCTATGATGATACTCATTGTACTTCAAGAGAGGGAACCTGTTTCCCATCTCGTACAACGTTTATGAGCCGTCGGACAAGTCCTCGGCGAAAAGAGACATAGTGAGGTCTGAGGCAATTTCCACTAGTCGGCCTTTCTAACTGTAATGGCAAAAAAGTCAGCCAAGGTACGCATTCTCAATCTTGACCATTTGCACAGCTTTGATAGCCTCTGTCTTTTGGATATCTCTCATATTTCTCATCCCCTCCATATTGATGTTCGATTGATGAAAAATGAGCCTACGACCTGACATATTCTGCTTATTCTGTGATGTTCATTTGTGCGATGGGTATGAGTACGAGAGACATGGATAGGAACAGCAAGCTGGAGGGCGGCGACAGCAATGTGGAAGGGGGAGAGATCCGAGGCAACGGCGGCAGCTATGTGGAAGGGGGAGAGATCCGAGGCAACGGCGGCGTTTATGAGATCCACGTCTGTAGTTTTATCAGGAAGCCGATTCGTATCTTGGACAAATAAACAAAACCATGACACTTTTCTTGTATGTGACCACGATGGTATCGTTTTGTTGCATGCGGTTGTACTGTAGTCGTGTTCCAACCTTCTGATTTGATGTGATGAACATTATTTATTCCCGGAAACGCCACCACTTCATTCTCTTTTATTTCAAACCGCCCTCCTTTTCTTCTCTTACTTACAACCTATGATTCATAACTGTCACCGCCGACCACACCGACATCCTCTATCGGCGGACCTCTACATTCATCCTTGCCTGCTTGACCACCTTCGACCGCTTGACCACCTTCAACCGCTCGCCCCCCGCCACCATGCTGATGACCCTCGGACAACATTCTGCAGCAAGCACACAGTCCCATCACACGCACCTTTTACGTTCAGCTCCTGATTCAAGTCCGCGATTATGCTGTGTGGACTTGGCCCCACTTCTTTCTCTTTGAATAAATATCCAGTGTTGGTGGCAACGCTTGAGGGCCGCAAGCTAAAATCTTTCATAAATGACGCTCCAGGAGACCTCTTTTCACTCTGTCATCCTTGCCATCTTTGTCTTCTTCTTCCCACCTTTACTATCTTTGCCATCATATCTCGCTTTTTGTTTTCGTTGACCACTCCTTCGCCCCTGACATTCGTCGCTTTGCTGCTAGTCCTTCGTCCCTCGTTCTTCTCGCTCTTTCTCCATCTCACTACCTATTCATCCTTCTCGCTCTTTCTATTCCTGTGTCTTCGACTATTCCTTTCTTTACATTGAGCAAAGGTAAATGATCATGCAAACTTATGCTACAAGGAAGTCTTGTCATGTTAGATCGGCGTCTTTTTCTGTGGCGTGATTATCGGATTCGTCTGTGCCAACGTCGAGCGAGGATGGGGTCGCAGGGCGGATAGCCTTCAGTTTGTCTCCCTCCAGAATTCTCAGAGCGGGTAGCCTTCAGTTTGTTACCCTCCAGAATCAGGCTGTACCATGAGATTGTTGGATCCATGCAGTGAAGCTGCAGCGAGGGAGGAATGGAGTTAATCCTTGTCCAACAAGCAGTTCTCCTTTAGATGTAAGTGTGGTCAACGGATGCGTTCTGTGCCACGTCGATCGGGGAGGCGGCCGTGATAATTGATCCAGTCAAAATCCATACGCGCTACCGTAGGCACATGCTGGCCCAAGATTCATACGCGCTACCGTATACACATGCCGGGGAGACTCCTTTCTTCCTCACTCTCAATCCATAGTGCAAGCGGTTTAGCTTAAGCCCTCTAACAATTCTCAATTTTTTATTATTATTATTTTTCTGCACGTCAGAGTCTCGCAATTAGATTACCCACTATCAAGAATATAGACATGAGCGCCTCTTCTTCCCCATCCAAAAAGGATCAGTCGACAGAGGAGCGGCTGGAATGTGCAGGAAGAAAACGAATGACGGTCTGAAAACGATCTCTCTTGGGAGGTATCTACCTTGGACCATGAAGCAGTGTCAAAAAGAGTATGTCTCGCTTTCGTTTGTCCAGAAGTTCAAACTATCCGACTTGCAGGATGTGCAAAACACCTATGAATCCCTGATCGCCTCTACACAGCTCAAGACCTTGCGCTGACTACTATTGATAACAGCGTACAATACTTCAAAAGGTACAGTCTGCGGCGATACTGGTCAAATCACATGCTGAAGATGGAACGAAAATGAGACAAATACCAACTTCGACATCACAGCCACGAAGTCTGCAAGGATTGTGCAGGATGCGAGTCTGAAGGAGACGTTGAGCCGTCCGAGGATGAAGGCAATGATCAGGACAAGCTAAAGCGCAAGATGTAGCAAGCTACTTTCGCCTACTCTAGCAAACTGTTCATTGCCCAAGCTTCCATTAGATCCTTTGGAGACTTACACTGGTGCCTTGATTGAATGGATATAGATGGATCATTTAAGGAGAGTAACAAACAAGCGAGGACTGTACGCGAGACCCCAACAACCTGGGAGAGTGATGAAGACTTTTTACCTCTATCAGTGGTATCCAAGGGAACAGCCAATTTTAATGATGACGCTGGTGACCATGGTCTTGCGGGAGCGCCACAACCACACTTCAGTCTTGACTCGACACGGCGCATCACGCTCACTATGGCTAGATTCGACGTTGGTGCTGCCTTCAGGCGTCTACAGGAGGGAGCAGTCCCATTCATTAACGACAAGAGCGTCAAGTATGGGTGAAGAAGTTCTACCTGATGTTGTAAGTATCATGGGACGGGTTTCAGGCGCTGCATATATAGCATATGAACACTAGCATGTATTGGGAAGCTTTTTGTCAACTCGCGTTTCGGAGCCGACAAGTGGTCGATCTCGGATAAAATCTGCGAGCGCTACTGTTTGACATGGGGGACTGGCGGGGGACTATGAGGTATAGGCGGTGTTGAACAAAACCATGGCGTGGACAAGAACAGGAGAGGAGGATAATACTCCAGTCGATCTCGCGTTGGATGTCCATGACGATTGCGTTGGTATCGAAATGTCTCGTTGGAATATTGCGTACAGGAGACAAGGGAAGGTCGAGAGATGGCTCAAGGCACTTTGGCGGGCCAGCTCATCCAAGAACGAAGCACTTTGACCCTTCAAGTCCGCGAAATCGATCAAGAAGGAAGCGGAATCCCGAAGGCGTGAAACTCTGGACAGGCAGGATTGAAGGACAGGCCTCAGGAGACGCCTATCTTCTCCTTCTTTGTACAATTAGTGATTGAAAAAAGGAAAACCTTGACTGAAATAAATTCTCTGTTGCGCACCGTTTCAATGACATCCAACATGCATACCATGCACCTTCTCCCAGAGCCACATTGCCACTAAAATGTTTCCCTTGCAGACGCGAACAAGGATGCTCCACGTTTGCATCACGTGTGGGCGTCGAATGTCTGGCGTTTCTTCATTTTTGTGAGCGTGCACGTCTTTTTTCTATTCCTTCTTTACCCCTCTCCCTTTACCACACCAACACACATCAACCATGGCAAACAAGGGAGCCTACGCCGCCATCGAAATCGATGATGACGATGAGGTAATACAACGCAACACATGCACACACACACCTCACAACGCAACTTACGGACGGAGCAAGAACACAAGCAACAAGCTCCAGGAACAAACCTATGCCGTCAGACAGCTCCCAATGGAACAAAACGCCAAGACTGCATATACTTTTCACTCCCTGGGCCTAAGTCTAGTTAGTGGATGCAACCAAACGCTTGTTCGACGAATGGGATCTCAGGAAGAAAGGCGTTCTTGTTGGGAACTGAGCGCCGGGGTGTGAGATGCACAACAAGGATTCATACTGGTGCCAATGACTGAGAGGATGCCGTTCCCTTGGCCAAGAAACGCACACTGACCATATCGCTTTGACTCCCTTTTGGTCGTAATAGCTGCAATTCCAGAGTATGTCTTTGACAACGAACAGGATAGACGTAGTAGGATGCGCGCATTGAGAATATGCAACTGGATATCAAGAGGACCAGAAGAAAAGGCACTTCAGGAGCAAGGCTGAAAGTTGGAACATACAATTGAGTGGTCAAAAGGAGTGAACGTGCGGGAACAGAACAATACCCTACAAAGCATACTGTTAACTGTCAGACAAGCACCTATACATATCATCACCAAAGAACCTCAGGACACTCGACAATAGACTGGTCATTTCAAACTTGATGGTTAGTCCGCTTGGCGTTACTTACCTTACGATCTCCCCAATTGTTCTCTTCATCCAGGCTTCGCGTCGTCTTCCGCATCACCCAACGCAACCGGGAATATCTCATCCTCCAACAGCACGCCACAGCCCCGACCCACTGGTAAGAACTCGCATCAAGTACCAAACATGACAGTGCCAAAGACGCCTCTCAAAAACCTCATTGTCACAAGTAGTAACCAACTCGCCTCCTTTGCTTTTTTAACGTGTTGGTAGGATTCGGAGGTACTGGAGCGTTTGACCCACACAGGAGCATCCAGGACCAAGCGGGCGCGAGACCCATCTGGTCTGTCGAGTACTATTCGAAGTTCTTTGACGTCGACACCGCCCAGGTAACTTGCTGCCACTAGCTTAATGTTTATATAGGATTTCATCGCTGCTGCTGCTGTTGTTGTCTTGCTTTTAGGTTGCGGACATAAATAATAACCTTACATTTGCTTCGTTGTGTGTTCGCTTCTTGTAGGTGATGGAGAGATGTTTCGCAAGTGTCATCCCCAAGGAAAACTTTTTGGATGTCATGCAAGGCAGCCCCGACCTCTATGGTAAATGCTCTTTCCACACACTTACTCTTGAACCTGTTGCCGATATTCAAGACGAAAAGGACGGATCCAGTCGATTTTGGCCATACTCATTTGCTCTTAAACTAATGTATACTCCTTCTTTTTGACACTATCTACAAAAGGCCCGTTCTGGATTGCAACGACGGTAGTGTTCGTCCTCTTCGTGATCTCCTCCATCGTCGAATCCATTAACGCCTACGCCGCAGGAACTCCCTACAGATACGACTTTACCGCCCTCACCTTCGCATTTGGAACAATCTACTCCTACGCTTTCCTCGTCCCCACCGTCATCTGGGGCGCAACCAAATATTTCGGCTGCCAGCCCGACCTCCTCGACATGTTAGCCCTCTACGGGTACGGGCTTACTATCTGGATCCCCGTGGCAGTGTTGTGTGTGCTGCCATTTGACCTGTTGCGGTGGGGGCTGGTAATTCTTGGCGCCGCTGCGTCGGGCTTGTTCCTTGTGAGGAATATGTACCCGGTTCTGTCGAGGGCTGAGGCGCAGACGAGCAAGAGTATTTTGATCCTTGTTGTTGCGTTGCATGGGCTTTTGGCGCTCGTGTTGAAGTACAAGTTCTTTGCGTACACTGTTACCGCTCCTTCTCAACCCCCTGCTCCTACTCGTTAAGTTCCCCCCCCCCCCCCCCCCGTTTAACTCCCTCTTTAAATAATCGATGCAAGTGAAATAATACAACTGTGTAGTTGTCCATTCTTAGTTTTGGGTGTTGCAATCGATGTTTTTTTTTTTTTAATTTTTTTTTGGTGTGTGTGCAAGTATTCCTATGTACAAAATGTAGTTCTAAAAAAAAAAAGGGAACCTGACTGGGGGATGATGCAAGGGATGACTCCCACAAGTTTCCTTCCCGCTTCCTGCGTTTCCTCTTCCTCCTACTCTGCCACTCGTTCGCGTCTCTTCTTAGTTGTTGGCTCCTTTTTTTTTTGCTATGTTTGTTTGTTACTGCTAGGGGGGGCCCATCATGCAATAACTTCGACGGCTGGCATCTCCTCGCCACCCATGGGCTCGTCCGCTGCTGCTGCTGCTGATGCTGGGGCGGCGTCGGCGGCAGTGGCGGCTACTGCATCCAGAACCAGTGAAGAAGATTCCAGTGCTTGTGACTGTGTCTGAGCATCCATCTCAGAAACAGACGCCACCGTCGTATCTCCAGAAGTAGCCGCCGCAATAGAAGCCGAAGAACTCGTGATAGTGCTAACCCTTGCCACAAGCCTCTCCGCCGGCAACTCGGGCCCACGCTCAACCGCCAACCGAGCCATCATCATATCATGCTCATTCTCCATCCAGATCCGACTCTTCTTCCGGCCCTGTCTTGCCAGTTCTGCTTGTCGGTCTTGTCCGAGGCTCTTGATCTTGGTCATGGTTGCCAGGGAGAGGTTTGAGCAGCATTCGACGTTGACTTGTTCCAGACGCGAGTCTTTTATCCAGGCCAGTGTCGCTTCGTCCAGCATAATGGAGGCTGGTGTGGCTAATGTTGGTGCATGGGTGGTGGAAATGGCTGAAGTCGGAGGAGCACTTGATGTTGATTCGACGGTTGTGGATCCTAAGGCCTCGTCAGAAGCCGCCTGGGTCAAAGCAGACGAAAGTAACGGAGTGACCACATCCTGGTCTTCAACGACAATGTGCGATCCTGAGCCAACGGCCGTCTGTTCAACAACCTCCTCAATCGCCACAGTACCCGCCTCACTCAACAAGAAGTCATCGCTGGCCTTGTTGATAAGGCCGTGAGGTTTCGACTGCGAGCTATCATTGCTGCTGCTGTTGTTGTTGTTGTTGTTGTTGTTGTCCAAAGAATCGGCAGTAGCGACTCCTGACGACGAAGCGGACGGCATCGAGCAGCCAGCAACGACAGAAATCGAGATTGGATCCTGTGATGCGCCATCAATAACAACGCCATTATCCTCAAGTCTCGACGGGATCGGAAGTGCCGGCAACAACGGCGTGCAGTGGAAGGCATCCAACACACGAGCTTCAGCAGCCTGGAGAGAAATATAGCCGTCTTGAACTTGAACCTGCAGACCGTTGTCGTCCTGAGCCATATAAGACGAGGAAGAAGAACTTGACGACGAAGACGAGGACGACGAGGACGACGACGAGGAGGATGTGGTCGACTCATAGGACGTAGAGAACGTCGAGACTCCAGATGCGATGAAGTGTGTGTGGCTGTGATGATGATGTCCGTAGGCATCGCCTCCACGATCAATATCCTTGCCCTTGGGCTCCCTCACGCGCACCACAGGCTCCTCTCCCTCCGCAACAACGCCAACGTCCCCCTCCTCCTCATCTAGCTCCATGTACACATCCTCATCTTCCTCCAGCTGCTCCTCAACCCCATCCGAATCATCTCCCTCAACATCATCACGGTCATGATATGAGCTCTTGCGATGATACCGCTCCAGATCCAAACACATATCCAAATCCATGCCCGTCATCTCATCCAAATGAATCGAGAGGTCCATATCCAAGTCCAAGTTCATGATCGTCCGAAGATCCATAACGTTTGAATGGTGGTGGACCAAACCCAGCTGTGACTGCTTCTTGGGACCTCCGTTCGCGCAATAGACGGGTGTGACAAACTGCTGGCCGTGATCCAAATTAGTATCCATGTAGTCAACTGCACCAGCGCCGCTAATAACTCCCTCGTCGTCGTCAAACTCGTCCTTGCTCCGTGCCGCCTCCATGCCACGTTGTTGCTTCCTAAGCAGTTCGACTCTCTCTGCCTCAAGCGCCTCTTCCAAGGCTTCACGCTCGTGAGATTCCTCCACTGCTGCCAACATATGATTTGTCGGTTCTCGGGAAGGCAAATGACTCTCGATCGTCGGCTCGCTGAGCGGGTGGACTGGGGCTGGAGTCTGAAGATGAGATCCGTCCGAGGAAGAGCCAACAAGGAGTGGTGTTGATATGGGCGAATCCACAGAAGAGTTTGTCGCCGCAGCAGCCGCAGAAGCAGACACAGCCGAAATCGCAGCAGTCGTTGTAACAGAGACCTCCTTGACCTCCCCCAGACACCCACAAATGATCTCAGCCGTGCTCTCCGCAATATCCGTATAGCTCACATTGAGATACCGCAACATCCCGCACTCGCGTATCACAGCCTCGATCGCAGCAGCCGAGAACTGCCAGTGATTGACATCCAGCAGCTCCAAGTTCCGGCAATTGAGCGAAATCTGCTCCAGGATGTTGTTCGACAACTCACCGTGGACGTCGTGGCAGCCCAAGGTGAGGACACGCAGGTTTAACGCACAAGGTCGACTCAACATCAGACCGACATCCCGCGCCTCCGATTCCAGAATATCCAGTCGGAAGCAATCCAAACCCGATCCGTGCTCGCCAATCGCCGTGCAGGTGTCCTGGTTCAGCATATCCTCCATCCCCAACAGGACTAACGCCTTCAATACACCCTTGGCCGCTGCGGGTGTCGACAGCCCCTTCATGACCGTCATCAGACAGTCTGTCTCGATATCCGAGTTGGAAAAGTCCAGATGCTCCAGCGTCAGCTTACAAGCCTCCGTCAGCCCCACGACCTCCTCCCTTAGCAAGTGCATTCCTCCGGGGGCGGAAAACTTGCTGAGCCTCTTGCAAGCCTTTCCGAGGGCAGTCAACCGGCAGTTCTGGAAATCGTGCGACTTGAGAACCAAGGCCTCCAAAGTCTCGCCATGGAGCTTGGTCAACATATCAATCGTCTTGATTAACTCGTGTCCTTGACTGATCTCCCGGTGGTTGTCGACGTGGACCAATTTGAGACCGTGTTGGGACGCTACAAGACACGCCAGGGCATGGTCGGTGACAGAGTAGGAGTGGGGGAAGTGCTGCCAATGGGTCGCAACCTTGAGAGACTCAATCCTGTGGCAATTGGTAGCCAGGGAGATGACCAGACTGTCAGAGACAAGCGCATATCGGAGGTCGAGGTAGACAAGACTGGTCGTTTGTTCCAGAGTCAATGGCCAGGTCGCAAGGAAGGGCTTGAAAGCAGATGAACTTGAACTTGAACTTGATGACGACGATGAGGTTGACCGACTGTGGAGTTCTGTAAAGTTGCTGGGATCGAATGGTTGTTGGAATCCATAGACCAATTGTGGCTCTCCGCTTGCTGTAGCGGCAGCTGCGGACTGAGTTGACGACGACGCCATAGAAACCAGTGACTGGTTGGCTTCATGTGAGTGTCCGGTGATTGTCATGTCCAGAACGTCGTCCATGAGAAAATCCTCATCCGCTTCCTCGATCGATCCAGTCGCCACAATAGCATCACCAAACTGGCTTGCTCCAACCCCACCCTCCTCCTCTTCCATATACTGGACGGTCGCCGTCACAAGAGGTGATCCGAATGGGTTGGGAACGTGTGGCAGAACCACTGGCGAGAAGAGCGTATGGGGGACTTCTGACACGACTGACTGTGAACTAGTGCCAGCATTCAAGATCTGCAAGAATGAACCTTGTACGCCCTGAGGGATGTCGGGGTTGTTGATTGATGGTTCCACAACGGAAGAATGCACAAGTTCAGGGTGAACCAAGGGCATGGCTGTAGCAATGGGTTGTTGTTGTTGGACTGGGAGCAATGGAGGTGTGGTCAGAAGACTGGCATCCAGCAACGGCAACAAGTCCTCGTTGGTTGCATCCTGCATCATGGCTTCCCAGTCGTCGCTGTCAGTGCTCGCTGTAAAAGCAGTGTTGATCGTCTCGGCAGGTTCGACCACAACCATAGTGCCATTGACATCGGTCTCGTAAGTCGGCAAGACAGTCCCCCCCTGCTCATTGACGCCTCCAACCTCGTCGCCATTATTCTCTGTAACTGTCGCGGTCATGTGAGCGAAAAGGCAACGTGGCAACCGAGGGGCATGACAGTGGACAAAGTCGCTCAAGTACGGTCTATGGGCGAGTAGATGTCGAATCAGATAATCCTTGGGCGCCTCATTCCTGGTCCACCTGAATCCGGTCAAGGTCTGGATATCAACTTCGGGAAGGTCAAAGGTATCGTGGACCCATTTAAGATTAATACTCCTAGCAAAGCTAGCGTAGGGGAGCGTCGTTCGGGAGGGATCCATGCATCCTTGGAACAGCGTCCTGAGCAAAAGCATCGACCCGGCCTTGTCCATGACCCGGCCCTCAGTCTCGAACTGGTATGTAAAGAGATAGGACCATGGGTGGCGGTAGAGCTCCTGAAGTGCGGGTGCTGTCCAAGTCCGTGTGGTAAGAGCGCAGTTAAGTAGGTCTTGGGGTTCTTGTGAGAGGTGCATAAAGATCTGGATGATGATGTCGAGCGGCAAGAGCTGGTTGTCCGCCTGACTGCGCTGATAATAGCGCAGAGGGGAAGCAGATGACACCGACGATGAGGATGAGGGTGAAGACGGAGACAACGCCATTGTCACTTTTGATGATAACTATATTGAGTGATTGCAAGTAGGGTAATGAAAGCGGTGAATACAACAGATTCCTCGGTGTGGGTGTCCTGTCTCCATTTTCCCCGTGTTCATGCAAAAGAAAAGCGAGACAGGCGACAGTTTGTTGTCTGTGCCCATTCTTTTTTGCCATACCTGGAGGGTCGTTTAGTTGTTCTTTCTCTTCCTTTAATGATGTATTCCCTGTCGTTAGCTCGAACACTTCGGCAGAGAGAGACAACAACAGGACGGTGGTGATGGTGATGATAATACAGCCACACGACGAAACTGGTGCGAGGGTAGGAAAGTAGTGGGTTCGTTGTCGATGAGGACACTAATTAGGAAAGGAAACACAAGGAACAGAGAGAGAGAGAGGATGAAAAGGGTCAGTGGATGAGGTGAAAAGGGAGAGGGATACGAACAAATGGTCATGATTGGTGTATGCAACTGTTGCTATTGTAGTTGTAACTGTTGTGCGCGGCTCATGACGCCAAAAGAATGTGTCAAGGCAAAGCAGGGGTGGGACGAAAGTGGAAGTGTAATAACGCCATGGTCGCTACAAATTCGTTCTACTCGGCACACACGCAAGAACAAAGTGGGTAGGGGCAATATGCCCACACGGGTCCTCAATAGTTATAATTATCTCTTTCGGTCCCACACTAACAGACCCGAAATGGGCGTCTGTCTCTGTCGAGCGGGATAGGGATCAAGGGGGTGGGGAGTGAGAAAACGAAAGAAACGAGTCCAACCGACAAGTACAGTAGTAGTAAAAGCGTACGCAGACAAGGGTGCTCATGTGCACTGCATACACAAGGTTGTATTAAAGCAGGGATGGGGGTAGATGAATGGAGTCAAGGCGAGGTCATATGAGCATGACCCCCCAATATAAGCCGAACCTTGCTTGGCTCTCATTTTGCTTGTCTGAGTGACCCGTACGGTACCGTACAATGTACATGTACACATACGGACAAGAATAAAAGACAAAAGAAAGACAGATAATACCACGGAAAGGGGTTGAAGAAAGGAGGAGTGCAGCATAGAAAGTAAAGACAGATGAGAACGAAACAAAGGGGGGCAGAAGAGAGGCAGCTTTGTTGACAGGAGGAGCAGCAGCACGTACACACGCGGGGATAGGGATGAAGATGGATGATAGAGCGAGAGAGGAGGAGAAGACGAAAGAAAGAAAGGCGTGAAGACAAGGTATAGGAATCTGGGACGCACAAACAAAGGAGTGATCGTTGATGATGATGATGATGACGACGATGATTTGCCTGCGTGTGATAACGATGGTTGCCGATAATGCGTGTGTGTCTATTAACTGGATGATGGTCTTCCGAAGGGGCTTCTCACCTTTTTTTGGTGTGTCCAAGGAAGGAAGGAAGGATGGGGACACAAAGACACAAAGACAAAGCCGTCCCTTGTCGTGTGTTAACAAAATGGGCGTTGCTTCTTCCTTCTGTCCTTTTTACCCGTGTGACAGTAGAGGGACACAAAGAAGGAAGAAAAAGAGGGGTACGGAAACAAAAGGAAGAGAGGGACTTGTCCGTCGGTCGGTCGGTCGGGTAGAAAAAGGATGAAAAACAAGGAGTCGGCTTCTTTTAGTCCTCCCTTTTTTTGCGTTGTGGAGAATAGTAGCTGTGAGAGTCGAGTAGGTAGAGAGAGGTGTGGGTCTGTGTACTTGTAGGCGCGGGTTTGTAGGGGGAGCCGGATGAGGGGCGGGGTCGGTGGTCAGGAGCGTATCATGAAGATGAAGGGTGACCGTCGTTGTTGAGGGCGGACAAGGAGGTTAAACGTTGCCGGGTCCAGCGTGGCTACAGTATAGTAAACGAGAAGCAGGAGAATGGAGTACTTGAACAAGTCAGAGCGAAAGAGTAGGGGCGAGAGTGAGAGTGGCGATGGTGGTAGAAGAAAAAGAGAGAGGGAATAACAGGAAAAGAGGGATTTGGGGAAGAGGCAGAGCGCAATGTCTATTTAAACATTTAAGCAAAATGGAAAAGGGGGGCACGACAAACACGAGAAAAGAGAGGAAGAGGAAGGGAGGCGACAGACGGGACAATGGGGTTGGCTGGGGAACTTTAGTATGACGGACGAAGATGACTCGGAAAGTCAATGTCACGGGATGGCAACGGATTCATAGGATGAAGGATGAAGGATGAATGATGAAACATACAAAAGAGCTTTGTCTCTTCATCCTACACCCTGCCTTCTTGGACAAGGCTGCACCATGCAACCCCAATCCATTTTTTTTTCTTTTTGTGACTGCAAACGCAAGGCTGCGCCAAATCTGACTTCGCCTAGTGTCTTGTAATGCATCCATCTTTTCGTTGCACTGACTGAACGTTGAGTTTCTAGCAAACGCTCACACCGCTATCTCTTCAACCCCGACCAACAAACACACACAGCAACATTCAAACTCATTTCGTCGTTTATGTCATTCACGGAATTGATAGGATTCATAGGTTTCTCTTTTAAAGTGTTTTTTTATAATATTAAACAGGTTTTGTGAAAGCTAAACTAGAAAAGTATATGCAAAAGAAAAGTAAGAAAAGAACAGCTACACTAGAAAAGAAGAAAAAGGGAAAAAAAAAGAAAAAGAAAAGATATTTCCAGTGGAGGGTGTGTGTGATGTTCCAGAGTCTCCTGAGATACCTTGACCTTGTCGCAATATAGTCGCCAAGTCGGATACAAACAACAATACACACATGCGTCCACGTCGAAAAAAAAATATAAAAAAAAAAGAAAAAAGAAAAAGAAAAAGAAAAAAGAAAAAAAAAAGTGAATTGCTGAAGATGTCGCCTGTGTGCTCCATTCAAGCCGCTGTTTCATTCTTCTTGTTCAGAGTCGTCTGCGATTGCGATTGCGAAGGCGATGTGGATCGCGATGGCGAAGGCGAAGGCGATGAGGATGATCGACCCGAACGTGCCTCGTCAGACGAACGGCACTCTGCGCACTAGAAGAACACACATAACAAACATGTTCAGCAACCAGAAATTGAAATGCAAACTATGATATGGAAAAGAATATGTACATTTTTGTTTGGAGTAGGGAGTGAGGAGAAAGTAGAACAAAAGAAAAGAAACGAAATAGAAAACCACTCTTCTTTTGTACCCCATCCAAAAAGAAGAAAAAAGAAAAGACTAGAAAATATGAAAGGAAAGAATGTGGTTATCACAATTGAATATAGCGTCATCCACAACTGCTTAGCTGACTTCTGCATTCGGCTGATATCGTCGTCGTAGTGGTCGTCGTCGTCTAATGTCTCTCAATGGGTGAGAATCATCCTTCCACAACAACATTCATCCGAAAAATGTGAGATGTGAAAGTGTTGGCTGGCTTGCATGTGTTCCTAAAGTTGCTGCTCAAAGGTAGCTGAGCAGGTTTGTGATGTTGATGATCGCTTTTTTTTTGTGTTTTTTTCTTTGATTGAAAAGTCTGGGAAAGGTGCCCAAGGGTTATATGGTCCAAGTAAAAGGGAAGGTGGAAACTTTCCAATCATTGGGGTGCCATAAGGTCAAGAAATAAAAAAAAGGCTAGCATGTACATTATCGCCTCCCTCTTCTTCAAATGTAATGCACACAACAGACAACAACCCTCTTTCATGTTTTTTTTATCTCGTCTCGTCTCCTCAAAAAAACAAAGAAAGGCAACATAGGGGTACTCCACAATCATGCAGCAACAAAACAAAATCACAAATGGCTCACTTGATCAGAATCCAGCTCCATGTCGGCCGCGGCCTCCGCAGCATTGCACTGCTCGTTGCGGGCCAAATGTCTCTTGAAGGCGTCCGATCGGGTACACTCGACGCCACAGGTACGGCATTGGAAGTTCTTGCCCTTGGTGTGCTTGCTGACGATGTGGCGCTCGAGGTCGTGACGACGAGCAAAGGACCACTTGCACTTGGAGCCGCTCTTGTCCTTGTGGGGGCAATCGAAGGGGCGGAAGCCCGAGTGGGTGTCGCGGTGGGAGCGCAGGTTGAAGGGGCGCGAGAAGGTCTTGCCGCACTCGGAGCACTTGTAGCGAGGCCTAGCGTTGGGGTCACCCATCTGCTCAGTGGGGATCACGCGAGAGGCCTCTTCCGAGGTGACACGGCGGCGACGAGTCTTCTTGGGGGGCTGAAAGCCGACCTTAGTGGGCGACTGGGTCACCTTTCTAGGAGCGACACGATAATTGGGCGCCTGCATATCTTGACCGAGGAGTTTGGCCTCCGAGAAGGTGGTAGGGCAAATGATCTCCTGTGGGGTGAAGGTGGTCAAGGCAGGCGAGACGGTGTCAGAGAGGACAGGCGAGAAGGCGCCAAAGGTAGGCTCGACGGGGGATTCCTTGATTGTAGGCAGGGCAGACAGGACAGGCATGGCTGTGGTTGCGGGGTGAGACTCCATGAGGAGTTGCTCGAGCTTGGCCGATTCATCCTTATAGGTAGGGAAGAGCTCGAAATCCTGTTGGGCAGCCCAAACGGCCTCGTGCGAGAAGCTGACATTATCAAAGTCGGCGTCGAAAGAGTTCAGGGCAGCGAGGGGATCCTCGATGGGCGAGTGCCATTCGATGGAGGGGCTGGCTGCGTCGCCAAAGCTGCCGAGGGGATCATACGTGTAGGGTGATCCGATAGAGTCGACAGCAGGAGAGTAGTTGCTCATCTCGGGAGAAAGCTCCGGAGTGAGGTCAAGACCAGTGAGGTCGTTGGTGTCGGCGGAAAGTTGGTCCCAGTAGAACTGGGAGACAGAGTCGTCGTTGTTGTTATTGCTCATGTCGGTGTTGAAGTAGACGGTAGGGAAGGTGGTGGCGCTGTTGTCGTTGTTGTTGTTTTTGCTGCTTTTGCTGGCGTCGAAGCTACCATTGCTTGCGCCGTTGTTGTTGTTGTTGTTGGCGATGATGACGACAGAGGAGGAGGAGGTCTCCTTGGTGTTGGTGGTGGTGGCGAACATGTCGCTGGAGGATGAGGTTGAGATGAAGGAAGAGAAGTCCATGGCGATGAGGTTGGGTTGGAGTGGATAGAGTAAGATAAAAGGTTAAAGGACTGGTTGTTGGAAATAAGAGTATTGCCAGGAACAAAAGAAAGGTCGACGTCACCTACTTCTTTAGAGGTTAAGGGTGGGCTTGGAGGAGGCGGAGGCAAAGCAATAACGAAAGAAAGAGTATGGACGAGGAGTGTAGTATGGTCACACACTAGACAGACAAGCAGACGGCAGGGAGGCAAGCGCTCGAACGAGGACGGCAAAAGGAAGGTGGTCTGGTCAACAACAACCAGAGGACCTTGTCAGCAAGACAGACAGACAGACGGACAGTAACACCACTTGGGAAGGGTGTTCAAAGTGCTTCAGAAGCGAGGTGTATGGTGGTGCCGAGAATGATGTGTGTTGTGTTGCAAAAGAATGCAAGTATGCTTAGTGAAAAGAAGGTTGATCGTCGAATTGGGTAGGTAGATCAAAGGTTTGTCTTATACGTAGGTGACAAGTACGAGTAAGTAAAAGCAGAGGGAGGGGAAGTAAGAGAGGGAGGGAAAGTAGGAGAGTGTGAGTGCGAGTGTGAGTGAGAGTGGAGTATGAAAAGAGAAGGAAAAGAAGAAAAGAAGCAAAAAATCATTCGGGGGGAATGGCCGGTTTAAATACTCTCCCCTTCCCAGCCAGGCACTCGCCTTTCTTTTTTTCATCTTCTTCCTTCTCGTATAATTCTGGATCCACTTCATAATACTTTTTGTCGCCACTCCTCCCACTCTCACACTCGCCTCGCCACCATTGCATTGTCCTCTTTTTGCCTCAATTGCTTCATCAACACTTACTCTTCATCCTTGCTGCCACCATCGCTACTCCCTTCCTTCACCTCATCCTGTCATCTTCAAGTCCTATCAACGTTTAGAAATAACCCACCGACCCATAATATCTCTAAAGACCGGTTTTCCGACTCCAAGAAAATAAAACTCAATTGCGAACCAAAAAGGGGAGGAAGAAGGCCTTGGCAAGATTTTTTTCAGCTCCAGCCCTAAACGCTGCGGATTTTTCCAAGACACACACACAAACGCCGTCGACACACAATTTGAGAGCACACTTCTGGTCTTTGTCTTCCCTTCCAATGAGAGGAAATAAAGTAAACAAATAAGACCAAAAAGGGGGAAGAGCACTTCGCAGTTCGCACAAGAGTAGAGAGAGTTGGAGAGGAGAGGGCATCCGTCGGCAGTGCAAAAAAAATAAAATCTTTTGGCACACCACACACGCACACACACGCACACACACGCACAACACACAATCTTCACACAACATATGACATACACCATTGAAAAAGCATGATCGAGTTCCCCCCCTCCTCCTCGTTATCGCTATCTACCAGCTACACATTTTCTGCCTGACCTTCCTTCCTCTTTCTCTTTCGACGTTCCTGTAGCATGAATGGGTTTTTCTTGTTTGTTCAGCGACTAGAAAAAGAGGCATCAAAATCGGTTGACTTTTAGTCCCTCCGCTCCGTAATAAGAGAGCGTGTGTGTTGCAGGAATGCAAGTTTTTGATTTGTCAGAGATCAAACATATTTTAAGGCAGGCGTTGCAGTTAGGCACGGAGCCCAAACAGACAGATGGAGGGGGAGTGTTCAAACAGACTTGGACAGACCGACAATCAGAAAAGGGGGGAAGGGGAGGGATGCGCCATATGTATCTGTCTCAATTGCATTGCAGGTGAAATAACCAATTGCTCTGTGAGGCTGAGCACATAATTCGTCGAAAGACGTTCTTAACAAAAAACACACTTATGCACAAACGAAAAGGAGGGATATCAGCAGTGATCAAAGACAAACAAGGTTGTTCCACGTTTTTTTTCTTATTGATCGGAAGAACACGAAGGATAAGAAGATTACGAAGGATGGGGATATCGTGGATGATGATCAATTGGAAACTAGCAGAGGCCATCGAAATGAACATATGTTCCATTGTACATTTATTTCAGATAGAGAGATGCAAATGGACAAAAAAAAACGTAGCCGGGGCGGCATACAGTAGTGGCACTGAAGAACTCTATTTACTCCATGTTGGCTTTACGCTGCTGCCGAGACCGGAAGACATCATACTCTGGTGGCCGATTCACTCCTGGCATATGTCCCCGGAAATCCCCTCCACCTCCACCGCCACTTCCTCCTCCCATCTCATCATCATACTCCCGTCCTTTCCTCTTCATACCACCACGACCACTTGGCCCTGCCGAAGATGGCCCACCACGAGGCCGGAATCCACCACGGTCACCTCCTCCTCCTCCACCACGCATCATGCCACGGGGGTCGTTACCTCTTGGATGAGGGTCACTCCGATCGCGGAGATCACGATCCCTAGGGTCGCCTCGAGGATCTCTGGGATCGCCTCCTCTCTCCCTTGGATCACGTGGGTCACGGTTATCCCTTCCTCCACCATAATCAAACTCTCGAGGGTCCCGTCCATCCCCACCACGGGGATCACGGTGTTCACCCATATCTCGACCTCGTCCATCCCGATCCATACCGCCAGAGGGACCAGTAGGAACAGGCACCGGTGGTGGCACAACCATACTTTGCCCAACAGGGATCTGTGCTGCCCGAATCAAGTCCATGATATCTTGCGTTTGCAAGATAGGCCCATTGAATCCTGCAGCTGGAGGCAAGTTTGACAAAAAGAACGCCACAGCGTCTGGAATCAACCCATGAGGTCCTAACGTCCAACCAGGGACAACCAAAGGTCCTTGCTGTTGCTGTTGCTGCTGTTGCTGATGCTGTGGAATAGGCTGAGGCGGTGGGATCTGAGAAGAGGAACCCATAGCCTGAGGAGGCATGGGTGGAGGGATATGAGGAGGCATTGGCGGCTTGGGCGCGAATCCTGGTCCTGGTCCTGGAGAACCTCTTCTGTCGCCATCATGACCATCATGGTCTCGGTCACGATCACCTCCGTGAGGATGTGGAACTGTATCCATATCACCTGGTCGCGAATCCCTGGCTGAGGTTGGTGGTTTACGGATCATATCGGGGTAAACACGGTAGCTGTTCCACATAGCGAAATCAGGTCGTGGGTACAAGTCTACATGCACGGGTTCCATCAGGGGTCGTCGACCAGGGCGAGCAGCATTGTCCAAATCAACAGCCGGTGGTGGTGGGAAATCACTTGAAAAGTCTGACAATGCCGGCACATGAATGTTCTTGCGGACTATTTCCGTGCAACAAAAATAAAACCAACTCACTCATTAGCATATGTGAAAAAGAACAGTGCTACAGCAAATAACAATAATAAAAATGGCAGGAAACTTACTGCTGGCGCCCATGTCCATCTCTTCGATGACTTTGAGCTCGTTGTAGCTGTACCGGGATGCGAAGCAACTGATGACAGAATCGTCAGGGTAGACCTCCCGACGACGCTTTTCGACCTTGTTGATCGCGGCCAAATCGCCATACTTGTTCTCGTACTCTGAAAACTTTTCCCAGAGAGGACGAGCCTTCTCCGGCGACATGTTGATGAGAGCTCGCTCAAACAGGGCTCTGGCGTTGCTGTCATCGTTCAGCTGAATCAAAAACTCGAGGTACTGGTCCACATAGGCAGTCTCATCTGCAAACGACTTGTACCCGACCTCAAAGACCTTTCCTGCAATAGTGGTGTCCTTGGTGCAGTGATACTCCAGCAATGCCGCCGCAATGTAGACCTGGTAGGGGCAGGCGTTCGAGCGACGAGCGCGACCAAAGACGTGCCTCCACTGAGAAGTGCCCTCAGTACGACGGATAAACTGCATAAACATGATCCAGGCAAGACCGCAGCCCTTGATCATCTCCTCGACTTCCTTCCTGGCCAGTTTCTCATACTGTTGCAACTCCTTGGTCCGCTTCTTAAGTTCTTCACGCTCGCGCTCACGCATCTCTCCATCAACCTCCTCGATATCGCGCACTTTCTTGTTCGAACCCGCTCCACTGCCATCAAGAAGCTGCTGCTCCGCCAATAGAGCCGCCTTTGCAGCTTGGACTTCCTGATCGACCTTGGTGTTCATGTCGTCGATTTTCTCTGTCAGGTTCTTGACCAACGCCTCATACGAAGCTCGGCTCTCCTTGAAGTTCTTGCGTGTCTCCTCCATCTCGGCATAGGCGAAATGAAGCAAGAAACTTGTTGGCATGATCTCGCATCCGTTCTTCAACATCGCCACCGCCTCATCCGCACGACCAATCTCGTTGAAATAGTTGGCTGCCTCGAACCAAATCTCGGGGTAAAACCGCATCGACAACAACGCCTGCTTATACGTCCAGGCAACACGGGCCGACAAAGCCGACGGGTCCTCAAAGTTGAGAGGGTTCGATTGCTCCCAACGAATATAGCGCTTCCATTGCTCCAGCTGATGCAATTCCCGCTCGGTCCACTTGACAGGTCGAGGGAGCAAGTTCCTGTTAATCCCGTCCGTCAACTTGCGCAGCTCCTTCCACATCATACGGGCCGTCATATATCCTGCTGAACGCTCCTGCAAGAACTTTTTCGCCGTCAACTTGTTGAGTCCATTCTCGAACGTGTCGTAGTCTCTCCAGATGTTCTCGACGTTGTTGAGAGGAATACATACAGCCTTCTGGAAGACACGGCGCATCGCATCCATCTTTTGCTGCTCCTCCCAAGTGTTTTGAGCCTACATTGTAAAAACAAATGATGTGGTTGAGACATGTCAGACATCATTCTTTTTGACCCCATATCACTTTCATGATTGACATGGCATGTTCGTGTTTCTTCTCTTGCAAGGGGTAACTTACCTGGCCAGACTTCAAGAAGAACAAATAGTCGCTCCAGATGGGTCCCGAGTCCCGGTCGAGTCCAACGTGCTGCAGCACGAAATCATACGACTTTGTGATAATGTCCTTGGATTCGGGGCCAGTGTTGATACGACGAATATAATTCAGATAGTACTTCCAGAGATCTACAGACAGGACGGAACGGAGACAGCGCTGAAAGATGGACTCTACCTCGGTAAAATGATGATGCTTGAGTTCAAACTCGGCGTACTGGATCCAATACCTAGACTGTTGGTAGGTGTGTGTATGTATGTGTCGACGGGCAGAGATGGGTGCGGATAAAATAATAAAAGGTGGTGGCGATTTGGTGATGGTGTGGATGTAGATAGGAAGGAAGTCGAATGGCGGGAGGAGATATAAAAAAAAGGGCCATCCCGTTCATGCATAAGAAGAGAGTAATGCCATGTAGTGATCGCGAACATTTATTGAGATCGGGCAAAAGGAGAGTCAACATTGAATATTTGTCCATGAAACAAAAGAGGCCGATATTCAAGCACGATATGAATGACCGTTGTCACATAAACACAAGAAGCGAAAAATACATAGGTAGGTGGAAAGAGTGAAGAGAAAATCATGGTGCCAACAAGGTCGAAAGAGATGGAAGGAAACAAGAAGGGAACAAGAAGAAACGGAATGGTTACTGAATTGCTCTTTGAACAGCTCTTGCATACTGTACCAATTTTCCGTAAACACCGGGTCATGTATATATTAACATCCAGCGATATCAACAGAGAGTTCAACAGCGTCGGTTGTCGCCAGTGGTTCGTCCTGAGGGCTTCACAGGACCACAACCACCGCCAATGTTGCAGTCCATTGCACTCAAATCTTTCATAACATTATGGATCATCCACATGGAACCATCTCAATATGAATAGGCACAATGGTGGGTTTTGTTTTTTTTTGGAATTGTATATTGTGGTATTTCTTGTTGTGAAAGTCGAATACGGGACGAGGCATTAACACAATATAATTAAAACAAAGAGGATGACTTACCGAGGAAGGAAACACTTTCAAGAACCTCTCATAGACATCTCTCACACGAGCAACCTCGCCTTCCTTCTCAGCATCGTTCAACAGCGTCAACCAAGCGTCGGCATCAAAGGGGTCTTCGACAATCCGTTGCTCCAAAGCACTCGCACCAGCTGGTACGACATCTGACTTCCCGGCGGCTGGGGTGCTGCTGCTGTCGACAGAGTTTGCTCGCGAGGCTTGGTTGGAGTCCTCGAGGGTAGCAGGAGACTTGATTTCGCTGCTGCTGTTAGTAGCGAGCGGAGAATCCATTGTTGTTTGTTGTCTTTGTTGTTGTCTTTAGTAGTTGTCTTTCGTAGTTGTCTTTCGTAGTTGTCTTTCGTAGTTGTTGGCGCAAGGGTTAAGAAATTAAGAGGGTGGGTGATGGGGGAGAGAGAAGGAGGCGGATCCACAGCAGATGTCGTGGAGCAGGATCAAAGTGTTGTGCGAAGAACCACAACCTTCCTTGCCTCTCTTTGTTCATTTCAACAAACTACGATACACCACTTTCTATTACGTCATCATCCTAAAAGACGCCACCAAAATATTAAACGAGCTCAAAGTAGCGTTTTGTCTCCCAAGAAGTCACAGCGGTCTCCCAGAGTCGGTTCTCGTTCAACCGCGTAGCTCCATAGTGCTCCACAAACTCGTCCCCCAATACCTCCCGCGCAATCGACCCCTTCTCCAACATCTTCATCGCAGACTCCTTCAACGATTTTGGCAGTCTCTCCCCCCCAGTCGGTCCTTCTCCAGTCTCAACAGTTGTTGGTCCAACTGGCATCTCCAGCCTCTTCTTGATCCCATACAACCCAGCCGCGAGACATGCCGCAATCGCCAAGTGTGGGTTAATATCCGCACCACCGACCCTCATCTCCAACCGAGTTCCCTTGGGCTCACACTGTGGTGGTCCAATGACTCGTATCGCCGATACTCTCGATTCGATCCCCCAGGAGATCGTCACGGGTGCCCAGTAGTTCTCGACCAGTCGCTTGTACGAGTTGATGTTGGGGGCTAGGATACACATGATGCTCGGAAGTGCTGTCAACAGTCCAGCAGTAAAGTACTTCATCATTTGACTCATCTCCTGCACACCCTCCACCGAAGTCTCCCAGTTAGGTCGGTTCAGTGCCGTATCCAGAGATGCTCTTGTTGCCTCGGTGGATTCTTCAGCGTCAGATGTAGGACTGTGGAGCTGCTGTCCAAAGGGGGTCGAACTGCCAGGACCTGACGCTGATGCAGTGGATGCTGCAAAGAGGTTGGTCTTTGTGTTGATGTCGCGAATTGAAAAGTGCAGGTGTCCTGAACAGCCTGGCTGGTCCGCATAGGGCTTTGCCATGAAGGTCGGCATGATCCCTCGTTGGAGCCCCAGCTGCTTGACCGATAGCTTAAACAGATTGGCCATGTCTGCCATCTTTGTCGCATTGTCGTACGCCAGCGCCGCTTCATAAACTCCTGGGCCTAGCAATGCAATTCCAATTGAATGCAAAGAGTCGGCGTTGATGTTAGCTACTGCATATACCACATAGCAAAAATCGATAGAGATCAAATAAGGGGGTTGCATAGTTTTACCTGTTTCGGTGTGGAAGCTTTCAATGTTGACATCAAAGTTGTTGCATTGGTCAAAGATATCGTAAAAGTAATCCTGATACAGTGAAGGTCGCAAGAGAGAATATCCAAACATTCCTGGAGTCAATGCTTGAGGGCTCGTGTGTCCCTTCTCTGCCAATGTTTCCGGTGTTTCTAATACGTGCAGGAGAGACGGCGTGGAATTGAGAAAGAGCAGAAAAAGGAGGATGTGGTAAGTCGACCATTTCATTTCAGGAGATAGAGAAAATTCCTCATCCGTCCTTGGACAACTTTTTTTTCACACGCAGACATCCCATCATCCCACCCCTGTCACAGGACGAACATAACACTCACACGCCTACACAGTGATGAGAAAGGGAGAGAGAGTTTTACCTTTGAAGTTGAAGAACTCAAGCTCGGCTCCACACATGGCCTCCCATCCAAAGGACGCCAACTCATCCGTGACCTTCTTCAACACCCCGCGTGGACAGACTGCCAATGGAGCTCTTGTCTTGGGATCGTAGAATGATAGTAAGAAGAATGGGATGTCGTTCTCCCATGGAATCCTTCTGAACGTCGACAAGTCCGGAATCGCAATGATATCCCTGTAGCCTACATAGAATATACATAACCCGTTGTGTTGGTATCATTAAAAGTAGCGAATGTACCAACATACCTTCTACATGTAAAAAAGCGAAAAGCACAAGTTACCATTGGCGGCATTGGAGACACTCAACTCCTCAGCATAGGTCTTGTCATGCATGTCCCATCCAAAGATGACCGAACAGAACCCGAACCCCGACTGAAGGACGGACAAAAACTTTGTCTTTGTCATGATCTTTCCACGAAGGATCCCGTCGAGATCTATCCCTGCGACCTTGATACGGACATCTTTCTCGAGGAGCGCCTTGAATTCTTCGATGGTTGCATGGGGGATTGTTGTTGGAGGGGGTTGGGGAGGAGTGGTGCTGATGGTTGGTGGTGGTTGTGTGTTTGAGGAGTGGGATGTGTTCATTATTGTTGTTGTTTATGCTCTTCTTTGGTTGGCGATAACTGGTTCTCGAGTGATACTGACAATGAGAAAGAAAGAAGAGAAAAGGGAAAAAGGAAAGGAGTAGCAGAAGAAGAACAAGAGAATGGAAAGAGAAAAGGTGTTAGAGGGGAGTCAGCAAAGGACAAGAAACAAAGTCATGGAAGAGCACTGATACCACTGCAAAAGTCAAAAAGATCCTCCTGACCAACCAACAAACACTTGATTAGACCCTGCATCCTCAGTGGTCATGTTCCCTTTGTTCGTCCTTCAGGCTCATGCATGAATGCAAGCATCATCTCTTATTTTTCTCATAGAGCATGAACGTGCATGCCATGAGTACAGAAACAATTATTATTTTATTAAAGGTAAAAAACGTGTCGCATATTTACAAGACGAGCGATCAGAGAATTAGAAAAGAGATTTGTACAAGCATGACCACACTAATTGTTGGCAGTGTTGTACCCAGTCGTAGTCGTTGTGTTGTACGAGGTCGAAGGGTGAACAGCGCTCGAACCAGTGTTATAAGTAGTCGGAGTGTTGCTGTCGTGCCCTCGGTTCGCGGGGACAGGCTGAGTATTGGTGGTGTATGAGGTAGAGTTGTTGGCGGGGTCATTGTTGTTGTTGTTGTAGGTCTGGTGGGTACCGGACTTGACGACGACGGGCTCAACCTTCTCTGAGATAACGGTGCGGGTAGGGCCACGGTTTTGGTTCTCGAGGTTCGAGTGGGTGTTGTAGGTAGTAGTATGATCGCTGCGCTTTCTTCTCCAGCACCAGGCCAAAAGACCGGCAAGGGCCAAGGCGGCCAAGCATCCGATGACAATACCGGCAATGGCGCCTCCAGACAACTCATGTCCTTGCGACTGGACGGGGACGGGGGTCTCGGTGGGGCTCTCTATAGGGGCGGCCGATCGGGACGAGCCGTTGCCGCTAGTCGACGTGGCACGGACGTTGCCACCGGGACTAAAGATTTGGGTGCCTTGGCCGGGTTTGTACTGGCTGGAGCTACCGAAGGGGTTGCTCAAGGTCGAGAGACCGCAACGTTTAAGAAGACCCTCGACGTTGACGGAGTGCTGCGTTGTCCATGTGTCAAAAAAGAAAGGAAGGTGGAGGTGAGAGTGAGTCCGAGACAAAAGGGTGTCAATTCGTAGGGCAAAAAAGGGGGAGGTTCACTCACCTCATAGAACATGTTGGGACTGCGAAGGCACTGGCAGGCAGAGTAGTTATCGATGTACGCTTGGTTGCACTGCTTGGCATTGCAGACATCCTTGTTGACATTGGGGTTGCTGCACACCACTATCGGATAGGATGGGACACGATGGTCGAGGGGATATAAGAAGTACGTGTTAGCATATGTTCGATTGAGACGGACCGGTTAACAAGAATCAGATAGGAATCAACTAATGGGGAGGCAGCATTGATTACATGGGGTGACAGTGATCTGACGGCAAGAAGAGTTGATAGAAGCAGTGTCGGGGCATTGGTAGGCGGAGACTGACGAGGCAGCGATAACAGCCGCGAGGATTATGGTGACCTTCATCTTTTCTTTGTTGGTGTGATGATGTTGTGGTAGGAGATATTAGTTGGTCGGTTGGAGATTAGTTTACGAGGGAAACGGGAAGAAGAAATGGAGGGTAAAGGTGAGAGAGCAGAAAGGATTGAAGGAAGGCGAAGAAGAAGGTGAGAAAGCGGAAGGGATTGCAGGAGGGACGGTGGACTTTTAAGTACTGCATCATTTCGTACACCCAAGACCTAAAGATTGGCCAGCATCGTTTGCATCAAGAACATTTTTTTTTCTTTATCGAAATGTATGATGTATGTCTTACTACGATGTAGGACTCTGTTGTCTGTCCAATCACAGCGCACATATATATACCTTCGAGCGCGTTCAATCAGGACGCGCCTTTTGGCTCTTCATAATGCTGTGGCTTTCTTACTCAAGAGTCAAATAAAGACACTCAGTGTCATCATGAAAAGAAAAAATGCTCTTGCTGTTGCTGTCTGTCATATCATTAACTTTTAATCTTTCATGACAGACAAATGGGTTTGGCTGATGAGAATGACGTAGATCTTTTTCTGATAATGAAAATCCCCATGATGGTATCCACCCCGCGGTCTATCGCATTTGCGGTTCATCGTAGAAAGAGCTTTTACTGAACACCTTGTTTATCCGAGTTCGTCGGATTCAGGTAGTTCGGGTGACAAGGAAAGCCTTGGCTTGTGATGGGGATGAGACCAACAAGGTAAATGTTCCACACGCAGCTCGTCTATTTCTTACCTTTGCAAAAACGATTCAACAAGAATCAAAGAAAAGGGTGCAAGAGAAGGGAGTGAATTTATTGCACAAAGAAATGCTTTGAAAAAGGCTAAGAGACATTGCTCCATTTCTTGCCAGAGGTCACCACAAGTTTCCGGAAGGCGTCATCCCGCTTGACGACGTTGTGGAAGGTGGTAACTCGGCCACTGATATCCGTCACGTCAATGCCCGGCATCGACCAGATTCCCAGATTCATCGACTTGGACTATTTGTCATAGGAAGAGGAACACAAACCGAGGTTAACAAAAAACCACTGTCACAATTATCTTAACCATCGCGCGTATACCAACGTTGTCTGTTTACCTTCTTGATGGAGTCAATGTTTTCCCATTTGATGAGGGTCTCGACATCATGCCCCAGCAGCTTGGCAGAGCGAAATTGGAGCGCCTCTTCCAAGATCACCAGCTTTCCGGGTTTGCCTCGGAGCAGACAATGGAATTCTATAGGCGCAAGGGATATGAGTGCTGACTGTTAGTCCGACTACTGTGCCCAAAGCCAACATTTGCGCCACCAAATTCATCAGAGATAACATACCATTCTTGTCATGCAAGGACATATTGTCCATCTCCATGATAGATCCTGAGCCACTAGAGTCCGATCTCTTCCTTGCCCGCTTCTGGTACTCGTACTTGATCTTGGATGCCGGAGAGAGACCAGACATGAAGGACGCAGAATCGTGGACCTCCTCCTCTCCATGTGTCAATGACTCGACAGTGCCTCCAATGCTCGGCTCCGCTTCCTCCAGGGTGCGCCGCCTTTCGTCTTCTTGACGCGTCAACATCTCAACAGCAAGCTCCGCATTCGTAGGGACACCCCAGAGAATCCATTCCACTGGAGAAAAGACATGACTGAATCGAGGGTAATATTTCTGCATTGGCAGCAACACAAAGAACTCGAGGCCGATGGAAAAACCTAGTACATCCAACAGGCAACGTTAGGAGCGAACAGAAAAGTCGGGGAGAGCCATTGCAACTACCTAGAAAAACATGAAAGTCGACTTACCGATGGCTGGGACAATCACGAAAGGGAAGAAGGCGGTCATGAAAATGTAATACGCCAACAGACCAAGGACCCGCCAAGTCTGCTGAGGACGTTCCCAACGAAACAGGCTACAATAAATGATATGGAAGGGTTAGCATCGGGCAAAACAAACGGGTATAAGGGATTCACGGCGACCTTCTCAAAGGGTCATCTCCTTGACTTACTTTTTGACCCTCTCCAAGTAGCAAATGTTTTCCTCAAGGAGTGCTTGGCAAAAGGGTCCCCAGATCCTTGTCATCTGTGAGATCCAGTCCGTCAAGTCTTTGGAATGAATCAGCTCACGCAATTGAGAGTGCATTTTGGTGCTTCTCCGCATTGGCTCCTTTCCATTCGATACGGTTGCCAGTGGGTCTGGTACATTGAGTGCCTTCTTAAAGTCCCCGAGAAATCCAAAGCGATTGTTGAGGATCTTGAGGGCGAACAAGAAAATGAGTCCTGGGAGCCACAGCTGATATGCCCAGAGTGTAAAGTAAACCTATTGGCACCATCAAACAAACAACGATGTCAAAGGGTAACTCTTTACTTGCTACGCAGTTTTAAACGTAAATGCAAGGCAATGCTTCAAGCAGTAAAATGCTGCGACCAAACTTACGGTGAACCATGCAAACGTCTCAGGTGGGTTCCTCCAGTACAAGATCCGGTCGACATAGAGGCCAAGTGACTGGACGGGGCTAGAGGTGTCGTAGAGTCGACTGAGGAGGGCCCTTATCCGGGACCACTGGAGTGGCTCAACCTTTGTCTTGACCTTGTCGTCACGAGCCAGCGATTCCACAAAGTACATAAGATGCTATTCAGGGACAATATCATGCAGGTGAACAAATTAACATGTGCACAGGGCATTGAAATGGGCGGGAAATATGTGGAGGGGGAAACGGACAAAAGATTTTCATGTAAGCGCCCATTCTAAATGCTCATGTGGTCATACAAATCCAAAACAATAGCAGAAAAAACCTCGATCGTGTCCGAAAGGCACTTACAGCTTGAACATAAAGACCGACATCGAGCACACGCTTCCCAGACTCAGCCTCGACTCTGGTAAAATCATCCCGATCGGGCGGCGGACCCTTCGTCGCCACAGTCCTCCTTCGGCGGATCTCTTGGACGTGTCGGTCAAATTGGAAGGAGACCTCCTGCTGACTTAACGTGGTCGGGGTATTATGGGAGCTTGTCGAAGTCGAGCGGGGACTGAGAGGTCGTTCGGGGTAGGCGCCTTGCGCGGGTGTGACCCCGTTGCTCCATGCGGTTGTGACAGCTGGAGTCTGGTGTAATGCGAAAAAGAGAGAAATTGTGCGTTTTGATGTTTGTAAAGAAGGCGTAAGGGAGCGAAACGATACGATATGTCGCTGATACAAACGACGAAAATAAATGAAGAAAAAAAGAGCTCGGAACCGAAGTTCTTCCGTCTTTTTGTATACTATGTCCCTTCCTGGCGGCTGCCTGGAGAAGGTTGATCTCCTGCTATACACATTTAATTGGACTTACAACGACAATGGGTGGTTGGACTCGTGTTGGTAGAGGCGGTGGAATGGTCGAAGACGAGTCGAGAATTGTTGGTGCGAGGTAAGTGTCGTGGATAGAGGCTTGGTGGGGTGCTCTCCCTGGGGTGAGGTTGTAGGGTTCTGTCTCGGACGCGGTAGCAACCGAGTGTGAGCGTCGCTTTGGCAGTGGCGGAGGATTCATGATGTGCATGCCGTCGCTTTCGGTCATGGCGGGAAAGTGTAAAAGAAAAAAAAAAGTGAGAGGTGAATGAGAGTGTGTAGAAAAGAAATAAACGAAAGTGAGTTGCCAAGGAGCGAGGGAGAGTAGTTGGGCTGAAGACCGCTGAAAGGTCAACTGCCATACGTGAACTGATATGACACGTAAATATGAGAGCGATTTGTGACTGATAAAAAGGTAATATCCACGTGACCAGTGTTTATGTTTTTTGCAAGCAACAAAAAAAAAGAAAAAAGTGCCTCCCAAGAGCCGTTTGCAAGGGCAAGTCTCTCTCCTTTCTCCTTGACTTCTTTGGCCTCACTCTCCAAATAACGTCGTTCTACCCATCTTCTTGTTCTTCTTCTTCTTCTTTGTCCGTCCTCCTCCTCCTCTTCACAACACCAACGCCATGGAGGTCCACAGATGTCGATTCGTCGACTACGTCCCTTCCGCCGCCAATGCACTCGCATTCGCCCCCAACACCACCCGCCCAATCCTCGCCTGCGGACGGGCTAACGGAGATATCGAGCTCTGGAACCCAAAGCACGACTGGACCTTGGAAAAGGTAAAACACCACTCTCGACTCTTTTATATCACCCGTCGACAACAACAGCGATAGCAATCAGGATCGATACCAATTCAACATACAACTAACTGTGACCACCATCCCTCTGCTTGCAACAGGTCATCCCAGGAGGAAAGAACACGTCGGTCGAAGCTATTGCCTGGGCACATCAGACAGTTTTGACTGAGGACGAGGACTTCTGGGACTCTGAGAAGGAAAAGCAGGCTGCCATCAAGAAGCTCACCAAGACCCCTCCAAGACTGTTCTCTGCTGGATTGAACGCCGTCGTGACAGAATGGGATCTGACCTCCTTGAAGCCCAAGGTATGTTCCACTCACACAGTCTATGGCGGATCAGAGCAATGTCCTGTCAGCAGATTCACAGGTACATGAATGGAATGCTAATGTGCAGCCTTCTCTGTCTCTAATAGCGCTCGGTCGACTCTCACGGAGGAGCTGTCTGGTGCATGGCCACCAACAACGCCAACACTGTCCTGGCTGTCGGATGTGAAGACGGCTGCGTTAGACTTTTTGATATCGCCGACGGCGAGTTTGCCTTCATTCGCTCTTTTGACAAGCAGAGGAGTATGTCTCTTGACTTTTTTGCTATTGCGCTAGGACATTATTCCTCAGAGTCAGAAAGGAACCTACATTGCGACAGGTGCTAACAGTATTCCACCTGATCACCCTCTTCATTAGCGAGAATTCTGTCGTTGGCTTGGTCGCAGGATGATAAGATTATGGTGACAGGATCCGCCAACAGCAGCATATACAAGTGGGATGTTGAGCAAGGTCGGGTTGCCACTCGCATGACCGTGGAACGTGTTCCTGGCGAGGATACCCTTGTCTGGTCAGTCAAGATTCTCTCCACCGGCGATATTGTCAGTGGTGATTCTCTTGGTCACGTCAAGATCTGGGATGGCACTACTACAACCATGATCCAATCCTTCAACTCGCACGGTGCTGATGTTCTCTGCCTTGCCGTTGGACGTGTAAGTTGATTCGACGAAACTTTGGGAAGTTACGAATTTGATCAGTGCAGCATGGTTTCTTGACAGAGTTCCTGACACGTCTTCCTTGCTTTGACCTTCAATAGGATGGCACCACTGTTTTCTCGTCGGGTGTCGACCGCAAATGCAACCAATACCGCCTAGTGGATCAACCTGCGCCAAAGAAGACTGGAAAGAACGGAACGACCCATGGAAAGACCGAGATGGTCAACAAGTGGGTTTTGTCCGCCACTAGACGATTCCACTCGCACGATGTGCGCGCAATGGCAATGGACGAGAGCAGGAATGTCGATGCCTTGGTTACAGGAGGTGTCGACGTTTCTTTAGTTGTCTGCAGCGCCTCCCAATTCACCGATATCAACCAGCGCCGTATCTCATATGTCCCTCAAAGACCCGTCATCTCTATGAGCAAATCGACTCGCCTTATGCTCTGTCGACAGGCCAATGGCATCAAGGTCTGGCGCCTTGGAAAGTGTAAGTGAACGCTTGTCTCAGGAAACGAAGTTGCTGAACTGGACCTTCATATGCATGAAGACCTTATCTAACAGCCTTCTTCTTGGCCTCTTATTGATACATTAGCCGCATCGCCAATTCAGCCCTTCTCGGACTTTGAGATTGGAGCACATATGGATCTGATTGAACCACAGCAGGCTGTTTTGGAGATGAACTTCAGGGACGACCGCAACCTTACCTCCAGCGCAATGTCTGAGGATGGCCACTGGATCGCTGTTGCAGATATTGAAGAAGTCAAGTTGTTCCGTATCGATGAAAACGTAAGTAACAACTGTATTTTCATTTTCGTACGTTGCATCTACGCCGTGGTAGTTGCACTGCAGTAACCTAGATACTAACAGCATACACTCTTTCTTCAATTTGCAGCCCTCCCTTCCTGGTCAGTTGATTGTCAAGAAGCAAAAGTCATTCCCAGGCGTCCGTGGAACTGGAGCTCACTTCCTCGCCTTCACCCCTGATAACTCTCGCCTTGTGGTTGCCTCGACTGATTCGACTGTGGTTATCGTGGGTATTTCTCAGTGGGAGTCTAAAAAGTTCGATGTCCTTGCCAAGTTTTCTCAGCACAGAGGAGTTGGTGGCAAGGTTGCCGGATCCATGGATGTGGATGGTGAGGAGCAGGAAGTTTCTGGGGGAGATGGCCATGTTGAGACGATCATCTCCATGGCTGTGTCGGCCGACGGTCAGTGGTTGGCAACAGGCGATGTCAAGAACAGGATCTTTGTGTTCAACCTGGATACCGTTCAGGTAAGAATCCAGCCCGTGATCGGAACGCCCAATAGAATCATGTCAAAACGGAATGGTGAACCATCCACATACCTCGTTCTAATCTCACACGTTGTCTGTTGTTTCTTCACAATTTGTCCTACGATAGCACCATGCAACTCTCCCAACATTCGATGCTCCATTGACGGCCCTTCACTTCCACCCTTCCTCGCCAGTGCTGGTTATTCCAACGGCGAGCAATGTGTTCTATGTGTTCAATGTCGAGACACGACTCATGTCGGACTGGTCGCGCGAATACTCGTCAGATAAGGCGTTTCCAACAAAGTTCTTGGCATTCAGGGACAAGATCCAAGGTGTCGCCTTCAACCCCGCTCGCAAGAACACGTTGATGGTTTGGGGCGCAAAGTATATGTGCCACGTGGACCTGACCCTAGGTGTCGGAGACCGCAACGCAGCTCTGAGTGTTGGAAAGAGGAAACGAGATGAGATGATCGAGGCAGAGAAACGCAAGCAGCAGCGGGAACGCCGGATGATGAAATACGCCGAGAACGGAGTCCTGTCGGCACCGGATATGGAGAATGGAGAGGCTGTTGTTGTATTAGAGAAGAACGGCAAGAAGGTCCGGAAGGTGTTGACAGACGACTTTATGGAGAATCAGGAGGCAGAGGTGAACTTTCAGGTTATTCACAAGTTCCAGCCGTTGATGTTTGTTGACTTTTTGGACGACAACTCGCTGGTTGTGGTTGAGCTTCCATTTATCAAGATCTTGTCGACCCTGCCGCCAAGCTACTACCGCGCCAGCTACGGAACGTAAACGTTTGTCTACGTCCCCCGTTGTACCTATCTCTATCTATTGCTTTTTTTTCTTTCTTTTCACTATTCTCTCACACTCGCATGCTCTCCTCTAGAACTACTCCCCCTCTCTTTCTTTTCCCGTCGCTCATCCAGTCCCTCCCTCATCTAGCATTCAAAATAAAATACAACAGAACATTCAGTCATATCATCATCAGTTCCAACCATTGACGCACATCGTGTCCTTGTTCGATGCAGATCAATTTTCGAAAGCCACACGAAATTGTTGGTTGGCTGTGCCCGAAGCCTTTGTCAATTTCCTTTTTTTTTTACACTCTACTACACTTTTCAGGAACAGAACCTCGATGGAACACGGCGAACACCGCTCATGCGCCTACGGACTACGCCATCAGGTACATACCGGACAGGAGCAATAACAACAACAGGAGACTTGGACTTGAGTGAATGACTGACAAGCTGGCATCCTCACTTTCCTTCATTCCATTCACACCTTCTTCTCAACAAAACACACACACAATGTAGGCGCGCTGTCTTTCCGCCATCAAGTCGACCGATGGCAAGAGCAGTTTTATTATTGGCACACAGGAACTCTCCCGGCCCAACGAGGTAAAAAAATAAAGTAAAGAATGCCTTACTGTACCTATCCTTCACTAACGCTCTACCTGTGAGGTGTCGCAAATGAAAGATATGTTTTTTGCAACCCGGTGAAAAGACACACGTTCCTGATATCCTTTTTCTTCGATCCTTGGTTCATAGGTCCATTTGTTGACGTTTGATGAGGAGTTCTTTGAGATTAGCACAACCATATTCAATCACCCGCACGAGATCTGGGATATCTCGGCGTCCAAGGAGGATCCGGATCTGTTCTTTACGTGCTACCGAGAAGGTAACGACATCGGATGGGCTGAATTCTGGCTTGCACTCACATACGGGAACCAATCGGTGTTACTGTTAATCATTAATTGCTTTTACTTATCGCGTTCAAAAAAAATACATTACAGTCATCGACGGGAAGAAGACACAGAGCAAGGCATCGTTGTGGCGAATGAAACGTGGATACCAGGAGCAGGAAGAGGATGGGCACGAAGGAGGAATGCATCACCATCAACCCAGAGGTGAACTTGAGCATGTACTCAGTCTTGATATTGGCGATGGATCTGTCAAAAAGTAAGGCAGACAAATGTGCTTTTTGGGTGGCGTGGAATTACTTTTGCTCGGTCGTTCACTAGGACCCACGGAATCTCTAACGCGAACATGAATGCCTTATTTTTATTTACGATTTAGAGTCATTTGGCAGGACAAGACAGAGGTCATCTCGGTTGAGGACTGGCGTATATGTATTTGGGATATCGATATTAAACAAGGCACCGCCAAGGTGAGCACTTTGTCAGGATGTTGTCTTTGCGAGTTGTATCGTCAAAACACAGCATCTTTTGCCTGACCGCTCTTTTTTCTCTTGCTATCAACTATAGTTGACGGGATCGATTGATACACCGGACAAGGGGTTCAAGTTTACAAGTGCAGTGATGAACCCTCATGCTCAGGAAGTTGTGGCTGTGTACGGACGTTCGATTCAGGGCTGGAACTTGAGCTCGCTCAAGTAAGGACTACAAACAAACAAAACAGTCAGGGTTGTTTTTGTGCTTTTTTTGTTCATCACCTATACGGGAACATTGACAGTTTACAACTTGCGTTTTTCACTTTTTAGGCCAACGTTCACAATCAAGGATGCTCAGCCAGCGCTACTTTTCTGTGTGGATTATAATCCGAATCGCCCCTTCCAGATAGCCACAGGAGGCGATGACTGCAAGGTCAGGATATGGGATGTCAGGGATATAACCGCTGGACCCATCATGACCATTCAAGATCACACCCACTGGTAACAACTTTGACGTTTGTGGTTTTAGATGTTAGAGAGCACAAGTTGAATGGAGGAGGGATCGCATCTCGACTGCTAACATTCTATTGGGCTAACCAACATTCATGTTATGTTCTTAGGGTGTGGTCGGTGGCGTACAACAAGTTTCACGACCAGTTGATGCTGACGTCTAGTTCAGATTGCCAGGTGAATCTGCAGAGTATTGTGTCGATCTCGACAGGGGCCGAGTACAAATATGAAGGGGATGCGAGTGAGGGTGAACAAGGTGCGGAAGAGGATGGAGAGCAGGGCGACAACGTGCAAGAGTAAGTTTTTATATATGTTGCTGTTGTTGTTGTTGTTGTTGTTTGGTGTTGATCTATCCTTGGAATAACTACACCAAACAACAAATGCTCACTCCATTTTAAGCATGCATGCATCTCTTTTTTTCCTCTCTCACTCTCTGACTCTCTGTCAGCTTGTGTGGTGCCTTGAACGAGAGAAAAAATAAGACAAATGGGGCTCTCGACGGACTCGCTGGCTAATTCAAACCTTTTTAATATCTTTCTTTTTTTTTTTTTCCTGAATAGTCCCCCGACGGATGGGCTTGTTCAGGCGTTTGACCAGCATGAGGACTCTGTGTACCAGGTTGCGTGGAGCAGTGTAGATCCATGGCTGTTCATGTCGCTGTCGCATGATGGGCGGGCGGTGATGAATCAGGTCCCGAGTGAAGAGAAGTTCAAGATTCTCTTGAACTATTGAGCTACTGAGAGAGAGATATTAAAAGGCTCGTTTCGCGGGTTGCAGTGATACTCTGTGTGTGTGTGTGTGTGTCTGTAGACATGGCATCCCCTAGTGTCTGTTACTGTGGTATTTAGAAAAGAATGAGTGAATGAATGAAAAAATGTTTGGTGTCACCACTCACCAGTGTGTTTTCATATCTCTCCCTTGCGGCAATGGCAATGGCATGAGTCGAACAAACACCTTTCCTTTCATATCTGTCCATCCCGCCTGTTCCCTCTTCCTCCTTCTCCCTTTCTCCCTCTGTGTCTCTGTTCTGTCTCCTTGTCTCTTGTTGTGTGTTTCGTGCTCTCTGTTTTTTTTGAGTTTATTCGAATGCAGCAATTAAGCGAACCAGAGATGGATTTCATTATTTTGTCCGTTGGGACTTGCACGCTGTTCTTGTGCCACTTCCTTTTTATTTCCCTGGTCACTTCCCAGTCCTCCTTCCTCTTCTTTTCCTTCTTTTCCTTTTCTCTCTCTCATTCGTCTCTCCGATTCCCATTTCCCGCACATACTCTCATCATCTTTCCCTTCCCTTCCCTTCCCTTCCATCATCTTCCTCCCTTCTAATACCCCTCTCTAATCCTCCCCCTTTCCACTCACTCTCTCTCTCACAACAACACACTTGACCCCTCGCTTTCTTCACACCTTAACTCTACATCATGTCCACCGAAATCAGTATGTTCCAGCCATCTCTGCCGCCCTTTCACTCTCATCTTGCGTCTTGAACGGACGATGAACGCTTACTCCTCGCTATTTCTTTGATTTCAACCACTAACCGTGCTTTTCCTTTTTGTTTCGGCCTTTGCCACTTTAGCTAACCCCATTATCAAGGTACGCCAATGGCCTCTGATGCAGCACCAGCAACTCAACATATCCCACCCTTTGACCTCTACACTCGCTCACTCGCTATCGAACTGAATGGACCCGCAAACCTTACACTTCACCATCGCTTTAAAGCGAGAGAAGAAAGCAATTGAACAGAAAACACCAGCCTGTTACAGATGGATATCCAGTAACCAATTCAGCTCCACCACCCCTTCTTTCACTTCTCACTTTATGTGGGGGGGAGAATGAAAGGACTCTCCCTGTTTTTTTCGCCCTTATTTCCTGTCTCCCATTTACTCCCTTACACGCAATCTCCTGTTGCCCTCCTCTTTGGTTTTACAACCAAACAGTTACAGGCAGTTTAGAGGATCGTTTTCGGGGTCAATTGCAGAAAGGGAGATCCTCAAAGGACGTATATTCGTCTTGTCGCATGGACCCAAATGGTACAAGTCATTAACCGTGTTTTTATATTTAACAATGTGTTATTATTAGTCCTTGGCCAACGGCACCCTCCGCAAGAAGCTCCAGGGTTATGTCGGATTCGCCAACCTCCCCAACCAGGTTCATCGCAAGTCCGTCAAGAAGGGCTTCAACTTCACCGTCATGGTTGTTGGTAAGTTATCCTGACAGAAAGAAGAAAAAAAAAACATTCCTATCCCCTCCCTGCTTTTTCTTTTTTCTTTTTTCTTTCTGGAGTCTGCTCTCGACTCGACTGTCGGTGTAAAAAAGCAGAAAAGGTGTCCCTTTTTTTTTTGGCTCGTTTCGTCAGATCTCTTGTTTCCCTTGTTGTTTTCTCGGAGCCTGTCTCTGATGTTTATATGGCTTCACGCTCAGAGGTGCTCCTTCCTTTTTTCACGGCTCCTTTTTTTTTCTTTGAGAGAGAAAAAAAGAGAAGAGAGATGGGCTCGCAGACTTATTTATATATCACAATCAATTATTGTATAATGGCGACCGCTGCTCAAAAACATTCCGCCTGTGGAATGACCTTGGACCAAAGAACGAAAAAGGGTCTCTCTCCCTCTCTGTCTCTCCCGCTCGTTTCTTGGACACCCTTTCGTACTTCAAAAAAGTCTTGAACATGATGACACCAATCCCCTAACCTCTGTCCTACTTTCAATTTGCTTTTCTGTCTATAGGTGAATCGGGACTCGGCAAATCCACTCTTGTCAACACCTTGTTCAACGCCCCCTTGTACCCCGCCAAGGAGCACGCTCCTCTCTCCGAGGAGAGCCCAAAGACTGTCGGCATCCAGGTTCTCAGCACCGATATTGAGGAGAACGGCGTCCGCCTGAAGCTCAATGTCGTCGACACCCCCGGCTTTGGCGACTTTATCAACAACGAGGACAGGTAACGAACAACAAGCAATGGATCTCTTTCAGCAAAAAAAAACAGAAACGAGCGGCAGTGACGACTGTGCTGTGCCTCTCTTTTCCTCTTGTGCCGATACCAACCAACACACTTTTTTTGTATTATTGCTCAATTTGCATTATTCCAAAATAGCTGGAAGCCCATCTTGGAGACCATCGAGAGCCGCTTCGATGCCTATCTCGACCAGGAGAACAGAGTCAACCGCAGCAAGATCTCCGACACCCGCGTCAACGCTTGCTTGTACTTTATTGCCCCCACCGGTCACTCCCTCAAGGCTCTCGATGTTGAGTTCATGAAGCGTCTCCACAAGAAGGTCAACTTGATCCCCGTCATTGCCAAGTCTGACACCATGACCAACGAGGAGATTGCCGCCTTCAAGGAGAGAGTACGTCTGGCCGTCTTGTTGATACTGTGGCGAAATGAAGGAGAGCAAAAAGGAAGCCGTCAGTAGTGCAAGGGACAACGCATGAATGGACAGACTCGGCTAACTCACCCTTGCGTTTTTTTTCTCGTCGTTCATAGATTCTCTTGGATATCGCTCACCACGATATCAAGATCTACCACGCCCAGCACTACGACTGCGATGACATTGAGACCATCAACGAGACCAAGGATGTCATGGTACGAGCAAACAACTTACAGCATGACAGCATTGGCGAACAAGGCCATGGACTCTTTTCTCGACCATCAACTAACCGGAAAATCTCACTTTTTAAACTCCCCTTGGACCCAAATAGAGCAAGATCCCCTTCGCCATTGTCGGATCTGACAAGGTTATCGAGACTGCTGACGGTCGCCATGTCCGTGGACGTAAGTACCCATGGGGTGTCATTGAGGTCGACAACGAGGACCACTGCGACTTTGTCAAGCTCCGTCAGATGTTGATCCGCACTCACATGGAGGAGCTCCGCGAGTTCACTAACGACATCCACTACGAGAACTACCGTACGGAGAAGCTGATCGCCATGGGCTACCAGCAGGATCACACCGTCTTCAGAGAGGTCGACCCCCTCGCCAAGTTGGAGGAGGAGCGTGCTTTGCACGAGGCCAAGCTTGTGAAGATGGAGCAGGACATGAAGCACGTCTTCCAGCAGAAGGTCCAAGAGAAGGAGGCCAAGTTGACACAGTCCGAGGCCGAGCTCTACGCCAAGCACAAGGAAATGAAGGATGCCCTCGAGAAGCAGAGATTGGATCTGGAGGACAAGAAGAGGAGGATCGAACAGGGCCGTCCCATCACCCCAGAGAAGCCCAAGAAGAAGGGCTTTGGTTTCGCCAACAAGTAAATAGATCCATCGTGAACGCGCGCTCCCACGTTTTCTCGAGAAAGGTAGGCCTCTCCTCTTTACCTGTTTGGTTGATACTTGATGATGAGCTTGCAGAAAATGACAACTGGACATAGAGACTGACCTACCGTCTGTTCGTTTTTTGCACTGTTGATTCGATAGCTCTACACTTCAACTCTATACCTCATGATATCTTTCTCTCTTTATCTGCTTCCATCTTCTCACTCACTCCTTCGTCCCTCGCGTGTGTAACACCCTCCCATCTTTAATGCTCTTCTACTCTTAAACAAACCATTGACTAAAAAAACTAGAAAAAAATATTCAGACACCTTGGTCTTTCTTTCTTTTCTGTGTTTTTTTTTCTTTTTTTGTTCGTTTACTTAATTATTTATGCCTTCCTTTCGTTACGTTCTTACACTTCAATACTTTTCTCTTTGTACACTCAAACAACAAAGCACGAAAACACATAAGCGATTCAACTTCGATTCTGCTCCTTTTATCCATTAAACTTTGCCCGTTCGTTGGATATCGCTCTTTTTTTTTTCTTGCCCATTGATTGTTAGTCTTCTCAAGAGGAGAGAATGAGAAGGGTATTGTAGGTGAGGGGGTATATAGGTTGGTAGACAGGAAGACATAGACCGGGAGCTGCTTTCAAACTTTTTTTTACTTTCTGCTGGACCGGAAATAAAAAACATTAAAAACATATTCATATAACCAACCTTCTCCCTCATTCCTTTTCTTTTCTTCTTTTTTGCCGCGCGCCGGTCATGCCATCAAAACGAGGTTCTCGCCGGTGGAATGGAACGTAATAGGCGACACTTGAAATTGGCAACTGCACCTCAATTCTGACAAAAATGACAACTCCTTGTCAAGAGCAGAATACTTGTTAAACATGCCAATTATTCAGGAACAGAACAACTGAACCTTCTAGCTTGCACTTATAGAATGTATATTTTCCTGCACAAAAGCGGTGCAATGTTACTCTACCTACAAAAAAATGTCTTTCTACTCAATACCAAATTGCAAACTACCGTTCTGGATAGAGTTTTGAGATACCCTGAGTGGAGTCTCTGGGATCCAGGGCTCAAAGTAACCAAAAACACGGTTCTTGAACGAAATGGATCTTTCAGAACTTGGATGTCAGCCACAATTGCTGTGTATTAAGTAATTCGGGGATCTAGCTCAAATGGTAGAGCGAGCAACTCTTTCTTCCCCTTTGCACAAGTTTTATATATTTCGCACCCCGCCCCAGACGGCCCCCCTTCACCTTTCTACTACCCCTCTTTTCTCTTTTTTATCCCCCACCTACCCATGTCGGTCAATCACGACATGGCCCTGGCGGCAGAAACAGTTCCGCCAGGTACCGACCCGAATCCAGAAACTGGAACCGGATCGGCATCTGCAGCGCCCAGGTTGGCGATGGATGGATCTGGGACTCTTCCACCCATCCACCAAAAGTCGAATTCAACCCCCGACACCTCGAACCCACCACAACAGCAACAGCATCAACAACAGCAACAGCAACAACGACAACTACAACAACAACAGCAACAACCGGTTGTGTTTCGCCCACCCCTGGAGTCAACAGCAACATGGGCGAAAAAGGCTGCAGCGGGCAAGTATCGCCCAGTAGCAGACACGCTCCCCGCGACCGTGTTCAGGGACGACTATGTCCTGGCCTACACCCTTCCCGGCAAGAAGGACACGCCCCAGGGCATCACATACACCCAGGTGATGAATGCCATCGCAGACCAAGTCAGAGGCGTGACGGAGCTGCGATTCGACCAAGTCCATAAATATATGGCAGCGATTTTCGAGGATAAGGCTGAGTTTGACTTTGCCCTTAACATCCCCCTGGAGATCACAACCACCTTCTGGATTCAGCCATCCAAGACGGTGTACACCTCGGGAGTGGAGGAGACGATCTTCGCCAACAACATCGCCTCCACCAAAAATCTGGAACAGATCCAGACCGAACTGACGGCTATCTTCGGTAACCATGGGACCGTTGACAACATCAGCTTTGGGTACATTCGACACCCAACACACACAATCAAGGACGGTAACATATCCTTTCGACTCACGTTCCATGAGAACATCCCGTCCAACCCACAGCTGCCCAGGATCGCCAACTTTCTCCGCTGGAACACGTACTTCTTCTGGAGAAACGCCCCGGCCTTCTGCGTGGGATGCGGCATTACTGGACACGACTCTAGAAGCTGCAGCAAGGCAACAGCAAGCCTCGCCCTGAGCAACACACCCCTGCTGACTAAAACCATCATGTCGTACCGCTTCATGGAGGGAACGCCTACAGTCAACCAACTCGGTAGTAGTAGCAGAGGCAACAACAGCAACAGACAACAACCCAACAAAAGCAACAACAACAACAACAGCAAGAGCAACAGCAACAGCAACAGCAACAACAACAACAAGGAGCAGGGATCAAAGAGAATCTCGGCGCCGGACCAGGATGGATTTCAGATCCGTCATGCGCCAAAACCCACCATCAAGGACCTGGGGCCCTCCGGCCAGGACCCTCAGGACCACAAGAGACCTAGGTCCCTGGATGGCGCCCCCAAGAAGAAGAAGCCAAGGAAGAAGAAGACAAAGACCGCTGGACAGGCCACCACTCCTGCACCGCAGGCTGCTGGGTTGAATGGAAGCAAGGTCCCCGTGACCAATGCATCCGTACCCCAACAGAGGCCTCCTGTCCAAGCTGAAGGGTTGAATGGGACGAAGCCCGCTCTGAGCTTCAATCCCGTACCCCATCAGCAGGTCGCGCCCGCAAGCAACAGAGAACAACAGGCTGCACCAATGCAAGTTGTGGACCCATCTACACCCCAGGCTCAAACCCAGGGGTGGTTTGGTGTCGCGTCCACACATGCAGAGGCCTTTGTCCTTAATGCTCAAGGCACTTCTGGCCCCCCAGCTACTTCTAGTGATGGTAGCAGCAGCAGCAGCTCCGACAGCAGCAGCAGCACGCCAGCATCACCCCATCAGAAGGCTAGCGTACCACCCTCAGGTGTTGAATGCGACGCCCATGATACTACGAACAAACAACAGCACAACCACTTACAGACCGATGACGATGAGGACGACGACATGGGCGATAGTCTCGATCGTCTCTGGACCGCGGCAGAAAGAGAAGAAGCCCAAAGAGAACTAGAACAGAATGGAGGTGGTGGAGATATGGATCAATAAAAAGAAGTTTACCCTTTTCTTTATCATCCGTTTTTTCTGTCTATCTTTATTTAGATCTTTGTTTTTCATTGATATATTTTTTTCTAATGACCAGTCTATCATTTGCATCATTTAATTGCAATCGTGTTGTGGATACGAGAAAACGGCAGAACTTGTTCCGCTGGCTCAAAACACAACCGTTTGACATTATTGCGCTACAAGAGTGTAACCCTAAAGACAACCAGATTCCCGAATGGAGGAGAGAATGGGCTCGAGAGAGCTATTTTTCCCAGCATACGGCCATTCTGATCAAATCAAAACACATCAAGATGGATGCAGACAAGTGCCACACGCTGGAGAACGGTCGTATCGTCTACTTTGACTTTTTAGTAGACGGGGTAGAATACCGCTTTGCAAGTGTGTACGCCCCCTCTGACCACAACCAAAGAAGAGCATTTCTCCTTCGATTCCCAGTCGATGTACTCCAACATCAACGACTGGTTATTGGAGGTGACTTCAACACATACAAAGACATACAGAACGATCGCTTGCCCGCCCTGCAGGCGGGGCAACGCAACCGCTCCCACTGGCACCACCTTGAGAATATTCTCACTCGTCTCGACTTGAGAGATACTATGCCACCAGTGGAAGAGGGAGGCCCTACAAAAGCCGGTCGGTTCACCTGTCGAACCAAACACAGAAAAATAGGGGCAGACAAAAGTGAGATTGTGCAAACACGCATTGATTACATTTTTGTCTCAACCCCAACCTTATTTCCAATTGCCTCAGATGCAAAAGTCACAGTGTGCACAGGTATACAGAGCGACCATGCGGTCATCTCTTGTCAACTGTCATCCACCGAGACCATTGCAGACGACGATCGCAAGCGTGCGATCGATGTCCGCCACCTTAGCGGCCCCTTCATGTGCAGAGGATATAAAAAGGCATATAAAAAATATCCAAAGTCCAAGGAACGGAGTGTTGACTTCCATAACTGGCATATCTCTTCATAGTGGGCAACAGAACACAGAATAAAATAGCAATAGACAGCACAAGAATTTTTAAAATGTAATCTCTCCCCTGTATTTCACGACAAAGATACAGTTGGGAATACAAGTGCTTTAGATGATCACATACAAGAACTACTCTGTCGAATCTTGCAGTGAGGGTTACAGGTTAATAGTAGATGAACACATTCAAGAGTTTGGTGTGCGAAAAATAAGAAGACTTTGTTGTTTGGAGAATAGGTTGGTGTTTAGTAGGATAGTTAAACAAAAAATGTTACAATGGTTGTCTTATATGCTTGGTATCATATATACATTCTCCTCTAATGGACGCGGTGGATATCGTCAAGATCTGCAGAGATGTAACAAACACCATATGATAATTTGGACTTGAAAGGCCTCCTAAAGAATCCAGAGTACATTACTCTTATCCGACAATTGTGGGATGATCTCATGTCCTCACGCATTTCCATCCCAGAGGAAAAAGCGTTCGAGTTCTGGGATAGAGCAAAGGAAAGGATTCTGGAGGTGTCGTCCGAATTTGGAAAAAAGGAGCGAAAAAAACAAATCCAAAAGAAACACACCATTGAACGAAAAATGAAACAGACAAACGAGCAATTGATTGCAGACCCCTCTGACCAGGACGCAGCAGACACTTATGCCCGCCTCACGGCGGAGGCTATTGATCTCGAACAACAGTCTCTAGAGCGTCTCGCTATCTTGGCCAGGGTAAAGTGGATAGAAGAAGGAGAGATCCCCTCTCCTTACTTTACACGGGTCTTGCAAGGATCAAGAGCGAAAAAATTAATTCCACAC